ATATTCTTGACTTCGAATCAAAGATATAACCAATTTCATATAAAACATATCAATTATATTCCAAATGGATAAAATACAATATGTAGAACTATGTTCTCCGTAAAATAAGTATGAGACATAAACTTATTAAAGTCAGTATATCATTTAAAAAAATTGTAATCTTACGATACGATCGTATCGAATAAAGTATACACAATTCAATTGATAATTATTATGTATTAGGTATGTTCAAGGTAATAAAATGTGCTGTTTTAGTTTTATTTATAAAACAGTTGGCAAGGAATCATTACAAGAGATTGGCCGTCCATTCAACGTTGTATTGAGTGTCTTGCAACGAAATTATAATTATTATCTGAAGAAGAATTATAGTTAAAACATGAAAATTATCTAATCATGATATATATTTATCTACATTTACATAAAAAAAAAAACATTGTACATTATGTATTCTATTAATTTATTATAAGATTTTTTTGTTAGACTGACACAAAAAAAATATTGTATTTTATCATGGCTTTCATGCTTATTTGAACGAGAATTAACATACCAAAACGAGTACACAATTTCCCTACCAAATTACGAAACATTTTGTATTTTGTTCTTGCGTATTAAAAATTATAATGAAAAATTCATTATACATTAGATTAAATCATGAAATATTGAAAAAGTAAAACCTGCGGTGACCGTGAAAAAAACTGGATTCAGCAACGTGCTTTGTAACAAATTCGATAAATATATTTGTAATTATAATATTAATTATGAGGTAGTACTGTATTTTTTGAGACGTGCTCAACGTTCGAGACCATATTCAAGTCATTCCAGTTTCCAGCCAGGAAATATACACAAAATTAAGTCACACTGATGGGTAGAGTGTAATAAACTGAGGTTGTTTCAGTAAAACTTTCAATAGTTTAATAAACTTTGTTATCGAAACTTATTAATATTTTTAATAGTAACTGATGATGGCGGGTCCTTGATGATTACTCACTTAAATAAGTACTATGAGTCGTGACAATGTGTGACAATTTGTGAGTTTGAAAACGGCGAAAAGCATGAATAACTAAAAAATTATATCTCTCAATAATTTGAACTTCCCTCCTTCTCGTTGAGCTAATTGCCGATTGCTTTAATCTACAGGAATTATGGCTATGTAACACAGTATAAAATTACGTGTTCTATTTTAGTTATGCTTCCTTTTCATTCCTTATGGAAGGATACCTGAAACCTACTCAAACTTTCCTATCTAACATCTACCTACTACTTAAATAGGAAGTGTACGAAGAAAATTACACATTTTGTTTACTAGTAGGTATAACACATATGTGTAATATTACTCATTATCAGTATTAATATCTTATATCTATATCAGAAATTGTCAGAATTTTTATTTTTCTCCTGCGTAACTTGATCTCCCTTTGTTTGTGAAGTGACCTTCTATGAAAGTATACATTAGTGATTTCTACAATATTGCCTATATTCGCTAAGACATTTCATTGTGACTGACTAATGATTGTCTACGTGAAACTGTTGACGTTTTGTCTATCCGCTGTTATCTTTTTTGCTCGGGTCAACACATCAATTACGTTCTTTATAAATTCTGACTCATAATATCACAAAATATAAATGTGGTGTTTATAAGGTGTAACGAACGATATGTGATTTATTATTATGAATATACATAATAATATGATAATATTATATCAGTTAAAAATGAACTTGTTTTGTTCTTTTGCTAGGCCTCAGGCTGATTTAGTTTGTTTATTATCGGGTAATTTGATAGGATTCATTATCGATATTCGCTTAAACCAAGATGCTGTACTATTAAATAATAAATCAAATAAAATTCGTATACTTCAAACAAAACGAAAAAATACTGACTAATAATTCTTATAAAATTAATATAGACCTATATCCTATTGCAAAATAAATCAAGTACGATGAAAATATTGCGTAACAACGTACCAACGACTGAAAATACATTCATTTTGGCAGTCAGTACATGTTAGTTAGTTTGTGCATAAATCTATTATATGGGCAGACACTTTCGCATGAGGCGATATTGTGGGAGTATGATGTAATAATTTGTGCGCAATTATTTCAATCAGACAATCCGTACGCGAGGCGAGGTAAGCGGCGCGACGGCCATCGAGACTACCTACCGACACGAGGCGGGAGTTGACACGTGTGGCGGTATGACGGAACAGACAAAGTGGCGCTGCCTGCAGCCCGACGTGTTGCTCAGTTCAATTTATACCATAAAAGTAGTGGTATTAATAATGTTTAATGCCAATTATTTCATCAACATGTAAATCTTTACAGCAGTGTTTCCCAAATGGGGGCCCGCACTCCACAGCGGGACAATTGCATTGTTAAGGGGGCAATTCGAAAATGGAGAATATTGAAATTGTATGGAATCTGAATTTCAATTTTTCATTAAATTTGAATATTTACTTTCATTAACTATTTCCTAGTGATTTCTTCCTAAAACCTATTTTGTCAACTAGAATCGTGAAAACTTTGGAGTGGACATAATTTCCGCTGAAGTGTATTGTAAAATTAACTAAGTCTGTCTGGCCTCTTAAATACAACACATTGAATTGCGTCTTCCATATTCTATTTTGAGAATACGATTGGCTTTACTTCCTCCCATGCGCAGACTATTATTTCCATATCCGATATTGATGTTATCAGAATGAGTAAGAAATTTCGTTTTATGTTAGTAGTGTACATTACATTGTTTTATTTGTTATTGTAAGAGACAAAATATACTACTTTTACAGTACCCCTTTCAGCAAAAGCCTAATAGAAAAACGATTCTATAATATGCGTAAACATGGATTCATAATTTCATAATAATAATCAATGTCAACCCCGTAAGTTATAAATTAGTAATCATGTATTTAATAGTGTAATTATTGGCATAAGTCAATAGAAAAATCTTTACATGTAGTAATTTTGTGTGTCAACGTCTCCTTAACTATAGTAGTATCTATTCATATTACTTATTAATGAGAGACGATAATATTCTGAAGTAGCCTTATAGAGGTCAGTAGGGTAACCTCACTGCCCCTAATCGCGACTCCTACTACCTAGTCCAGAGCAAATTTCTATCTTCAAAGATAAATACGTACTATACATTGTCTGGTAGGCGCGTTATCTATCGAGGACTAATCATTTTATTGATATCCCCTTGACCTATTACAGCATTCAGCTGCGCAATAAAGTTAATTCAGTTCACGCGGAACTGTATTTTTATCTTTTACGTCTATTAGTATAATCTGCGACAGTCTGTCGAATCGGTAACATTTTTAAAACACGCATCAATTGCGTGGCTGGTACAATCAGACTACCACGCTAAGCTCTTTGGTGACCTTGTTCGAATGGGCATGTGCGAAGAATGGTAACTAGCGACGATGGGAGCATTCTTAATTTATTCTTCGCCATAATTTTTTTCGTGAACAACCTTTGAACACGAGCTTGTTTTTACAAAAAGTATTATATTTATTACTGCTACCTATTTTTATATATAGGAAGAAAATATAACAGATAATATAGTAGGTAGTAGTGTAAAAGATGAATGTAGAATGTAAACTATAAAGTGTATAAAAGACCAAAAAATGTAAATACATCGTATGCATTACACATCAGACAAAATCGGATGGATATAGATACATGCTCAAGAACATGAAAGACAAGAAAGAGTATAAATAAAAGTCAATGAACGTAGGTACATTGTGAATGTTTTGGCAAATGTATGCACCGCGTGTCATGACAACATTGTGAAAAATATTTACTTAATCAATTTACAGACCACATTATTATCGGGTTATCAAATGTATTAAGGGCAAGGGTATTAGGTTACGAACAGAGTCTAATGTTCTATTATAATTACAAGTTCCTGATAATTGTTACATCCATGTACAATAAAGAAACAGTATTAGTAGGTATTGTATGTTAATGTGTAATTAATTCCGGGTTGTTCCATTTTCTGCTTTGGTTTTGAATACATCTTTAATACGCAATTTGTTTTTTATGATTAAAGTTCAATTAACTTAGTACGACTGGGGGAGCATGGATATGAATAACTCAACCACCATACAAAATAACAGTACTCCATACTCTTTTGCGTACAGCTGTATATGGCCATATTTGTATTTCGCAATATACGCAACTGCAGGTATATTGCGTATCTGTTTTTTTTATCAAAATATATATATCAATAGTACCTAATTGATTTTCTATATCAGTTGGCTTTCCTACAAAAATCTATGTAAAACAAAATAAAGATTTGATGAAAGAAACATTCCAAATGGTAAACTTAGTAGCTTTTTATTATAAAAGCAAGTGGTTTAGTGTTGACGCGAAACTTTTTAGAATATTAACGTAATTAATTTACTTCGAAGTGGCGCGCATGCCTATGGCTTTTATATAAATAGAACTTACAATGTGTCTGTGTGTGCGCTTGCGCTAAAAGGGTTAAATTGTGAAATATCAATGATCGGGAGTTACGACACACAACATGAGTCCCTGTATTGTATAAACAACTTGTATATGTAGAAACAACGTACTTAGTACAACTACGTAGTAAACTATTGAAATACGTGATAATAAGTATTGTCATTGTTTTTTGTTAACTAATTTGTAATACTTGTTCTTCTTGGAGTATCCATATAACAAAATTATTTACTAACACTATAGAATATAATAGAATGTACTAAAAAATATATCCATTTCAAAGACGTTTATAATAATAATAATCTTTATTAGCCAATAAAATATACAAGTCATTGAAATGCGGACTAAAAGAGGCTGAGACGTGTGGATTCTCAAATTAGAATGCATTTAGCAAACGCTCATTTAGTAACTTTAGACACGGTTTGGGAGAAATGACCGCTTTTGGATATATTTACACACACAAATTAACCAGGGGTTTCCAAATCTTGCTTTATGTTAATTGTAGTAGTACATATTAATTTACATTATAACTTATTGTTACTTACCTCCATAACGACGTACACATAAGCAGGACTGTCCATGCAATCATGCATCGCGACGAGATTGGTGTGGTGCAGCGCCGTCAGTTCTCGGAGAATCTTGATTTCTTTTACGAGGATCTCAGATGCTTTCTGTATGCCTTTCTTCGTTACCACTTTCACAGCCACACATTGAGATGGATTCTGTTGAAAAATATTAGTATAGTAAATTTATTACTTATAGATTAAATATTAAATGAAAAATTAAGTTAGATGTAAGATCAATTGCGATTAACTATGAATTCATATGAAAGAACCTGAGATGAATATTAATAATATATTGGTACGTATGATATCTCGGGTATATGTGTATATATACCTGTCTCGTGTCAGTTCACTTTATACAATTATTTATTACCTTTATACTTAGTTAACCTGCATACTAATAATGGACCAGCGTATTGAAGTTTTTTAGATTCATATATCGTCGATTAGATAGAAAAATGTCATTTTTCAAAATTAGAAGCTAGAATAGGCAATTCTATATAAAGATCCTTTATATAAGTCAATTAAATTAACCACGCTATCTTAATCATTATCTAAACACTTTTTAAATTATATATAATACTATTGTGTAAAATTTTAAAGGAAAAAATAATAATTTTAATACTTTACTTATTTAAAAAACTACTTTAAAAAACTTTAAATGCTTGTCTTGTAAAAAATGTGCCTTTTGAATAGTACAATTTTTCTAACCGACGATATATGCTTCTACTTAGATTTGTTAATTTGAACGTAATATGCACACGAAAAATATTGTGAAAATGAGAACATTCTATAATGTCGGTTAAACTATAAAATGTGCTTAAAAAAGAATACATATATAGATCGATTAATACAATGTTGAACAGATACTCGTTACAGACATAATTTATATGATTTATTAGTGTGTTGCTGTACAGACTGTTGAATTTTTGTAATAGTAGTTAACTATGTGTAAACTAAACTAAACTCGTTTTTGAATTAATTCCTATAGGTAACGATTATTTAATGAGCTAATATTATAATATAATATCCTATTACGTCAAGCACATTAAATGAGTTAATGATTTGGTTGAGGTGACGTTTGAAATTAATAAAGATATTCAGATAAAATCCATCGACTTGTCAGATAAAAAATATTTTATCTTTAAGTTTGTTATTAATTCCTTTCTTGTTAGTATGTATGTCAAAATAAAAGTTACAAGGAATCTATATCCATACTAATTACACTATAATTCAGAATCAATTCGTCTATACCTAAAGTCGGTAAATATCTTTAATCACAAATGCTCCATTAATGTGTGCCAACGTCTAGATATCTGAGCCATGAGGTTGCACAACTATTAATTATAAGTCAGTTCTTAGGCAGTATTTATAATTGCTAGGTGGTTAGTTTTGTAAAATGATAACGCAAGTGCAGGGAACGTTGCATAAGGTCGTTGCAGGTGGGCGAGTAACGTCTACATGCACTAAGGTCTATATTACTCCATACGTTGAACATCTTATCGAATACCTACACAAAAAACAAGCTCTTTGCTTCTAACAAAGCTTTTAAGAATGGATAAATAAAACATAATTGCTAAGATGTGAATTAGTTTACATATGTGGATGCACGTAATTTCCGTAAATCATCGTGCCTATTTCATTATAATTATTTCAAATGTACCTTTACGTATGAGATACACATCTATAATAAAAGTAAAGTTAGTTTCAATACGTTTGAACTTGAGGATGGTTATTTGGTATCATCCTACGACTCTTACATGCTGAGCAAAAAAAGATGGAACACTAAGCAAGGTCAAAGTAATAGGACCAAAAGCGCTTTGAGTCGATGAAACCCATATGGCCCAGTTAGGCGGTCGAGACGTATTCTTGTGGATATGATTGTCAGTGTGTTAGTAAAATTCATATAGGTGAAATCGCGAGTTTTTGCTTCTTAATGTTAATGATTCATGTCGCGCAAAGTCCGTCTTGTTGCTACTGTAACATAAACGTGGCGGAAACGTGGTGGCCATAAACTGTCAAAGCTTGAGAAGTTTAACAGTTGGTTCAAACTTTGCTACGTTATGTCTAATTCCAAACATATATGTCGTATATGGAATTAAACGTATAAAAAATATATACAATTGTACATTGCTACATGAATAGAGTATATTATTTTTTTAATGGGAAAAGACCCTTTTTGTTCCTCCTGTATTTTCTGTACATTTTATGGATGATAATGATCGTATTCTGGGTTTTGGTACAAGTAAGTATGACTATTGAAAACAATATTTCCAAGTTAGAGCTGCCACTTATGCCCCTCAGGGAATTTACTAGAGACTATATATCTCTTTCTAATACGACCACGCGGGTTTAGATGTAACTTCTCTTCTTTGATTCGCTCCGTTACATATTTTTCATCATCACTATTAATCTGAGATGTTCCCTCATAGTAGTGAATTAGGACTAGCACATAATATTTCTTTTCTTTTCTGTATTACCTACACATAATCGTTTGATCCAAATTTACGCGGACAAAATCGCGGAATACACCTAGTAATAAATATGTAAATTTGGTATCCAATAATACCATAATACGCGTTGGCATATAGAATACCTTCTTTTTTTGCTTTCATTCATAAGAGGACTGAGATGAGACTGCCTGAGATACAAGGTGGATGTCGGCAGTCTAACATTAGCTCGTCCTACATTCCGTAGGCTCGTGTAGCGATTACAATTTGACCCGATTTCATCACGTACTCTCCCCGTACCCTTGCGGGATCACTTGTAGGCTGTACGTAATACAAATGTAAGTCAATTCAAATGTCACAGCATGTCATTCGGATTAAGAATGCCAAGGTGGCAATATTGATGGATCAGTATGTTACAATTGATAGATGGATGGAAATCATTCTATTTTCATTAAGATTGACCAACCAGAATTGTATAAACGTTATCAATTATTCAATTTTTATATCTATCCGTTTAATACTTTTTAAATTAAAAATAAAGTAAAGTAATTAAAGTGCTTAAATAGAGTTCCGTTCGGATTTACTATTTTGAATTGGAACTTTAAAATAGTATCAAATATAGTATTTCATGCATTATTAGTCACCATATATAAAGTCTCCATTACTATAAACATGATCATGAGGATTAAATTACATAGGTGTTGTGACATTTGCAACATGTATGCGATTGCCTGTTAGTAATAATGAAAAAAATTGTTGGAGACTACTAACACCATTGCTGGCAATCTCCGCCAAGCAGTTCATCGTGGAAAGCATTATCATAGTTAATTCCTTATGAATTTGCCAAGGTTGGCTACGTATCAGATTTTATCTTTATCATTGTATACTGCACTGGCGTCCACCCAATATATGTACACCATTACCGCAATCATAAAAACACCCAATTCAACCCAGTTATCACCGATGGCATGTCGCTTAATGATCTATTCTACAGGTAAAAGTTAGAAAAAATTACATGCTAGTTAGAAATAAGGTATGCAAGTATAATATGAAATGCAAATGATACATCGTCAACGCTTGCTTCTTATATTTTCATATTCATAGATATATCAGAAATATCATACCGTCAATTGTGTTCTATCTTCAAAGTTCTACGTTCTACATACATGTCAACTTGAAAAAGATTAATGGGTTCCAGTAAAGTAGAAAGACGTATAGAAAGACGCTTGTTTGTGTGTAGTTGCATTTTACTATCTATTGTATTAAACTGAAAGGACATTTTCCATTCCTAAACTTTCAATACTACCCGAGTCCATCTAACTACCTGGTGTAGGTACATAGTGAGTGCCCTTGGTGGTCATCGTGCGTGTCATATTGTACAGTATCTATTGTTCACTGAGGTTAGAATAAAGAGACGAAATTCTATATACGCCCACAGAACCTGACCACACCATATTCTACTCGTCAAGACTCGTGGATGACGTCAATGACTAAAACATCTAACTAAGTTTTATTCAAATAATTACCTTAAAATGAAGAAATAAAATAATTTGTAAGGATTCAGCATTCTTATCTATATTTAGCGGTTTTAGGCGCATAAACATTATTAGGAAAAGTCCTACTTATATTAATTGATGAGTTAAATTTCATTTTGTATATTTATTAAATTAATTATTCTAAACCTTGAACTATCATCTAACTATGTTCTAAATATATGGAGAATTAGGTATCTTCTCAATAATTTCGTTACCGTTGATTTCTGTTTACACGGTTTGTAAAATTTCAATACGTATAAATTATCATTTATAATATAACTAATAATTTCTGTAACATTTGCAAAACACAATCTTTTATTTTACTAATAATAATTTTAAAATAACCTTAAAGATATAGTATATGTATTTATAAACAATTCAACATTATCCATTACTATATTGATAATTCACAGTAGGTACATACATGTTAGCACTGATGAGTTCATCACGCACGAGATAAACAAAGGTCAATATCTTGTGACCGATAGAAAAAAAAGTCAAGTCACGTTCCATTGGGGTTCATGCTCTATACAGAGCATATAGTGTAATGTTTATAAATATTTTAAATAAGAAAGAGATAATATTACTTATCGCCGATTAGTTTTCAAGTCTGTGATGTTAGTCTTATATACTCATTTGGATGAGTGTACAATGTACATACATACCCAACTAAAGTTTGTAGACTTTCGTCACTAATATTGACCAGAAATGTTCGTCATTCTTTATATTTTTCAGTTAACTTAATAAGGTGATGATTAATTATATTGAACACATTGTTGAGATGTGTGTATACGCCCATTCATCTCTCGAAATATAATTACCTATGTTCCTATGTAATAATGTTATTATATAGTATCTGCTAAGGGATCTTGTCTCTGCCGCATGTACGTGACTATTAATGAAAGTTGATAAAACAAAAGATTAAGAATAGAGACCATTTCTTTTTCCCTACTCTTTATAATAAATATATCTGTGGTGAGTAGCGATATACAGTGAAATACGCAATCACTCTTACTATATAAGTAATCCATATGAATCATAAATGCTATTTATCAGTTAAGATTTTTTAAACTACCATGAAAATTTCACATTCTGACCATGACGCAAGAAAAGTGTATTTTTCAGATTTTAACTAATAATAGATTTGGCGAAGTAAATGCAAAATATCAGCTGTTGTTTTCAATGCCAGCACTGTATATTCCGCATAACTGGCAATAAATGTGGGTGTGGCAGTGACAACTAGAATTACGATATTACGAAGTACACTACAAAAGTGAAGATACATAACTGTTTAAGCAACACGCGGCCGAATCTGATGGATCTTTTGCAGACTAAATAAAAGACAAATTATGAGTCGTCTATATATTTAAGTCCAACTTTTTTTCACTTTAAAGAGCAAAATGATGGTTATTCAATAGCCGTTAAATAGATCATATGAAGAAACAGAACGAACCCCTAGAACTGGTATATTAATATTCATTCCTGTTTAGAGTGCTGGGTTCCTTATATTTTAAGGATTTTCTGTAACACATATTTGTATCTTGTACTATATTTTTTTTATTTGTTACATAGGTTATGTAATAAGTAACAAAAATATAGGGCATGCAGGAACATGAAATATATATATATCTGGAAATTTGAAATACCATAAATTTTCTTCTGGTACATAATATAAGGACACAGGAGGGTACTAAGCAGTAGAACAATTTTCGAAATTTGCTGAAACAAGTATTTATATTGGGTAATAAAGCATGTTAATGATAATTGTAAAATAGTAGAAGTAGTGACATAGATAGATTAGCGATAGTACTACCAGTGGCACTCAATGAGGAAGTAGCCATTATTATTGCTAAAAGTTGCATATAGATGGCGTGATTGGTATCGATGGAATTCTTCATAGTTTTGCAAACGTTTTAAAAAACAAAACTGTGTTTTCAAAAATGTTTAATCAATTTTTAAAAAACATATATACATGTTAAAATGAAATAATCTCTTTAGAAAAGTAATTTTTTATATTTACTCATTTTGTTATTTTCCATACTTAATTACACTTTAATCAGTGCTAATATGGGGCTATATATTCAAAATGTATATATAGATGGCATTGTATATTTGTATCGGCCTAATTAAATGTCTTTTTATATTTTCCATAATAAGCATAATATATTATGTTGTAAATTAAACATATAAAATTTTTTTAAGTAAATTAAAAATAGCTCGAACTTCTAAGTAATAATATTTCAATAATACTTATGTATGAAGTGTTGTCATATTATAAATAAATACATGTATTATCGATTTTTTTAATAATCGATAACAGATTTTATTATTATTATTGGATGATGCTTTTAATGAGTCGTTGTGAACAGTAAATTTTCATTATTTTGTATTATAGAGTTTCCGTTTCAAAGAACGGAATATAGTAGTACATTATTAGTGTCGTATTAATTTCATTTGTAATAAAAATCGATTACATAACAATTTAAAATACACGAATCTTATTTCTTCGAATAATAACTGGTAAGATTAAATTAGTATTTAAAAAAATAGAGATATCGATCCTATTCGAATACCATAACATTGATTTTCCATTCTATTTAATATCATTCAGTTTGTTTTAACTTACGTATGACTCTGTGGTATGATGTTTAACGTGTATAAACAAAGTAAATGTATGAACATTTCAAAAAAAAGTTATATTTTAATGTAGGTACATACATTTCTTTCATACATTTCATACATGTTAAAAATATCTTTAATGTAGGTACATACATTTCTTTCATACATTTCAAGTACATGTCATGTTATCTTTTAATGTAGGTACATAACACCCCATGTCAGACCCCTATTTGGAAGAAACTTAAAAATAATGCCAAAATATTAGATGAATATATTTTTAATACGAATATTGTTTTATATTTTTCATCAACTTTATCCCTGATTAACAATACTAGTAGTGTGTGTATAACCTGGTTTATCTCCGCTAAAGATAATTGAATGTTCCTATACGTAATAATGTTTTATATAGACAAATAGACAGACTGAGTTCTGCCGCATTTATAATATTTTTAAGAATATCGCTATTAAAAATAGGGGTTGGTGAAAGACGGGTGAAAATTTAGGCTGTATATATTTTCAATGTAACATATATCTAAAAAAAAAAGTCCATAATACAAAAAAATATTTTTTCGCAATCACTCTTAGGGGTATAAAAAATAGATAACAACCCTACCTCAGACCTGGCAAGTATATATATCAATTTTCATCATGGGAGAAATATGGCAACTAACACTGTGATACAAAATTTATATATTGTAATGACACAAGAAAAGTAGATATATATATAGATTTTAACTAATAATCGATTTGGCTCGTTGCTAAGCAAAATATCCCGGTAGCGGTTGGGTTCAATGCCAGCACTGTATATTCGTTGAATACCTGCAGCGCAATACTTAGGGTTACAACTTATTTTAATTATTTTTATGACGATCCAACAATATAAGATATAGCGGAATTCTCATTAGGTAAAAGAGGGGTACATCGTAGAATACATGAGGTATATACCAGTAAATTAATTGTAGCTAAAATCAGTCTCATATATATAACGATTGAAATAAAAAAACTTTTTTTTGATACGTACGAGTATAAACGTATCAAAATCATGGCTATACGTATAGCGCAGTTACAACATATCAAAAAAATAGGCATGGAATGTAAAATAAACCATAACATAATAATATATATACATTGGCACATAAGTTTATATCTGCAGAGTGTCGGCTTATACGATATTATACCACACATTTACATTGAATCTTGAATCGTTTTTATTGAGGTACACGATACAGTAATACATATCTATTATATACATATCTTTGCAAAACAGATATATATATATCTGAATTGACTGCCATCTATTTTCATGCTTTGTTACTAATATACTAGTAATCCGAACTGCTTCAGATCTAGCGACATCTAGCGGCTACGGTGGCGAAATAAAATATTTAAGAATATTAGGAAGGAACCATTTTCTTGTATGGGATGGGGTATCTGTATGTAATATTATGTTATCTGTGGTACTACCAAACAATTTTCTTTAATTTTCTTGCGTAAGTATATTGTATATATTTATATAAAATCCTTACTCATCTTGAATTATTTTCAGCATAAATATTATTACATATATATAATAGAATAAGAAGGATTTTTACTCATTTATTTTACTATATACTTATTATTAAATTAGATATGAGGAATGCAGATGGAATAGTAAACCAACCAGGGCTAACAGTAGATAATATTTACAGACACAAACAAAAATTAAAACTAAGTTAGCTCACAGAGGCCCTTTGATCATGTGTAATAAAATTTACAATCATATAGTTACAGTGATCACTATATTTTTTCTGTAATTTGTACATATACTATATAATTACTGCAGATTTTATATCTTTTACATTCTCCATTATAAGTTTAAAAAAGGTAAAAAAATATACCTTAACAAAGTAAAACCATATTTGGATTGTGTAAGTTAATTTAATATGATATTCCACTTAAATTACAATAAAAATTCAACCTCTCACTTTTATTTACGTTACTATTAAGTCAAGAATACCTAAAATTATTCTAAATTAGATTTTTTTTTACTAATTTAGGTATTGAGAGACAGACAAAATTAGACTGGACCAAAAGAATTACTTCAGCTTTCTTTTTTTGAACTTTTTATATTAAAAATAAATTAGTTTCATTTTTAAAAGATCACCATTTATTAGAATATTGATTTTGTTTGTTTGTTGCAAGTTAATAATTTATTTTCAGTGTAAAGTTGGTGAACCCCACCAGTTACTTGACATGTACAAATAAAAAAAGATATAATATAGTGAAGACATTAAAAAAAATATATAAAGCATAATAATCTATCTGTGCTTAGATTTGTAAAGTCATTGTGATATAAATGTTTATTTATATTTCGCAAACAACAATCAGCTGATTGGTGTTGTTGAAAAAAAGTATAGTTTTCTTGAAGATTTAAGACCAATGAAAAAATCTAAGGCCGTAATAAGCAAATTTACGTTATCTAATTCACACCAAGGATTCAAAAATATAGATGAATTGTTAAAAGAACGTATGCTAAAATGACCGACGTACGCCAAGAAAATCGATAACGCATCTTGCTTCTGAAAACGTTATATCTAAATACGCATTATGATTTTGTACAAATATCTGTAGTACTTAAGTATAATAGAAGGCAAGTTAAAAACAATAACGCGGAAGAAAACCATCTTTAAATATAGGTACCTTTCTCCTCCTTCCTTTGTAAACCATTGCAAAGGCCCCATGACCTATTATATCTTGTTTGGTGAATTCGTAGTCGCCTACTTGCGTTACTTCCATTTTCACTAATTTCCCTTTAACCACAGACATTTTTACAGTTTATTTATTTACAGTCTTTTTTTACAACAAAAGATCAATAATTTTAGAATACTGTATTGTATTGTGGAACTTGATTACGTGCTACATTATGATCACAGTTGGCTCATAATCACTTCCTATTCTCCGTAAATGACAATATTATTTTCACTGTATACACTTTATATCATCATTATTGTTTAACTAAACACCACACACAATGAATGAAAAATGTGTAAAAGTGATTCTATTTTGTGTTGATTTTGCGAGTGCGAAGTATAAAATAAAGTTGCCTGAACTTACATTGAACTACCATTTGGTAGTATTTAAATATAGAGCGAGCAGCCCAATTACAGTTAATAAAATGTATCCTGTATAAAAGAATTATAGTTAAAGAAAAAATATATATTAATTTTGATGTTATTGTACATTTATTTTAATTTATTTATAATAGCGCTCTTAATAAGATATTTCTTCCCTTGAGATCCTTCTTTTTTCCGTCAAATAAAATAAAAGGAAAACCATGCATATAACTATCTGTCTAGATATTTTAATACTCAATGAATAAATGTGATTTATTATATTTAATTATATTAACCTACCAAATATGTAACTAGTATATTAATTAATATTTTTTGAACAAACTGTAGTATACCTAGTTTGTGCGTGTTATAACATAGTAGCGCCACCTTTGCAGAGTTCGCATAAACTAAGTTCAAATATTGTTAATGATTACTTATTTTTGCGCGCCTATATTATACTCAATTCTAACTGCTATATATATATATTAATATAATTTAGTGATGATTGTTTAAGACATAGTACCTACCAGAAACCTATATCAGACACAAACATACTCAATCAAATTGATCTCACCAACAGGGTCATTCTGATGCAGGTATGAGTTTTTGCTTGTTAACAATGGTGTATTTATACGTAAGAATGTATATGCAATTTGTATATTCTTAGTCTCAATAATCCTTAGGTATTATTTATTGAAAAAAAAATTAATTAGTTTTATTTATACTGAGAATCATTAAATAAACAAGAATAATATTATGCTTTATTTCTATTTTATTACACTGGTAGATTACATAATAAGGAATCGCACGTAAAGTATCAATATACATATAGCCCGTCAACTTAAGTCTGCGGAGAATCTTCGGTGATTAGAGGCATTTTAGAGATTTATGTTTTCACTGCTACAATAGCGCCATCCGCATTAACAGAATTTGTAGTACAATATCGTTCACTAACTGAGGGGAGTAGTGGGCATGAAGTTGATGGACTATTCACTGGCGGCGCGGCGTTAGGCGTCGGCAACGTGGGCGACCGCCGACGGCCTCGCGCTTGAGGTTTTAATTATTTAAAATTTAGTTATTTATTTTCGAACAGTTGCACGAGTAAAGAGAGTGATTAGTACTTTAAATATATCCAAATATTTATATAAAAAAAATCATTTTCACAGTTCCCGTCAGTACAGCTTCTGCTGAGAGAAGCCTCTCAAAGTTAAAGTTGATTAAGACCTACTTGAGAAGCACGATGTAAGACTATCTGCATTATCAGTCTTGAGAGAGACTATCCCCGTTATCAGTTTCATAAATTGAAGCTGAAATAGCGGTTAGTGTTAGCTATGACATAATCCTGAAAAAGTTCCGCTAGACCAAAAGCCATAAGTTTGTCTATTTAAATTTCTGATTGTGTAATTTTTGTCATTGTTTGATTAGCAATAAAACTTGTTTACTCATACATTACTTTATCTATAATTCGCCTTATGTAATTTAAATTTTTTTTTAAAAGGAAAAAAGTGGCCTTGCGAACCCTAATTTTGGTGAGGTCCGCACATGTTCTAGCGGCACCACTGGGACTATTACTATTAAATAATATTAAAAGAATAATACAGAAATAAAGCAAGATATGTTACAATATTATAGTAGTTTCTATAATTGTGACTATCTTTTCTGGTCACCAAGATCTTCAATGCTGTCCTCATCGATCTGGAAATAAAAGAAGTATAATATACATATATATATAGTAGAAGTATAATATATATATTGTTGAGTAGAGATAATTCTCAAAATGTGGAAATATTTGTAGAATGTACATGTAGATTTATAATTAGGCTATAATTTTGTTAAACACATTGGCAGCACCTTTCACTTCTGATTTGATATCAATTTCTAAGTTGTTCTTTAACATAAATAAATTATAGAATAATGTATTGTTTAGTTTAAGAACTAACCTCAGGCCACTTCTCTGGTATAATATCAAAAAGGTCATCCTTCACATCACCTTGGATCACTATTTCATCATCCCCAGTTACTGATGAGCCACAAGCAAATTTTGTGCCAAAAAACTTAGCAGCCACTTTTAAATCAATATCTGAAAGACATTTCAATATATAATGTACTGATTTTGTGATGAAAAATTCATGAATAACCTTGCATTTATTATTTTTAATAGAAATAGAAATAATTTTATTCAATTAAACTCAATACAATCTCTTTTAAAGTCATATTTTTGATTCTACTGCTATTAGTAACGCAGATTCATCACAAGAAGAATGATCAAGAAACTTGTGTTACTCTTTTGGATAGATGTTTACACAGAAATAGATGTTAATGTTATTATTAGATTGATATCTCTTCAAATGTTCCAATATTTACTAATTATTTTACAGTAAGACATAATGGAAGCAGTTATTGTTATTAGGCCCTGATATGCAAGTAGAAGGTATAAAACATAGCAATGGGCTATTACCAAAAGTATTTAAACCAGATACTACAGTAACAGATTTCTTTTTTCCACGGGGCGCTCGTGACACTTGCACTAACTTAGGAACATCTTCTTTTTTCTTTGACTTCAGCATTCCCTTACCACCACGTTTTTGTCTCTTCTTTTCTTCTTCACCACCTGTGTTTTCTTCTTCATCTAGAAGTTTTAATGACAAGATTATTTAATTATGAAAATTTTGCAAGTTTGATATTTTTCGGTTGCCGATTATGTAGGTATAACCTAATTTATAAAAGAGTACTATCTTCTCTTACCTATTTTGACTTTTTCAAATTCCGTCGGTAGATTCTTTTCAAGCCATTGTTTGCATTTATCGTATTCCGGATAATATTCGCAATATTCTATAGGCATAGAACAATTTCCACAATATTGAACCCGTATAGGATAACTCACTCCTTCCCGGGGTCCCATGGAAAGATCTCTATCAGCCATTACTTAATATTTTTAATTGATTTTAATACAATTTCATAATAAAGAACAACATAAAATACAATATTAAAAATGAAATTTATTCAGGAAATCAAAAATTCCTAATTCCCGATAGTCAAGAGAAAACGCCGACATAATGACATAAATAAATGACAAGTAGACAAGTACAGTTTATAAATGTCAATGTCAATTGTTGACTGACATTTGGACTAATAACTGGACAGAATTTCTCCACCAAAGATTATACTATTCAAGAGCACGTTTTTTTTTAGTGATAGTAGTAAGTACAGAGTACAGAGATTAAGTAAGATAGTACAGTAATGATAATGGAATGGTACATCCGCCTGTGCCAATGGTTTACGCTGGCGGGGCACCAGTTGAGTATGATAGGATGAAATAGGGGAAGTGGGGCAGATTGGGACAAGGGGCACATTGATACACGTGTATTATTTCGTAAACGATTAAATGTATTCGAGTAGTGACAACTCTGAAACACGTCTTTAAACTTCTGAACGCGACCGTTGTGATTACGCTAACAGCCAGTCAACCGGTGGCTTTTAGCAGGAGAGAAAATGTTTCGAGCGCGGGTAACTAAAAAAATACGTGAGATTTAAAAGTGTTTTTACGATCTGCTGAGCCATCTTGTGATGATCAATGTATCCCAAAGGTAAGTTAGGGCATCAAATATTACTTTGCAGGTGTTTTACAATAATTAACTTAGTATCTTTAGTGAAACCTGCTTTTTATAAAAAATATTTTTGGGGAAGTTTGATACAGTACGGGGCACAATGATACGTATCAATGTTCCCCGTGACTTCAATAAAGTGTTAATTTCGTAAAAAAATTGTATTGTATTTTCAGAAAATGGTGCGAACATATAAATCAAATACTGAAAGACGTAGTACAGGTGAATACTCGATCAAGTGGGCTGTATCTAAAGTTATTTCAACGAGATTATCCGTACGGAAAGCAGATGACAAATATCTAACTGGAACTCTACAAAATCGTGTTGAAAAGTTTAGTTTTAGAATTTATGTTAACCTATTAGATTATTATATTTATTTTTTAATAAACGAGTCAAGTATAATTTGTTTTTTGTTTAGCGTTTTGAATAATGGTGATATTCTGAAGTATTAGTTTTGTTAAGAAACAAGTGTTTTTTTTTGTTAAAATGTAAAACTGATTGTAAATTAATTATTTCACAATAAATGTATTATTTTATATGAAAGTGTTATTATTTAAACCACATTCATACAAATTCCACTCTGTATCAAAGTGCCTCAATGCGTGTATCAAAGTGCCCCGTAGGTGGGGCAGAATGATGCAAAACTGTTTTTTTACTGAAATCAATATATCGTTATATCCAATATAATTAAGCGGGTATTTCGTACCAAAACATAAACCTGAATTGTTGACCAATGCACACGGCAAAAAAAAAGTTGAAATGTGATGTTTTTAGTATATTAAAAAAGGCTTTGAATTTTTGTGCATCAATCTGCCCCACTTCCCCCTACCTACTCCATTGAGCAAGGAGTCACAACTTTTTATTTCAATCTCTTATAAATTATAGACTTATATACATTCGCGACTGTTAACCTAGACGGGGTAGTCAGTCGCATTTTGCAGTTGTGAATGTAACACTTTCTTTATAACATAGGGGACAGACGATCTTGTGGCTCACCTGATGCTAGGTGATTACTATCGCCCATGAACACCCACAACATCAGGATAATTGTAAGTATGATAGAAAAGAGAAGCGAACGATAAGAAAAGAGCTTATTCCTTCTTAGTATCGTATAGGTTTTTTTTATGGATGATAATGGAATGGTTCACCCGCCTGCGCTAACAGTTTACGCTGGCGGGGCACTAATGGAGGATGATAAGATGAGCATGAGGTCAGGTCAGTTAGCCCATCATGACAAATTCACTAAGAATTTATCACGATGGTTTCAAGGGGGAACCGCGTGGAGGTCAACCTGACATGTTACATTGCTAGCAATGGGGTCATCAATCGACATTACTAACAATCCCTTTCTCTCCAATATCGTATCGGTTCGAAAATACTATTGCTGGAAAGTTATTCCACAATGTGGTTGTGCGTGTCAAAGAGTAGGTATATGAGAAAACGCATGGTCCATCCAGATGATCAGGATAGCGTTTTAGTTGCAGGCAGGGTATACCGACATAGTAATTAAATTCAGCAGTTGGTATTAATCCGAATAATTCCTCAGAACACTCTGTGATATATACAGCATAGAATAGCATACATATATGCAGTAGAAAATTCACAGTGATGCTTGGGTTTGGCTTAACACATTTAGCTATCACCCATTCACAATGCTTAACTACCAAAACAGGACGTAGCGCGACGCGTACTGCTTCATTATTTCCATAGGATTCGTCTATTTACGTGGATACATGAGATGCATAATAAATTTTTATGCTTCTTTTACGAAACTTCTTTTTTAATGTATTATGTAATTCAGCGTTCCCGCTGAATTACACCTTGCACCCGATGCATGATTCTACAGTATACATTTGTTTGTTAAACTTAGTTTAAGAAACATACAAACAAATGTATATCGGTAAAAATTATAACCTTCTATATTATTTCACCATATTCGGATAAAAATAATTTTGAAACCATCTAGGATCTACCTAGAAATTTTGCAGCGTTATCTTAGATAGCTATAGAACTTTGTAAATATTTTATCAAAGTTGTTTAAATACAAAAACCATCCTAAAAAGTTTCTGTCCTCCACCTTTTTATTTATTCTAGTCACAAGGGATATATTTTTAGGATTATAGGTGTTGCGAAGTTATTTTAATAACATATGCGGACAAAAAGGACGGATAAAAGTATAAAACACATTTTTTATATGTAAAGTATCAATTTAATGCAATATTTTAATAAAAAAACATATTGTAATATAGTTAGGTACATAACTTACTTAGGTAAATTTAGTAAATTGTTGGTGGACCTAATGTTACAGAAAAAAAAATGTTCAACGATATAAAATTAAAAAAAAACAATAACATTGGTCACAAGTATATTTCGTCCTATAAAAAGAAACTCTACAAATCCTGGACTCAATTATGTATTGATGTTAATGGGTTTATGATTTTACTAAACATCATTTGAAAGTTGCAGATGCGAGCTAAGTTTGCAATAGTGCAACATTTAATGGTTCGTATTATCTGTAAAATTGTAGCTTTTATTCGTTTCATAGAAAATATATCGTTAATAGCATTGTGAGGTACATAATTAAGGCCTCTGTTACATTTACATACAATCACAGGCCACATAATAGTATAAACGAGTTTAGGTAACATGAAAGAAAACCTTGTCGATTCTGAAAAGAAATATGTTGATATCATAACCGGTTCAATTTTGACGGAAATATTACAAATGACACAAATACATACCGTTGAATTCAGAACACCCTTCTTTTGAAAGTGGATGATCGCTCAGAAACAAGAAGCTTACAACGAAAATATGTATATATGCTACCTTTATTTAACTCTAGACTAGAAAGATTCCCGACTGAATTGGTTTGTCCTAAAAATAGGAACTAAAGTTCTAGTTAGTTATGAGCAAAGAGCATAACTAATTATATGTACGAGTAAGTATGCTCTTTTTAATTAATGAAGTTCGTAACAAAAACCTCCCAAATCTATGTATAGATCCTCACTTTTATAATATCGTTGTAAACTCCTAGTTAGAATTAAGTTCTATGTCACAGACTTACGTGAACATATAATATTTTTTCACTAATTTAAATTTACACCTAGATTTGTTCATGCCAAATCGTTGTTTGCTTAAAACTCTACTCATACTTTACTTTTACTTTGTGAATCATAATCGGCAGTTAATAATGGGTATAGATACATATATTCGACACCTAATGTATGGACATAATCTATATCACAATAATAATTGCATGAAACAATCCATGAGCAACAGGGGTTTTTAATATTTTCCTATTTATTTATAAATATAAATTAGATGGTATAAAATCTCATATAAGTACCTAGTCAGGTACTAATATGAAAGGTAAATCGTTTCGACATGTAGGTACCTACATTGTTTAGATTTTTTTAAGGAATTCGACTTCGATAAAGTATAGGTACTGCATCACAATATAAACTTTTTATATAAACAAGTACATATTTATTTTCGAATTTCAGAAGTAAAATTATTGACAATAGTATTTATAGTAGTATTGATTAGTTTATCATATCCATGTTATTATATATACCTATGTATTTAATTCATATATAGATACCTATATAGCAAGACTCAATACCTATGCAAATTTCAACAGACAACCAACTTAAATTTCATACTACCCTATATGCTACGAACACTACTTATTTATGAACAGCTTCTCAATCCAAAATTCCAATGCTGGTCGGATGGACGTTAGAGAAGACATAATTATATTTATGTCTTGATGCCTTGTGTATGTGCCATAGTATCATCATTGCCTTGCCTTTATCCCATTATTTGGGGTCGGCGCAGTATATCAGCCATAGTATATCACTTCAAATTCTGTAAAGTCTATAATAGTTTTCTTTATTCTAATTTGAAATAAAATTAAACAAGTGCTAATTACCAGATTACAATTATATGGGTATAGCGTCTATTACTATCTTTTAACCGTTTCTTATTTTGATAACAAACTAAAACGTGAGTATCAAAAATCTAAATTCATCAAATTTTTCTAAAGAGGTTTAGCATTTATATAGTTTATTTATAGTATAGGTAGGTACTTATCTAAAGTGAGTAGTGTAATGCTATGGTATAGTTACAATGCAGTCTAAATATTTTATACATCGATAATACTGTCATGTTTTTTGTCGGAAGCTTTGAGTTTCTCTTGCATTTGTGTTAACATATTCTGCATGCGTCGGATCTGAAAGTTAACAATAACTTTTTAGAATCAGGGAAATATAAACATAGTAGTTAATTACTCTAGTGTCTGTGAATAAGAAAAAAATAGTTTCAAATATAAGCATAATTACATCAGTCGGTTTTGTCTAGTAACCAATTTCGATTGACCGCGTTTGGAGTGTATCTTTTCGCACTTTTTTATCTGTAGTGCTATTCATGTATATAAACATGATTATCACCAGATAATACGTGGTAACCGTCGTCTATATACATGAATAGTACAGCTGTGATACCACTCATGCGTTGCCATTACAGAGTATTATGACGACATACCTACCTCTTATCCTGTAATTTCACCGCCTAATTGCATTCTACAAACGAAACACAGCTTAATATTTTTATACCTCTTGGTCAGTGAACGATCTAACCAATATTGCAATCATTTATTCCGTTTACATAGTCAAAATTACGATTCAAAAGAATAAGTCAAGAGTAAACTTGCTTACGTCGATTTTATTACCAAACAGATATTTAATTTGAAAGTAGAAAGATACTGGTACTGTGAAAGACCTCGTCTTAAATATTGCTGTTAGGTAGATGATACAAATACCTGTCTTAATATAAATTGCTTGCAATATGTTACTACCCTAAATCCTACTCCTATTTTTATCCACCAAATCTGGGGGTAGCATCAACAAAATGAGTAGATCAACATATTCTCCGATCAACGTTAAATATCAGCTGTTATGTACATCATCCAGTGAAATTCATCGTAGTGTTGTGCGTTTTTAAAGAAACGGCTACGCGTATAATAAGACTGAAAAAACCAGGTTGATAACACCTACTGAAAAAATTGATAAAATATTTATTCTTCTTTGCTAACAGACCCAGATTGAAACGTAGATTGTCATAATCGTTTTAAAACCAAATGAAAGGGGTTTTATTTTTTATTCTAACTATTTTTTTACTTCTGGTACAAACTGATATTAACTACTAATCTAATATAATTGTGTCTGCCTGCTTGTTAACTTTTCTTAAATGATCGAGCGAAAAATTACTCCACTAGGACGAACAAAGGTTAACTTTTATCTCAAAAAAATAAACTACGTTGCAGCTAGTAATATATTAAGGGCAAATGATGATCGCTAATAATATACCTCTTCATCCTTCTGCAGCAGCAATCGGTCGGTGTCAGTAAAAACTACTTCGTTGTTGTTGCCCATTGAATCCCTTTTCAGTTTTCTGTGAATCAAAATGTCATTGTTTATCGTAACTAAAATAAATATAACTGCAATGGAGAAAAAATCCAAATTTTGTATACCTATATACTTTTTTTATATAAACATTGTTTAACGTTATTAGAAACACATATTGCCAGAGTAAACCATAAATGGAGGCAAGTGTATAAACAATTTTTAACATTATGTATAAAGGGAACCAAGTGAATGTATGCTATATATACAGCACTTCTCATTTGAATTCTGTACAATATATTCGACAAATAATATATAATGAAGTATATACCCTCTTTCCCTCATTGCGTGTTGAGATATCTGCGAGATACACTGCGCGCGGAAATTCTCGTAGTGCACATCTTGAGTGACATCTTTCAGGTCTTGCATGTGCGTCGATATCAACATTGTTCGCAATTTTGTGAAATCTGAGTGACGTGGATTCTCAACTGTTAATAAAGAATATCAATTACTTGACTGGATATATATATTTCTGTTACATTTAGATAGTTTATGCAGGTCATATTTAACCTCAACTAAGGAGTACTCCTTAGTTGAGGTACAGTTGGGTATACACCCAACTATACCTCAGTTATAGGTACTCTTTATTATAAGAATAATAAGCCTATTACAAATTAACTGTTTTGTGACTGGAGTACAAAATTTTAATATTTGATGTTTTAACTGTGATTTCGATGACTGACTAATATGATGTAATATTAGGTAATTAAGTAGTTATATAGGAGAAATAATATCTCATTGCGTAGGTAGGCATTTAATGATAGATACATAATATAAGAAGTCAATGAATAATTAAAACTTGATATCACGAAGATTATTTCCTAAACTAAATAGAACTAGAAATTCTAATTCTAATTTTAAAACCTAGAACGGCTCTAAAATTAGAATTAGAATTTCTACACATCTGTCTGAGCAAATAAACAGACCTGTGTACTACAGTACCTACATAGGTACCTATATAGGTATAGTTACAAGGAAGATATGATTTAGAGACAGAATTGAAAAAATAACATCCATTATCCACCTCATTACAAATCTCTTTAGGTACATCCATACTCAGGAATGTAAAATAACAAAAAGACAATTATTGAGGCTGTCGTATCTAAAGTAATTGATTATGTGATTTTGGGTTTGTCCATATTACGTAATTAAATTTATTTATGACTATAAAATTACCGACCGTCCACGATCCCCCAAGGGTACTGGCGCCCCCGGACTCTCTTCCCGCCCACCTCCAGTACCGTGTCAGCCGCTACCACTGCGAAGGGCGCTGCAGCTTTCAACTCGCGGTCTTGTTGTTTGAATTCCTCATCTTCGTCACTATCACATTCGGGAAATTGGTACACCTGTCAATAAAATAACATTAAATAACATTTCATTATATCAGGTTCTTGGACTACAAGACTACCTGGCGTTGGCGTTGATATGTCAGGCGTTGACATGTCCATTATAACGTGATCAGGTAGGTATACGATACAGTTACATATCTATTATATCCCTATCTTTGCAAAATATCTGTCAAGTAGACCGAATTGCATGCCATTTATTTTCATGATTTATTACTAAGACTAAGCACCCACTAGTAATCCGAACTGTATAGGTCTAGCGACATCTGGCGCCTATGGCAGCGAAAGAAATAGCCTGAAGCATAGCCCGAGTTGGGAAGGAACCATTTTCTTGTAGGGTTGTTGTGAGGTCTATATATATATATATATATATATATATATACTTTTGTTTTTATTCGCCTTCGTTGACAGAAACGAGCTCACTTAGTTTAAATGTAAATTCGTTATGAATTATTACGATAATTTCCAAGGAAATCTGCGTGTTGCTAACAATGGGGTAACAGTCTCAGAAACTAAAATATTTGCCTGTATCTGATAGTCCTCCAGATCAGTAAGTATGCGCGTTTTAAGCCTCTTGATTTCGCCGGCAGTAAGTGAGTCTGCCTTTGCAATTACCACAACGATGTTCACTTTCCGATGCAGTCGCTTCATCATCTCCAGATCCACTTGTCGTATACTGTTAATGAAATGGCGAACATTATTAATTTATAGAAATTAGTTATTACTCCTATACTTACTTTCGCGTTAGGTTAAACGTTTATCACATATTACAATTTACGTAATTTAATAACAGTTTTTAAAGATAGTCAAATGAATAAATAATGTGAGAACTCGTAAATCCTTTGTCCTTACGTATTCTAGAACAATCTCTCTATTTAGTTTATGGAATAATATATAGATAATGTTGGTATTCTCTTATAAAAATAATACCTGCATTCATATGTCTTTTAGAAACTCATTGTTAATGTAAATTAATTTGAAATCATTTGTTTGGTCTTTTTTGAAATAATAAACATTGTGGACATCGCTGTGCGAGACGACTCTGTTTATAGATTTCTTTAAAAGATGCTAGGTAGCCATTGTAGTATCGAATTTTACTGTTTCGCCTTGACATAATATAGATATACCACGTACATTACTCTAGATCAATAAACGAGTATGTTTTTATTGGTCTATATTACACCTGATAAATTAAATCTCGCTCTATTTAGTAATATAGCACAAACACGTACCTATTTGTAGGATACTAACAACTATAAATACTGTATATAAATTAGTACGTATTATAAGAGTCCGACACAAGTACATTTGTCATCCAATAATTTTTCGTTCATTCATGATAATTTGAAGTAAGTACTTATGAGTAGTGTAGTCACATAGGAAGCATTATGAGTTACCGAGAATAAGAATAACTATTGTTTATATTAAATCAACTAATTTATCATAAACCAACCTCTTAGTATAAATAGTACCTAAGTAAGATAAAAAATAAGTAGTTCAATAGTGAAAAGGGGTTTATAGAAAGGATGTTTCCCTTATGAAATACCGGGGGTATTTATTTTTTTAATGGGTTATTTGTTCTATAGGTGTACATTGATTAATTATGAAGGAACGCCTGCAAGTAATTCACATGGTGACACGTGTACTTTCGCAAGAGTTACTCACTGCATATGTTATCAGTGCGGCCGTGACCATTTATTAACTCAACTACTCATCTGACTGAACACACGTAACTATCATGTATCTTAGTAACCTATGTATCTACCTACTAGTACCAATAGTTATTGGATATCATAGTCTGCAAACAAACTTCCTCGTTAAAATATTCTAGAATAAATTGACAATTTTGTATATAAACAGTGAAGACAACTGATAGAATCTAAATACATGTCGTTTTTATAAATATTTAGTTACATCTTAAGTCCAAACTATTACAAACACTAAGAATACCTAATTAATTAAAATATAGCAAAAATTAAATAAATACTTTTTAACTGCCTGTGTCGACGGTATACTATTGGTGTTGATCACCGGAAGAATCTGAATAACTAGGAAGGATAATAGGATGAAGGCAATTTGTTCATCCTTACGATTTCGTCAAAAAATAACTACGATGGATTCTCAGCCGGATCGTGAAGAGATCTACTATTATTTTGAAGTGAACAGTTATATAGTTAAATTTATTTTATTCACCTTTAACCTTGAAAGAAAAAAAGAAAAAAGTTGCCATAGTGTATATAATTTGTGTACCCACCTGTGTGCCCAGGGCGGTACAAAATACAAACAACAATGTACACGGTTGTCCTGCATGTGTCGCCGGTTTAATCCGCTTTCGTCAGTGAAATATTGTCGGAACTGTTCATCAATGTAGGCCGAGCAAACTCTCCACGAGTCCTCACAGTTAATAGCATCTCCAAATCCAGGTGTATCCACTATAGTTAAACGAAGTTTCACTCCACGCTCTTCTATTTCCATAGTTTTCTTTTCAATTGTTGTGGTCTTTTCTATTCTATCTGCAATGGTATTGAAATAATACGTATAGTAACTTAAATATATTTTCTGAGTAAATAAATAACTGATATTATTTCTTTATATCAAGAAAACCAATGGAAACCGAAATAAATGAAGTAACGAAATAGTAATTGTAACAAATACATATAGGAAAACTAAGTCATGCTTTTCGTGTTGCAAAAAGTTGGTTTAATAATTAAGAAAGATTATAATTATATATTTCGGTTCTTCTAACTATTTTATATGTCTATAAATTGGGGGTTTAATTTAAATGATTTAAAAATAAACGAAATTTTATTGGCATTATTTTAATTTTGGCAAAGGGAAACATGATAGTTCTAAGAAATAAATCATCATTTTATCGTTTTTACTTGTTTAATAGTATTTATTATAAATATACCCAATGGGTGTTTGGAAAAGAATTGAAGAAAGACACTTATCTAAGTAGTTTCGCAGGTAAAACTTAAGGGAATTCTGTACAAACCTATTACCTTGTACGTCAGACATTTTGCGATTCTTGTAGAGATCCCCTAAAAAGAGACTGTTGATGAGCGTCGATTTGCCGAGACCAGATTCTCCCACCACCATCAGCGTGAAATCGAACCCTCGCTTAACTGACTTCCGGTGTACTTGCTCAGGCAGTGTAGCAAACCCAATGTAATCCCGCTCACCGCGGTCCCGTTCTGTAAAAAAATAAATTTTATTTCTATGTGCATTAACAAAATCTATACTTAAGTGTTTTAAGATTGACAACCCTTGTTTGTATTCACTCTGTAAACAACCCTACTTTGCGTCACCCTTCACACCTTACCTACACTTCATATGGAATATGACAAGTATATTTTTCTTTCCTCAGAATAAGATCTTCCAATGGTGGACCGCCAGGATAACGTTAAGAGTATCGGAAGCACAATTTCTATTCATCCATGTACGTTTACTATTTATCGATTCTATTGCTAGCAATGTAGGTACTCTGTTAGTTGTCAACTTCAACCAGTTCTCCTTTGGAAAACATTACGATTAATTCATGGTGAATTTACTGCTGACCAAAATAACCAGGCTTTTGTATTGTAACTATATTACAAACAATTCTCATATGAAATGGACTAAAATCTACTATCTTGCAATTTAGGTACTGGTAGGTATATTCTACTCTCAAATGGATCTCTGCAAATACATAAATTTTAATCCGTTACTTAGTTTTTTATAGTTTATTAGTGCAGACTGGAAATACTTCATTTTCAATAATAAAAAACATATTAATCTTGTAACACTTTAATTTTATGATTACAAGATTAATAACGCGGAAAAGCTATCGGCTTGCTAGTGAAAATGGAAGATTCAAAAATTAAATGTGCAATATACCTTCAGACTATATCCACATTACCTATAATTTTTATTGCTTTAAGATTTAATGGGTGTAACGTATAACATCGTTGTATGAATTCAGGCATCGATTCTGATGTCATATTTATGAAGAAATAAGTTAAGCATAAACTTTATTCTTTTTTTTTTAATAAAAATAAATTGTTACCAAACGCCCATTAAATAAAAATATTAATAATTATGGCATGAGTTATTTATTCGTGCAATAAATAACTGAACAAACTTGTATAATATCATAAATATCGAATAACTACTCATAATGAGTTTCCTGTGGATATGAAACGCTTGCAATATGTAACAAAAAGTAATTATTAAATTTACGGATACGCATCCATTCAAGCAAGAACTGGATGGATAAAATTGTTTTAATCAGCCTATGCGGATGTGCTGTGTTAAACCCGGTCAAGAGTCTATTGGAGGCGGGCACAGACATAACAATATGTTATTTTAGGTACCGATCTGCATTACATGTATTTTTCAGAGCGTTTTTTCAACTTATTATCTAATGTCTGTAAATAAAGGGTGTAAGGAAAGAAAGGAAGAAAAGGAAGTTTAAGATTTATGGAAAAAATCGCTCATATGCTATGGTTTATGTATTACATGGTAAGTTATGGAATATAAACTGTACAAACTATATGTCGTCGTATGTCCTGAGTCATATTAATGTTATTTTGCATGGAAGGTAATAAATAAACTGTAGTTTTTAATGGCCACTATTTATATATATTCAAGTATAGCATTAAAAAATATTTAAAGTAAATAAAGTATTGGCCGTCGCGTTGTATAGCTACATCAGCATAGATACAGGGCATTGCAACACGACCAGCGGCGTGGAACATGACAGGTTCCCTTGGTACCTGATGCTCAGGGACGACGACGGCAGCGCGTGCGCACCTAATATTGAGGGCGCCTAGCGGAAGTAGTGGGACGTGTACGCAACTTGACCACATTCAATATAATTCTATTGACATCTAGCGGCACAGAGGCCCCTTTCGATAGAACTAAAAATTAATCTCTACTACTAACTAATGCGATATAGACCCCGAATTTGCATTAGTATAACTTTTCTGTACCTACACATAATATTTTTTTATCAATTGGTATATTTTTTTATTGAGATTTTTAGGCAATTTATAGGTGTTTTAAACCTGTAGAAAGCAGAGGTTTTTGCCAAGGCCCATCAAGAATTGAAAAATATTATTAGGAACGATCCATTATGTCTCTTTAGGATAGAGTGTATACATGCTAAAGGCGATATTTCATTTATGCACATATGACGTGTAGTGGTTCCTCTTCAACTTGGCATAATCTGCAAATCTGTGTTAAGTACAAATTTAAGTTTGCCAAGTGTTTACTTGCGGTGACGCTGAATTTTTAGCTTACAATTATACATTAGTGAAAACCGTACCCAAATCAAGTAAGCTGGTTTTGAGATTACCGAGTACAAACGCACAGACAAAAATATTAATCAATTACTTTGGTTTGTAGTTATATTATATGTATATATATTAGGTATATCATATGTAAGACTTGTGATTCAATTATAAATTTGGAAGATAATGAAGTTTTTTAATTTAGCTCATTTTTAGTTTTTCCGGCTAATAAATATTAGGACATACATCTAATATTAATTTTGCCAGTATGTTGGTACTCTATATATCCTAGCTTGATATTCGGACAATTGGTACCGGTACCATATCTTATCTGTGACTGGTACCTACCATTATGTGGATTGAATGATGGTCTGTTTGAATCCAGTTTATTCTTTTATTCTGAATTCAATTCTGCATTCTCATTTGAGAAAATAAATGGAATTTTAATATTCGATCGATAATTTTTATCATTACTACAAACACAGATAACATAATATTACATACTACAAAATTGTTTAAGCATATTTACAAACTCGTGAGATCTAGGCGTTTCGTACAATCAATACATTACAATAACTGTAACAATCATAATGATTAATCAATTTACTTTTTCCAACGTCTCTAAAGCGAATGTAAACAAAAAAACACTATTGTTGTGATAGCAAGTGGAGTATCAATTGAATGGCATTGTGTTCATAAATTTCTTGGTCATGTCAATAAAGATTCAGAAATCAACATAGGTGTAAGTACTTTTTAGGGATGATAATATAATGGTACACTCGCTTGCCCATCCTAGCAAATTAAGCAGGAATTTAACAGGCTGGTTTAAGTGACAATATTATTTCTAACATATATTTTTTTTAAACTTATTATTATATGTAATTTTGCGTTTCCTTCCCCCGGGGGAGAGGGGGAGAGGGGGGGGGGTGTAATAAGGGTAGTAATTGTATTAATTTAAACATGATTGCCATCTCCAAATTGTATAATATATATAGCTATCGTTAAAAATCTCAAGAACATAGTTTGGAATATCAATAGGGAACGATTTCTTTCGTTATTTATTTATTTCTTTCTTTCTTCCTTCTTTGTCTGCTACCGTTTCAATGCCAAGTAGCTATGTATCAAATAAATGTGTCATTAGACCCTTAATATTTTGAAGTGGCTCATATTAGGTGTGATAGCTCTCTTAGATAACTATTATAACTAATCATGATCTAGAAAAATTCTAAGGTATTCTAGAAATCCTAGATAACACACAGAATACCAAAGGTATTATATAAAGGCAATATATATTATTTCGATCACTCAAATGGCTGATCTCTATTATTACTTAAATATGTACTTTAAAGTTACAAAAGCGAACCTGCTTTTTATTATGAGACTATCCCACGTTATAACATTACGTTACGTATTAGACTAATTAATTTCTATTGGTATTGATACCTACTTGCTATTTATAAAATGAATTGTATTTCAATATGAGTAAAAATAAAAATACAGATTATCGTACAATACTTAATTTTGACTTGTTGAATTACTATAATACAATCGGCGAAGTTTAGTACAGATGGGATGAGAAACTTTATTAGTTACTTATAATAAAATTCTGTAGATCGGTCATCATCGGATCGGTAAAATTCGGTATATCTAATTCAGATATTTAAATCAAGGAAATAAAATACTTACGGATCTTTATAACCGTCGTAAAGGGAGACGTCTGTTTTGTACAGTCGTCTCCGATAACTTCACTATGTGGATTCATATTATTATTGTTTTTATTATCTATGTCAATATTTAAAATAGCAAATGAGTCACTCTTTTCCATATCGGCTTAACGCGAAGGATCGGTTTAAAAATCTATGTTTACACAGTTTTATATAATACGTAGTAACTAATAGTTATAATGTTTTTTTTTTGTTCAAATAATACTGGTGTAGAGAACGACAATAGCGCGGGAATATCCGTTATGCACGGAAGAATTCCATTGTAAGATGTATTTGTGACAGTAGTATTTTGTATAAGTACGTATTAGGCTGTAGAATACGTGAGTTGGTGTCGCGGAAGATATGACGGTGTTGGCATGGCGGTACGCGGCGCGTGCATATCCGACTAAACGCTCTACCTTCACTGCGCAACACTGCGCGTACGTTCGAACTGTGCGCCAGGCACACACTGACTTGAAGAAGCAAGGTTAAACATCATTAGTGTTAATTTACGTTACCTATTAACACCTTCTATATGACCAAATTCAATTGAAGTATATCGATGCAAGAAAAGTAAGAATAAAAACCGACACCTTACTAAATATATATAATAGCAAAGTTCGAGAAAACAACAGGGAAACTGTTTACAATGCGTTGTGTTCACAATGTAGCGTGGAAATGAGACCCCGTGCAATAAACACTTGTATTGTACAAAAGCTTACAACTTTTTAACCAGAACTCATACTTCCACTTTTTGTTAAATTTAAATTACCGCTTGGACTTTTTACATTTATAGTCAAATAATGTAAGCAGACAGTAATCCTCGTTCCTTCCATGAGATAAAGGACATTAGGTTAATTAAAAATTATATCTCTGAAAAAATATTCTTGACTGTAAATATATCTATAGATTTTTAATGACATTGTATATTAGAGTTCTGGAGAGTTTCAGCCTCTATTTTTTAAAAGGTGCTGAACAGTAACGCTACTACCGTAAGTACTAAGACTTTAGAATTACAATAGTGTATTCTATACCATTCAGAATGAAATTGCTGGCTCTCTGTTCTCATTGTAGTAAATCTCTAACACGCTACTTACCAATTTGCTTTGGCACATGTGATTCTATGTATTATTGCAGTAAGGAATATTAGATAGTATTGCTGAACCTTGTTAAGTTGTTAAGAGCAATGCGTTTTAAATTTTCTGCTAATCAGCCAGTATTAAAATGAATTTCTAAATAACTTTACGAGTCTTAACTGTTTTACGAAAATGGTACTTATATATGTGAATGTCTATTGATTGCATTCTGTTTAAAAATTAACATTATTTGGTTAGCGATAAGAAGCTAAACATCTATATTGGATTTATGTTATATTATATTATTAGGTACTATATTAATATATTTGTCAGATTAGACGCTTTGCAGACGAAGCAGAGCGACAATCGCGTGCCGTCGCGTCTTGCGACCGAACGCGGTTTAACAGTGGTGCGGAATACTGGTTGGGTGTTTGTTTTTTTTATTATTTCTAATTTATAATATATATAATGAGATTCTTAATATCGATCGATTGTATTATTTTTACACAAATACCATTAAATTAATTTATACTTATAACATCTATTGCAATTTATTAGAACTACTAAATAAGTCTTTCTTCTGCTACTATTAATTACAGACAGTCAAGATTGGTTTTTATAACTCTCAAGAAGTGGAGCGGCATGGCAGCAAACGCGGCGTAGTGCGGATGAGAACCGCGCAGTGTGTGAAGCTCCTTACATTCATCATTTCTTGTCCAATTGAGAAATGCTGTGAGTTCGCGTCGCCAAGTTCTCATCCGGTGACGCAACACAGATCTCTATTATCATCTCGGCATTGTTGTATTGTGTACTATTTACTTGTATGAGTGTCAGTTTGCTTATAATACAATAGACAGGTAGGTACCTACGTTAGATGTGAGTTATTAAAGAAATTATTGCGGACTAAGCTCGAGAATTCGTACTTGTATTAGCGTTGTATTCGAAGTAGGTACCAATACTTTATATATTTTTTATTTTCTAATTAACACAAAATATTATGTGAAGCCTACCACAATACATTGGTGAAAAAAGGCACATAAATCGGTTCAGCCGTTTCTAAAATTAGCACGTATAAACGCACAGATAAACAGATAAATTGGATTCTACATACTATTGTCTTTATAGAAGTTCATTGCTAGTAATATGATAACAACTCTGATAGGTCGACGTCCACGTAGTCCCTCTGTAAATGGTCTCCGGTAAATTCTGACGAATTCCACAGTGGGCTAATTGACCTAAATTCATACTCATAATTTCATCTACTCTACACTGATACATTACCAATGTAAGTATATTTACTTTGGAAACACAATTCTATTATCAGAAACATTATTCCGCATATGACCGCGGATTGTTAGTACTAAAATATTATCTTAGCTCTGGTACTAATATAACTAATAGCGTATACAATTATTAGCACATTGCAAGCTAAGGAACCAAGTCGCTTTATTGAATTATAAGGGGGATGAATTATGTAACTCTCAATTATTTAAAATATGTACTTTTGTGATTAAATACGAATTACCATCATTATCAACAGTTGCAATTGCGAAGTGGACAGCTTAGCTTTCAGATAACTATATCTCCCAAATTGACTATATAGAAACACGTTATGTAATACAATTATGTAAGAAAAATAAATATTAATAGAATTCTGGCTGTATATGAGTTAACACGACAGGTAACAACAACTCTACAACATTGTCCGCAAAAAACAAAAACGTCTATGTTTGGTTACATTAAGTTAATCGGTCACTGGCGATTACTTACTCTTAGGTATGATTATCGATTATGAGCCATTTATTGTGGACCATAGGGGTGTGGTCTTTGCTATTTGGGTACCGGGTACCTTTGTTGATATAGGTAGTCGCTGTAGAAAATGGATAATATAATCACATAAAAAAACATTAATATTATCGATTATGCTGTTTGCGTAGAAGTGCATTGTACTTACCCATCGTCATTTTCGTAGAAAATATAGGCTTCTTCCAATACAAAGAGAGCAAGCAAAATACAAATCCGTGAAAATTTTTATCAAATTTTCATATTGCTTTTCGTTTATTTTGTATTAATAAATATATTGTTCCTAACATTTCAAAATAAAAATTCTTTCTTATAAAAATGTTTAAAAATTTACAAAACCGATCGATCGATTTTCACAGTATCTGCTCACTGATAATATATAAATCCGTTTAATTCACCATTATGTCGAATTAAGTCTCGTTTATCACATTATGGGCCATTTTAAAATAAGTTTATAAAAGTTATTCACCGAAATATCACTGTAGCTACGAATAAATATCGACATTATTCCCTACTCTACACATCTAAAAAGAGTGCGAAATAATAAAAGTCGCGCGACACCTAAAATAATATCACGATTCTAATCCTAAAAATTGTATAATTAAAAAGAGTAGAAAAATCGAAGAAAAATAAAATCACATTGTTTGTGCGCCGTCCTGTGCGTGTTGAGTTACGTAATGTGAGGGTCCCGGGCAAGCTCGCGCCCTCCTCAGAGGCCGTCCCCCTTTACCCCTGCCGTACCCTGCGCATACCCGCGCACGACTCGATGCCTTGCGCGGGAAAACTGTCTGCCCCTCTTGAGTACCATGATTCGTCGCGGAACAAGGACGCCGGAAAGGTATTGCAATCGATAATACGCTTGCCAGTTAGAGCGTCTGCGCGGCGTTCTATCAACCCCCGCACGTAGATACTACCTACTGGTACTATAGTTTATTTTCATATACTACGTCGCTATACTACACGACAGCTATAGTAACATTATCCGTGCTTGTCCCAGTAAGACTCAAGGTCGTTGGTGATCAACTAATGGCGTATACCAAATCATTATAATATTTCATTTTATACATTTATCCCGAGAACGAAGGTTGTTCCGAGAACGTACCTGAATGATTCTACCTAGTAGAATAATAGGTATAATAAAATTAAAAGAACTTATTTGGAAGTTATTTTTAGGAGCTCTTGGTATATAGAAGAACAACATTCTTTCTAATCACTAAGCTCTAGTGTGTTATTTATTGGTGTGTAACCTTCCATATTAAATTTTACTAAATTTCTCTACAAAACTTCTTAGATTGACCCTCCACCTAAACCTAAACTATACAGTACCAGTTTTTAACTTCTTAAAATTAAAATCATTTTTTATAGTATTATGTTTTATAGAAAAGTATTTTGTCATCAACGTAAATCCTAATATTACTAATTCGACCCTACAATGTTTCGTAAACAATACACATGATTGAAATTAATATTTGATAAAGTATTACCTAATTTAATATTCCATGCCAGCCACATAGCGTTTGTTTAAGACCTTGAAGCGACTTATGTAATCTTCATACCTTTTTCTCACTGTTTTGAACGAAAACTTAAGGTTGTTCCTACCTATACCCATACCTCCTCCACATGGTCTCCGTTTAGAAGAGCGTTATTAACACATCATAAACAATTACCAAAACCAATAAAAAACTTTTTTTTTTAAAACAGAGTCTATTTTTCTTAGCTTTCACAATATTTAGCAAATAATTTTGCTATGTACTACGTGACTATGTTTCTAATTTAGATAATATTGTAGGTAAAAATCTTGCGACAAAACTATTTTTATTGCCGTTTCTGATCATCTTATTATTATTAATATTATAAATGCAAAAGTTTGTGAGCATGGACGGATGTTTGTTACTATTTCTTGAGGATGTTTGAAACTTTATGGTACTCATCCGAATAACATATAGGCTATAAATTTGGTTTAGGGTCAAACCGCGCGCACAGCTATTTAATTCAATTTTATAAAAATATCTGTTATATGTCGATGGTTTACGAACATGAAATAATTCTATATTATTAATTAGCATTATTTTATGTACTCGTAAAATTTGTATAATTTCTTCAGATGCAAAAACTAAGGTACTTAATTTTTCATGCTACATTTAATTTTAGTTAAATGTGAATGTGAAATGTGAATGAATGGGAATAAATATAGGTTGTATTACAGACAGCATCCAGTTAGGGGCATGGGTTTGTAAATTATGGGACCAATAATCTCTATATATTGGGTCTATAGCTATCATTTGACTATCTAGTCGGCCTCCGCGTTGTCTACCTGGAAATAGAACATAGATAGCGGTCAATAACTAACTAGCTGACCTGATTTTATACTCATCTTTCTTTACAGATGCCTCGCCAGTTACAGCATTAGCACAGAGAGATCATCATTCTATCACCATCAACAAAACTACTATCTTGTACTTGTACGTACTGTACGCAAAAGTCATGTTCATTCATTCAGTTTTTTTCTAAGATATACCTCCATCTACGTAAATTAATAGATACGCACGAATGATGACAACATACCGTGCTGTCGCGCCTCAGATTCAATGAAATTCAGGAATTTGTAGTAAATATCTGATCTACTGGTCTACTCTACTGATGATTTCTTTTGTTTTATGGTTGGAATAATATATAGAACTATTTTTTTTTTAATTAAACTTAGTTTTTCTTTAATGTTTACTCTATTACAGTAATTACTGTCTAAAGTATACAGTGCTAATACTATATACTAGTACGTACATTTGTGAGTAATAAGACGAATATGAGTGACATACTCGTACACTACATAGGTACTAAGTATGTGGAAAATATTTGTTTAGAATAATATTAAATATTTTATTTATATTATTAAATTATTATGGATTAATAAATATTACATTTGATTATTTATTTAACTTCAATGCACAACAATGATGTGGCGACTTATCACCTTGCAGCGTTATCTACCAGTCATTTATATTAAGTATTAGTTATAATTACTCTAATAGTAATAAATATATAATTATTAAATATGAATTTAATCGACATTTATTGTGTATAAAAATCCCTAAAGGTTATTTTTTTACTTTTTGTTTCGAGCTCCCAGGCAGCAAAGAACATGACATGTACAGTTTACAGTTTTCTAATAATAGGACTCTTTAGAGAAATCTGCAGTCTGCTGAATCAGCATAGGGCAAAATGATGCCATCACAAAAGTGTGAAGGGAGAATATATGATATATGGAGAAAAGTTATTAATTTAATAGATCACATTCTTAACATTATTCGGTTTTAGTATTTTTTATATAATTAATTTGAGTAATTAAAAATAGGTAATAAGCATGGCGATAAGTACTAGAATATAAATAATTTGTAGGAAATATTTCCGCATTCCCGCGAGAAATCATAAAGTTTTTAACCTAGAAAGTCCCCTAGTTTATGCACCACTAAATTGACTAAAAATATGAATATGGAATATATATGGAACTCTTGGGATAATATATAAATGGCTCGCAGAATCAGATGACAAGTAAATTATGTAATCGAACAGATATATAATTTGGTATATTTTAAGCATTTTGTAAAACTAGTAATAGTTACGGTGCATGGCCATGACTGAAGTTCCTGTGAATATGTAATTACTATATACAAATATTTTAAACAATTATGTAGTTAGCGAATGTTTAATACTGTTCAATTATAAAACTCTGTGCTAAAACCTCGTTTATGTATGTTGTAATAGCAAATTAACTTAGAATCTACCTAGTACATGAACAGTACCACTACCTACTCATGTTTTCACTCTCATGGAGGACGAAAATGTCATGCCTCCGTGCTATGTAATTTCACTGTCTTATCTCAGCCGAAACTCATCTTCAAACACAAAGAAATAGGCGTGGCGGTTAAAATAGGTGAGGCAGAGGACACAGACAATTTTGTACAGTCTTTGTTTCGAGGTACGTTATGAAGTTATATTACGAAAATGGTACACAAATACCACATACATGCACAGATATCTACAGTGTCCCTGACTTATTATTAGATTATCGGACAATTACTATAGGGGAGTTTTACTTTACATTACCAACCCCTACAATAACGTGATGAAATTCAGAATTATTATTGCAGTACAATCTAATAACTTTAAAGGAAATTTTCTCAAGTCTAAGTTATAATATAAATAGGTCAGTTATTTTGTATTAAATATTTTATGACAAATTCACAACAATGATCATTGCATGTAGTGTTACTACATGAAATTATCATTGTTGTGAATTTGTGAACTGATATTGATGTTGAACTGATGACATGTTAGCCTTGTCCAAATCAATTGTATAGATAGGTAATTAAACACTGTATACCTACCGACGTAGACATATACCGTAAAATAGCAAGATGTGTCTATAGTAGTCTTATTTGTGTGTATGTCGGTATAATAAAGTGATAATTGAAGAAAGTTCAGCAAAATATCATTATATACTTTAATAATTTTTACAATTCCAATTTATAGACTTTTAATAATTGATTACAAAACTTTACTAAATGAAGAGTGAATTCAAACAAAAAAATCCTTCATTAGATTAGTTACTCTGTTGTATCTTAGTACCTACTAGTTAATCGATTACTGTTATGATCATATGATGTCTATTACCTACATCCTGCTACATATAATGATTTTAATAAATGGTTAAATCATCTTTGCCCAGGAAGACCTTTTACATGCATGGATACTTCTGTCTCGCCTATTTTTACTGTAAACAACTATAATAGATTTGAAAGTTGTTCCGATTTGGAGGATAATCCTGAATGTAATAGAACCTTAGGAGCACCGAGGGCGTCATTCCACAAATTAATGTCCGTGGTCCTGGTAGTCATCTATAGGTTTCATCATCATTTCCTCATTTACCATTGCAGTTACCTAAATAACTAAAATTTGAGAGTCATTCAGAAAAAATAAATTAATGCAAGTTGTATATTCAAATCATGTGGTAATTTTCTGTATTTTTAAACAACAAGAAATTTTACATTTTTGCCATAATTTTTCTCTGATTACAGTGAGATGAATAGATGTGACTTGATGTTGTATCGGGTTTAGCTTGAGAAACTCTAGCTACGGGAAAAGTGTCAGATGAGCCGAAAGGCGGGAATCCTACGTCACTGCATAAGCCCGATAGAATTATTTGGTTGGAATAACGCTTTTATCCCTCTTAGTTCAGAGTATAAATTGAATTTGTATATTTTATTCTCGATTATATTTTGAGTTTAAAGCGAAGCAGGCCTTGTCCCTTGGCGTTAAAGTTTGTTTTGATATTGAGGGTATGAGAGAAAGCACTTTCCGGTCGTGTGGCGGGTTGGATGACGTAGATGACGCTGTGCTCACGACATCACGGCCCTCAGACGTTTGCCAGTCGAGCACAGTCCGTCCGTGGTTAGGATTGTGTCGCTTCATTTCAACTTTCGGTATCACCGCGATCGAATTATCGTAAATGATATACCAAAGCTGTGTATGTAGTTCAGGATTTCTCATATAAGTTTTAAAGGTAAGAAAACAACATACAAGTCTTTAATTTATTATGTAAATATTTAAACTATAACTTTGTTAAACATACACTGCAGTAAGGAAGTTTTGATTACTAAGTATCCAGTCTTATGAAACTAACATAACAAGAGGAGGAAAATACCGCTACAAATGGCCAATGTCCCTCAAGTTATGCAAAGGTTAATCTTTTGATATATTAATTTGTATATATATGATAAAATAAATTATATATATCATAATAATACACGTTATTCCATTTCTATACCAATGATAAATAAAATAATAATATTTGCATAAGTTATTTTCGTTTCAAATATCTGAAATTTGAATGCTAACTCCAACTTTATTCCGATCACATAGGCCACTTTCACAGAACAAAAAAGTGGTGTATTGTTTGCTAATTGAAGAGATCTCCTTTCTTTTCAATTAGCAATTACTATCACAGAACACTAATTACTATGGACAAAAAGTTATAATCGACCATAAACCAATTAGAAGATAGATCTATCTATTAGTAGGTACTAAATAAATAGAGTTTCATTTTATTTACCGCTGTTTGATTTAGTTAACATCCTTATATATAAATACCTAGCCCATTAGGATTATTATAGATTTTTCACGTCGGCCATTTGAAATAAATATACATTACGAGTATTTTAAAAATTAATATGTTAAGAAATTAGGGCTTAAATTTATTTTATGTTCCTTTTTATTTGCATTTCCAAGATATAATTAAGTGATAACGCTTATTATAAATAATGCGATTTTATGGTATATAAAAAAAAACAAGAAATTTATAAGATGATTTTTTTAAGAAAATCTGAATGTTTATAATTTGTTATTAGTTATAATGCTATACTACTATGCCTATTCGGATTTATTTAAATTGAAATGGAAAGTAATAACGTTTAGCGGGACGGCACAAATAGGGTCAACATGCCAATGTCAGCGGAAGGAAAGTTCAAAAAACCGTTAATACACCTATATATTAACGGTTATATGACAAGTTTCCTTTTTGTAACTACTAAAGTCCTTAATTCAATATTTACATCTTATATTTTCTATTTATTTACATAAATACGTAATATTACGTAGCATAAGTTGAACATAGGACGTCCCGATATTTTATCAATGACTCTAGTCTACAGGTGTAGACAGTATAATTTTAGTATAGTAGGTATATAGCTATATAATTTTAGATATACCATACAAGATTTTGATTTTATTTATTATTATCAATAAAATAGTTTCGGCAACAATATGCTACTGTGAACTACTGACTATTTCCGCAATATTACTTATTAATATATTTAAAGGAAAAATCATTTAGGTGCCTAAAAGTGATTTTTAATAGTGCATAGGACTAAGTCTACTGACCCAGTAACCTTCACTCGCGCCGACCGGTTGCGCCCGCGCAACTGGAGCGCTCACCTCCAAACACAACATTAAAAAAGAAAGCCGCTTACTGTGATGCCTCATGCATTCTAATAATGAAAGCGAAACAAAGTAAATTGAAGAATCAATTAGCGTGTATGCACATTTTGGTCGTGATAGTTTCTTTATAGCTTAAAAGACAACAAAGTCAAGATCAAAGTTCATATAACTATATATTTTTATCCAATGTGTCCGACCCCTGCGTGACGATGTGTAAAAAGCATTCTATGTGTTTAGCTAGGTTATGATATAGTATGTACGTATGTTTATAATTTTCGATTATCCTCTTTACCACGGCTTCACCCGAAACCATTATCTCCCGTTTCTGGGAAATTCCACAAAGCCTCTCTTTATGATAAAGGATAAGGATAATTAAGTTATGCGAAATTTAAATAAAGAGATAAAGTCAGGAGGTGCATTATTAAACACATATAATCTTTTCAGATGACAATATATGTGACCTGGATATTAAATGTTTTTCTTCTGGTGCCTTTCTTGGGATCAACCTACACACAGTCACAACCCGAGCCCAGTTATGCAGCGTGTATGTATTTCAAATATTTACTTTTATTTCACAGAGTATATATTACAATCATGAATATTTATACAGTATGAATACTAATAATGTGCGTGTTACCGTCACTAATTCAAAGAAATTGATATTGGCTGGTACAGTCATAAGATACTCTTATACGAGTACAACCTAAATATTATAGTTTCGAAATGTAAACGTATAGGTAACTATCCAATAGTAGAGTCATGGTGTATTTGTAGCGCAGTAGGTACTAAGACAAAAATAAAATGTTTTCGGCGCCTTTTTACAGATGAAGCATCTACAATTTTGGGTGATGTGGAACCTCGGGACAGCACTCCAGACCTGGAGTTCCGCTACCACGATCACGATCAGATGACGAGATACCTTCGTGCAGTCTCGGCGCGGTACCCAGCCCTCACCGCACTCTACTCCATCGGCAAGTCTGTTCAAGGTACGTTAGTGATAATCTAAATGGTTGGTCAATAATTTCCAAATAGCCGTATAACGTATATGAAGCTGCGATATAGTGCTAGTATTTGTGAAGGTATACAATTTTTCCCAAAAAGAAAATAAAAAAAAGACTTTTTTTTACAAAGTGACCAATATACCTATTAGTATGAAAAGTTCAAAGTTCTCAGTTTTTAATTTGCCTGTTTGTGTTATTATTATTATTATTGTATGTACTAACTAAGTTAACGAGTAGGTACGTACTTAGATATAAATGAACAATCAAAGGCGGGGGAAAAAAATATAGGGCGACTAGTAGTCTGTAACTATAAAATTCTTATTAAAGTACCTAACTTTAATCGAAACAGAACAGTCTATAAAAGTAGTGTCTAATAATGCACGTGAAGAACTCAGCTTATAGAACATATTATCACTACAATTCTTTTTAGTTGTAGTTTTGAAATTGTATGCCTTTTCTTTGAAGACCATGTTGAGTAAAAGTGTACCAATTTCTTATTATAATCGAACCCAGTAAGTTATTTTCGCTTAATAACACCTGCTGCTGTGCCACGGAAGTAATGAACTTATAGAGTGAAAACTTTAAATTGTTTTTAGGACGTGATTTATGGGTGATGGTAGTTTCGGTATCTCCATATGAACATATGATTGGCAAACCAGATGTTAAATATGTTGCCAACATTCATGGCAACGAAGCAGTCGGTCGTGAGCTTCTTCTGCATCTAATTCAGGTAAAAAAATATATAATATATATTTTCCCCATTCCAGTAATATACATAAAAATTAACATTCATAAGTCACACTGTATGATTTTATATAGGTAAGGGATTACTTATAAGGAATAAAATTTGTAGCTATAATTCAGCAGTATGTTCTAATTTGCTGAAACTAAACTTTTAATTTCAAAGTCGGCATTAGTTAATTTTTGCGACGTATCATAATGTCTAATTTGTACCACGTGCGCTGTAATGTACCTGTAAAAATATTTTAGCGTCATTAGATTAGGTACGGAAAAATTAGATTACATTACAAAAATCTATTACAATGATAACTAAGATCTATTACAGTGATAAATTTACAATATTTACTAATTAGTCATACGACTATGACTTTCAACTGTCAATATTATCAATGTGTTATTAACAATTTGCCTCTTAGGTGTGGTAAAAATCGCTATTGTCATTAGATGTAATTTGAAAGAAAGTACAGATTACAAACGGCCACACTTTTATCTTACGAGATTAGTATATATCTGCTTTAATTTAAAGTAACTACCTATAAAACATTAATTGTGTTAATTTGAGAAACTATTAACTGTATTATTTTTTATATTACATTTCGCCTGCATTATCTTTCAGTACTTGGTAACGTCATACGACACAGACCCATACATCAAATGGTTGCTTGACAATACTAGAATCCACCTGATGCCCTCAATGAACCCCGATGGTTTTGCAATCTCCAAAGAAGGCCAATGTGATACAGTTTTTGGGAGGTAATTAAATGTATTTTTGTATTATTGACGGCCTCGGTGGTCTAGCGGTTTAGCACACCGCCTTACTTCCGATGGTCGCGGGTTCGAGTCCTCGCACGGCACAAACATTTGTATTCATGAGTATGATTGTTTGTATCGGTCTGGGTATTTTCTATGTATAATATGTATGTATTTACGAAAAAAAAACATATCTATGTATTTGTATCAGTTGTCTAGTACCCATAACACAAGCTTTAGGTAGTTTAATTTGGGTCTAGATGGCGCTGCATGAATTGTCCTGAGATTATTATTATTTAATACTGTAAAACCATAGGACGGCAGGGAAAAAGTTATAATACAAAAAATTTGACGTTCATAAGTGCCTGAATTCCCTAACTCCTATATGAATAAATTATTTTTTATTTGATATTAAATATAATATTCAAATATGAAAAAATAACTACTAAAGTTTAAGTATCAGTTCATACGTATAGTATATATACTTTTTAAAGAAAACAAGTAAGTATTTTAGTTTGTCTGCCTAAATTCATTCAAATTCATCTATTACTCTCTCTATCTACTGAACTGGCATTTAAAATACCCATTGTGAAATATGGCCACATTCAAAGCATTCAAACCTATAATTAAATAGAAATAGGAGTGGAGGCACTCGTATTAAATTAAAGAGCATTTCTTTATTGGGAATAGTAAAATGATGCATCCGCCTGCGCTATCGATGACGCGATGCGAGGCTCCAGAGGAGGATGATAGGATAAATGTAAATACCCATGGTGGCGAATTTACCAAGAAGTATACACGACTTTATCTAGTAGTCGATCTACCACGACGGTAGCACATCGCTAGCAATAAGGCCTCTATAATGTCAAGTGCTAACAAACACCTCATCCTTTAAAAAACTAAGAACATTATGATCCAGAATTCAAAGATTGTGTGTTTCTTTGATTATTAATCTATCACATGTTCTCGCCATTTTTTACATTTAGTAATGTTATCTTACATACACACTTACGTTCCTGTTTTAATTTCCAGGTATAATGCACGACGTTACGATCTTAACCGCAATTTTCCCGACTATTTTAAACCAAATACAAAACAACCACAACCAGAGACAGAAGCAGTGAAGGAATGGATCAGCAAGATACAGTTTGTGGTATCGGGCTCGTTGCATGGAGGAGCTCTTGTCGCCTCATATCCATTTGATAACACTCCTAGTGCTAGTATGTACCTATTTTTGCTTGTATCTTTTTACGATGCGTAATGGTTTGATTTAATATTTAGTTTAATTATATTAAAAAAGCCTATACACATTTTGTATGCAATGTTACTTTACTTATTCGGTGCTCTAGACTAAGATACCTATATAGATTCTATATTGAAGTGTCTATTTTTTTCACGCTTCACAACAGGAATATGCAGATCATCAGTATTATGTTCGGGTGACGTATCAGTACCTAAGTCGTATATATTTTACACGAGAATGTCATATTAACAAGTTTTATTTTGTCCAACATGTCCCCTGAATGCAGTGTTCCAAAACTACGCCCATTCACCATCGATTGCGCCTGATGACGACGTGATGAGGCATCTGGCGCTAGTGTACTCAAAGAACCACGCCAAAATGTCGCGAGGCGTTTCTTGTAAGACCGGCTCACCACGCTTCGAGAACGGTATCACCAACGGCGCTGCTTGGTACCCACTCACAGGTCACAATTTTTACTTGTTACTCACCGAAGATTATAATAATAATAATATATTATTATAACAATAATTACTATTATTATTAAATCAAATATAGTAATAATAGCAAGTACAATACAATGAAAATAAATGTTTTACAAAAGGCGGTCTTATCGCTATCGGCAATCTCTTACAGATTAAAGAATTTCTGAACGGAAAGCAACTATGTTTAATGTTTATAAAGAGAATGCCAGTACTGTCGAACTTGCATTATATTAGTACATACCTTTATTTAACGCACAAATCTAATGAAATAATAATATGAAATATGAAAATTAGATTATAATTAAATAGAATTAGGTATATAATAAGAATAATATTATAACCTACTTAGGGTGAGATTGACATTTGGCGTTGGTATTCGTCGCATTGCTACCATAAAATATTGTAATTATAATTAATTCAGTTCATTAATTTATTTCGTGATGCATAGCAATGCAACGATTGGTGGTAAATAGACCAAAGATAACAATTAATTATTAGTAGATATTACGTCTATATTGTAGCGGCAGTGTGAGCAATAAGATGACAAATATTGCAATAAGATAAATAGTATGTCAACATATAAAGTAATTATACAAATAAATATAAATTTATATACTATTTGTAAAACTTTACATTTCAAAATGCAATTTACCAGTGCAAAAGAAACTTTTTTGCAAACCCTGTTTTTTTTTAATTTGATCTAATTTTCTGTTATTAATGGAATGGAAGGTTTAAGGTTTGCATCGTGCAAGGAATCGAACCCGTGACGCGATTTAAAGCGATGTGCTATACCGATAGACCAAAAAAGTCGTCAAAATTCAAATAAACTTAATTTATATGCTATCTCATCAAGGTGGTATGCAAGACTACAATTATCTATGGCATGGATGTATGGAAGTTACGTTGGAGATATCATGCTGCAAATATCCGCCGGCGCACGAACTAGGAAAATATTGGGTCGACAACAAAGAGGTACGTACCGCCTTTACTTAATGTTTACTACTCTACCTACAGTAATATTATAAAAAAGAGTAGTCCAGTGCAATTAGGTTTATACGTCGAAACCCAGGTGTATTATTTTAATTTCTTTTATGAAAAATAAAACATTTCCAATACAAAACCTTCCACTAATGTTTTTACGGCTTATTTATTGTTTATCCAACATTGGCCAAGAAAAATAAAGGAATATAAAGTAGATCGAAAATAAAAATTTCAATAATTATAAATTTTAACACACTATTCGATATTGATGTATTCTATAAAACTGTAGTACATAACTTTACTCAATAGAGTAGACAATAATTTCGATAACACAGGTAGTTAATACATGGATTTATTTGTTATCAAATCAATAATTTAACCCAATACGTAAGTACGATATCTATATCAAATTCTTCATACGGATCCGTAACGTTTTTGAAAATATTCTATCGCCTGTGTTTATCAGGAATAATATATGATTCTAATTAATTAAAATTGCCGTCCTTTCGCGTCGAATTCTATTCAATGCAAACAAACAAACAATCAAGTCTTTCCTCTTTGTAATATTAGTGACAATATTTTTCAGTAGTCGGTATGGGTTATCTTTTTTTTCTCGTAAATATTTTTTTATATATTTACGAGAAAAAATATATATAAAATAAAATATATTCTATATAAAATATCAAAGCAAAGGTGTGCTTATATATTACAACTATAAAAATGGAATAGAGAGAGAAAGCAGACTGCACGATTGGGAGTGGTAGTGAGATGTTACTCTCTACCAAAAATAGTTTAATGAACAGTAAATTAAGTTTTTGTTAAGCATTCATAAATATTCACCAAGAAACTGTTGGTATATAAACTTAAGTATCAATGTTTATAAACCAATGTGCAAACAGATCCTTTCATATTTATTTCATTAATTAACAAAATTAAGATATAGCTATTTATTAATGAAGATAACAAAACCTAACATCGTTTTCAAATAATTAAGGTTGAGTCAGCTGTTATCTACTATCTACTTAATTTAGCAAGTAATCATCGCGGTAGTACTCATTTGATAATAAAATAATAAGTAATTATGATCAGAAATACGATACAATGCGTATAAAGTACAATGTGAAGTAAAAAAAGATATTTCGAACACTGATTAGACTATATGTATGTGAGAAAATTCCAATGGCATATGCTGGTTTTTTTTATAACATAGGGGACAAACGAGCTTACGGCTCATCTGATGGTAAGTGATTACCGCCGCCCATGAGCACCCGTAACACCAGAGGAATTGCAAGTACGTTGTCGGCCTTTTAAAAAGGAATAAGCTCTTTTCTTGAAGGTTTCAATATCGTATTGGTTCGGAAATGCCATTGCTGGAAGGTGATTCCACAATGTGGTTGTGCGTGGCAAGAAGTTTCTAGAAAACCGCACTGTAGAGGACCGCCATTCATCCCAATGATCAGGATGGTATTTTAGTTTCTGGCGGGTGGTACGGTGGTGAAACTCAGCGGTTGATATCAATCCAAACAATTCCCCAAAACCGTGATATATGCGGTAGAAAATTCACAGAGAAGCAATAACTCGCCGCAAAGCCAGAGCCAGGTCGAGTCTGTTACATAGACTTTGATTAACAATGATTCTGGCTACTCGGTTTTGAATGCGGTCAAATGGTAGTAGCTGGTATTGTGGTGCTCCCACCCAGAGATGAAAACAGTATTCCATATGGAGCCGGATCAGCGCCTTGTATAACTACTACTGTATGTTGTGTATACTATGTGTTGTATACTACTGTAGCTTGGTGAGCCAAGCTTTGGTGGTTACTTTATTCTGCCAAATTTGTATTTAACAATGAATCTATATTATTGTAAACAATATTTGAAAAGAATACGAGCTGAGTTTCTTGTCAGTTCTTCGCAGCTCGAAAGCACTCCCAACTTACTGTAGATTTGACATATCATAAGAGTTTCTAATAGACCGACATGAATAAGGATATTTTGAATATGAAAAGTTTAAAATTGCAATTTTTAGCTTCGTAGTTAGTAGTCGTAGACAATTTTAATCATTTTTTGCATAAACCAAATATAAATAATAATAATAATAATATATTTTATTATATCATATAGATATTAGACATAGGTCTAATATCTATATGATATAACAAAATATATTATTATTATTATAATTTATATTTTCCTACGGAGCGGGATGATGAAAATGAGTTCATAGGTAGGTTTATATTCTCCGAATATATTTGATATATTCTTAAAATATAAGTAAAGAACGCGACTTATTTCATAAATAGATACTGTATTTTTATATAAAAAAAATTAGATTTACAATGTATAGGTATCTAATTATGATTTATTATTATTTATTAGTGTACGTACGTACACTAATACATACATATGTACTAATATGTACATAATTTACCATCTTATTCATAAAAATCCATAATATTTTACCACCAATTAGTGTCTTGTCAATTTCTTTAAAGTGAAGAAAAGGAATACCTAATATTTATCATGAATAAGAAAGTTAGTGGATAGTGTCGAATAATTGAGTAATGCACAATAAAACAAGTAGAAACAGTACTGTTAATGACGGAATAGCTGTTGTAGCGGAATTCCACGGATCCGCTGGTGACTGTATACCAATGGTGACGCAGGCTAAACGTGCTCCCGCGTTACCTGTAGTCAGTGATGTTTCATGGTCGCCCAAACCCAGGTCATCTTCATCTTCGTGAATCACTATAGCTCGTCCTAAAATATTGTTTCTGCCTCTAAGCGTTATCAATTTGTCTACAAAGTTCAGGTAAGCAATGCCAGTTTCATTTACATTGATATTCCCTAGATCACCAACATGTCTCACTGTATGATTTCTGCCACCATGGTCAGTATCATCCGGATTAAAGTGAGCTCCTGTAGCTGAACAATTAGCTATGTTACCCAACTCGTGCACATGGAATCCATATTTACCTTCCTTAAGGCCAGCTATCACGCCGGTAACTTGAAGTCCCTCTTCAACTTCGGTAAATGTTACACTGATCACTAATGTAATATTAGTAGTGTTACCTATCGTAACATTATCTACTACAGCATTAGCGACGGCGATTCTTGTCTCCGCGTTTATACCAACTGTAGTGCCAACTAATAATGCAACAATCAAATGCAAAATCATTTTTGTAACTAGATAGATGACCACTCAACTTCGTAGATGAGAATATAATAAGTCGTATAAGCTAATTTTCACATAATTATCTTTCTGATATGGGCTGATAAGAACAATGAGCGAATGTTAATCACCTTTGTAAAATGAGTATTTTGATATATCTGACGTACATTTTTAAATACAATATGAGTAATTTAATAATTAGAAACTTGGAATCGTATTAATTAATTAAATGAATGAGAAATATTGTAATATTTAGACAAAGTAGTGGTATTGGATTTTTATTGTAATATCTATCATTTTTGTCTTTTTTGCAACATCTATTTCTTCTTTGTTTTAAGTGAGAGATTATATAGGTACTAAATGTGCAATAAAATATTCGTTCCATCTCACTATAATCTATTCACAAGTATGATAGATAAAAGAGACTTATTTATCTTACTTGTGAATGTTAATAATGAAATGAATCGATTTAATTTATGGGAAGTCCCTTAAAAGATCTCTGTAAAATTATTAATTAAAGTCTCCCCTACATATACTAAAAACATCATTTTATTATTCAGTCATTGATAAAGTATCTCGCGGAGGCTCATCGCGGCGCACATGGATTTGTGATGGATGAAAATGGCAACCCCGTAGAGCGCGCAACGATCCGAGTAAAGGGTCGCGATGTCAGTTACCACACCACTAAATATGGCGAGTTCTGGCGCATCCTGTTGCCCGGAACCTATAAACTTGATGTAAGTATTTATAATATATGAATCATTCTAAAAAAATTACATTCTGACAAATCAGAATGTAAACATCAAAATGAAACTTATTTATTACATTTTTATTATTTACACAATCAATTCATAAACTAAGCAGAGGTATGTTATGCTTGTGGTATGGATAAAAATAAGTGAAGACACCTATTCACTATATATTCGTAGTCAACACCCATATCCGTACAAATAGTTGTAAGTACTCAGATAAATGCCTACACGTTTGTATTGAGCGGGTATAAGACCTGCGGGTATTCCCGAAGGTATGTTGGTGTGTTAACGAGTACGAACCCATTTATAGCATTAACGAATTTCACTAATATTGTAGTTCCGAATATTTTATTGTATAAAATATAGTTCTATAAATTATAATGTGTGAAATGAACTTCTTGCCATTGACATTCTTCTTGACATTTAACACAATAAAAATTTAGGAATATCAACAGTACGTGGTCAATAACGTAAGGCAAAATTCAATATCATGTATTAGGTTCGTACTAAGTATTACATGACCTCTATATTGCTATATTTAAGCATAAATGTTATATAAAAAAATATTTAAAATATAATAAAAATATTTACATAATGTGATATTCCAATTTAATTTCTTACCATTTATTTTCAGGTTACAGCTGAAGGTTATTTGCCACAAGAAGTTGAATTCATTGTTATTGATAGTCACCCCACCTTACTGAATGTCACTTTACATTCGGCCAAAGTAAGTACTGTTATATAACTGTTAATAATGTATTGCAGTTTTATTGTAAATATGTAAATAGTACCCTACCTGCTTGTAAATATAATACTTATTATAAATAAATTTAGTACTTTAGTCACAAACATATTAAATAACTTATAGTTAGCTTAGTCATAAAGGGTCGGTAAGTAGCAGTGATGGTTTCTTACTTTCAGTTAGTTTGCAACATCTTTGAACATGATTACCACAGATAACATAATATTACAGTATTACTATATATCATCGAATAACTTTAGTAGGTAACATTTTTTTTTATAAAAACTTGTACCTACAAAACAGGACTAACTTGCTGTACTCATTAAAAAAAAACAAAGTTCCTTGTAGTTTACTATACCTACTTATTGCAATTTTCACTTACTAGAGTAGCACTCCTCTGGAATATTCGCTGTTGCTGAATCGGTAAAGTGATCGTATATTTTTTGTTTTATATCAAACTAGCTGTGTCCGCGAATTGGTCCATATGAAATAATCTAACCCAAAAGCTAAAGAAAAAAGTTTAATCGTTCTAGCTACAAAAATGACGAATTTTCATACAAATTTTCTTCCCCTATTTTATTTAAGGATAAAATTTTTACAAACTTTAAATGTCATATTTGCTTATATTTAATCAATAGCTCAAAAATTAATCAAAAGCTTCTAATAATTGCGATACTTCCATACAGTCTTTCATTTCCTCTTTCAATCCCTTACAACCCTTTTTTCGCTTCAAGAAATAGGCTACGTCCTTTCTCAATATCTAGACTATCTGTGTACCAAATTTTATTTATATCGGTTCACTAGTTTTGGCGTAAAAGCGAGACAGACAGACAGACACACCGACAGAGTTACTTTCGCATTTATAATATTAGTAGGGATTAAATTTCTTATTGCGACTGTGGTAAAAAAATAGGTATAATTTTATATACATACATCAACCTTTTTTTACGACTAACACTAGGTACGAATGTTGCATATTAAATGTCTATTAGGTACCTCACTATCTGTAAAACTATAGGCTAACAAGCTTTTCAGGTATTACATAAATACATAACTTTTTCAAATTATGTAATGGAATTATATGATCGTCATATACCTATCATATCATGTGAACATATATCTAATGAATCGAAATTTAAATAATTACTATCAGGAAATATTCTCATGATTCTCATGATAGAATAAAACCATAATATAATAAAAATTAGGTGCACATTTCAGAATTGTTTTAAATTTACATAATTAAATTTCGAGTGCACTTACTGATTAGAGATAAAATTACAGACTCTTAAGATTACTTACTGACTGATTGGCGATATAGATAGATCCCATATAAAATAGTATTGAAATACTTCATATTTATTTCTTGCATTTAACAGCATCAAAATATAGGAAATCTTAAATATCATGATGAATATCCTCTTTATACAATGTTTGCTATTGTAAACAACCGTGAAATAGTTTAAAACAGCGTTTAAGTACTTATATTTATTACATATTGTTCATTAAGCATTTATATAATATCTAAATTAAGTATATATGTACATAACTTGGCATCTATATATGCCAACCTACATTCTATTAGGGATTAGGGAACAAAATAGTGTAGTAATTTTAATATGTGTAATAATTAGTGATTGCTTTGCTACCTGCAGATACCGACTATTACGTAGATACATATTTATGTAAGTGGTGGTTGGTCACATTTATCTTGCGTTCTCACCCTGTAGGGCTATGTGCCGCCGAGTCGTCCATCTTCAAGGAAGCATGTTCGAGTGAAATCCACCACAAGTACCGCTACAACTACACACCAAGAAAATGATTTTGTGTTCCCTGAAGACTAACACATCACTGCCAATATTTATGTACACACCTGTATTTAAATTATAACCTATTGGTGAATAAATCGAGGGCAAAGGCTATAAAGTAACATAAGTAGTAGCTAAGGCTCATTTTACTTAATTGCATGTACATATAATACAAGCTAAAATGGTACTTAAAATTAATATTGACCTTACTATGGTAACAAAGATTACTTCTCTTTCAATTAAAAATAAGTATTAATGTTTTTTCCTCAGTCCACAAATTATATTTTTTTCTTTAATTACTTTATAAAGAATTCCATGATCTTACTACTATTTAAAGGTGTTTAATTGCGGCCTAAATAATTTCATGTATAAAGTTAATCCCAAATACTTAATTACACATGTTTAGATCTCATATTACTCTTTAATTTAATACCGACTGCCTTTGAATACAGAGGTGAGTGTTTATTTAATATTTTTTGTTAACGTCTTTATTGTAGAGCTCATATAGTAAAATACAGCTAGACATGTTTCTTACTCCCCGCCAGTTTCTATATTTACATAGATAACATGTTACTTTTACAAGTCATGACAACCCTGGATTTTTTAAACGAGAGATAATTAAAAAAAATGGCTTTTTAACGGTATTTTCTTGACCCAGGGACTCAGTCGCTCAGGTACGAAATCTGCTATTAGATAGGTGCCTACTGTTGTTTAAATTAATTCTTATCACACAGTTATGCATACCGAACCTTTGTGGATGATATTTATTAGATAAAATATTAATTTAATAAGATAACATATATAATAAGAGATAGATAAATATTAATATAATAAATAAGTTAGATATATATAATTTGCTGTTCCAGAAGTGGTCAAATTCAATGCAGAATATCCATATGCCTACTTTAATATGTGTAGAGTTAGAGGTAGTGACTGTTCCATTCTAACTCTGTATCGTATCTGTTATGCAAAATATCTACTCGTATTGTACAGTGAAGATAGTTGTAAAATAAAACATCGCCTTTAAACATATAGCACAAAATACCAAAATAATAAGTTATTCTAATTCGCCCTAAGTATAACATTTAATATCAATATTTATATAATAGTTTGGTAATATATATAATAATATTACAGCGCATTGATGGCGGCCCCTACTACAGACCAGTGGCTCCCCCGCGGCCACCTGCAGCGCCGGCGCCAGGTCCCGGCATCTTTGCTTCTATTACAAACTCATTCAATAGTCTCGTGTCAAATATTTTTGGATAACTCTGTATAATACTAACAAGTTCATAGTAATATAAAATAATTATAATTTGATATGTATAAATCCACACATGCAAATAGTTTAAAAACAGCTCAAAATCAGTTATTTGGAATAGATTAAAACCTACCGATTAGATTAGGTATACTTAAAGAAGTCAAGGCAAAAATAGTATTGAGGTATATAGATGAAAAATAAAATGATTCGCCACTAAATTGGCTAGAAATGGGAGAAGGTAATATCTTAAAGTATAATAGTGATCATGATAATACTTAGATAATTGAAGCACTAAGGTCCTAAACAGCTTATTTTTAAAATATTGGGATCACCAATGATGTCTTCGTCAGTAGGTAACAAGTAGATACAATATTTATTATAGTAATACTTATATGTACTTGTATATTAAGATCTCAGAAACACTACAATATATAAAGACTTTCTAGAGGTCTAAATTTAAAGTGAACTCTCTATTAAGTTACTGGAATGAGGTAGGTATTATTCCAGCACAGGAGTTAGTTCAAAATCTTTTAAAGTTTGTTTTTTATTAGATACGGATAGTTCTTAATAAATCTTGAATTCTCCATTGTTAAAAATCCAATACTGAACTGTAGGTATCACATTTTAATAACTTACATTATCAAAACTATTATTTTAATAGAAATCAACTATGAAATGTATTTGATATATCAGAGGTGTTATCGAATCATAAAATGTAAATGAATAGTTTTTTTACGAAGTAGGTAATATATTTACAATTACACACATAATTAAATGAGTTAGACACATAAATGATCAAAATTATTTTTATCAATGAAGACTATCCTTGTAAGGAACATTTAGATCACAAGTATTATTAGATATAGTTATTTTGTGCTTCACTTGGCACTAAATTTTATTTACGCATTTGAGTACACTCAAAAAAATTAGATTAAAAATATATATGAAAATACTGAATACTGAAAATATATATACTGTGTAGAAATTAGTTTGGTGTCTATTTTTGTTAAAGTATTGTAAATAGAAGTGTAACTAGTTGTTATGATTATTTAAAAACAAAGGCCCATTAATTTTAATATACTTTAGATAATATTTATTCATTTAAATACATGATTTGTTTTTTTTAAGATTATACCCAAGCATCAACAGGAGAGCCCACACCAATGACAGCGCATACAACTCGCGAACCTGCATTTCCTGTAGTGAGTGATGTTTCGTGTCCTCCCAAGCCCAAATCGTCTTCCTGTCCATGTAGGATTAAAGCGCGTCCCAATATATTGTTACGGCCGCGAAGCGCAATCACCTTGTCAACAAAGTCCACTTCCGCCACACCTGTGCCCGTCCCCACGAACTGAATGTTGCCCAAGTCTCCCACGTGTCTGACGGTATGATCTCTGCCACCATGGTCGGTGTCGTAAGGGTTGAAATGGGAGCCGGCTGCGTCACAATCTATAGTATCACCAAGCTCATGAATGTGAAACCCGTAATTACCAGCATCAAGTCCGCTTATCGTGCCCTTCACATGAATACCTTCTTCAGTTTCCGTGAAAGTTATGCTACCTGTGACTTCTTCAGAAATAAGATGTACCACAGCAGATCTTGGTAGGCGAGTAATTTGTCCTACAGTTAAAGTAAAACAAATAAGCAAATAAAAAATCATTGCTTAAGGTTTCAAAGAATGTATGCAGATATGAGCGAAACCTATGTGGTCCAAGTAACAACTGATCATTCCTAAATATGTCATAAGTTTATTTATCAGTTGATATGATATCAATTTTAGATATCTTGAGAGTCAACATTATCATAAAGATTTATGTTAATCTTATTTCTCATCTTCATTATCTCCTCAAGTACCTAAATAGTTAAAGTAAAAGTATAATAAATAATAATATAAAATTACGTTAAACAAATCTATAAAGGAATGCATAAAAGGAAGGACATTCTATTTTATTTTTTACAAACTAGTTTAAAATATTTTTTTTATTGCTAACCAAGTACCATCATGAATACGTAACAGAGACCAAGAAATATATTCATAATTACTGAGGGATGAGACACACTTTAATTTTTATTAAAATTAGAATAGATATTGCTCGCACTGCAACTCATAAGTTCAGTTTTTTAATATTAGGAAATTTGAGGGTACAAAAAACAAACTTTTAATAGTATTAGCCGTAGTGGCATTTACGGTGTATTAACCCTATCTATAGGATAAATAATAACAACCACATTCTTTCTTTCAAATGCAATGTAAATAAAAAATGAAACTTCAAAAATAAATTTCGGTTTAGCCATTTATAACATCACTGACACGTAAATAGTTCACAACGCGGCCAATGACATTTATATCAAATAAACAGAATTTAAGCTGATCACAATTATTAGAAATATTACCAAAGTTATTTATATTTAATAAAAAAAAAAAGATATAATACTATGACGTAGTGTCCACTTTAACCGTGTCCCTCGCAGTTTGGAAACCAGCAATAAGTGCAGCAAGTTCGATTTTCTCGCTGCAACCGCTTGCAAGCCGTACTTCTGAATCCGCCATCTTGATCAACAGTGATACCAGCACCTCCGGTGGTAGTTTCACTACGATTAATGTTTACTATTTAGCATGTTTTTAGAATGAAGAGTTAGGAAAAATAAGATAGGCAATATCAGTTTCTTAAAAGTCAGTAACGCATCCAATACTGATATTTCAGGTGCCTATAGATTATAATAAGCATTTACCATTAAATCACCACCATTAAAATTCATAAAATACACCTAATATTAATAATACCTACATAATAAGGTAGTTATAAATATTTATTCATTTAATGCCATTTATGATAGTCTTGTTTTGTTAGATAGTGGTTCTAAGATGTTTTTCTAATAATCTTACAATATTTTTAATTATCACATCAGCCGCAGTAGATAGCATTTAAATGTATATGTATGTAGGTAGGCTACGGTAACTGTTTAACATTAGAAAGGCCATAAGCTTGTTTGCTACTATAGTGGTACAAAAAAGGTAGTATTCCACTGGTCCATACATAATTTAGCTTATAACTCGGTACAATACGATCAAAATAAACATAGTAATGTTGAACACTATCAGTTTCAGTTGGAAAAAAAAAATTTTTTTAATTAATTTGTTTTAAACGCTACATTACAAAATTACTTTCTACAGATACATATTGCAACAGCTAAAACGTCGCAATGTGACAGAAAGTCAGTCCTAACCTAATCCTATTTTGATAACATAGTAGGCACTTTTATAATAATTGTAACATACGTACTTCTTTGCACTATGGTGTGTATCTCAGTAAGTATATCTCCCAATGCCAGACCCTTTGCAATCTTGACCTCCTGAATGTCTGTATGTTATATTTAGAAAATCATAATAGGTTAAGCACAGATTATAAATGATTAGTTTTTAATTATCACTTATTTAAGTAAATAGAGCAGTATTAGTAAAAAAAAGTAGTAAATACTATTAAATAATAATCTATGGTAGTCTGTAAAGTGCACTTAGAACCGGCGATCTGAAATAAGAATGACAACTTGATATGCCATTAATAATAATAGCCTAACACGTCACATAGCACCATCTCATGCCAAGCCAATCCCATCGTCCAAAGTTAAGCACAGTTTGTGTTATTGGTACTCCACAATTAACAAAAATACTTGAATATAGAAAACACTCAGACCCATACAAACAATCATATTGATGAATACAATTGTTTGCATTGTGCAAGTAAAAGAGAAATAAGGTGGCATGCTGAATCGCTAGACCACCGAAGCCGTCATAACATGTTACCTTGTTTCAAATAAAGTGTAAAGGATACTTTTAAAACACGTAGCGAAATCATTCTCATTAAGCAACCAGCTGAGTATGTTGTTAATATCGGAGCGCAACGGGTGTCCGACGCACGTGTAGACATTGTCCTCGGTGACGTCACGGTATGCCAACCAAGTACTCTGTAGTGTGTTCAACACTTTCCGCATATCACCGCCCGATAAAGTTAGAAGCGCGGTAACACCACCCTCCGATATCTTAACGCTGACAAAACAACACAAAACTGAGTTATATATTATTTGAAATATGTAGGATTTGTTCCTAAAAATTATGGTTAAGTAAGCAGTTTAGTCGTCAGCTCTATCATGTGATTTAACAGCTCTGAAATACTTTTGTGTGGTCATGTTATATACAGACCCAATCGAATCGATTGCAGCCTTAAAATCCAAGTAATGTAACGAAATAGACCCGCCACTGTCCCAAAAAATAATCAAGTGATCAAAAAGAATCGATATCAATAATATGGTCGTAGTGTCCACCACGACCACGGTTTCTTACAACGATTACAGATATGTTTTACTATTCATAATAGGTTAATTTAAAATTAAAATATTAAAAATTTAAACCTATGTCATCTAAAATCATTATTTTATTTCGTTTTACAAAACAAAGTTCTTGTTCAAAAAACCTGTAGATACATAGACATCTACTCTGTATACAAATAGTCAACAAACTAATTTCACGTAGGTATATGTTTCACAAATAGTTTCTATGAATGGAGATAGGAAATGCTAGACAAATTTTATGTCAGGAAGTAACCAGCTCTCTGATGGATCCCATGTCTCATTCTAAATCGAAATTATATTAGTTTGGCGGAGCTTCAAATCCCTAGCGTAACTTCCGACTATCAATATTTGTCATATTGGAGTTTGCTTTTTAGTGAAGCTATAAAAGCCGGCTTATTCCCTCTAAATTAGTAGTTCGAAAAAAGTATATATATATAACAAATACTCGCTTTCACTGTCTATCAGTAGTATGACAAAGTGGTACCGATTATATTTTAATATAGTCAAGATAATGTAGTCACGTATGTATACGCGTCAACGTTATCTAGAAAATATACGTTTTTCCGAATGTAGATATATCATAGATCTATTTGGAGTATAGATTGTGAAATATTAAATAATCAAGATTATTCATTCTACATGGTATCAATTTGTTAAAATATTATATTAAAACATAGAACATTTATTTTAATATATAATGAATATAGGACATACCCTTCGGCAGCTGCTATTTCCTTAAGTCTGGGTACGATCTGGTTTTTATTCAGAGGAGCAAAACGAAAACGAGTGCATCTCGACTGCAGTGCAGGAATTATTTTACCCAAATAGTTGCATATTATACAGAACCGAACATTGTCTGTATACTTTTCTATTACTGAAAATTTATTCAATTGTTAGAACATATATAAACATATCTATACGTTTTTTACACCATAGGGCACAAACGAGCGAGATATGAGCACATGCCGTCGATGAGCACCCGCAACACCAGGGGAGTTGCAAGTGCACTGGAATATAGTTACCAATTTGTAGCCGTATTGAAAAAAAATAAATTACTATAAAATATATCGATTAATCGAACAAATTAAATACAAATCACAAAATATATATTTTGCTAAGTGTTAAGACAGATTATTTAAAAATAGATTTAATAAATAACATATATAGTAATAGAAGTCATTGTACAGGTAAGGTAACAAATGAAAATCATAATAATAAACAGATATAATAATATATTTTATTGCAGACAACAGACAGATGAAGAAGCTCGGTGGATTCTTCTTAAAGCTTTTCTGTTCATTATTAGGGAGTGCGTAGGTTCACTTTGCAACGGTAGTGGGTCGGGACCATTCAATTCTCCATTTTTTATTGCTGGAGAGAAACCGTTCACTGAGGCGAAACATCGTCGCACTTTCATGCCCATTACACGGGCCACCAGCTTTGTGAAAGCATTATTTACCTGAAAATTATAAACATACATTACAAATGTCTTTTTAAACGACTTATCACGATAATGTAAACGATAATAAAACTGGGTTATACCATAAGGTATAACTAAATAAAATATTTTTGTGTAACAGTTTATCATATTGGGTATATGATAAAATGTTACACAAAAATAATAATTACACAAAAAATACTAATATTTTTCCTAATTAAATTTCGATATCTTATTTTCCCGGAAGCTATACATGAAAGCTAACATGTGTTTATGATTTATGTGTATGGTCTACGGTGGCATAACAAAAAATATTTAAATATTAACTAGCATAACACAGAACATGTGAAATTAAATTGTATTATAAAAGTATTATTCGAGATGGCAAAAAGAAAACGAAAGCGCAGAAGGTAAAGATTAAAAATAAACATTTCAAATACCGTTTCCCCTGTTCTTGCAGATCCTTTAAAATTTTCCAAAAGATGTTCCGATGCAAACTTCTGCACGCAAGATAGTCGCACCGCTCTTTGATGTTCTAAGTCTGATTTGTTTCCGAATATTGCCATTATAGGTTTTTTATCTTCAGATTCGAATATCTCTATTGCTCTACGTAGCCACAGACCGAGCTTCTCGAAGCTCTGAAGATTTGTAAGATCATACACAAACAGAACAACCTGAAATAATAAATAATTACTAATCACACTGTAAGGATGCAGTGTGACAATAACAAAAAGCATAAGAACCGAATCGCATTCGCAGTTTATTTTTTTTATACGGACGGAATTCATAACCTTGTTTTGTTATTTTTCTATTTTATAGTTTTGTTTTGACTTCTAGGAATACATAGGTGAAAACCGAACATATAGTAGTTTTTGCGTGACACGTGTTCAAACATACAGTTCAAAATATATTTTTAATTCTGTTCCTCTAATATAATTCCCATATTAGTTTTTTAAACATCCATAATGTACAGACATCAGTCTGTTAAAATTTTATTAAATGTATAGAACAAATAATGAGATTGCTACAATTATCTTAAAATTACAAATATTACATAAATTACAACGTACGTCAGAACAATACAAATAATTTTTTAACATAGTAGTTGCAAGTGCGCTTCCGCCGACGTCACACAAGTGAACGGTCACCGGAGGGCGCAGTCCCAAGCACTGCCCTGCCATCACCTCTGCGCCCTGCGTGTTTCCACTCGAGATAATCCCATTTCCGCCCAGGTATCGTGTACACAAGCACGTCTGACAGTAATAAAATAGTCTTATTATCATTATATATACGTATTGGAGAAAATATTGTAAACATTTAATGCTTATATACACAAAGAATCACTAAAAATTAAACGTCACAGTTTTATTATTAACCCAAGGTGCAAAAACGCGCGTGTATGTCTGTGAGATCGTAACGAAGGGAGCGATTATGATACAGTATTTTGTGATAGTTGACGTAATCTAAATAGTTCTAGATTGGATTCATTAGAGTTTTCATTTATTTGAGGATTACTTAAACTTTTAAACTTTATGATTATTAAAATTTCCTAATACTCCTTTATAATAATTCAATTTTGCACTAATAATGCAAAAATTATCGGACTATATAAAAAAAAATTACCACTTATAACGTAAATGACATACACTTCTGCAACATTCTATAGCCATATTTCACGTAATTAATTATGTTCATAATGAATGACAGAATCATTATATTAATTAATTGTTGCAATAACTTTGTACCTGTTTTTACGAAAATTGCTCGGACGGATTACTATGAAGATTCGCATACTTTTAGTCGATACGGAGAAAGAAGAAATAATTATGCATAAAAAATTATTGCAAATTTCCTCTTCGATACTTATTTCACATTCACACGCATAGAAGTAGTCTTTAATAATAGAACCTTAATAATGTTCAAACTTCTAATCTAAATTAACTATGGTCGAATTTCAACCATTGAACCACTAGTAATATAATAGAGCAAGAGCCCACGACAGCCAGACATACGTCATATTTATGTTGTTACCCAATATACGGTTTCAATGAGTCTGGTAGGATGAAGAACCAAGAAAACTGTCTGGCAATTTAGGAAACTCAGTTTAATAGTTCTCTCAATAATATATATAAAGTTCAGCTTTATTAAAATGACGTAAGTTTATTTATAAAATAGTATAGTTTAGGGGGATCCGGCGGGGTGTTAGAACCACACTAAGGGTCTAGCAATGAGCAGAGCAAGTTATAATACTATTACGAGCAATATGTGAAAAAATGGAGCATCTTAAAATAACGAATTTGATATGAAATTGTATACACCGTTGTTACCCAATATACGGTTTCAATGAGTCTGGTAGGATAAGGAACCAAGAAAACTGTCTGGCAATTTAGGAAACTCAGTTTAATAGTTCTCTCAATAATATATATAAAGTTCAGCTTTATTAAAATGACGTAAGTTTATTTATAAAATAGTATAGTTTAGGGGGATCCGGCGGGGTGTTAGAACCACACTAAGGGTCTAGCAATGAGCAGAGCAAGTTATAATACTATTACGAGCAATATGTGAAAAAATGGAGCATCTTAAAATAACGAATTTGATATGAAATTGTATACACCGTTGTTACCCAATATACGGTTTCAATGAGTCTGGTAGGATAAGGAACCAAGAAAACTGTCTGGCAATTTAGGAAACTCAGTTTAATAGTTCTCTCAATAATATATATAAAGTTCAGCTTTATTAAAATGACGTAAGTTTATTTATATAATAGTATAGTTTAGGGGGGTCCGGCGGGAGGTTAGAACCACACTAAGGATCTAGCAATGAGCAGCGCAAGTTATAATAATGCCACGAACAATATATGAAAATATTGAGTTTCTTAAAATAAGGAATTTGATATGAATTTTTTTACACCTTTGTTACCTGTTACCTGCCAAAGGAACCACGAGCCAGGTTTCTTGTTTGGGGATCGTTCTTACCTCCGTTGGGAACACACATACAAGAACTTTCACATTTACTAATATGACGTATGTCTGGCCGTCGTGGGCTCTTGGGCTAAATATTATTACATATATCTAGATGAAACAGATACTTACTTTGCCAGTAGAAGGTTCGCCAACGACTGTGATTTTAACAATTCGACTTTGAACTTCTTCATCTTCAGTGTCCGACATGTAAATATATTTTCTTCCAATACGTTGAAACACATTTAAATTATTTTTTATTTCATCAAAGATTAAATTTAACTATTTTCAATTAACAGAGTTTGATCATTTCGATTAAAATAAATATTTTACACATATAACACATATACTGCAAATACAATCTGCGTAGGTAGGTTTGTCATGTATCAATCTGTTTTTGTTTTCGTTATTAAAGCCATGACAACGAGGTATACGCACGCAGTAACGGCGTAAAGGATTCATGTTGATTATATTGAATTATTAGAAATTAATGGAATTAAATTGGTACTTAAATAAATAATCACAAAATTTCTTCTTACTTATTTTTATCTATTGACAAGTAATAAGGAAAAACAGGGAAATTTGTTAGAAATACGTAAAAACGTAGTGTAGTGTATACAAAAAGAGCACTGAAAAACAATGTACGTATATAATAATAAACACGAGTCCTGTCTATTATATTCATTATACGAAATTTGTTGATAATAATATCATAACAATACCATAAGGTACAAGAAATAAATTGTAAGCCAAATAACAGTTTGAGACAGAATCAGGAAAATATAGGTAGGTACATATATTTATGTGTAAGGGATTTATTAATTTCCTGTTAACTAAAAATAAAAAATACTAATATTTATTATTGTACCCATCTGTTCAAGTGACTCCGAGAACGCGGGTTTTAAACTATTATAATCAGGATACCTAAATATTTAATTTGTCTGTAATTCGTCATGTAAAAATATAAGTTAATGAAAAAATAATTGTACACATTCTACTTACTTCGTCTAAGAGCATTCTGTGCATCATTTGTCATTGCATCTGCTTCATCCAATATTATTAATTTTGGACCAGCTTTGAATATAGTTCGTGTTGATGCAAAACTCAAAATTTGTCCCCGCACAATGCCTATACCTCGATCATCAGACGCATTTAATTCTAAAACCTAAACAAATACAGACTTATTGTGACTGACTCTGATATAGAAAATAATTATGTAAATAAGAAAATATATAAATTTACTTTGGTCCCCCATTGTTAAATATTATTATTATTATAATATTTTTTATGGATGATGATTATGCTGGCGAGAGTGGAATATATTACTCGATAATTATGACGGCCTCGGTGATTTAGCACACCGCTTTACTTGCGATGCTCGCGGGTTTGATTCCTAGCACGGTGCAAACATTTGTAATCATGAGTATGATTGTTTGTATCGTTCTAGGTGTTTTCTATGTATATTATGTATGTATATACAAATAATATATCTAAGTATATCAGTTGTGAGGTACCCATAACATAAGCTCTGCTTACCGTGGGATTAACACCACGCCATCTAGCGGTGTGTTTATTATTAGTAATATAAATTACCTAACTGATTTCCAGGTTTACATACCATTGAATTGAATTGCTGTGGAGTATACATTTGTCTAGCACAAGCCAGAATAGTAGAAGTCTTCCCTGTACCAGGCGGTCCATAAAACAACAGATGAGGTAGTTGGTTAGCTTTCATGAACTGATTAACTAAAACAGACAAATATAAGGTTTATGGTATAGTTTTATATTTGTGATTGATACATGGTAATCATAGGTCACCTATGCACTAAATTTCGCTGCTATATAGACTAAAACATTGTGTTTCTTAATTTATTATAAGTACCATTATCAACATTTATTTGAAAAGAAAACAAGCTGAGTTTTTTGTCATTCCAAACTGATGGTAGATTTGACATATCATAAGAGTCTGTAATACATGTAGGTGTAAATAAATGAATAAAGATATTTTAGACTTTTTTTTATTGTTTTTTTATCATGTTTTCAGAATCATGTATTGATCTCTTGTAGTGGAGTAAGATTACATTGCCAGAATGACCTTATTGCCAACTAGATTACATCCCTAATATACATTGGTGGAAAACAAGAGTTTTCTTCATGTATGTGAGAAGATTTGTATAGACAATCCCTCTCACATATGAAACAACAGTAGTAGGCTAAATTCTTTCTAATGAGGAGAATTTTAATAATATCAAAATTGTTACTATTTTAATGCCTTAATCTTAAATGCTCTCTCAGATAAAAGAAATAATAATAATAATATTATTCAATACATGTTAGTTGAATTTTTAACATGTAATATGATTTTTATATCCATAAAGACACAAAATCCTTAAAAAACAATCCCTACACACAGCTTAAGGCAGGAACTTTAAGTACAAAAACTTAACACAGTCTCTATTCATATAATATAATACTTCAATAAGTGTTATAATCTAAGTACATCAATAATTTTTATTATATAACAAAAATTTCTAATATGGATATGTAGCTCTAAGAATATAATAAATTCATGTAATCTCATTTTCACTAAAATATAAATAATAATGTTAACTATAATAATAATAATAATAACTTTATTGTGCAAAAAACAAATACAAAATGGACTTAACTAAGGTTATATTAATTCCAAATATATACAATAGTTCTTAAAACTATTTAATACCAAGTCCGGTGCAGTGATGTCTAAATTAGGCCTAGCCTGTATCTCAGACACCATTGCCTTCCTAAAGATTGTTATCTTTACGATTTTTAAGAGTTGAATGAAAAAATAAGACTAATGTAGGGTATACTTATAAATAAAATAAATCGTGTTTATGAGGCAATGAATGCGTCACATCATATGGTCCAACTACAATCGGTGCATAAATACTTGCAACTAATAAATGTAGGAACTTATGCAATTTTTACTTTGTAACAACAAAACAAAAAAAAGGTTATACATATATTTATACTACATACACAAACATACATATATATATATATATATATATATATATATATTATTTATTTATTTATTTTACGTTATATTATTTAAATTAGGATAATATTCTAAATAATTGTTCCGTATTATCATAATCGCGCGTTTTTAACCATGGTACTAATTTATTTAAGAACTATAAGGGTCCAGTTAGTAATCACTGACACTTACTTGTATTAATGATATCATCATGAGACACCAAATCATCTAACTTAGAAGGCCGATACTTTTCAACCCTGTAAAAAAATATTTATAGTAATCCCAACAGATTCAATTTGTATTATTAAAAAAAATATAGTGTGATATTTGTAACATTGTGAATGTTAGTATGTTCTTACAGTGTAAACTATGTACTTTATAATTACATATAAATATTAGTTACCTAAATATCCCTCTGATACTGAAGAACCATGTTGTGAGACTGAAGAATAATATTAAAATAAAGGGGTTATCCTGCTAAAAATAGGAACTTCCACATATATTAATACTGGAATAAATTGACAAACAACTTGCAAAATTACTAACACAAAAATTGCTGATTGACAGTTTTATTGCTGTAAAAGTATGGTCATATGTCTCTGTTCTACAAGAGACTGAAGCAGGTCAGAATCAAGGTTCTCCATAAGTATAGTAGAAAAAATACTGACTTGGTTTTGTAAAACAAAGCGTAGAAGTATCAAACATAAAAGAGAAAGATAGGGTCATCCCTTAAAGAGTAAAAACTATGTGCTGTGCCCGTCAGTGTATGTGTGGTTTTATAAATAAAGCATGTGGAATGCGCCAATTAAATAGGTGTTAACAATGATGAGTACACTAAAGTACATTATACAGTATTTGAAAATATTGAAAGGTATAAAAGCATCTTAACGGATATAACACACTTACCAGGGTAAATTTTTGTGTATTTCGCCTAAAGTCATAATTTAATATTTTTCTTATTCAGTAGTAACGAAACTGATTCACTAATTAAATACAATTTTTAACAATTTTAATATTTTCAACAAATACAATACCAATAAAGCGTAAAATAGTGAAGATGTTGAGGTTGTGTTATTGTTTATATTTTGTGTGTGTTAGTGATGTCGATAAATATCGATATATTTGTACTAAATATCGACGTTTTTACAACGATGTTGAGGTTCCACAATACCGACAAAAACGTTATTTCAAACGCATAATGACGCGATATCGACCACAAAATAGCATCTCTTTCACTCTCTCTTCTTTTGGCTCCGGACAAAATATTGATGATTTCTGTAATCGATATTCATAGTATTTAATAGCTTCAATGTTTTTTCAATATCGATTTCCGTAGTATGCATATTTTTTAATTGTATGCGGGGTTGTTAATTTTAAAACATTTAATTACTAAGAAATCTCGTATATTGCGACAATTTGACTTCTCCCGTACATTATCGTATTTTTAATTCAATATACATAGGTGTTTCTAAAGTTCTTGTAATTTCTCAAGGCTTCCGATGACCACGAGTTCGATTTTCGCACGGTACAAACATTTGTATTCAGGAGTATGATTGTTTGTATCGGTCTGGGTGTTTCCTATGAATATTATGTATGTATCTACATCCATTGCCTAATGCTTACTACTCTGCTTAACTTGAGACTAGATGGCGCTGTGTGAATCGTCTAACGTTGTTATTATTGTTATTCTTGTATTTCCACGAGAATGAAAATGTATTATATGTGTAATGAGATATAATAATGAGAAATAATAATAATAATCTCAGGACAATTCACACAACGCCATCTAGACCCAAGTTAAGCTAGCTAGAGCTTGTGTTATGGGTACTAGATAACTGATACATATACATAGATATTTTTTTTTTAATACATACATATTATACATAGAAAACACCCAGACCGATACAAACAATCATACTCATGGATAAAAATGTTTGTGCCGTGCGAGGAATCGAACCCGCGACACTCGGTCGTAAAGCGGTGTGCTTGACCGCTAGACCACCGAGGTCGTCGTGTGGCAATGAGAGAAGTTAAGAAAGAATAATTAAAAAAAATGGAACCAGGGGAGAGAAGGCTTGCAGAAGATTATTAAGGATCAACCAAAAATTACATTGTTTGCAATTGAGTTCAGTTTATACACTGTGTTAGATACCTAACACAGTGTACGATGAGTCGTTTTTTTCTGAAATACAGCTTGTCACATAAAACACACTTGTTGTTTCTTCAATGAGATTACATTGAAGAAACAACAAGTTGATACAGCGATATACTTAATAACGATATTAGTGGATGTATATGAAGACTGAGATTTAACATTATGCTTGAAAATTTTGTCTTAATTAGTATAGTTCGATATCTAGCAAGTGAAGATAAAGTTAAAAAATAAAAAAGAGTAGACAATTTAAAATATAATATTTTTTTATTTAATTTTTCTTTGAATTCATATTAACAAAAAAAACATGGTCTTGTTATTCTAATTTGTCCAGCTACATTTTTTATGTTACAGAGACTTGGAACTAAGCAAACAAAATGTATTTGAACATTGCCAGCTGCAATAAAATTTTAATAACCCGTAGTAAGTTATAGTACTATTTTTTTAATATGACGGTTTTACAAAATATGAACATTAATTAAAATATTTATACACAATTGTTTTATAAAAAATAAATACATCAGACCATTGTATGCTCATCCAATTTGCATTGTATTTTTACATAATGACAAAAATATGTGTAAACAAAAACATATTTTGTTCATTATATAAAAAATTATACATTTCTATATCTCGTGCAGACAAATATCAAAATAAAAAATAATAGATATTAACAATATATAAAATTGTTTTATAGAAGCATTTACATGCGAGGCTATTGATATGTCTGCACAAGTAAATTAACCAATTTACACACAATAGAATTTTTATTACAGCTGACTTGTAGACCAGCTGTTTACATTATCATGCTTTGGTAACTTATATCTGCTCTTCATTAGCGAATGGCAGCTCGTATTCTATTCAAAATAGTTAATATGAAAAATAGTTACAATAGTATATTATAAAAAAATATAATAATATTATTGTTATAAAAGGATTTATACAATTAAATTTATACAATAAACAAAAAAGATAATAATAGATGCTTTTACAAGATAATCTTTCATGCGCGATCAGGAGTGCGCGCTATATCACACGGGAAATTTAGAATTTACTGTTATTGGTACTATTTTTGTACACTTTTTGGCGAGTTATTGCGCGTTGTTCCATATCAGAATTGATATGAATAATGTGAACATTTACTTTAAAATTTTATTTTTTAACTCACAGAATTTATTTTCCAAACACAGGTTTAAAAGTTATAAATTATATTTATATCACTCTGCTCCATAGTTAGATGTCCGCCATTTTACAATAATAATTAATTATTACAAAAAGCTATGGAACGCACGACTGCTTTCAGTAGTGCGTTTCATAGCGCCTTTTTGCACTTCTTTAAGCGGGAATACATGAGCTGACGGAGCGCGCGGCCTTTCGTATACATTCTCATTCTGTTCTGCATGAAACTGCACCGCGCGTAAAAGAGCACACGTGTAAAGGCTAATGACAACATTACCTTTTAAATTTATCATACATCTAAATAGCCAACATACGAAGACAACAATGAATTTTAGGCTATGAATAATAATACAACAAGTAATGTAACTCATATTTACTCAATGCCCTAATTCTAGTCTCATGAATAAGATTATAATGCGACGTTCATAATTTTTTAACGCCGATTACATGTTAAAGTTCCACTGCATCCACGTTTCCACGCATCCAATGTTTAAAGGCACGCACGCACAAGTCGCACATGGTAGATCAAGTTAAAGTTAGTTTACTAGTTGTCCATGGGCAACTTGAATCTGACTTGATCTGATTGGAGAGGTGACTAAAACGCCTGCCGCATTACATTTTGTCTGGTGCCACTTTCGAACTCCAATTACATTTGTATAATATTATTATTCATATGCTTAGGCCTATTATAACAGTAACAATATTTTATAACATAAACACTATATTATATTTTAATTACCTACATTGTTTTTAATATAGTCTAGCATGTCTTTTTTCGACACACCATTTCGAAGAGTGCCATTCAAGATTGCGGTAGCCGCAGCCGGCTCCCACGGCCACATTATTCTATTTGTATATGCACTAATCATGTCTAACTTAGCTTCGGTCGGAATAAAGTATTCACTTAGCGGCTTATTATCCTTTCCGAGGGCGAAGTAATATTTATGGCCCGTTTTTTTCGACATCTGCGCAATCCACGGTTCTGCAAACACACGATAATATATTTTATATTTATTATATTTTTATAATGTTCGCGTGACAGCGGCGTGTATTTTTTTGTACCTTTTATCTGCTTCATAAATAAAATAGATTCGACTTGGTAAAACTTTTCATCGGTATCAATTCCGTCCGGTAAATCTACAGTAACAGCTTGCTTAACTCTCTTCATTGCACGATACTTTACATTCTCTACCACTGACGAAAATTCTTCCATATTGTATAACTTTTTACATCTAATTGGTAAGGCTTGGGTATCAGTGGGATTGCTCAGCGCCGTGCAAAATAAATCACACTGATTAATTCTGAAAACAAATATTATTAATAACATCATTGCGTAGTTTAAAAGATCTAAGCGAACAGACAACGGAAGCAACTTTATTTTGTACTATATAAACATATATACATATAAAATATATAAATACTCTTAACTACGAATTAGAATAAAATGTGTTGTCAAGATGTAGTTGTTATGATGTAGATATTATGAAGATACCTTTCAGTCAGATGTAGACGCGATATATCCCTTCCGCCCAGTATCATAGCATCTATAATATGCAGGGCTTTAGTGTGAATTTGAATACTCCCTTCACCTTTATATTCTTTCACAATCTGTGAAGGAAAATAATTACATAATGTTAAAAACGTGTATCGTTTAATGAAAATTTTATGTGACATTAAAACTAATATCAAGTTTTGATCAACCATTATTGCGTTAAAGTATTTCATGACCGCAAAGTTAATCTATTGTCGAAAATTCTTATCAATAACACGACACAATACAAATTTAATATTACGAATTTAATAGTGTGCTTGTTTGTTACCTATTGACATCTAATTAATCTCTGCTAAGACTGCTTAAGTACTAGACAACTGAGTCATATAGAATACAGTTTATTTAAATAATTTTTAAATTTTTAGAAATTCCAGAGTCAAACTCGGCTTAGTTAAATATTAAATTGGTTTACATGTAATAACCTATTATTAAATTCCAGCAAATCAAAGTGTATAAAATTTACACTTCCTAATGTAAGACTAATAAATACACAGTTATTGCTTAATGACGAAATAGTCAATTTTGTTAATGATACAGTTTTTGAGGTATAACAGTGGACTCGAAATTACAATGGGGGCCCCATATTTCAAAATTGACCAGTAGACTCAGTTCTGCTGCATATGCAATTAGAAGAATTAGGCAATTAACAGACGTGGCGACGGCTAAACTTGTATATTTTAGTTATTTCCATAGCATAATGTCTTATGGCATACTGCTGTGGGGTAAAGCAGCCGATATAAATACGATATTTCTTTTACAAAAGAGAGCCATACGTTCTATTTATGGTATGGGTTCAAGAGTTATTACGTCAGTGCTTTAAAGAATCAAATATTCTCACCGTTACTTCACAATACATTTATGAAAATACCATGTATACACGGAAGAACTTAAGAGAGTTTTAAAAAACTCAAAGACTGTAGAAGTAGAAACTTACGCAATATAAATAAGCTTATTTTACCTAAATGCCGTCTGCACAAAATCAGTAATTCATTCTATGGTAATTGCGTAAGATTTTATAATAAACTACCAGAATCTGCATTAAATCTGACAGAGAGGCAATTCAAATCTTATATTAAACAATTTTTATGTAAGAAAGCCTATTACAGGATAGACGAATTCATAGATGACAACATATCAAGTAAATAATTAGTTTATTAGCATACAACGTTATAATTTTATTTTCTTAATTTAATTGATTAATTTTAGAAATATGACAGCGTAGCGGTTTTTGTATTGATTGCCGCATGCATTCTTATGTAAAATGTGAATACTATAACTATCAGATGGCAATTGTAAGTAGCTTTGACGTGGACTAGTGTTTTGAGTAGTCATGCTCACTAAAATGTCCAGACTTGTGGCGGTGTGGTGGGCCGGGTCATTGGGCTCCCTAAAATATGATCGAGCGCAGTGATAGCTGGCTCATCCGTCATACTCGTGAACGGGTGCTGCTTGTAGGGACTGGTCTGCTCTAATCACTATGACTGATTTCCTCTTATTAATTGTTTAACCAGTTGGTTATATATTCAATATTTTTCTATTTGAGTATTTAATTGAATTAGTGCTAATTGGTGGTTTGTATTCACTTAAACTTAAAAATGTAAAGTAATAATAAAATTATTTAAAAGAGCAACACGCAAGTTTCTTGCTCGTTCTTCTTGTGATAAGATAGCTTTCCGAACGAGCGGTAGATTAAAAAAAATGTAATGACTATTCAAAAGTGCTTCAATGTAAGTTTATTTGAATAAATGATTTTCTATCCTATTCTATTATATTCTTCCAAGCAGTAATAAATAAACACAAAAATATATGTTCTACTGTAACTTCTACCAATTTATAACAATATTTAAAATTTAATTTTGACTGCTTCGGTGATCCAAATATACTATTAAATAAATCAGAATGATAATCAATAAATAACAAATAAATTAAATTAAAACTGTTAATTTGAAATATAAGTTAAAATGTTCTCGCATTTTAACTTATATTTCAAATTAAAAGTTGATTTGATAAGATAATAATAAAATAAAAATGTGTGTAAATGTTATGAGTTTTAAAAAAATAACAACGAAAATACAACTACTCCGCGCTAGTTCTAGTATGTTTGGTATGTCTAGTATGTCTGTCATATTAAGAATAACACCAATTTAATTCTTTTATAAAAATATACTCATCAAGTACTATTCAAATTGTAGAGTATTGCATACCTCTCCATAGATAAGTGTCTTTGCAGGTAATGTAAGCTGTAAATTTGAAACATTTTTCCAGCCATTGTCTTCTAACTGGAACACTTGTTTTCCACCACAACCTAAAAGATATTCGAATACATTTATGATTTCTCAGTAGTACATTTTAATTTCACATCTATGGGAATGGGCTAGGGGGCGGAGAGAACGAATGCTATATTTTTAATTTTACCATTCTTTAAGTTGAATAAAAATAAAAATATGATTTGGATATAATGAACCCTTGTCACATAGGCTACCCCATTTATGTTAGCTGTAATAATTTTAAATATTAAAAATATTTAAATATAAAAAATTAACTCACCTATGAATATACTCAAAGTGGAACGGGAATCTTTTCCGCTACTTAAAAACATGAAATGCCAATCGTAAACATGTTTGAAAACATTTAAATTATCTACACTATTTAGGTATTCCGGCGGTTTGTTCAATATATGTGTTTTAAAAGCTTGAGGATCATGTGCATGAGGTATAGACGTTTTAATTTTCCCTTGAAAATTTGTTATAATTGTTAAAATAGACGACAACGTGTCACCAGGACTAAGACGTTTTGGTTGCGTCCTCACCTCGTCTGGTAACTAAAACAAAATTTATATGTATTAAGCGTTACTATCTCTGCGACAAGGCCGCCGTTTGATAAGCACATTTATGGAAAGTATTTTATTATTTAATATTTATTTAGTATCTATAGTACAAGCTTTGAGGGGAGGGCATATCAAGATGTATTTTGTTACATTTTGCTCGACTTGGGGCGGCCCGAACTGGCGTAGTACCTCCACCAAGCATAATACCACAGCCAAACAGTGCTGTACTTGCACTACACAACAGCACTGTGTTCCTGTGGTGAGTAAGGTGAACAGAGCCCCATGGGGATTGGTTGTGCTGGTATTGGAGGACCTGTGTGTTCAACGGTGCCGCGGGATTGCATAGACGCGACGTGGTGGCGCGGCGTTCAGGGAGACCTGGTGAAACGGCTAACCGCTGGTCACCCGCAGGTTGTTGGGTTCCCGAACCCTCCCTGGGTTACGTAATCTCCGCCCTGGGAGGCTGAGCCACCGCCTGCGCATAATCCCTGGTGTAGTAGTCGTACCGGAGGAGGAGACCGGAGTGGACCCGGCTGCTACACCAGTGGGGGGACCGGGGGCCCTTCCGGCCGCCGTGCCATCAAATCGCTCAACCTGTGCAATGCTGGGCTGTAATGACGCACCTTTTTGTCCTTTCGAATACCAGCGCAACCGTTCCCCTTTAAACCTTTAAAAAAAACACACACAAAAAAAATGACCAGAAGCAAAAGAAGGAAATTTAGTACATCAGCGGCATCCCAATCCACTTTCAATATGGATTTCTGTAACATCAGGGGACTTCACGGAAACATCAATGCGGTCCACCAACACCTTGAGACCGCCAAGACGACCCTTTTATTCCTTACGGAGACCCAGATATCCTCTCCGGCTGATACTTCATACCTACTATACCCCGGGTATAAACACGAGCACAAATTTGTACGTCGTGCCGGGGTATGTTTGTATGTCCGGGGGGATATCTGCTGTCGCCGCCTTCTTGGTCTAGAAGACAAAGACCTGTCTGTTCTATGGGTATGTGTAGATCAGGGTGACTACACCGGCATCTATGCGTGCTTGTACAAGTCTCATAGCGGTCACGAGGATACGACCCGACTGTTTGAGCACCTGCAATTGACGTCTGATAAAGTTCTTGAACAGTATCCCTCCGCGAGGTTAAGGAAACTTGGAGACTTCAATGCCCATCACACCGAGTGGCTCCGTTCTCGGCTCACCGACCACGCGGGGAGAACTGCTCACGAGTTTGCTCTGGCTTATGGATTCTCACAACTGGTGCTTTCTCCAACGAGAATACCAGATATTGAGACCCATACGAGCTCCTTACTTAACCTTCTGCTGGCTACACATCCGGACGGATATTCAGTAACCGTGGAGGCACCACCTGGTTCTTCAGATCACTGTCTTATCCGATCCCAGGTACCGTGCACAAGTCCTACCACATCCCGACCTCCGTGTCAACGTCGCATGTGGCATTACAAGTCAGCAGATTGGGATAGATTGCGAGAATTCTACGCATCGTACCCATGGAAGCAGTACTGCTTTGCATCAGAAGATGTCGATACCTGTACAGCCGCCGTCACTGAAGTCATACTTGCGGGTATGGAATACTTTATTCCAAAATTTCTTGTTGCTTCAGGGGCGAAAAAGCGACCGCGGTTTAATAGGTCTTGCAGATAAGCCATACAGGCTAAACAAACTGCTTTCAGGCTTGGACCACGGCTCGTTCTAACAGTGATATTGGCGTATCTGATGCGAGGCGGAATTTAAATGCTGCATCTAGGTAAGAGGGCAATTGCTAGAGCCAAATTTGACTTCGTCAGCAAAATTGGAGAGCGACTTGCACGACATCCTTCTGAAAGTCGTGCCTTTTGGTCGCTTACCAAAGCTGCCGAAGGTAACTTTTGTCAGTCGTCCTTACCACCACTACGGAAGCCGGATGATAACTTGGCACTCAGTGCAAAAGAGAAGGCCGATTTGTTGTGCGTTCTTTTTGCCTCAAATTCGACTCTAGACGCTAGGGACACCATACCTACTTCCATCCCATGGTGTGGTAGCTCTATGCCGGAAATATCCGTAACGCACCGGAGAGTTCGGCAAGAGTTACTGTCTCTTGATGTCAACAAGTCGAATGGACCAGATGGCATACAGGCATTGGTGTTAAAGAAGTGTGCTCCTGAGTTATGTCCCGTACTCTCGCGTTTTCATACTCCTCTGGGCAATTTCCGCAATCATGGAAGACCACCCTTGTGCACCCTGTGCCAAAAAAGGGCGACAGATCAAACCCATCGAACTACAGGACTATCGCTATCGCATCTCTACTCTCCAAGGTAATGGAGCGTGTAATTAATACACAGCTATGGTTTTCGCCATAATTGCTCAACTGGTGATCTTTTAGCGTATCTCACACACCGCTGGGCTCTTGCCATAGAGAGTAAAGGTGAGGCGTTGGCAGTCGGCCTTGACATAGCGAAGGCATTCGATCGAGTTTGGCATCATGGTCTTCTATCGAAATTGCGTACGGAATACCAGAGGGATTATGCAAATGGGTCGCTAGTTTTTTGTCTGGCAGATGCATCAAAACCGTGGTAGACGGTAATTGCTCCGATAGCATGGACGCTGGCGTCCCGCAAGGCTCTGTTCTCTCCCCAACACTGTTTTTGGTGCATATCAATGATCTGTTAACCACAGTTAACCTTCATTGCTATGCGGATGACAGTACCGGGGACGCATATTACACGGGCCGTGCTAATATCCCTCTTTCCGTTGTGGAGGCAAACCGCGAACAGCTTATTTCTGAAATCGAGAGTACTCTTACTAGAGTCTCCGATTGGAGGCGACTAAACTTAGTTCAATTCAATCCTACTAAGACAAGCCTGCGCGTTTACCGCTAAGAAAACCTCTTTTGCTGTGGCTCCTCAATTCTAGAACACGTCCGTTACCATCTCTAAGAGTATTGGGATTCTCGGTGTCGACATCTCTAGTACTGTTGAGTTCCGCAGTCACCTGGAAGAAAAGGTAAAGCTGGCGTCCAAGAAGCTCGGTGTGCTCAATAGAGCGAGGCGGTACTTCACTGCGGACCAGAGACTTCTCTTATATAAGTCACAGGTTCGGCCGCACATGGAGTACTGCTCTCATCTTTAGGCGGGAGCACCTGGATACCAGCTCGGTTCTTTTGACTCGGTTCAGAGACATGCTATGAGAATTGTCGATGATCCCAATCTCTCTGGCGGTATCGAGCCACTTAGCTTGAGGCGAGACTTCGCTTCGCTTTGTGTGTTCTACCGATTATACAACGGACTGTGTTCTGAGGAATTGTTCGACATGATGCCGACAACCACCTTTTACCACCACACCGCTCGCCATCGACAGGGAATTCATCCCCACACGCTGGAACCTAAGTAGTCCCGAACAGTGCGGTTTCAGAGGAGTTTCCTCCCGCGTACACTTAGATTGTGGAATGAACTGCCGAGGTTTTCCCACGAGACTACAACATGGGGTTTTTCAAGAAGGGTATATTACGGTTTCTTAAGGGTCGGCAACGCGCAAGTGATACCCCTGGTGTTTCAGGCGTTCATAGGCTACGGTAACTATTTACCATCAGATGGGCCGTATGCTTGATTGCCACCATCGTAGTATAAAAAAAAGTTTAATTTAGCACTGACTGAACTGTTCTGGGTTATTATTATTATTAGAGATGTTACGAATAGCGGTTTCGCCAAATACTGAATATTTTGGTTAATATATTTATAACGGCTGGCATATTCGTTGAATTTGACAATGAATTAATATTTAACACGTATTATTTGTTAATTATATGATATATGAAATCGTGTTATTAACAGTGTGTAAAAAATATCACGAGCAACGACAGTATCCATTTTATGTTATATTATATTAGGACCACATGACCAGTATCTTAAATTTCTTAAATCTATAGTGCAATGAATATATCTAGATTTTATTCTATTATATATTATTTTACATAATGAGATTCTATATTGTTATGCGATATCTTCATGATTATTTGGTGTGCATCTTTCAGCTCAATACCGAACGAATACCTAATGGAAGCCTATTGCATCTATGGCATCTCTAGTTATTTTATTATGGTAATCTTGCTGAATCGAGAATGTGAAATGCATTTGACACAAATACAACATATTCCTGAAATCTAAAGCTATACGCGGATATAAATAAATGTACGAACAATTTTATTAATTGTATTAAAATTTTGAACAAAGACACATTAGCGACTCTGACGATTTCTGATAAATGTTGATATTGAGTTATCCCAACTCTACTATGGATATCATTTCAACAAATTAGCGCATCAAGAGTGCGACCCGATAGTACATTTGAAAAGTTTTACACAAGCTATCAAGCCCGACCCATCACTATATTGTCATCCGTTGACTACTTACTAAACCCTTAACGATTCTACTTACTCTCCATAATTTAAGACACTTATCTCTCATTTGCGCTTGACTTTGCTCTTTTAAACTTCTGTTCTTACTGAATTCTGCAATTTTCAATAAATTTGTTATTTGCTTTGCACCCAATCTGCAACAAGTATAATGATTATAAGATTAGAAATAAACTTTTTTTCTATTTTTGAATATACTACTACCATTATACAGGATGTCTGGCGGCAGATTTATGTTGTAAAATACGAATATTTCAAACAGTAATTAACGTTGTGGGCGATGTCTTTGGAATCAGCGACTGTGCGGATATTTATTTACGATATCGTGGTGGTCAAGTGATCGCGCGTTTTTCACGCAGGCATTTTTCAAGAGTAACGATTTGTATGTAATGGCTCGTGGACAATTTTCTTCACACTTCAATATTTGACAGATAAGTGATGGATCGAGTGAAAATTTAATTCGATCCTTTGTGGAGAGGTTCCGCACAAATGCTTCGGCTATGAACGCTCCACGACCAGGATCCAGTCGATCTTCAAGGACTTCCGATAACATTGAACAGGATGAAAAGAGCTTATGTGAAAATCTACGACTTTTGGTAAGGGAAATGACAGCCTCACCGCGGCTTCCAATACCGATTATCCATTTAAAAACTAAATCCTTCAAGAGCTGAAAGAAAGTGACTTTATTTTACGCAAAAAACAATTGCGAATGAATGTGCGAAGGAGCGACGAGGCATTTTCCATATAAACGGTCACGTTAATAAGCAAAAGTAGGTACAGTTACTGGCCTCCAAAAATCCAAAAACCTCGACTGAAACAACAAAATCCTTTGCATTGCCCCAAGTTAACTGCTTGGTGGACCTTAACCTCAAATTATTTTATTTAGACCATTTTTTTCCAAAATGTTTGGGGCCAGGCGACGAATATCAATTGTGAGAATTATAGACAAATGATTACAGATTCCTTTTTACCGTACCTGCGAGATCATCCATCGTTCTCATTGTACACATGGTTCCAACAATGGTGCGATGGTACACACAGCCAGAGCTTCGAATGATTTGCTTCAGGAAACTTTATCTCAAAAACTGATAAGTCGATTTGGGGACATCCCCGGGCCACCGAGGTCGCCCGATTTAACCCCAATTAAATTTTTTACGGACAACCGCACAGAGAGAGTATACAAGAATAATTTCCAAACTCTGGTGAATTTAAAAGAAAATATTCTACGAGAAATAAGAACAATTGAACCAAGTTTACCCCGTGTGGTGCGGAACTTGCACACACTGTTCAAAACAGAACCTGTTTTGAACAGTGTGTGCAAGTCGATTGGAGATATTGTGATGAGACTGTCTTTAAAAAATGAAATCCGCATAATTGTTCCATTGTTTAATATTAAAGTTATAACAATAAGCCAAATAGTTTTCTTTTTATTAAATTTTGAAAACATAAATCTGCCACCAAACGGCCTGTATAAAAAAAATTGTTAGAACAAAGTTAATACGTTTTCTTTAATATAAAGAATTATAAAGTACTTACGAACAGTTGCTATTATAAATGTAGCTATAGAAGTCTACATCTTCTTCTATAATATTCAGTGGTACAAGTTCGATAACATCATTGTCATCGTCACACAAAATCTTGTTGGCACGGAAAAGGTGTTTCTCAGCAGAATCCGTTCGATCTTTCTTTGACTTGCATATAAGATACCTTTCGGAGTTTGCTGGTCTCGAGGTCACCGGTTTGTGAATGCTTACTATAAAAATATATAATAGTATAGCACGCATTTTATGGCTTTGTATGGCGCATCGTAATATTACATAAAATGCAATTATAGGATTATATAATTATAGGATGTAGAACACAATTCTCAAGAATGGCAACGATTTATAGACTTCCATGATACTGAGTCATGTTAGCCATCTGTCCACGTGGATCATCAGCTTATTTGCCATTACAGTCGTATAAAATAAAACACGGATACGCTACACCTAAACATGGTCAAAACAAAGAAGACTTGGTCCAAACTCCTCTGATACCTGATCCTGTGCACATATTTCTGCTGTCAATGTCGTTACATATTACATTGCAGCTTGAAGATTCAGACATAGCAGTAACAAAAACAAATTTGTAAAATATTATACGCAGACACATTTCCGACGGCAAGGTGGTATCGACAATAGTAGAAATTTATTGAATTACTTAGAAGGGAAAATTTCTACTAGTTAATCCTATAGCATAAACTACGTGAAAATCTTGACGCTGACCCATTAGTTACTGTAGCCGCAAGCGCATTTACGTTGAGACGTTACAACATTGAATATACCTTGGTCAAAGCATTTATACATGATATAAATCAACCCAACGCTGAATAAGGTAAAAACATCGAACAGCTTCACCACAAAGTGGCCGCCTGGTCTCACAATCATCAAGGCAACAAGGCATTGACACAAATACAGTTGCTTTGACAATATTTCCTGAATGTTCTCCTGACCTTCCACTGAAAATCCCTGTAAGTAAAAGTTTGAATATTAGTAATGCTACAAATATTTACAATGTATTACTCCTACTACATATCTACAATAATTAATAGTACCATTTTTATTTTATTTATTTATAACTCTTTATTGCACCTTAAAAACAATCCAAAGAAAAAACAATATTCATAATGTACAGAAAGGTAGGCTAGGCACAAAAGGCGGTCTTATCGCTAAAGCGATTTCTTCCAGACAACCTTTGGGTAGAGGAGAAAAGACAGAAGGTGGATGGCGCAAGATAGAATGAATGAACATGAATAATAATAGTAATATGTCATATATATCCATATATATATACACATAACATAAATAAATATACATACATTATACATAATATAAATATAAAATTAAAAAAGTTAATTAGTAATAATACACAGTAACTAAGCAATGTGCAAATAAGAAAGAGACAATTTAGTAGAAAGGAAAGGATAGTAGAAAGACAATTTAATGAGAGAGATAGTGTGATTTTACAGCATTTTTAAAAATAGCTAATGATTGAGCGCTACGTATGGAGGATGGTAGTGAGTTCCACAGTCGCACGGCGTACACAGCGAAAGAATTGGTGTAGAAGGAGGAAGTATGGGAAGGAGTTTTAAGACATAGGTTTGTTGCACTGCGTACGCCATGATTTTGTGCCTCACCGAGAAATACAAATTTTTCTTTGAGATAATAAGGAGTTGCAGGGTTAAAAAGAATTGAATAAAGAAGAGAGAGGATATGCCAGTCCCGGCGTAGACGTATAGGGAGCCACTTGAGCTGTGAACGAAACTGAGAGACATGGTCATATTTGCATAGTCCAAATATAAACCTAATACAAATATTTTGAAGGCGCTCAAGTTTATTTAATTGGACTTCGGTGAGATCTAGGTAGCAGGTATCGGCATAATCGAGGATAGGAAGAAGTAAGGTGTGTGCAAGCGAAATTTTGGTGTCTATGGGCAGGAAATTACCCAATCTTCTGAGTGAGCCTGTGGCCATGAAAATTTTCCGACTAACCTCAGCCATTTGAACTGACCATGACAATGTTCTGTCAAAGTGGATACCGAGATTTTTGACACTGTCACTATACTCAATACATACTCCATCCAACTCTATTCGCGGAAGGGTACTCCAATTTATTTTGGCTATGTAACGTGGGCTGCCGATAATTATGGTCTGACTTTTTGCCGGGTTTAACGCCAAACAGAAAGATTTAGAATTTAAATAATGGTCATCTAAAGAAAAATTATAACCTTTTTGTTATTTGTCTTGATCTCTTAGTGTTTAGGTCTCTCGCTCGCACTTATTCAGTTTTATTTTTAATTTCCATTTCAATATTTGTATCTGATTCAGATGGAACCATATTAAAGAATACAATTTGATAAATCTTCGATTTTAATAGATTCAGAAGTAGCCCAGCAGATCTTATTAGCTTATTATCAGTTTATATCAAATAGAAACTTACTCCATCTGCCATGAGGAAATGCACACCTGTCTGGTTAGTTTGGCTCATTACATGGTCCTTTAAAGATGTAAGATTTGCTGGATCAAATATATCGCCGTCTCCTTTGATTCCATAATAAGGATGAAAAGTTTCAGGTGTACCAGCATAAAAATCAGAAAGTTTGAAATCATTCCTGCCTTTTAAGGTAAATCCGAAACCTAATAATCATAAGCATATATTAAATCAATGACAAACTGATTAGCTATGAATTCTTACTTTTTAATCAGCTTACTTTTATAGTAAGAAAATGAGCCATAATGTTAGTGTAGAGATGCATAAATACAATACGAAGAATGTAGAGACAAAATATATTTAATTTTAAATGAGTAGTGTCACATGACTATGTGATGTACGGGAAGGTGTTCATATACATAAGCGTCGCCGGCAGCTGCCACAGATCAGGCAACTACTTTTGCATTACAGTTAAAAAAAAATTAAATACATAAATCAAAATTACCTTTAGCTGTCCACCCTTTCCGATATAGAACATACTCAGAAAAGCCACCAGGACCTGCACATACGTCAGCAAAGTACAAAATTTCTTTTACTAAATTTTGGTCTGGTTTTTTTTCCGTATTCTGGTTTAACTTTTCATGCTCCGTGAACATAAAACCAAATACAGCATCCATATTGGCCATTTTAACGGCAGCGCGATTTAAAAACATTACTGAACCAATTGTTTCGTACGGATTGCTTCGAAATCTTGCATGTCGTAAATCTTCGTCATCTAAACTATCGAAAATTGTCTAAAAGAGAAAAGAATAAAACAATATATTTGGTAACAAAAGACTAGGCAGTTCTTGGCACCTATTGTAGTACACATCAAAGCTCATTTTGTGAGTATATAAGCACATTTTACAGAAATGCAGATATTATATGCGTAAACGCACAGTAACATTGTATATATGATTAGATGTAAAAATAAATGTACATTTCTTTTTAATTAGCATAATAACTCACCTTTGATTCTAAAATACCTTTCAGTACATTGGCATCTACAAAATTCGTTTCATCATCAATGTTCAGTTTTTTAGCCCCTTTTTTTAACCATTTCTGTAATTGATCAGTATGTAATGTATCATTCTGAGCAGGCGATATCCATGTCTGAAATAAGAATTACCAAAAATAGTTTGAATTATCTGAAGAATTCACCGCTCGCATCGACAGGGATATCCACACACGTATTGTACACGCTTATATTGTGGAATAAACTGCCGAGCTTTTATCTAAAGATTACAGCATGCCTTTTTCAAAATAGACTATAAACTAAAGTTTATTAAGGGTCCCAGTTCGCTAATCATTAACCATCAGGTAGGCCATATGCTCGTTTAGCATTATTCCGGTATAATATAATAGATAATAAAATAATATTTTAAATACATATACAATACTTACAGGTTTTTCTTCTGCTTCTGGTTTTGCATCATCAGCATTCCACATAAAGCTCTGTGGCAGATTACCAACAACAGATGGTTTTAAACCTAAGCCTCGTCTACCCTTTTGAGTTGAAGCTTCTACAGGTTCTACTCGACCATCTTCACGTTTACCTAGACCTCTTCCTGGCTTGAAACCCATGTTACTCATCATTCGTTTTGATTTATCTGAATAATTTTTTCCATAAGAATCATCAATATTATTGGATTGATTCTTGTAAGAAGAGTTTAAGTCAGTTATTTCCTGAAAATTTGGTCTCATCGATGACTCCCCATTGTCTGTATCATTGTTCTCTAAAACTGGCCGGTAATCATCATATCTGTCATTGGGTGAAGATTCATTTTCACTGAGACTACTACGACTACCTCTAATATTATCATCTGCGCTAGCTTCAGACGAATTAAACTGATTAATGGATTGCTCCCGTGATAAATACTTTGTAGTTCCTGACGGTTCATCATCAGATTCTTGCAAAACTATAAATAAAAAAAAAAATGTTACACCTAACAAGTCACTTTAGTATTTGTATCTCAACAAAGTCATGTAGTAAAGACATTTTTTTCGTTGGTAGTACCAAATTCTTTGGAATTGTGAATCATACTTTAGAATTGCCAAAACGTAACTAATATACATATCTTTTACTACCGATATAACTAACAGAGCATGTATTTAGTTTGTTTACAATTGTACACATTATTTAAAAGGAATATTTACAGACGGTGACAGTGACTTGTATTTTTATTTCTTTCATGAAGATATTTCTATTAATATTATTTGTATCCTATACAGTTTCCAATGGTTGCTTGTAGATTAATATTTGTAATCTCCTTACTGGAAATTCTTTAATTTTTCTACTTGAATTTCCACACTAATTTTGGAGAATATTTTTAAGATGCTGGTATATTTATTATGGATTCCTTGCGAGTTTAAAACTATCTAATCCAATGGCTTCATATCCAATAATCTATAATATAAAAATGAATCGCTAAATGTGTTGGTAAGCGCTAATCTCAAGAACTACTAAACCGATTTCGATAATTCTTTTTTTAGAATATTCCTTGAGGTACGGGGATGGTTCTTACTGAGAGAAAATATCGAAAAGAGTTTGAGCAATCTCTGTTAGGACTGTACAATACATATAATCGATTTTGGCAACGGGGAGTGCGGGGAGAGGGAAGGGGAGGACGGTAGGTAAAGAGGGTCTTCGCCTCCCCAGCAACCAACAGGGGACTGCGCCCCCCCTTCGCCCCGCTCCTCTGTTAGCTGTATTACTAAATTGAAATATAACAGTTTTACAAAAATACAAACTATAGGTACAACAACATTTAAATAATAACATACAAAGACAACTTATCCATCATAATCATAAGAGCCCACGGTCTGTCTGTACTCATCTACTTATTTATACTTACTACTTGACTGACCTGACTCACTTACGTATTGACTGATTTGGTAATAACCTGTCACTTAAAACAAAATGGCATCGCGTAATTAGTATTGCGTTTCTGTCTCTTGTCTACTTAATCTAGATGGACATAACCTCAAAATAGTGATAGGGACAATAACGGGCCATTGTTCCTTAAACAAACACTTATACAAAATTGATGCTACAGACAGTCCCCTTTGTCGGGGCTGTTTTGAAGCTGAAGAAACGGCGGCTCACATAATCCTGGAGGGCACGGCAGTGGCCCAACAACGAAAACAAATCCTCGGAACGGTGAGGTCGCTCCGTGAAGCCTGTGAAGACACCAGGAGTCTTCTGCGCTTTTGGGAGGAGCTTGGCTGGCTACTTTAGTAGTCTGGCTCTGCACGCACAACGGCCCGAATGACAGGCTAATTGCGGAGACTGGAGTCCAACATACATTTACATAGTATTGCGTTTTATTTCTCCTTTTTTAAAAAAATACTCCAAAAATATTTTTACATACATTATGATGTGTATTACAATAATAACTATTAAAAAATTACACAAAAACTATTTAAAAAAGTTTAAAACAAATAATGTCAAAAGTGTTTTGTGACTATTTTGACATATTTTAATAAAAATTTCAATAATTGATATCTCAAAAACTATGAGGTGCCGCAATTTGACATTTTAGGAATAGACTAACAAAAACAAGAACTATCAAATATAAAATTTTCAACTCTCAATTTCGATTCATTGTACAAATCTATACAATGAATCGAATACAATCACACAGTGGAGCCCAATATCTTACCTAATATTAGTTGATGTTCACAAGTTGTAGTTGAGAGTCAAGAGCTCATGCACTCTAAAAAGCCTCCTACTAGCTAAATGAAATTACAAATCTTCCCCCAAGCCTCTACACAACGCCATCATAAGGGCTTGTATAGATTACTTGCTGGACCCATGGATACACCCGCATGAAACTTATAGCCTATATGTTATTCTAATATATATGCTATATTACTGTAAAGTTTCTTCAAAATCCATTCAGTAGTTTTTGCATGAAAGAGTAACAAATAATACAATTTCTAACACACAGTTATTTTCTATACTACTACTGGTCTCCTCTGATGTATAACTGAATGAATTATGAATAACTGAATGTACCAAACTGACATTAAATTTGCATTAAATTAAAAATAAAATATCTTAGAAAACACACCTGATCCATGTGAAGTTGTAGACGAAGTACCATATGTATCTGCTCGCCTACGTTTTGTTGGTATTACAGTTTCATCCACAGAGTATTTTCGTTTTGAACTGGGTTCATCCATACTTGAATCGTCATCACCAGATGGATCTAATAATAATAATAATTTTATAAGGATGAAGAAAAACATTATTTAGGTAAAACAAAACAATATTACATATATTTATATACATATAATATTATTATTATTTCATGGCTTTGCCTGCGCATTTGTCTATTTACAGACTAGTGCATATTTTTGCCATAAATGCTTTGATTGTAAACTGTAATAAAAAAAACATTTCTTGTTAAGAAATCTTGTTAGAATATTGCAGTCAAAACCACATTAAAACCAGGAGAACCGTTTCTGAGATAAGCATGCACAAACTCATAGATAAACAGATAATCATTCTAAAAACTACCATTTGACTTCGCAAGATAATTGGAATGGGTACAAATTTTTTTTTAAATATTATGTAAAGATTGTATACGATTAATAAATAATATGTAAATTGACTTCAATGTTTGTAAGCAAAGTAGTAGATTGTAAATTTTGCAAATAATAACGTAAAATACAAGTTGTACTTACCTGAAAGATTCATTTTTGCGTATACACTAGACTAAGATACTAAGCACATGTACAAACAATAAATAAGTTTCAATTGTAATTGGTTAAAATCAATTTATAAAAATATATTTTGCCGTATTCCAAAAAAACAAAATAAAACATGTGAAACTGTCAGTGTCAAAAGGGCATGATCTTGTGGTTTATTTACTTTACTCTTTGGGCATGATTGAAGTTTATCGATGGTAACTGCTCCATTATCGTAGACGTTACAAAAATTATTAACAATTACTGTCAAATAATATCGAAACATTATTTACACTGCAGGCCATTTAGTGTGAACAAGTTATTGAGCAAAAAAGTAAACATACTAAGAAAAAAAAGCTTTTTGTTTTGGTCTAAAAAAACCAAGAAAGATCAAGTTCTATACCTATAGCATTTGTAGAGCATGCTTTACTTATACAAATCGATGTTTTTGATATCGATATTTTTCTTATTGAGGTCTATAACGACCTCATTATTTTACGTTGTTTGGGTAGCGACCAAGTATATTTTATTATAGTATCCACAGAGTACTGTAGGTATGTTTATTTATCGGCTTTTTATACACATTCAGAAAGCTATTGCACCTACTCGTAAACGATATAAAGTAAATCGCTGTAAAAGCGTAAATTATATGGTATATTTTTCTTATATGTCTAAAATAACATAAAATTACATTCATGTTTTTATAGTAAAAATAAAATAGCTTTTAAGTGGCCAAAGAAAAAGTATGGAGTTCACAACATACTTGCTGCCTTTGCAATTGCATATGTATATTGGAAAAAATATATAAAAACAAATATACAAAAAACTTAAATATACCAGTTATTGTGGTACAGAATCAGTCTGGGTAATGTGAAGTATTGAAGAAATTAAGGGTACCTACCTCCAATGTGATATTCTAATTTTATTATTTTGAGCCTTAATGTAATGGCATAAAGCTTAAAGTTGTATAGCATAATATAGTTTATTTTACTATATTATTAATATTATAAATGCGAAAGTAACTCTGTCCGTCTCGCTTTCACGCCAAAACTACTCAACCAATTTATATGAAATTAGATACACTAATTGTCTAGACCCTGAGAATGGATATAGGCTACATTTTAATGCGAATAAAGGGTTGAAAGGGGAGATGAAAGTATGAATGGAAAATTGCATTTTTGAAGCTAGAACAATGAAACTTTTAGAATCGCTTAGATTATTGATTTGATTCTTTCTTTATTTGGTCAAGGTCACTTTAAAACGCAGACGAAGTCACGGGCACAGATAGTATATAATATAGTAAAGTAATGAAGTATGGAAAGGGGTGCCCTCTACAAATTCCTATAAATACTTAAAACAAATGATTGAAAACTGTCTCCTTGACTGATAGTTCTCTCAGTTTTTGACATTCTGTTAGTTCATTCGCCTTCAGTCGGTTGCAACCTTTTTGAATTCATTGTCGTTCTTTGCGTGTTTATTACTTATTTGTTACCTTTAGTTGTTTTTTTATTTTTTCTCTTAAGTGTTACATTTTTGTTATAATTTAGTTAAAATACGTCGTGTCTTGTGTTCTACTTCATGAATAGTGACGTCTTAGTTTATAATCCTGACAATAAATGTGATTACAGCTGCTGAATGTATTCATTCGGGGGGATTCGTCCTTCCGGCTTCTAGCTATGTTACAATTTCATGCGAATCGGGTATGGCAACCGATGCGTCTTGTTCAAACCGGTCAATAAAACGCAGCCGGTTACAGAAATTTTGTAAAAATTATAACAAGCGGAGAAGAAAAAATTCTTCATATAAAATTACAGATTGCCACTGTACAGATGCCATTGAAATACAAAAGGCTCAAGTGTACAATATCTACAATCGATTTGAGAGTTGAAAATTTTATGTTTAATAGATCTTGTTATTGTTAGTCTACTCCTAAAATTTCAACTGAGGAATCGCAATCCCTTCTTCAAGGGGGGAGTCCCTCCCTCCATCCCCCTCCCACCACCGAAATCGATTGTAGGTATTGTAAAGTCGTACCCTTAGTTCATGTAGTAAGACAAGAAAAGTCTCCAAATGACGGTACTACAGTTCACCCTGTGACATTTGGTAAATTCCTCAAAAACATTATTAATGGAAGTATAAAACGCATTGGACGAAATAAAATTGCATCTCAGTTTGCCATGATGCTAATACATTCATTAACCACTACAGTTTAAATGGTCACAAATTACAGGCAAGTGTTTATATAGATTAGTATGGCAACATTTAATGTCTTGCTTGTATTACTTCTGCTACAATAAAAGTATTGAAATATAATAACAGGGTTTTTATACCAACATTTAATATTACACGTATGGGTTTGATACGAGGTGTTCCGAGTGATTGAAGTCCAGAGGAGATATTATAAAATATTTCTGTTCCTATTGGTTGTGGCAATATACTTAAAGTAAGAAGACTAAATTACGAAGTTGTAGTTGATGGCTCTCCCACCTGGAAACCTCAGACAGTAGTAGTAGTCACATTTGATGGTCAGGTAGTACCAAAAGGAATATTCATGTGTTACAATGCATTACCAGCAGATTTATACACCTATCAACTATACAATGTTACAATTGCTGTCGGTATGGTGATATGGTCATACAAAAATTCAATGCAGGTCAAAACAACATTGTTTTAAATGCGGTCAAAACCATACAGGAGAAACGTGATGTTGAAGATGCTTTTTGCTGTCTATGTTCAGGGCACCATTTTTCTACTAGCAAATCTTGTCCAGAATTAAACAGACAAAAGCAAATAAAGTTATATACGGCTGAAAATTGTATCTCATATGCTGAGGCCTGAAAATTGCACCCTGCTGTTACAAAGCCTTTTGCTGAAATCCTTTCCACACCATCCAGCACTATAAAAAATATACCTGAAACAAACAATTATAATGATATTGCTTCTAAACCATCTTATAAAAAAAACCGTATTCTTAAAACCTAAATCTCCTCGTCCATCCTATGCTGGGTATGATAAAATTGCCCATGAAAATATTATAAAAGATTTTAATATGCCCTCCCCTTCCCCTGGCTGTGCGCTTAACAGTCAGTATAAAATTAAAAGTCAATCTAATATTACAGAGTTACTATTTCATTAATTAACTTACTTGTAAGTTCTAACATAATACCGTCCCACGTTAGAAATATTAAAAAATCTACTCCATAATGGATGTTTGTTGGAAGAATATGACAGTGGTTAATTTGTTTTAAATTGAAATAAAAAGAATATTTTGAATGTACCTATTGTACGTTGATTTTAATAATGACGCTACGGAATGTTCGAGGCGTGCAAAATTGTATATTAAATAACATCGATGTTCTGTGCCTGACGTTCCAAATTTGAAATTTTAAAAGTTTATGTTTAAATATATTAAAGGGCTATTTGCGACCGCATACTGTAATGAGTTTTGTAGCCGTGTCATATTATTATCCATTGATTGTCAAAAATTGATATATTAATAGCAATAGAATTTTTAGTAAATTAAAACCATTTATTTAGTAATATGCGGTTTTAACTTATCAATTTAATTTACTAAATTTAATTATCGACTATAAAATATGGATAGATATCTCAGACCAGATAAGTTCGATGTCGACCCGTCTATTAGCTCTGCATCACGAGATTGGGAACATTGGAAAAGAACTTTTCAGAATTTTCTTGCAGCACAACAACAACAATTCGATGCCAATGGAGCGGTCTCTACTATGTCACTACTACTCCAAGACGCAGGTAAACTACAGTTACTCGTCAATCATGTATCATCGCATGTATATACATATATCAGCGAAACTAAAACATACTCTGAAGCAATGGCGGTATTAAATGCATTGTATATAAAGCCTAAGAATATCATATACGCTAGGCATGTGCTTGCTTCTAGAAAACAACGTACAGAAGAATCTATTGATGCATATATGCAAGCTTTAAAACAATTATCTAAAGACTGCGAATTCGTTGCTGTAGATGCGGAAACTAATAAGAATGAGAGCATAAGAGATGCTTTTATTTCTGGTATCTCTTCAAGCAAAATAAGACAAAGGCTGCTTGAAAATTTGACTCTTTCACTTAGCGAAGCGTATAATCAAGCGCTCTCATTGGAAATGGCTGAAACAAATTCCCAAAGTTTTAACATGCCAACAATTAACGCGATTAAAAATTCAGAATCAAATATCGAAACATCAATGGAGAGAGAAAAGTTTGTAGCGAGTACTTATCGTCGCCGTAAATGTTTCTTCTGTGGAGGAAACGTACATCCACGTAGAAATTGCCCCGCTGCAGACGTCACTTGCCAAATATGTGAGAAAAAGGGACATTTTGCAAGTGTGTCGTAGTAAGAATTACAGCGCTGCCACAGCGGAACAAGATGATGTTATGGCGTGCATTTGTTTATATCAAAGGCATAACAGCAGAAGCTCTTTTAGACACGGGCAGTTCTTTAAGTTTCATGGATGAAAAATTCAGTAAATTATGCAATCTCAAGAGTAAACCATGTCATCAAACCATTTCCATGGCTTCGTTGAGTCACACTGCTTCTGTCACTGGTGAAACGTACCAGAATATAAAAATCGGTAAACATACCTACGAAAATATAAGCTTACTTATTGTCAATAATCTATGTGCTGATCTAATAATTGGTCATGATGTCTTATCAAAGCACTGCTCACTAGAACTATCTTTTGGTGGACCTAAAGGACCACTAGTAGTATGTAATGTAGCACAGGCATCCGTACCAGCTGTCCCACTATTCGCTAATCTTTCATTTGACTGTAGACCTATTGCTGCTAAATCACGGAGATACAGTGATGAGGATAAAAAGTTCATTGAAGACGAAGTAAATAAACTATTGGCAGAAGGCGTTATTGAAGAGAGTAAATCACCATGGCGGGCACAAGTACTTATATCCAATACGGAAAATCATAAAAAGCGTCTTTGTATAGATTATTCCCAAACGATCAACAAATACACTTTGTTAGATGCTTATCCATTGCCAAACATAGAGGACACAATTTCTAAAATATCAAAGTATTCCATATTTAGTGCTATTGATCTAAAGAGTGCCTATCACCAGGTACCTATATTACTTTCTGAAAGACCGTACATGGCCTTCGAAGCAGCCGGAAACTTGTATCAATTTAAACGTATCCCTTTTGGTGTTACTAATGGTGTCTCCAGTTTTCAGAGAACTATCGATTGGGTGATTAGAAAAGAAAAACTGGAGGGAACCTTTGCTTATCTTGATGATATAACCGTCTGCGGCAAGACTCAATACGAACATGACGATAATTTAAGTAAGTTTCTAAGAGCAGCTGAAAAGTACGGTCTTACACTCAACAAAGAAAAATCTAAATTTTGTCTAACCTCTATAAATATCCTAGGATATAATATATCTAATCACGTAATTACGCCTGATAATGATCGTCTTCGACCTTTAATAAAACTGTTAGCACCAAATGATATGCCATCACTCAGGCGAGCATTGGGAATGTTTGCTCACTACTCTAAGTGGATTCCCAACTTTTCGGAACGAATCCACATATTAACCAAAACTGAAACATTCCCCTTAAATACTGAACAAATTCAAGAGTTTGAAAAATTGAAGGCTGATATTGCCAAGTCCTCAGTCCACGCTATCAACGATAAATTACCATTTACCGTCGAAACTGATGCATCTGAACACTCTATTGCAGCTGTTTTTTCCAAGACTCAAGACCAGTAGCATTTTATTCAAGAGCATTAAACGCTAGTGAGCATAATCATTCAGCTATAGAAAAAGAAGCATATGCTATCGTCGAATCATTAAAGAAATGGCGCCATTTTCTGATCGGAAAACAATTTAAATTTATTACAGATCAAAGATCCGTGTCTTTTATGTTCATTGCTACGCATACTAGTAAAATAAAAAATGAAAAGATACAACGATGGCGTCTAGAATTATCGCCGTTTAAATTTGATATTGTATATAGACCCGGTAAGGATAATTTCGCTGCTGATGCCTTATCTAGAATTTCTGCTTCAGCTGGATCTCGAACCACCAAGTTACTTTCTTTGCATGAAGCCTTATGCCATCCCGGTGTAACTCGAATGATGCACTGGCTGAAAACTAAGAACCTGCCTTACAGTATAGAGGAAGTCCGTACCATGACCGCTTACATGCAGGGTATGTTGTGAAGTAAAACCTAGATATAGACAAGATACGGATTCACAACCGAAGCTTATAAAGGCCACTTCTCCTTTTGAGCGACTCAGCATAGATTTCAAGGGACCAGTCCCATCTAATACAATGAATAAATACATACTGACAATAGTAGATGAATACTCACGTTTTCCTTTCGCTTTTCCGTGCTCAGACATTACAGCTCAAACTGTAATAAAAAATTTAAATAATCTCTTTATGATTTTTGGATTTCCATCTTATGTACACTCCGATAGAGGAACTTCATTCCTTGCTGTAGAAGTCAAAGAGTTTTTACACTCTCGTGGAATTGCAACAAGCCACTCGTCGCCATACAATCCACGAGGTAATGGACAAGTGGAGAAGATGAATGCAACCCTATGGAAAACGATACAGCTATCTCTCAGGACAAAGAATATGCAAATAGATGAATGGGAGAAAGTATTACCACAGGCTTTGCATTCAATTCGTTCACTGCTCTGTACAACTACCAACTGTACACCACACAAGCGTATGTTTGCTCATCCACGACGTTCTTCAAATGGCACGTCAATCCCTACATGGCTTACAAGCTCAGGACAAACGGTTTTAATGAAGAGGTTTAATAGAACCAATAAATATCAACCACAGGTAGAGGAGGTAGAGTTAATGCACCCAAATCCACATTATTCTCTAGTGCGATTGGCTAAGGGTAGGGAGACTACAATATCTAACAGATATTTAGCCCCAAGTGGAGATGTCACTCAACTTCCCGTTTCACTAGAAACTGAGGTCATACCATCTGCTGACACGCATTTGAGTCTGAGTGATACAACGGCTATGCCTAATTCAACTCCTAACGAGACAAGACCTACTAATTTATTAACAGAGGAAGTTGACAATGTGTCCGAAAACGTGGCTGAAGAGTCTCCAATTCTTCGCAGATCCAATAGGACTAAACATGCTCCTCAGTACCTTCAAGATTACCATTGTGACTGATTATTCAGCTGGGGAGAATGTAATGAGTTTTGTAGCCGTGTCATATTATTATTCATTGATTGTCAAAAATTGATATATTAATAGCAATAGAATTTTTAGTAAATTAAAACCATTAATTTAGTAATATGCGGTTTTAACTTATCACATACAATGGACCAAGTGGTCCAATGGAATTGTAGAAGTGTACTTAGCAAAAAAAGTGATTAAATTAATTTGATAAATAAATATCAACAACCCCTTGTTATTGCACCAACTGAAACTTGTCTTAAATAATATCTGTGAATGTGGAGAAGATGTGGGTGATTTAAATCATATTGTCTTTTCCTTTTCCTCTCACAATAATCATTTCTCTACCTTTATAGTCACCCACCTCATTCGAAATTCCATTTCCTTCATCCATTATATGCCTATTAGCTAGTCCTAGTCCTATAATATATAAATCTCTCGCATCTTTTATTTTCCGTAATAACATGATCACTAATTCCGAGTATATATCCAAAATTTAACCCGTTCTTTTCCTGTTTTTAAGTGGCATAATAGACAACACTAGCCTCCTGAGAAAGAAAACTCCACTCCATACAACGCGAAATTCATAAAGAAGCCACTCTTTTCCTTTTACACTTAACTTAAATCTATGTTAGTGGAAACGTAAATAAATGGAAGGGTCTCAAGTGTCGACAGAAATATTACAAGTGTAGGCACAAACTAAATAAATAATATTATGTTAGGAACCCTAGGTAACGTACTAACTTCTTTTGAGACGGTATTATAAGTACCTACGACGAGGCTCATCAATTACGTTACTCTTAGCTTTAGCATTATAATTATTCTATTTAACGGTGAATCTATATTTAATTTTATAGAAGTCCATTATGTAAGAATATGATATAATTGATGAGATTCAATGAATAAACAGTTTATTTTACAATAATAAAATATTAAAAAAACACAAAATACAATTACACATTTCGGAATCCGTAGTAATGGCGACAAGTTCTTTGTACGTGTGTAAGCCACAGTATTAATGAATGGGATATTTTCCATAGCTCTATGGAAATCTACTTTAGAGTATCTAAAGTACGGAATATTCTCCAGCAGCAAAAATATAATCTCGTAAACATGTCTTTCTGTTTAGGCTGTACATGGTTATTCCGTTGCCATATAATTATAAAAAGAGAATATGTTTATTCTTGAATAAAATATGGTGGGAAATACACAGAAATTATATTGTTAAATAAAGTATTTTTATTCCATCAACCTCGGACTTATTCACTTTCTGAGCTGGGACTTTACTTCAACTTTATACCGACCCTATTCGCATAGCATCGTTTGATGCACCATTGAAAATCATAATCATTAAATTAACTATTGTGTTTGATTAACTATGTTCAAAATTTCATTTGCCCGATGTAGATTTCGTAGTCGTCTGCCTTGGTGAAAAGGTGGAGGAACGTATTTCTGTTTCGAAGTATCTTGCTATGTAAGTCGTTATTCAATTGAAGGGCAAGATATGGCAGCGAAATTACAGGGATGACATTTCAGTTCTCCAGAATCAAAACGCATGAAGGGTATAGCGGGTATCACACGATGACGCAATGTTCATAATACTGTTACCATAAGTCACATGCGAGTACATCAACGGCAAAACCGGAGTTGAAGACAGTCGCCGTGACCGAAATCGGCCGGGATTATCATCATCATCAGCATCCCTGTGATATGATGTGATAAAAATGTATTTATTTGTCGCTTTCACCGTCAGATGGCTTGTTTACCGTTCCGATTACCTGATTAAAAACATCATAATATCGACATCATACACACAATCAAATTAATACAAGATGTGGTTGGTTGACCCAAATAAACCTGCCACAGGAATTATTTGGGCTAACTGTGGTTATCATAGGCATTTTTTATAACAAATGTTTACAGCCTATGCCTAGTCAATCATACAAGATCTTGAGATGTTAAAGCAGCCTTAAAAAGTAATGAATTAATTATTGTGATTATTTTTTTAATCAACACTATTTTAATCATGATTGAAATCAATTAATTGATTAAAAAAGTAATATATTACTGCCACACTGTAGTGCAGCAAAAAAAAAAAACTAGCGATGGTAATAGTTACTTATACTTTAGAATGTTATTTTCCTTACGGTTTTAAATCTCCTTGGAACAAACATTATAAAAGTTAATACTACACCACCTAATAAAAAAAATATTGTCTATCAAATTACAGTTTATTACAAATTATATTTCATAACATGTCTTGGCTTCAATTTGTCAGAGATGTCACAAACAAAAAGGTATTTCCAGTGCATTCAAAAGTACGCATTCAAGTTTCATTTATTTGTCAATTACACCAAGTATTTATATTGATGCAGTAATTAGTGTCCCAACACTTTCACTATCAAAGATCTTTTAATTTCACTTAATTTCTTTGACATAGGCATCAAGCTCTGCATCCAACTGTTCAGCTGTAGGAACTGGACGTTTGCCGCGACCAGCTCCACCGCGTCCTCTACGCACGCCTCCTCCACGGCCACCACCACCACTTTGATTTGGTCTATTTGCTCCTGGACCTATAAATGTTACTATTGTTAATTATAATAAAAGACTCTCTGTTACCTGTTATTTACAACAGGGCAAAACTTAGTAATTGATTTTCTTAATACAATTAGTAATAATTGTACCTCTATTTATATTTCTTCTTACTGGAGCACCACCTCCACCACCAATTCTGCCTCTGTCTTCATTTCGGAAGCTACTAATTTCTGATGTAGCCAATTGTATATTCATTGCCCGTCCATCTAATGGGACTCCATTATACTGTTTCATAGCCTTTAAGGCATCTGCTCTTCTTTCAAAAACAACATCAGCAGTTCCTAAAAATAAAAAAACTAAGCTTAAGTATCTGTAATACTTTTTTATACATAGTACACATAAATACTAATTGAAATATATGAAAATTTAATTTTCTAAATCACAGGTTTACAGAAAGCAAGAACCAGAGAACTACACAAAAATATTTTTTTTAGAACATATTATACTGAATTTAATTTTATATATGTATAAATTCAATTACATATAACAACATTATAAATTCATGACAGGATTGGATTTTATTTTATTTTGTTGGTGAAATACTATTACACTATTTAAAAAGTTCTTAGAATATAGCTATGTTAATCTTTAGTTGCAATTTGAATTCGTGTAGATATACTACAAAAGTAGCTATCATTATGGTTGTTTATTCAACTGAAGTACTACAGGTGTGAAGTACAAATACAATATGCTTACCCAAAGATCTGCCAGATCTATCATAATGAACAGCAGCACTTTTAAGAATGCCAAATTCTGAAAATAGTTCTTGAATATCTGAATCTGAGACTCCAAAATCCAGATTGGAGACTAACAACTTAGTGGGACCAGTTGTGATAGGGCCACTTCTAGGAATCTTCTTGTCGCCAAAGTCACTGAACATGTCATGTTTCCATGTGCTGTTTACATCACCCTGAAATAGGTCGTCCTTCATAGAGCATGCCAACCGGCCACTCCCAAGGCTCTTTGAGTATGAATACACTCAAAATGCATGGTAAACACTTTTCATTATTTTACTAATATACAATACCATATAAAATTTGACAATAAACAGGATTCTATACAAAAATAAACATTTAACATTTTCAAACAAAGGAGTCCATTATTTATACTAGTCCCACAACAATTGCACAGCACTGATACTAATTCCATATGGAAATCAAGGTGAATGGTTTACAGTTCAATATTTCTCACATTGATGTTGTGCAAACACTACATGTAAGACATCTTGATCCATGAAACAGCAGGTTTTGGGTCAACTGTGAATTGATATTCTGCTAGATCTGCTACATGAAACCGCTTCTCTTCAAGTTCTGAACAACTCGGCACAGGCCGCTTTCTCCAAAAGACCCAACGAGTTTTGGCTACTATTGCTTATAAACACCATACAGCTGGCCAAAGCCAGCGGAAGGCGAATTTCCACTGCAGCAAACGATACACCGCGACATACACTCTCTAAATACACCCAATTTTATAGACTCCCAATATTAAGTAGAAAAGGTTAATTTAACAAATAACATTTGAAATTGCTGTTCAATTTTTTACATGGGTATATAATGGTAGTTTTATTAACTTTACTTCCAAAAATGTACTGTATTTGCAGGTTTTCAGCATTTAGGATTGTAATTCGCAGGCGAACCTAATAATTACGGCAGGGGTCACCACCCAAGACTACCACGTTTGTCCGCCATTTGTAATTATTTAGTCATGTAATTATTGGATTTACCCTAGTATAATTTGTAGGTTTTGTTACGCTGCCACGATTCCTGTTTCTTATTACTCCACCAGGGCGACCATTACGAAAACCACCTCGTCCAGGTCTTCTATTAGTATCGAATTTTCTTCCTGCTCCACCACCACCTCTGCCCTTTTTACTTGCTTTTATTATGTCGTCTAAAGCCATATCAATACGATCAACCATTTTTAATATTTAGTAAGAATAATTATATTTCCTGAATGCAGATAAATAGAATTTTAAAAGTATTTAAAATTTTAAAAGACAGAACAATGATTCGATAACAAATTACCAATACACCATTAAAACAATTCAAGATGGCGGTAGGTTGGCGGTCGGCGTCACCAGCAGGGTTGTCAGCAGCCAGCAAACGAAAATAACCAACGAACGTAATAATTGTTACCAGTTCCAGAAATATTACTGGAGATACGCAATTACATTGTTTATTTACGGCCTTTAGCATTCCTAACCTAATTATTTATTACATGATACGTTTGCAGCTTTTGGCATTCTAGTTTTTTATTTGCTAGCAACACCACTTCATTTATCCAGTTTCTTTTGCCTACATTCGTTCCTATATTAGTGTCCATGGTTAAAATAGAAATATAGAATTTTGTCTCCATATTTTTGAGTAGCAACAACATTAAGCTGTAATCCAAACATTATTATATTTTAAATATCTTGTTATCTATTTTTCATATAAAACATCATAATGTGTATTCAATATCGTAAATATATCTTCAGACATTTATTTCATATCTCTCCTTAACTTCTCTGATCCATATTCCAAAATCCAAAAATATCTTATACCAAATCCTATATTTTCCCCAAGCTTTGATATTGGCAAATGCACCATAGTCCAAGCCACTGCAAAAAATAAAACGATATATTTATTACTCCATCATTCTTGAATATTGATTTTTAGGCGGGAACTTTCAAAGCGACTACACATATTTTTCGCGCTAGTTTTGGAAAATAATATTTTATTGAGTTTTTTTAGTCAAAACTAGTAAAGATGACGAAGAGGAGCGGGAAGAAGCGAAAAAAGAAAGAGGAAATATCGGATGATACATCCGATGATATTAATTTTCTAGGGTCTGACTCGGAATCGGCACCTGAGGATGTGGATAAGTATAAGGCATTTCAAATACCAGATTATGTTCGGTACTATCCTGAGGATGGTGGAAACTTTGAATACATTGTATTTATGGAGAGTACAGATAGTAATAAGCCAATCGGTGATAGGGATATGATGTCCTTAGCTACTAATTTGAAAAAATATAATAAAGGAGTTAAGCAATTATTAAGGATGAATAAATTTAAGATCGGCGTCATTTTTGAACGCCCCGGTTTAGCTAATGCAGCCTTAGTTAATAAAAAATTTCTAGACGGATTTAAATTAAAGGCAAGTATACCAGCTTCAGCCACGGAAGTAACTGGAGTAGTTCAGCATGTTCCTACGCATCTATCGAACGAACAAATATACTCTAATATAACCAGCTCAAAAAATATTGTTTGTGTACGCAGATTCATGAGGCGTATTAAAGGTGATGATAACACCTTTACAATGCAGCCAACTAAAACCGTCTCCATCACATTTTCCTGTCCTGTACTTCCTGACACCGTCGACCTGAATAGCTGGCGCTTTGTGGTGAGGCCTTACATACCTCCTGTAAAGCAGTGTCTTAAATGTTTAAGGTATGGTCACATCGCTAAGTTTTGTAAGAACGCTGAAAGATGCTCAGTATGCGGAAATAATCATAATTTCAGAAACTGTTCGGCAAATATTAACGAAGCCAAATGTTGTCACTGCAATGGTAATCATATAGCCATTTCATCACAGTGTCCTATTAAGAAAAAGAAAATAGAGGAGAATAAAAATAAAGTACAAAGTTATGCTGATATTGTTAGAGAGAAATCATTTCCTCAATTAGGCAGTACCAAAACTTCACCTTCGGCACAATTTATATCCCTACTTAATTCTGACCAAATTTTAAATACCCTATTAGAATCAATTGTTAAAATTATAACATTGAATAGAACCAATGACAAAACAATATGTACAGAAAATATAAAACAAGTTCTCCTAGAGACATTACAGAATAAAAAAAACCCAGATTAATCTTTCTTTCTTTAATTTTTTATTTCTTTATGGACCATATAGTAATAGTCCAGTGGAATGCACAAAGTTTAGTAAGTAATCAACAAATCTTTATACATTTTCTATCGGAGAACAATATTCATATTGCTCTGATATCAGAAACCTGGCTAAAAGCCTACTATAAATTAAATATTAAAGGCTTTAACATTGTTAGATTAGACTCAGGCAATGACCACAACGGCGTTGCAATTTTAGTTCATAAAAGTATAGAATTCAGTAAAATTGATACATATAGTGATGATTCCTTACAGAATATTGCGGTACGATTAAAATATAAAAACACAGAAATGTCAGTTGTTAGTTTTTATAGCCCAAATAATTGTAGTCCACGTTTTAACAAAAATAAATTCAGTAATCTTCTTAATAGTATTCCAGAGCCCATGTTGGTTGCTGGTGATTTTAATGCTCATCATACAGCATGGGGTTGCTCGTCTATTAATGCTCGCGGTCGTGACATTCTTGAATGTATTGATGGTAACAACTTGGTCCTCTTAAATTATGGTACACCGACTACAGTAGGATCACACAGATGGCAGAGTAATGCGCTTGACCTTACTATTGCATCCCCTTGCATATCTCTTGCTTCACATTGGATAGTACATAATGATCCCTTAGGTAGCTACCATTTACCTGTAATAACAAAAATAGTAATTAATAACAATTGCTCTAGATTACCAGAATCCTTAGATTATCCCAAATTCCATAATTACAATCTTATAGATTGGACTTTGTATAAGAAGACCACAGATAGTTTGTTACAAGATTTTACACTTTACACTTATAGTAATTCACCCCTGCAGTGTTATACTAAATTAATTGATATTTTAAATTTAGCTATAGACAAATGTTGTATATCAAAATCAAAACCCATAAGCTCTACAAATGATATTCCTTTTAAAAATAAAAGGATTCCATTACCTTGGTGTAATAAAAAATGTACTCTTGCAGTAGATAACTCTAAACAGGCATATGTTAATTTTAAAAACGACCCATCAGAGGCAAATTATATTGCTTTTAAAAGGTTCATTCATTCATAATTTAAGAGCTACGCTCTTGTCGGTGGAGCTCTTGCCACTTTCCGCGATCTTCCATCATGCTCTTTAATTCTTGATAAAAGGTTACAAGCCAAAAAAAAATTAATACTTAAAAAAGAACAATCAATTAGCTGGAATAAGTTTTGTGAAAATTTTAATCGCACCACACCCATTTCCAAAATTTGGAATACTGTTAAAAAATTCAATAAAACTTATGTATATAGTCAGATTTCAAATAATAATAACTGGATTTCTAATTTTCTTAAAAAATATACTCCTGACACTGTCGAGACCCAATTTAAATCACACATTAATGAAAATAGTAACAAATTAAATTATTTAAATAAACCCTTCACTTTTTATGAATTTAATGCAGCCATATCTACCCGAAGAGATACAGCATTTGGTCTCGATGGCATAGCATATAAATTATTAAAAAACCTCTCTTATAACTCTAAAAATATTGTTTTATGTATTTATAATGCACTGTGGAAAGATTCACTTATTCCTTCCGATTGGAAAAAAGATTGTATTATTCCAATTTTAAAACCAAACAAAAATGCAAATGAAATAGATTCCTATAGACCTATAACTCTGACCTCCTGCATGGGAAAAATATTTGAGCAATTATTAAAACAAAGACTAGAATTCTACATAGAGAGTAATTGTTTATTACCAGCAAATCAGTTTGGTTTTCGTAGAGGTAAATCTGCCTCTGAGAGTGTTACTCATCTTCATATTGATATATTTAAAGCACTTAAATGCAATGAAGTTTTGATTGGGGTATTCTTTGATATTATCGGTGCATTCAATAATGTCAATCATCACATTCTCACTCTGGAACTTGTTTCTATTGGTATACCTGGAAAAATTATAAACTGGGTCTATAACTTTTTAAATGGTAGAGAAGTTTTTGTTAAAGTTAACAAGCAGTTAATAGGACCTCGTCTTTCTTATAAAGGTGTGTGTCAAGGTGGAATACTTAGTCCATTACTCTTTATCCTCTACATACACAAACTTAATTTAATTTTAGGACCACATATCAGGAATCTTCAATTTGCAGATGACCTTGTGAGCTATGGCATGGAAAAAAGCCCAAGATAACTCACCTAAAAATAATTGGTAGCTTGTTATATACTTTTCAGGCCCAGACATTAATAAAGTTACAGAAATAATAAGTAATGCATTGTTAAGATTAACAGATTACTTTAAATACCTCAATTTAGATGTAAGCCCTGACAAATCTAAAGTAGTAATATTTTCTAAAACTAATAAATCATACAAAAACATTAAAATATTATATAATAATTCACAACTACCTATTACTGCTGAAGTTAAATTTTTAGGTATTATTTTTTGTAGCAATTTGTCTTGGAACAAATATGTTGATTATTTACTAGGTAAAGCTTCCAAAGCATTTAATATTATCAAAGCTCTATATAAATGTGATCCTAAGATCCTTTTAATGCTGTACAAATCCTTGATTCGCAGCCACTTTGAATATGGCTATCTATGTTTTGGTTCTGACCAAAACAAGCTTCATAAACTTGAAGTACTTCAGAATAATAATTTAAGATACATAACTGGTGCAATGAAAACAACCCCTATAAATTCCTTACAAGTAGAGTGCTGTATACCACCATTAAACCTGAGATTCTGGTACTTAAAACAAAGATTCATCCTAAAATTATTATCCTTTTCTGAAGACCCACTCTTACAAAAGCTCAAACATATTACTTCTTTATTTCCCCTTTCTAATTCTAAAACAGTTCCCTATATACTTCATGATTTCTCTGACTCAATTAATATTGATCAGCAATACAAAATTCACAAAAGCAATAGATTTTGGAATTGTTACCATGGACCATTTGAAAGTAAATTTCCAAATATTAATATTGTAATTGACTCTGAGTTAAGCACCAAACAAGAAGTTTATAACAAGTTGTCTACATTTTCAACTCATCAATCCATATTTACAGACGGTTCTAAAAACGAATCGAGAACATCCTTTGCTCTATACTTACCAAGTATCAGAACCGGTCATGGAACTAGAATACATAAAGAATTTAGTATTTTTTCAGCAGAATCTTTGGCTATTTTAAATGCACTTTGTTATATAAAAGATGATAGGGGCAATTGCAAAAAATGGTTAATTGTCACAGACAGTATGAGTGTTTTAACTGCTCTTCAAAGTAACAAACTACATTATAAAACCAATTATATCATAGATAGCATTAAGCAAATATTATATGAGCTCTCATTGGAGTGTTATGATATTATTTTATTATGGACACCATCACATATTCGTGTTTTCGGTAATGAAAACGCAGATTTCCTGGCAAGAACTATCACCAACAATGACATTGGCGTTGTCAAGGATGTTGCCATACCTTATTCCGACATTCTTTCTATAGTTTACAAGAGTTTTCGTCAAAAATGGATTGAACAGTGGCAACTTTCGCTAAAGACCAAGGGTAATTGGTTTTACTCCATTAACAAAAATATTCATTCCTCACCCTGGTTCACTAAATCTAGAGTTTATAAAAACCGGAAATTTTACACACTCCTTATACGACTTCGTTTTGGTCACGCTAGATTCAATAGTCATTTGTGCCGAATGAAAATAATTGATTCAAATGCATGTCAAGAGTGCAATAACAGCAGTCAGACCCTAAATCACATATTTTTCGAATGTTCCGCTTATAATATTCAACGCTTGGTCTTTATTGATAATTTACTGAACATTTACAAGAAACCGGAAAAAATCCCGCGCGACATCCAAGACATGCTAACTAATTTTGAAACATATATACCTATATATTTATACGTTACCTCGATATCGATGAAACTTTAAATAATTGATACAAGGATATGGACTACGGATAAGACTTAAATTTTGAACACGAATGAAAACATAATAAATAACTATATACATAAGAATTGGCCTTTGGCCTCATCACTTGTTCAAATATGAAGTTTAAAAGTAGACTAGGCTGTACGGTCTAAGGATCTTTACCTGTTCCATCACTGAAAAGGAGATGGACGAATATGGAAAAAAAAAAAAAAACATTCTTGAATATCCTCAGCACAGAGTACATTTGTATATGTTCCGATGTTCTGAATTTGATTATTTTTATGTCATATTTGTGAGTTGTCTGTTATTTTTATCAGTAATTTGGATCGTCTAAGATTTGTGTAGTATTAGATCAAATTCTTATATTTGCTTATAGTGTAATAGCATTAATCGTTTCAAACTCAAAATAACTAATAATTCAGTTTACATATGGATTAATATAACTATCTAGCCTATGTAATAAATATTATGGCTTTAAATAAATATATGCATCAACGCAATATTTATAGAACCCCACCTGATTTTGGAAAATTAGCCAAAATGTATCCAGAGTTTAATAACATTTCTAAAATGGTACTTTTCCGTATTATGTTTTCTCTTTTTAATTTATTATATTTTATTTTTTAATTTATTATATTGATATGAGTTTATAGTGTATAGAATATAAAGATAATAGATTTTTTTATAAGTAGTCAGTCAAGTATCAAGCTAAGAGTAAACATTTTTTAGGAACTGCATGTATTCACGAATTACATGAAACATGATTAGAACATTACATTTATGGCGTGTTATGTATTGTAGATTAATTGCAATTATGAAACAATTTGTTCATGTTGTTTATGTACTTTTATTTTTGTTTATTCGACCCATTTATTGTATTTTTGTCTGTAATTATCAACAACTAATGTGTTACTTTCTTAAAGTGATAACAATAATAAAAAACATTTACTAGCACCATTAGTACCTTTATATATTGTTGATTAAATAGAAAAATGAATTTTTTCAAAATAAGAAGCTAGAGTTGTCTCCTTTTCTATAAGTCAATTAAATTAACCACACCATCTTAATCATTATCTAAATACCTACTTTTAAAATATAGAATAAAAAATCATTTATTCAAATAAACTTTACTTAAGCACTTTTGAATAGTCAAGATTTTTTTTTTAAATCTACTGCTTATTCGGAAAGCTTTCTCATCACAAGAAGAATAAGCAAGAAACTTGTGTGTTGCTCTTTTAAACAATCCTTGTAAGTTCAAATTTTACTAGTTTAAAGGACAAAACAATTTAAATAAACTAAAAAAAAAACATTTAATCCTTGTCTTGCAAAAAATTTACTTTTTGAATACTGCCATTTTTCTATTTAACCGATGATATTTTAGAAAAATATTATTTCACAAAATCTAGTGCAAAAGACTAACAAAATATTTTTAACAGTTAACAATATTTTCAGGATGTTACTGGTAAAGTAACAATTGACTTCAAAGATCCACATGCACTGAGAGTGTTGACAAAATATTTACTCAAAGATGATTTTGATCTTGATGTGGATATTCCTGATGATAGATTAGTTCCCACACTACCATTGAGATTAAATTATATTTTATGGATTGAAGATCTTTTGAATGCTATAGGACAGACAAATAATGTGTGGGGTGTAGATATTGGCAAGTTATAGTATTTCATGTATTCTAGATACAATAATTTATTAAAACATTTTATTTAGGTTACACTTTTAAATTTACATGAAAATATTTTTTTATACTATCTCATATAAGATTTATGTACCAATATGGTAACAAATATGTCATAGACATGGAATGTCTAAAAACAGCAATTTGAATACCCTATTTTTTAGGCTTGAACAGTATTTCTGCCCTTTCTGTAGTAAAACAGTAAGATATGTGGAAAATACTGCTTATCACTCTCCATATTTAAAAGGGCACCAACCAAAAACTACCTAGAATTAATTGGATTTTTTCACACACAAGCCTTGCTAAATGAGCTCTCAAACCATATAAAAATTATATGGCTTAAGTGTGAACTGGGTGGCAAACAAATACAATTAAATCCTCTGCCAGGAAAAAATGAAATTACTTTCCAAACAACCTAATAAATTATCAATTCAATTAATTATTATATGTATTACTAGATGCTATTATAAAAAAGTTTTTTTATTTGGACAAAAAAAAAAGTGAAACTTATTCACCCAGGTACTGATGTGTATGTTTTATGAGCAGTATTTTTTTTTAATACTTTTTCATCATTAGAAGTACACTTTGCTACTTAATATGAAAGAGTAGTTGAACTTTCTCCCTTCCTCTCTCTTTCACTTTACACCTCTGTATATAACTTATTAAATCTTTACATTTTCTTTACATACTAATTGTCATTGCAGGTACTGGAGCCTGTGCCATATATCCTTTACTAGCCGCAAAAAGAAGCCAATGGCATATGATTGGCACTGAGACAGACGATTTAAGTTTTCAGAAAGCACAGGAAAATGTGAAACAAAATTGTTTGTTTGACTTTATAGAAGGTGGTTTTTATGTATATTTCTAATCCTGTTGTGTATATTTCCTATCCTGTCTAATTAACATGCAAAAGGACCAAAAATAAAAAATTACATATAAAAAGTTGCGCCATATTGATATGCTCTCCAGCGCCTAGTATATTATATTTACGTTTTATATGTATATTCCTTTCCAGTTAAGAAAAATATGACCTCCTCTATCATCGAGCACTTATTTACAGATGAGATCAAGCCAGTGTTAGACTTTAGTATGTGCAATCCTCCATTCTATAGTAGTGTTCAAGAACTCTGTGAATCTCGTAGTCCTGCCAGGTAAAATGGTTGAGATACATCAACATTTTTTGTTTTTTTATATAATTGTAGGCACACCTGAAGGTAAGTGATAGCCGTGGAGTACATATATGAACAGCACTATGGAGATTGCATTATCATATCATACCATTCATGCATTGCCATTCCAGAGGACTAAAATGTTTATGCCTCTTGACGGTTGAAATAGATGAGACTGAGGTGTTAACGCAGACGACTTGTGCTACCTCTGATTAATTATAATAATAATATTTATTTCAGTTATAGGTTATGTTACATAATTAAGTTGTACATAAGAGTCAATACAATTTGAACATACAAGTGTAATTGTGCCATCTGAACTAGTATAGAATTATACTGTATCTCAGATATCACATACCTTCCCAGTGTGCATATTATTTCACTTATTAAATTAATTATAAGATACAGTAAAACAGTCGTTTTGTTACGTATATTGTGTTTATCCATGAACTTGTGATTAATGATGCCTAAACACTTTTTTCAAAGTATCACTTAATGTCTGTTTGAAATCCAAGCACCTGATCCCCTCTTCGTAAATATGGGCATAGTTCAGTTTTTCAGTACCAGACAAAATCATAGTGATCATTAACATTTGACTGGAAATAATAAATGGTGACTTCAAGATAGGTTTGTACCTAAAATAATGAAGGACAATAAAGTCATTGCCACTTGTCAGAATGCCTACGTATCAGTATAATTTATCTTACTATGTTAGTAGTACTATACTTATTATAAGAACTGCCGACATTAAAGGTAATTGTAAATTAATATTACTTGTTTTTAGATTACCACCAAAAAATGGATTCACAGGATCTCCACAAGAGCTTATTACCGAAGGTGGGGAGTTACAATTCTGCCGAAAATATTTGAAAGAAAGTAAAATGTACAAAAATAGAATACTGTAAGTGGCTACATTATCAAGTGTTTATTTATCATATTGAGTTAAAGAATCTGCCAAACTGCCCTACTGTGACTTTATATATAAATACATCTTGCGACTTTGAGACAAAACATCAAATAATAATATATTAGAAAACCAGTTTTTATTTTATATTCAAATAATTCTCTTCTCTACCAACTATTGGAAATTTACATGTCGATGTTTAACTTTATTAATAATGTAGTCTATGCAAATGTACTATTCATAATAATTTTGAATTTTGCAATACAATATTATTTATTGACTTTGCTGCGCTGAAAGCGTCGTGGCTTGGTCGTTTACTATTTTTACTCTCTAGTGATAAAAACAATACCATGAGACAAGAAAATTATACAAGCGAGTATGTAGGTTCGTGTTCTACCACGTTAGTTTCAAATATACTCACCAATTTGCGGGCATGTCAACTTTTGCGTTCTCTAAAATGACGACAGTTGATTAAGTCTCTACTATTATATGGTGACAAATTTTCGTATTATTTCAGTATTTATACTACAATGATAGGCCACAAATACAATTTGAAAGAGCTACTACAAGATCTTAAGTCGGAAGGTATAACACATACATACACGGAGTTCTGCCAGGGCCGAGTGACGCGATGGGGACTAGCTTGGACTTATGAAGACTTTAATATCTTTAAATTAGGTATGGTAATAATATTACTTTAAGATTACATTTGGATAGAAGGGGTAAAATTACAACATAAGAGGTATGACATTTTAGTCCTCTTGAATGGCAATGCATGCACGTGATGTCCGAAGTGCTGTTCATGTATATAGGCGCCGCTTACAGTTTTCCATCATGTGTCAGTCATCAGACTGTGAGGTTGCTTGAATCACGCAGATAAGGTAATGCCTAATATTCAGATTTCTATCAAAGATGAAGTAAGACTGGTTTCTAACTCTCTATAAATTGCGCAATGAAACGGGTCAACTTAGTTCCGTGCTGCCTTTTGCAACGATCAAATGGCGCTTGTGCTCATCATATCGACAGATTTTTCTTAATGATAATGATAACCACATTGTTCTATATCTTAAATATTAGTTAAGAGAAAGTAAGCCCTGGAAGTAAATGCTGTTTGTTTCTAAAACTGATAGTAAATATTTTATAATTTGTTAAATACACCTTTTCAGTGCCTCCAAGAGACCAGCCACGCAAAAAGCACGCACCAATAGTGTATTTGGTACCTTCATTAGACAATACCCCTCACAATGTGGATACCGTAACAGATAAATTGATAATCATTTTAAATATGTTAAGCATATCTCATAAAGTTATTAATAAAAGAGGTAACAACATAATATTAGATGTAACCGCAGCAAAAAATACTTGGTCAAACCAAAGACGGAAAAGAAGACTTATGAAAAAATTAGAATCAAATGATCCCAAAAAAATAAAAATAGATGACACAGAATGCATATATAGTTCTAGTACAACTGGTAATGATATATCTATTACTGAAATTACTAATTCAGGAGAATCAAATACTGAAAACAACGGTTACAACATGAAACCACAAACTTCAACTGAAAATAATGAAGGTGCCTCAGCCACAGAGTCAATAGTACACGCAATATTAAAAGTATTGAAAAAAGATAATGATATTCTAATGCAGATGGAATATCTGGATGGAAATGCAGGAAAGGAGGGAGTGCATCAAATAGTTCAATATATAAAAAATAATTGGAAATAAACTTGCTTGTTTTATTAGTTATGATATATATATTTTTTACTAATAAGGAAATATAAAAAAGATTTATATGTTGAACAGTGACTTGTCTCAAACAAGGCTAAACTTATACTGTCTTATCTTATTATTAATATTATAAACACGAAAGTTTGTGAGTATGTATGGTCGTTTGTTACCCTTTCACGCAAAAACTACTGAAGGGATTATGATGAAAAAAAATACCTTTTCCGTATTGTATTATTAGTTGGGTCATTGGGCGTAGCGACCAATGCACTAACCGAACGGCATAGGACAACCGTCGATCTGAACTGACTATTATGTAACTGCAGTTATTAATTATTATTGTTATTATCGTGAATTGATGAAAAATTACATCGTTTGCATATACATAGTAGTATAGTATGTATTGTGTTGTGTACAATTTTGTAGTCTGCTCTGTGAATTTGTGTGCTCTGTGGCTGTTTCACTTTCAAACTGTCAATTAGTGTCAGTCACACACTTCTCCCTTATCTACCCTATAGTTTTGTTTATTAAAATCTTAAATGTAATGTTTCTTTTGTAAATATCGTAAAATATTCACGTTTAATAAAAAGATTACCACTGCCATTGAAAGATATTTTTATTATTGTGATTATCATAAAATGGAATCCGAATTAGCTAATTCAGAACAGCAGCCAGAATCACAAACACAGGATTCTGCAGCGATAAATAAAACAGTGCCAGATACCTCTGCTGCTGCCCCACCTATATCCACCTTAACTACTGAGACTAGCACTATGGTGACATCTGGAGTTGTAAAGGACCTTCAGAAACCATCTCCAAGAAAGCCTAAGAAACGAAAACCCAAAGTACCTCGTGATGTTACAGCACCTAGACAACCACTAACAGGTACATGCACTATATAATTCCTGTTTATTTTTCATCTTACTCTAATACATAATGCGCTTATAATAAAATTTAGTATTATATGTGTACTATACTCATATCCATTATATGTGAAAAACTTTCCTATTGATAGTACAGAAAAGTATAACAAATTGAGATTATAACTATTAAGAGTTTAAAATTTTATAATTAACAAAAGAAATTTCTATTCTAAATTAGTTTCCCATTCAATCAAATAAAGTGTTATACCATATTCACAAAAACAAACTACCATTGATTACTGAATTTGAAGGAAAGATGAAATGTATTTACAAAAAATAAATAAAAATACTGTACTACTTTGCAAGACAAATTTTATAACTTTCTGAAAAATACTAAACACGAAAAAAGTTAATTTTATTTCAGTAAGGATAAACTAACATATTTATTTTAAAAACAGAATTTTCTTTTGTTTTATAATTATCAACACTGAAAATATATCTATGTTGTGTACTTCATGCCAGAATATATGTATACTTTTAAATAGTGTCTGATGAATAAATTTATTATTTGGTATTACTCCAGGATATGTGAGATACTTAAATGAGCGTCGTGATCAGTTACGCGCTGAGCAGCCTGACTTGGGGTTTGCTGAGTTGACTAGACAGCTGGCTAGTGAATGGAGTAAATTGCCTGCTGAAGAAAAACAACAATATTTGGATGCAGCTGATCAAGATAAAGAAAGGTATATTTAATTATAATTTTTTAAATTATAATTATTTATTTAATAATTTAATCATTTTTTTAAATTATAATTAACAATTACTATAAAAAAATCTTTATGGAAGATGTATGATTTCTTTAGTAGGAAAAGTTTCTTTAGTACACAAATATTTAAAGAGAGTTTAAGGAAAGGTGTTAATAATTCATAATATATGGATATTATAAAAGCAGCAATTAATATTTCTTCAACTATATGCAATATCACCTATGGTTGATTGGTAGAAAATTACGCATGGTGTTAAGTCTGCCAAATTAAATGTACTATATTTTGTTTTGTGTGCATTGAAGTAAATAAATAAATATCAGTTATGACTTCTTTAAAGCATTTTCAGCTAATATGTAATTGATTATTTGTTGTTAATAATGATGTTAATTTATTGATTTTATTAGAAGTGATATTATAGATTTTATTACAATGAGATTAATCATTTTATGTTTTAAAGGTATATTCGTGAGTGGGCAGAGTACAAGAAAACTGATGCATATAAAGAATTTAAACGTCAACAAATGGAACATAAAGAAACAAGTATAGCATGCAAGAAAATAAAGCAGAGTTCTGTGCAAGATACCACAACAGCCATGCCAAGTAATTATTTTTATATAATAAACTGCTCATATTTTTATATTTTATGCATATAAAAATATGAGTTTTTTTTTCTTAGATGTGAATACTCAAATTCACATCTAAGTAAAATTGGTTTATAAAAAGATGACATAATTCTATTTGATGTTATATAAACTTTTTCTTTGATATTTTAGTACTCAATGGGTTTGTAGCTTGACATACAGGCAATTCACTGTGTTTATCACTAATTATTTAAATATATTAGGATATTTCTGATTGTCAATTTGTTAATATTGGTTAGCAATTTGCAATTAACTAAATTATGATCAAAATTTTGTTTTTGGAGGTGCTCAACAGTCTACTGAACAAAGTGTTGCTACCATTAATGGCTCCACAGTGCCAGTGACCCCACAGGTGCAACGACAACAAACTCCACCTCGGCCTAGACCCTGCATAACACCAGCTTCTGTAAGATAATAGTCAAATAATATTTATTTTCATATATGCATGTAAAGTTATTTGTTCTTTGTGGTGTATTTAATTTTTAATGTGTTGCTGGTCTAACCTCCAGGTCATATTCTAAATCCCATGAAAAGAAAAGTACAAGTAAAAGTAATAAATATAATATAAGGGTTTGACTGTGCATAAAACATGCATTTTATACATGATCTAAAATCAGTTGCAAAATAATGTAATAACAAATGGAAAATGGTTAAGTTTGTTTCATATTTCCCTCTGCTTAAAAATTATAGACCTGTTTTACTAGTTTACCATCTATTCCATATTAGAGCAGTATTATGTGACAGTCATATTCCAGAACTATTTTTCCAAGCTTGTTCAAGCTCATATAGTCAAATTGGGACTAAAAGCTTTTTGGAATGGGGACAAAAGAGAGCTGGAGGTTAGTAATGTGGATTGAAGATCTAATTCCTAACAATGTACCTAATATAAATGTAATAACTAATGTTGGGATGACTTCCATGCGGTTCCTCCTGGAAACCATTGTGATTCACTAAGAATTTTGTCACGATGGACTGTGACCTCACCTCATGCTCATTTTATTGTCCTTCACTGGTGCCAGCGTAAACCGTTAGCACAGGTGGGTGCATCACTCCATTATCATCCATAAAAAAATATACCTGACGAGACCCATAACGCGGCTATAAATAAAAAGAATAATTTGACAGATATCAATAATGCTAATACATAACATTTAATAGGTTTAACGAATTAAAATTATGAAAAATTAGGCAGACAATTGAATTTATTGTATAATTCAACTAAATTCATATGTACTTACAGGAAGAACTTGCTGGTGGAGATACAGACATACCCATATTCACAGATCAATTTTTGCAACATAATAAGTTAAGGGAATCTGAACTGAGGCAATTAAGAAAGGCCAATTCTGACTATGAGCAACAGGTATTAATTTTGTTTCAAAATATTATTTTCAATTCTGATTATAATGTCACAGTTATATACAGTTCACAACAACTGAAAGGAAAAATCCTCCATGAAAACCACACCACTGCAGAATAAAAAAAGTACGAAAGAAATGTTATATGTAGTATGAATAAAAGCCACTCTGTGAAAATATTTTTTCTTGATTTTTGTATAAACATATCATTAAAAATACGTAAATAAAATTCAGAATCGACGTCCATTTCAGTAAGCAACGGGTTTTTTTTTATCTTTCCTATATTAGAATTTTGGAATGACATATTTTATGCCATTCCTAGTTCTGACAAAAATTACAAACGATGTAGTGTCTAATCTTTTATTATCAGAATGCGATTCTACAAAGACATGCAGAAGAAGTGAGTGGAGCGACAACGAGACTTCGAGCTGAAACTGCGGCAGCAGTTGAGCGGACCGCTGCATTGTTAGCACATCGGCGGGCACTGATTGCTGCCTTAGTTCAGGGACTGCAATCACTCGCTTTACCAGGTTCTGATACATATATTAAATCTTATTTATGCTTAGATACTTAATAATTTACTAATTTCAAATGTTTTATTTTATAGAAATATTATTATGTTTTAGTAAACATTTTCTATCTAATAAAAGTGACTTCAAATTATTTTTCTAAAATATTAATAATAATAATCTCATCGTGTTGTGTTTATTATTTTTTCATAATTTGCAAACAAATAATGTACAACTATAATTACATAGTTCCACTAAGTAATCATAACCTTTGCCACAGATAACAATTAGAATCGTAATAATGCTGCAAATGATTAAAGAATACATTACTGTGTACTATGGCAGTTCCATCAAACTAGAATAAAGTGTTCCAATTGTACTGTATCATTGTTAAATATCAGTTGTTCTGTTCTATAGGTGGTCCAACAGGAGCAACAGAAGCTAACATAGATGAATTCATGGAAAAGTTACAGTTGCTGGCAGCAGACAATAAAAACAATGCAGTAGTTAAGCAAGCTCGAGATATACTCAATAGAATTGAATTGCCTATTAATTAGATCTGTAATTTTAATATGAAATAAAAATAAGTCTCTTAAATCACTAATTTTATTTACACCTTTTTTTTTCAATTATATAACAAAGTACTATTTTATTTTAGGTACAGGATTTGGCGCGGCCGTTATTTTGCCAACAAATGGTTATATCACAATGTTAGGTATGAATTCGGGATTATATTTGTCTTCAATAGGTGTCTTAACGAATTTTCACACTGATTATGACTCATCAGTGACGCTAAGTGTATTACTCATACAGTTAGATATTTTTAATGTATTTACGGAATATCTATTGTTTCTATAAAAAATAATAATTTCACATATTGTTAAAATACGACTTATAACTGAAATAACTTATTTTTCGCTCTTTAAAATATGTTAACGAAACGAATGAAACCTGGGATATTAATTATTAACACAACTTTTGTGATATAAAATATTTATTACTACAATTCAGTCTCCAATATACAATATACAAATTTTTATATTTTACTGGCAATTATCTTCATCAGAATCCAGTTCCGATTTATTTGTACCAGTAGTGTCATATTCATGTAATTTTTTCCTCCATATTTTAATTAAGGCATCCCATGACCTCCGACTGTACTTAGTAAATTTGTCCGGTGTCTTGGGATGGTCTTTTGTTCGCTCATCACTAAAATGTAAATGTTTATTATTGTTTCATTGTACTGGAAATACTTTAAAAATACGATCGAAACATTAAATCCTGTTTTAAAATATCCTTTATACATCTGAATGTTTTAATATCTTTTTTACAATAGATTCACTACCAATATGGGAGTAAATATTCTACTCCCATTTTGGTAGTAATAAATATATTTAATGGTGATGAATACACAGAATATATATGTAATTAAATAATATATATAATTAAAGTTGACAATGAGAATCTACAGTACAGTCATATTATGCATTAAATAAGCTTTTTTTATTAAAAGTAAAATAGGTAAAAAGCAATTTATTATACTAATTATGATCAATTGACTTACATAGGCACTTGTTGTGTATAATTATGATATCCAACTGTATTTTTACCATAGTCAATTTGCTTCTGACGTCTTTGTAGAATACTTGTGTCTGTCTCTAGTTCTAGTAGCTTCCTTCGAGGTTTACTGTAAATAAACAGAGATAGAGATATAAATAATTCATTAAAAAAAAAATAACAGTTCCTATTTTCTTCCCAGACAAAGTTCAATATCACATTACATTTGTCCATGGCACTTGGCCTGGAACGGCGAACTGTGCAAATAGTAAAATGTAGATGCGTAATGAACAACTGAGTAGAAATAATACTGATGTAATTTACTTCATCTTTGACGTGGGTAGACTTTTAGCATCATTATATGGTGATGATGCTAAAAGTCTACCCACCTTATTACCAGTCCTCACATTTTTGTATTCATTAACCCTTCATATGAATAGAGTTGTCACAATATACCAATAACTATATCTAAAATCAAAAGCTGTAATCAACTCTAGGAGTTTGAACTAATGTCTTAAATTGATGGGTTGTAAATGTGTGCCTAATTGCAAAACTTTTAAATTCATGATTAAAATTAATATTGATATGATTTTGTATAAAGGTACTATTGAAGTAAGATTGACAAAAAAAAATGATATGGCAAACAGTACTGAAAACTTAATACTTCTAATGGTTACACTTCATTACGTCTGGATCCCAATATCTCTTTATGGTTAATCAATAGTTTACATATAAGTTTTACCTTGTGTCTGAGGATTCACTTCTATTATTAGGTCGTGTTCTTTTAGGGTTACTAGGATTTTCTCTCTCTCTTTTCATTTTTTCCTTTATTGCTCTTCGCACTGAAAAACAATAAGTATGATACTGTGATATATTTGAATCAACAATGATTAAATGAGTACCCAACACATCTATGGATATATCATATTTCATATAATATAGCAGATACTTTTTTTACTGCTAATTACATTAAAATTAGATAAGCCACAACTTGGCCATTACAATTAAAAATATGAATATGAATGGCAAAGTTCAGTAACTGAATTTACAATAACTAGGACCAGAAATGTTATTATTAAAAGTTAAGACTCTGTCCATCAAGTTTATACATAATTGGCAACTAAAATAAGCATGTACATATATTTATACATAAAGTATTGACAAATCGTCGGTTAAACAGAAAAATGGCAGTATTCAAAATGTACATTTTTCTCTTTTCTTGTAGACAAGCATTTAAAGTATATAAATATTAATTAAATTATTTTTCACTTTAAAGTTTTAAATTTACACAGAAGTATTATATATAATTTTAAAAATATTTAGATAATGGCTGGTAGAGAATGCTATTAGCATTAAGCCCGCCTATTGTACAAAATCAATAAAGTTTTAAATAAATAAATAATGATTAAGACAGTGTGGTTAATTTAATTCACTTATATAAAAGGAGGCAATTATAACTTCCAATTTTGAAACATTACATTTTTCTATTTAATCAATGAAATGTTGCTTGCTGTTCATGATGCTTTGTATATTGAGAGAGTTGTCAATTATATTTCAACCAGAATTACTGTATAAGTAGTTAGTCATTAAAAAGCATTGATTAGCAATTAGGCACAATGAACCACAAAATAATCAATGCTTTGCCCAGCAGTGAACATAAATAAGGTTATAAAGTAATAGTAATGTTGTTTGACAATAACATTACAAGTCTCAAATATCTCATACTTCTAAATATTTAATTGAAGTTAAAAAAATTAAAATACCATTCTTAGATTTTTCAGTCTCCTCAATGAAGCCTTGATTATTGGAATTATTACTATACATTCCCAAGATAAAGCGATTCTTGAACAAAAATATCTGAAAAATAAAAGAAATTGTCAAGTAAAAGATAAAATTTAAATGTACCAATTTATAACATCTTGTTTAGTCCCATAGCAGTTTCAATAATTCTATACGATATATTCTGTGTACGTAAATATGATATTCCACAAACTTGCATTCCAATAATATAACAAACCACTTACCTTAAACAAAACTATAGATTTATAATAGTCATTAGTGAATGCATATATATATATCAATATAAACTAATAATAAGAAAGTAGCATTTACTACTATATAAAACAACAATTACAATAATAAATTGTACCGCTTGCTATGTGCACGCCGCCTCATATATTACAAATAACATTATCAGTAATCTATGCAAAATTCATTATCAAATATAATCAAAATTAATATATAGATTTTTCTTATATTTATTTATGTATATATTTTACTGACAACTTACGGTTATGTATATTTTGTTTTGTTTCTTTACTTCAGTGACTTTTTATAGTGGATAGGCGCGAAATGTAAAAATTAAAAGTTGTCATGGTTAGTGACAGACTGATACTTACAAAAAGTGTATCACTAATTCACTAATCAGTATACCTCAATCAATACTCAATGCATGACACTGCCACTGACAGAACCTGACATTTTGATTAACAATTGAACACAGAATAGATACACTAGCAGATCATAGATTATTTATTTTCTTGTTTATAAGATTAAATTAATGTTACATTTTCGTATTATTACCCATAAATTCGTGTTTAATTTATATTACAGTTTTTAAATTCATGAAAGTTCCTTTATGTAATAAAATCTTAGTTTAAATACATATATAGTATTCTATTAATTTCACGATTATAAAAATTATGACATTATTGTCACACGAACGTTATTAATATTTGGTTTTACGTTTAGTAAACGAAACCAATTTATTATCGGTTTAAATATTTAAAGTTTGTTTCCAAATTTTTTGAATACCATGGTGAGATAAATAATAACCTTTCAAATTTATTAATATTCATTTTAAAATATTACTGTTAACATGTTTTTTTATTACATATATTACAGAATGAAATAGAAATAAATGAGGCTCTAGCCTCTTTAGAGGTTCTAATGTCCGAGTTTTTTGCGCCAACAACAAACAATTACAGGAAGAGAGAAATAGAAGGCATGTTGGAAAACTTTTCTAACCGCAGAGATTCTTGGAAACATTGTTTGGTGTTTTTACAAAAATCACAGAATCAGTATGTTCTGATGTTTACATTAACAACACTAGAGGCAAGTACATAAATTAGAAATTTTTAAACTGTTATAACATTTACTAAAACTTTATGTACTGTTTTCAGAATGTTATAAATAAACAATGGATCAGCTTAACAGACAATGAAAAGACAGAAATAAGGTTAACGCTATGGAATGAGATAATGACCAAACATGAAGTAATGCTGTACTTTGTCAGAAACAAACTCTGTGCACTTATGGTGTCAATAGCGAGATATGACTGGCCTGAACACTATCCTGACTTCTTTAGTAATATAGTGGAAGTATGTAAAACAATTAATTTTTAATATACTATTGAAATGTTGACATCTATGTTCTAGCAGAATCTCCAATCATTCAAATATTAGGGTTTACTTGTCTTTGATTTAAGGCTGAACATAAATCTAACTTTACAGCTGTAAGTTTCTCTTAAACATTTCTGATTATATATAAAAAATATGTCCTGAAAATATGAAATGAAATATTTTTACTTGTTGACAAAATTTATGTTGTACATTTGTCATAAATTTCTTATGTGTGGCATTTATGTCATTAAAATTTATAGATGTAAAACAGACTGAATGAATAACTAAATATAACTGAAAAGAATAGGTGAACCCCCAATTGATTTTGGAGTCAAAATAAGTGTACAAAACTCTTAGGTTAAAAGGTCAAAAATAGTTTAAAATGCAGTCTAAAGTATTTTGGACTAGTTAAAGAGTTTTGACCGTGATAGAGACATATAATCTTACTCTTGATTAACTCTTCATGAACTAGAATGAAATGCATGAGGCTGTGTCATTAATCAGAACCCTTAACAATTTCTACACTTACCCTTAATTTTTCGTTTTATTGTATAAACGAAAAATAGTAAGATAATAGGAGATGGCATTTTATTTTGTAATATTTTGGATATGCTCTACATTGTTATTAAATTTTGTAAAACACTGTTGTTTTAACTAGGTTAAGGATGTGGGTAATTTTATTCTATTCAATAAATTTTATTTTCAGTAAATTGTAAAGTAATAAATAAATACTTAAACACAGAATATATCCTTACAGTGGCAAGAATGTGTAACCCTATTAATTTATAATAATTAAAATGTCTGCTTTCTAATTTAACTTAATAATTATTATCTGATGTAGCTCATAAAGTGTGATGGGCGTCGTTGTCTCTTGGGACTTGTGCTGGCACAAGCGGCGAGTGAAGAGTTGGGGGCCGCGCGTGACACAGGTGTCCTGCTACCCTCGCAACGACGTCTACAACTTGAGAGGCTTATGCTTAAAGGGATGCCACAGATGTTGGCTGCACTTAGTGGTTAGAGATACTAAATTACTACTATTAAACTTGGCACTGACAATGCATATTGTCCAGTCTAGATTAGTTTTTGTAGGTATTTTAATGAAATTTGAAAGAAAAATATATAAATATAATATATTAAGTGCAAATTGGGGGTTGTTTATAATTCCCTATCTTTTTTTCACTTAGAGGTTGTTTTCAAATTCTCTATGACTCTACTTTAACACAATACCTAATAGAAAAGAATTATTGAAATTGTAATAATATTTAGTGTGTTAATTTATTTTGCTGGTTAATTGTTTGTTGATGGATAATACTGGTAATAAACTGAATTAATTTGAGAGATGGTGCAGTTGCTAGATTTACTCCACCTGCCATGATGGTTTATTTTACACACTAGATTGGTAGTTTCTCAATTTTCACCATCCGAGATTATAGACTTCAAGTTATTAGCATTGATAATATTGTAAAATATAACCCTTTGTTCTTGCATCTATTATTCTGTTCCCTGATATATTTCAGAAACTACAACCAATTTATAATTTGGTAGTAGTGTGTGAAATTTATTCATGTGATAGATTGATCTTAATAGTAACTTTTTGGTATAACTAGAAAACCTACATTCTCTAGTAGTTTGAAAACAAAATCATAACTTATGTTACTTTTTTAGGCATCTTAGAAAAGAATACTCAAGAAGGCCAATCTAATCCACCACCATCACCAACAAGTGGTATACCACAGTCATCTGCACTTCCAGATTTGTTAGCAAATGCTTGTGATACTCACACCACTGATAAGTAAGTTGAATTTTATTATTGGACCTGAATTTGTGAAATCTATTCTGCCCTAATGTGGGTAAATCAATTAGGCTGTAAAATTGTTATGTCAATTAAATTCTTTAAAAGGGTACTAGTATTTTCAAACAGAAATATGTTATCAAAATTTCATGAAATGCCGACAATCTTAACATGTTGTTATTTTATGTTTTTAGATCTCTCACAAATGAAATAATAGTAAAGTGTTTAACAACACTACAACATTTGTTTTCGTGGCTACCACTGTCATCCCACGTGCCCCCGTGTCTTGTTACTACTGTTTTTTACTGGGGTAGTATTGCTACACAATCACAGGTATAATAAATTCAAATACAAAAATAATTTATTCATGTACGTCATTTTAGCTGCTTATGAACGTCAATTTTTTTATATATAACCAAATCTATACTTCTTTTTCAAGCACAAAGGCGGAACAATATATAAAAGTATGTGTTTGCGTGTGTGAGAGAGACCACAGAGAGTCATATGTCATGTCATGCTTATTAATTATAAGCAAGACACAGGAAAATAGTGGTCTTAAAATACTAATCTGTATTTAATTTAATTTGAAATATGTACCCAGTTCTGCTGGTTGATGCAATAAATTCTTATCCACTTTAACATTGTCAGACTGTAGAATGTGTTAGCAGTATATTTAATCATTAATAGTTTGTGGAAGTGCACCATTTGATGTATTGCTTCACTTTCCATTGTCTCGGATGTTATTTCTACACAATAAATATTTGAAAACATTTGTATTCTTCACTATGACTTACATTCGCGAATTGCATTAGGTATATCTATTGGTATTTAATTTATTATTTTAGATATTATATATCTGCTTATTTACTGTTTTCTTTCCTTGTGAGCCATTACGGTTCTAGACCGAGGCCGTCTGCGTGTATTTCTTTAAATATACCGCATTAATTATTGTGCAATTCAATAATGCTGGTCTTTCATAATCGGATCGTATATACTGATTGCGTCCACAGAGCACGGAGGCGGGCGTGGCGGGGCTGGGCGGCGTGTGCGAGCTGCTGTATCGGCGGTACGCGCCGCCGTCGTCGGCCGCCACCGCGCTGCGCCTGCACCACTGCGCGCTGCGTCTGCTGCGTCACCTCACGCACCACGACCAGCGCCAGCCGGTCCCGCCGGTGCTGCGTGCCAACCATGAGTACGTGCCCTCTTGTACACACATTCACGCACCAAGAGTGCGTCTCCACTCGTACACTCACTCACGCAACACGAGTGCATCCCCACTTGATTACTCACTCACTCGGGCTACATTTTAAGTGCAGTTTTTTTTGTACGGGTGAATTTTTTTTAACTTCTTACTTTTTTTTGTTATAGCTATCTTACCAAGTTGGCAGAATTTCTAAAGTTGTTTGTGTCATTGCATTTCAAAAGACTAGAAGCTGAGCCTGAATTTGATGCAATTGAATTTTTGTCTTATCTATTCCAATATACATTCCAGGTAAGCCTTAAGTTGTTTGGTTTATATGATATAAATAGTCAAATTTAGAATAATATTTATTACTATCACACATCACAACACAACAATGACGATGCTCACAGCAGCATATAAATTATTATAACATATAAATAGAAATATTAAATACAATACAAATCATTAAGACAAAAAAAAAAGCGAACAAGGAAATCAAACAAAGAAAATTAAATAATTTCTCTTAAATGCAAAGGATTTTATATTAGATATTAAATTTTTGTATTTATTGTAATATTTTAATACTGTCTTGTTCTAGGTACCCACATGTGCAATATTTGTTAATTGTTTAGATGTATGGATACAGTTAATTGACATACTCAAGCCTGAAGACACAGTCAAGTAAGTTAATTAATAAGTCACTTGTTTTAGAAGAAGCATCAAAATTGTCATCAGACAAAGTCCATCTATGATGACCATTGATTGACGCTTATCTTTATAATTGATAAAAATTATTTTATCTATAATAATATACGAAATTGTTATTTTTTTTGTTAATAAAAGACAAACATTGTAATTGTACATTATTATTTGATATTATATTCATTGTTTCATGTAACTGCTTCATTCAAATTTAATTAACCTCTAATTTTGAAATACATTAAATAAGAATACCAACATATGTCATTTTATTAATACAATTTTTTTTACTTCTAGGTATTGGGAAGCTCTCCAGGCCCTAGTAAATGGTATACTCAATAAAATACAATTCCAACACAACAAAGCGCAGCTTCAGCATTTAGACAACAACGTGTGCGATGATGACGTCAGTATGAATTTTCTCTTTCATTCAGTATGAATCTTTATGTCTTTATGTAGCAGGCAAAAACTATCTGTTTTTCGCTTTTGTGTGTTAAAGTTTCACGCAAATATGAATATTTGTGTCAAACTTTTTTCACACAAATAGAGAAATTAGGATGAAAATTCAAAATATGTTATTAAATATGAGTCAGTCAACATAGGTCACATACAAAGAAGCTAAATAACGGAGAAAGGTTACGTTACACTTTTGAGGGGCTGGGACATTGTGTCACAAATGTGTGAGTAGAGGGACCTACATTTGTAGGTCAAAATTAAAAATATAATATAGTATTACAACAGGAAATTAATTATTAACCGCAAATATAAAATATTTATAACTTCGTCTGTATAAACTATAAACAGGTTTAAATTGTTTTTTTAGTATGTTTATGCATTATTACTAAGTGTAAAATTGCAAAACATGTGACCTCACATTAGGAAGGAGCAATCGCACTAATGTAACCAAGTTTGACATGGACAAATAATGGAAATATTATATGTTAGTAATTATGTATACTAGGATTATGATATGCAATATGATATTGCATTAATTATCGACAAATGAAAATCCTATATTTAGAGAAATGGCCATTATTTTTTATCTATCTTTGACGTTTCATCATCAATAAATCGGCCCGTAGACATCTCAATTTAAAAAATTACTAAAATTTATAGGGCGAAACTGAATGGCATACATTTCTCAAACATTGCATCGAATGCATCGCTCGAGTGGCCGAACTAGCGCCGCTGGATTTTTTTACTTCCGTGGTAAGTATCATGTGCAAATTTTAATTACTGTTATCTAAATTTATATATACATGGCGCGGACTCCATTCTTTATGTAAGTATTTTTATACTCGTGGGGTGCAGTGCATGGGGCCAATAAACCTACTACAAGTATTCTCGCTTCTCTTCCACCTGTGAATTTGATAATATGGTAATAGACATGAAGAGTGTGATAAACGTTTAGAATCATACCGCAAATGATTCTAAACGTTTTTTTGTACATACTTCTGTGACTGGCGTGAATTGATGTTTAGCTGGATTGTGTGTAAAAAGTAGTGTCCGTCCGGGGTGTACAGAGTAGTGCGTGTGTGGTGCAGACGGAGCAGTGGCAGTGCCTGGCGGACGTGCACGCGCGGGCGGCGGTGTCGCCCGTGGTCGCACGTCCGGGGTGTACAGAGTAGTGCGTGTGTGGTGCAGACGGAGCAGTGGCAGTGCCTGGCGGACGTGCACGCGCGGGCGGCGGTGTCGCCCGTGGTCGCACGTCCGGGGTGTACAGAGTAGTGCGTGTGTGGTGCAGACGGAGCAGTGGCAGTGCCTGGCGGACGTGCACGCGCGGGCGGCGGTGTCGCCCGTGGTCGCACGTCCGGGGTGTACAGAGTAGTGCGTGTGTGGTGCAGACGGAGCAGTGGCAGTGCCTGGCGGACGTGCACGCGCGGGCGGCGGGGCGGCCGACGGCGACCACGTCGCCGGAGGCGGAGCGCCTGCTGGCCGCCTTGCTCGACCTCGCCACGCTCACGCGTCTGCTCGGACGACTCGCACCCGCCCTCCTTGCAGGTACCCATTCTAATATCGTACATGTACGCCGCTTACGACTCTACATTCTAAATGATCTTATATAATTTTCAATACCTAAAAGTAGTCTTACCAAATTTTCTGACGTATACTTTTAGTTTTAAATATATTAAGGTTAATATTGCGCGTCTATGACTGATTTTTATGTAATCTTAATAAATGGACAGCAGCTTTGTCTGTTCTGTCAGTAAAAAAATATATATAATTTTGTGCAACAAGTAGTTAATTTCGTAGTCGAACCTAGAGCTCGTAGTGGTCCCATCAATACAAGGTCTATTATGAATGTTGTGTATGTGTCGCGTGCGTAGAGGTGGATCGTCAGCGGCGGGGCGGTGCGGGGGGCGGCGCGGGGGGCGCGGCGGCGGCGGGCGGGGCGCTGGTGGAGCGCGCGGCGGCGGCGCTGGCCGGCGCCGCACTCACGCGCCCGCACCGCGCCGCCTGCACCTACGCGCACGCACGCGCCAACATACAAGTGTCAGTACCCTTACGTTTTGTACTACCTATTATTGCACCATTACCATCGTTTGAGTACTCCCCTCCTAACAGGATTGCCGTGAAACTATAGGAGTAATCTAACGATATATTATTAACACGAACGTGTACTTATTATTGTACTTTAATTCGGACTCAAATGACGACTAAACCTATACTATACTTTTATTATATCGAATACTAGTAGTCATAGTACAGTATAAATGTCGACTGGTTACCTAAGCACATTGGCGGTATTATAGCCGCCTATGTTTGGTTTGTAAGTGTTTTTGTTGAAGTGTGATATGAAACAGTGTAATTATAAGGTTCGGGGGTATGATATGTTAGTTCTGAGGAATGGTGTCCGTTGAATGGTTTCTTGATGTCCGTTGTGCTGTTCATGTATATAGGCAAAAGAAACAAAATTACATATAATTGAATAAAATAGTGCATAATAGGCCTATCGGCTGACTGCACTAAGGAAATGTCGATTTCGATATGTATTCTGAATTGTTTAAGTCTATTTAAAAGTAAAGTAAATTATAAAAATAAACACCGTCTCTCCAAATATATGTACCGTTATTGTTTATGATAAATATTGTTACAAATTTAATGAACAATTTGCAGTCACGCAGAGATGTTTGCATGCATGGGAGCATGGTGTTGTTATGCAAGCGAGTGTGGTGTGCCCGTTCGTACAATGGAAGGAATCTTCGCGTCGGCCGTACCGTTCCTGATGCCTCAGGAAATACAAGTGTGTATTTGAAATTCGTGTTATTTGGAATTAATTTAATTTAAATTATCAATAAAAAGTAATATTTGGGAATATAACGTATTATAAAGGATGCCTATATTTATTTTACAGGAACCACCACTGTTATCCCACGCGGCAGCCCATCTACTGTTGAGTTTATCGAAGAACATCAAATTTATTCACGACCCTATATCTCTAGTGGGTGATTTATATACTCACGCGCAACGTACTTTAAATTATTTGGAGCCAAAGGTAAGTATTTCTAAAAATTATATTTACTCGTAGTCCAGGAAGCGCAGAGATTCTTGTGGTTTATCATTAAACATACAAATTACATTATTCTTTTAGGAAAATAATAAACACAATTATTTACTAAATTAATATGAAATGTATTTATATTATGAACACACACATATCATATCATATTGACTGACCGGTATAAAGATAAGTATTATCTATGTTCTGTCTTCTAAATAGATACTATTCGAAGATCATAATTTATTGGTCAATAAAGCAAGCCTAGGTAGCTGGCCATCTAGTTCCAAGTTAAATTGAGCTTGTGTTATGGGTACTAGACTACTGATATAAATACACACCTTTTTTTTGTAAATACATACATAATATACATAGAAAACACCCAGACCAATGCGATCATACTCGTCAATACAAAAGTTTATAACGTGCGAGGAATCGCCCATCCACCCACGACCGTAAGACATAAAGCCGTGTGTAAAACTTCGAGATCACCGAGGCCGTAAAAAAATGTCCGTAGACTGCGGCGGTGATCCGCGAAGCGCTGCTGTCGCTGACGCTGTCCCGGGGCGCGGGCGGGGCCGGGGGCGGGACGTCGTCGGGGGCGGCGGGGTGTGCGGGCGGTGCGGGGTCGGCGGGGGGCGAGGCGGCGCGCGCGCTGCTGTCGGCGTGGACGGCGCCGCTGCCGACGGCCGGGCCCGCCGCCACGCTGCCGCCGCTCACCACGCTGCTGCACTCCTTCGCACACGCCTCCACGCCCGCAAAGAAGGTACGCTACGCACGCGGTATATGTACGTACATATCGACATCTGGAAATGCGGACTAACAAACCCATTAGCTTATTATGCTGGCAGGGTAGATGCCTTGCCAGCATAAACCATTAGTCAGTCTTCTGACTGAATTGATTATAAATACAAATTGCTAATAATTTTTGTAATCAAATTAAATTTATTTGTAAAAAGTGTAAGTAATTATTGAATTTAATTGTAATGTAACAGATAATCGCTGAAGGCATACAGGGTGCGGCAGAGACTTCTCTACGTATGTTGTGCGAACCGACATACGCTGCCGCCGAGCCTGAAATCACGGAGTTCTTCCTAGCATTGTTTACGGCACTTTTACCACAGTTGGGCAATTTCACCTACACAGCTATTGATGTGTTTCTTGAAGTAGCACAAAGGTATATCTCATTTTTGTGTTATATTATTTTTTACTGCATTATGCGTTTAAATATTAGTAGACTAAGTTTTTATTTTGAATTCGACAAGTCGAATACTTAGGTACAGCACTCGGTTTTTTTGATAAGTGTCCTAGCAATTGTACTATTACAAACACACGTGTCGCAGTAGAAACATTATAATGTCTTGTAATGTTTATTGTACCAGGGGCGGCGGTGACAACAGTCTGGAGCGGCTGGTGGAGTGTGTGCGGCTCGGAGTGGAGGCTGGAGGCGGCGGCGTGCGCGTGCGCGCCGTGCTCGCGCTGCTGCACCAGCACGCGCTGCCACGCGCGCACGACAACGCGCCCGACCTCGCACGCGCCGCACACCGCCTGCTGGCCAGGTGACACCCGTGTACTAACTGCTGCACCAGCACGCGCTGCCACGCGCGCACGACAACGCGCCCGACCTCGCACGCGCCGCACACCGCCTGCTGGCCAGGTGACACCCGTGTACTAACTGCTGCACCAGCACGCGCTGCCACGCGCGCACGACAACGCGCCCGACCTCGCACGCGCCGCACACCGCCTGCTGGCCAGGTGACACCCGTGTACTAACTGCTGCACCAGCACGCGCTGCCACGCGCGCACGACAACGCGCCCGACCTCGCACGCGCCGCACACCGCCTGCTGGCCAGGTGACACCCGTGTACTAACTGCTGCACCAGCACGCGCTGCCACGCGCGCACGACAACGCGCCCGACCTCGCACGCGCCGCACACCGCCTGCTGGCCAGGTGACACCCGTGTACTAACTGCTGCACCAGCACGCGCTGCCACGCGCGCACGACAACGCGCCCGACCTCGCACGCGCCGCACACCGCCTGCTGGCCAGGTGACACCCGTGTACTAACTGCTGCACCAGCACGCGCTGCCACGCGCGCACGACAACGCGCCCGACCTCGCACGCGCCGCACACCGCCTGCTGGCCAGGTGACACCCGTGTACTAACTGCTGCACCAGCACGCGCTGCCACGCGCGCACGACAACGCGCCCGACCTCGCACGCGCCGCACACCGCCTGCTGGCCAGGTGACACCCGTGTACTAACTGCTGCACCAGCACGCGCTGCCACGCGCGCACAACAACGCGCCCGACCTCGCACGCGCCGCACACCGCCTGCTGGCCAGGTGACACCCGTGTACTAACTGCTGCACCAGCACGCGCTGCCACGCGCGCACGACAACGCGCCCGACCTCGCACGCGCCGCACACCGCCTGCTGGCCAGGTGACACCCGTGTACTAACTGCTGCACCAGCACGCGCTGCCACGCGCGCACGACAACGCGCCCGACCTCGCACGCGCCGCACACCGCCTGCTGGCCAGGTGACACCCGTGTACTAACTGCTGCACCAGCACGCGCTGCCACGCGCGCACGACAACGCGCCCGACCTCGCACGCGCCGCACACCGCCTGCTGGCCAGGTGACACCCGTGTACTAACTGCTGCACCAGCACGCGCTGCCACGCGCGCACGACAACGCGCCCGACCTCGCACGCGCCGCACACCGCCTGCTGGCCAGGTGACACCCGTGTACTAACTGCTGCACCAGCACGCGCTCTGCCACGCGCGCACGACAACGCGCCCGACCTCGCACGCGCCGCACACCGCCTGCTGGCCAGGTGACACCCGTGTACTAACTGCTGCACCAGCACGCGCTGCCACGCGCGCACGACAACGCGCCCGACCTCGCACGCGCCGCACACCGCCTGCTGGCCAGGTGACACCCGTGTACTAACTGCTGCACCAGCACGCGCTGCCACGCGCGCACGACAACGCGCCCGACCTCGCACGCGCCGCACACCGCCTGCTGGCCAGGTGACACCCGTGTACTAACTGCTGCACCAGCACGCGCTGCCACGCTCCCATCATCGAACAACTGTATTATTCTATTGTGGTATTAGTATATACTGTCTAGTATAACATTCCATAGAAGTCTTCGTAATTAACCATTCTAATTGATTGAATCTAGTTCGTAGCGCGTAGATAGGCATAGAAAATCTTGAAATGGATGTAGGGACGTATAATATTGTGTGTCAGCAGCGTGCTGATCCACCGGTGGCGGTATTTCTTCGTGCACAAGTGCGAGGGCGAGGAGAGTGCACGGCGGTCGGGCGAGCTTCGGGATGCGCTGGCGGCACTGGGCCGCGCGCTGCTGCAGCCCGACCTCGACCTGCTGCGGATCAACATGGACACGTTGCACGTGCTCAACCACAAATGGAAACTCTACCACAAGGTACATATCAATGCCCATATTTAGGTTTAGGACTTACTACATATTTCATGATTTGACCCTAAATGGTCTGCTCGGTTAATCATATGAAAAATCACATTATTATATGAAGCTTATGGAGTGCCATGTACACTTATGGATTTTATATCTGTGTCTTTTATATATATTTTAAGAGTATGTATTGATCTTCATTGATTTTATATTAAATTGAATGACTGTTTACTAAAACCTGACTACTTCTCTAATGGACCAGGATATGCTGCTACCTATAATTAACTTGTGAATATTACTCTGGAAGTCATCATTTGACAACATAACTGAATTTGAAACAACTATAGTCGACAAATTAAAAGTACTTGTTTATGGCTACATGATGCTTATGTCATGTGCAGGTGATATTCCGTACGGAGTTCCTGGCACAGTTCCTGTCGGTGCTGCTGGCGACGCTGGTGGAGGGCGGGTCTCGAGCGCTGCTGCGCGAGGAGGTGATGGGCGCGCTGCACGCGATGGCGTCCGTCGACTTCACCACTTTCCGACAGGCCTTCCTGCCACATTTCCTCAACACCCTACCTGGTCTCTCGCCGCAGCATATAGAGGAGCTCTCCAATTTTCCACCCGATACGGTATGCATGATTTCCATTATATGTACGTTTTGGATAACTTGAAGTAACTATGACTATTCAAAAATGCTTAAATTAAATTTATATGTATAATGGATTTTCTATTCGATTCTATGTAAGTCATAAAACTAGCAATATATATTAATTAGACATATAGTTATCGTTCGCGCTATTTACAGTAATTTCTAAAATTACAGTCCTCTTATCTAAGTCTAATATTTAAATTTTAAATGAAATAAAAAATCTTAAATAAACTAAACCTTAATCTTCCATCTAGATAATGGAATTTTTATAACATTTATTATCTGAGGGCAGTATAATTTGTAAAAAAGTATATACAAATAGTGCATCAAATATATTTTTAAGTACCTCAATATAATATATTGTAATATTATAAATTGGTTAGAAATTAATTGCATGCATACTTACTATTTGACCAATATGTCATTTACATAAAACATTAGTTATTAATGGTTATAATAATATGTTCAAGTATTTAATGATATTAATTTTGTTCTTTAATATTCAGGATTTACCAACTTTCACGCAGAACATCCAACGGCTTATGAATGACGTGAATTGCTATAGAGCGTACAATGCTCTCACACCCGCCAACGTGCCAGCATAGCGGTTCTCTGCTTACTCGATAGAGATTGACCCGCCATCGGAATAATTTCCAAATAATGTGATATTTTATCATAGAGTTTTATAGTACCTATAGTGTACGATGTATTAATACAGGCGAAAATGATTTTTGTGTATCTTTGACATTGAATGTCACATTAGTCATTGAAAAGCAGTAGCATGCTTTATAAGGAGTTAATGATTGATAGTTTAATTATGGTCACTGCACCGTGATTAAGTTACAGTTAGAAGTATTACAGTCTATTCTGCATTTCTTTTAGCTTAAGTATAGCTTTTTAAATTATATTTGATTACGTGAGTCTCTCCATTGCATATTATCTATGGTATTATAGGCTATACTATAATGTATACAAAGTAAAAAAAATATTACAAGAAATTGTTTGACCGCTTTTATAATCATTATTATTATATATGTCAAAATAGCAAACTAAACTTGCAATGGCAAATTTCTTAATATATATTTTAATTTCTCTGTGTTAAGTTTAAGTTATATTATTTCAATCCATTAATCTCTCATCCTATTTTGCAATGAAATGTGGTCAAATGTAAGTGTTGTGTTGACACAGTGCTTAGAACACTTTTTTTATTATTTTATGAACATGTAACTTACCACAAATATATTGTATGGTAAATTATTTAAAGTAAGATTATTAATTCCAGTCAGTAAAATGACATTTCCAGTGTTGCAGGTTTTTAGTCCCAAATAAATAGTGATGTGGTAGAATCAAGTTTTTACAATTAAAAGTTAGTCGAGATTACATTTTTTTTTTGCAATATCAATTTGCCTTTATATAAATAAAAAATCTAGTATTAATTTCTCTGAATGTCTTTTTACATTTTGTCCCAGCTTTTGTAATAATGTTATAGTGAGAAATTTTAATATGCTGGTAAGGTCCATATTTCTAAAATCGTATTATTTAATACGATATGTATTAAATATTAAAAATAAAATAAAAAGGTTTTGTTACCTAATAAAATAAAGCATGACTAAATGTCTAAGTCTATTGATTGCCGAACATCACTATTGTAACGGGTCACCCTTTTTTGTATCAGTAACAGTTGCACTTGTCATTTTACTGACTGGAATTAATAATCGTACTTTAGGTTTTCTCTGGTATTTAGGGTTTCTACTGTTAATTTTATATATTGTATTGCCAGCTGTTAGGTTTGTAATAAATTATAAAAGCAGATTATAGGTTGGAATATGTTATGAACAAAACAATAATTTCTTAATATTATAAATGTTCAACCTTGTGTATTAATAATATCACACCAACTCGAATACAACTAGTATATAATTTATAAAATATTTTAATCATAAAAACAATCTAACATAAATTTCAACATTAAAATCTGTACAAATTATATAATATAACATACATCCAATTGAACTTCTATACATATCCTATCTATCACATTCTATTAAATTAATGTTCATGTATAACTTAATAGATAGATAGTACTAGTCAAGAATTCTATAATGGGCCTCTGGCCTCCTAGTTACCGTATTTTCAAAGCTTGGTGGCCATGACGGACTTACTAACCTGATTTCTTTTTCACCCCGTCCCGTCAGAGAATATTCCATTCACGCAGGCGCTTACACTATTTCATGACCAGCCATAAAAAACTGCATATTTTTGTATGGATGTTTAATTTAAAGACAAAACTAAACTGAAATTATAAAAAATCTGAAAACACGATTATCACATGATTTCTTTTAAATAATTTCCATTGTAAGTTGATGCCTTTAGCTAAGGAAATCCATATCTGTTCAAAACAGTATTGTGTGCATGAGAGACAAATTTATTTATATTTTTTTCAAGAGTTTAATATAACAATGACTTTTTTGTTTATTCTGGATGAATAAGTTTCTTTTTGTTATGATCTAATAAAGTCATAGATAATTGTTGATGTTTATAATGTGTACTAGTCTTGTAGTCTCATTTAAATTGTGATGTCACATATAAAATGCGACAGCACAGTTTAAAAAGAACAAAAAAATGGTATGTATGCCATATATTAAGATTGTGTTTAAATTACAAACTTGAAAGCCGGTAGGGACATTGACTGAGGTGCATTCTAGATTTATTTCATGAAATAATATTGTATCTTGTCTTACTGCCTATGCTTATATTATTATTATTATATAAAATGCTTTATTGTATGCATGAAAAAGTAAAATGTGAAGATGGGGTGTAAACCGGATCTGAAGTTGGAATGTGTAAAGACTTGTTTATCACTTAATAAATAATGCTAAATGAACCGGTTGTCTGAATATTTTTTATACATAGCATACCTACCTAAATAATGTCCCAAATGCTGGAAAAAGTAATGAAATTTACATTACCATATTTGACATGAGTATTATATATTAGAATATATAATACATAATAAAATAATCACACCTTATGAATACACACTTTATTTCATAACATTTCTTTTAGAATCATAACTTTTTGTTTCTTTAACTATATCACCTTTTATATTTTTAAAAATAACTTTAAACTATCTTAATGAATCTATTCTCTGTTTTAGTACTTCCTTCAGTATAGTGTCATGACTGGCATACAGACTAATATAAGGTGTGGCATCCACCCATCGTACTCCCACAGCATCATCTCCTGCATGTAATTTTAGAGCACCTACAATACTTCCATTATCATCATGAAAATTATATGCCACAGTTTCCATCCATGCATTGTCTGTATTACGTCGGTCATCAACATAACCTTTGTATACAATTTCACCTTCTTTAAAGAATTCATGAAACTTCTGTGCCCATTCCTCCTTTTCCTCTGAAAATTTTCAATTAAATTCTAGTAGGTATTATAAAATATATTTATTATATGATTACTATGTCATTAATAAGATAAACATTCTACCAACCAATACTAAATTGAGGATTTATATTATTTTGCTTCATTGGTAAACAAAATGATATCAATTAAATGGTTATAGTGCTTCTGGTAGCTGTGTTTTCCATTATAAGTATGTGTGGTCACACATGCTAATTATAATGAAGTGAATGAAAAGGAAACAAAATAATATAAATCCCTTAAGTAATGAAATGGAGTTCATCAAAATAACACCTAATTAAATACAATATTCCACCCACCATCAGACATAACTAAAAAGTTTGTAGCTTCTTCTTGAAACTCTCTGATGGCAGTTGCAGTTACTTTTTCACCAGGGTCAACCATACCACCAGGCAGAGCCCATTCTCCTGTATCTCCACGTTTTATTGCTACAAATTGGAGAATTGGTCTGAAATAATAATTCATAATAAATTATCTTGCATCTACAGTGTATTTAGAGTACAATTTAGATGAAATATGATGCTTTACTTATTATCTCTATCAAGAACCATTTTGCCCGATTCTAATCTTTTCCAACGTGTTACAACAGGATCTGCAGCATGGTTAGGTCCCCATCTTCCAAGTATACCCCTTCCACAAATACCAGTGCGTCCAATAGGGTTCTGAGGATACCCATTTGTAATTCTGTAAGGGCCCATATGGCTTACCCTGCTCACTTTTCCATCTACATCATTCCATTTGGGTTGAAAATTTGAACCGCCTAAAATATATAACCAATATTGAAATATGGTAATTTTACATATATTGAATGAACTTATGTATATAGTTCTATTAAGTATAAAAATGATCTCACCAATGTTAGGATCTGCCCACGGTTTGCCATTTATAGAAGATTCTGTATAGTCTGGAGGTTGATACTGTTTATATTCGCTGGACCAATCCACTTTATCGTCGGGTACTGGAAATCTTTCTATTTTAGAACGTGGATATATGCCGCCGCGACACTTTAAATGAGTAGTCAACATTGTGAAACTTTTTGTCATTACTACACAGAACAACACATAAAATGTAAGTTTTATCATTTGATTCAGTAGTGAAGTGTTATTTCATCCACAAGTAGAAATTCTCATTAGTCATTAGACTCGTAATTTTTTGGTTTTACAACGACATTAATATCAAAGTAATCAAAACAAATCACTTGTCAAAACAAATTGTGTAACTTAAGTTTTCTATTTCAAATTTCAGGGCTTTGGATGAAGTGGCACTAGTATACATTTTCAAATCATGTATTGATTATCTAAACTAATCAAAAATGTATGTTTATTGAATAAATAATATTGATGTGCTGGTTGTTTAATTCAAATTGTTTACATAACATTTACTTTAGTCTATTCTATGAACTTAAAAACATTATTCTGTAACTAGGTTTCGTTTAGTATATTTACTTTAATCTTTGGTACTATAACTAAATCAAAACAGTTTGCATAGGTAAATAAAAGGGTAGAATGCTGGCAACCCATAGAATGTGTATCATCCAAACTACCATTCGTTATTTATTAGCAAGGAGAAAGGCTAAACAATAATCTATAGTAGGGATGAGCATCAATGAGCCCGCGAGCCGTTAAACATTGTTTACACATTTTAAAAATATATTTATTTTTTCGACTTTGTTCCAATATGTTATTATTTTTAATTAATTATAATAAACTGGTAGTAGGTACATACTAATCCGAAACAATTTTTCTGATGAGCTACTTAGTTGTGCCGACTTGTTCACATCAATACATATAAATAAAATTGGAGCGTCTGTTTGTAATATTGAAATAACAATTTTTTACTAACGAAGTCGAGTGTACAGCTAGTATACAATAAGAACGCACCGCGTCTGTTGTAGCTTTTATTTTGGCTTAAAATTATTTATTTTTCTATTCTAATGTTTATTAAAAATTTTTGTAAATTATTTATAAGTTACTTTTTTAATTGACTCCAAACAAATGGGATAAGGAAGAAGCAGATAATGATGATGATGACTTTATGTGCGCTCTGCCAATTTTTTTATAATTTAAATTACCCCGTTGATGAAAAATTTGTTCACCCTTGATCTATAGTAATAAACAAATATTATTTACTTGTTTACATATTTAAGTAAGTCTACTGTGAGTTAAATCCTATTAAATATACTGTAGAACACTACAACTGGACGAAGCAGTTTAGTAGCTTAGTGGTTTTCAAAGCATTAATTATAAATTCTTATTAAAAAAAATACTGACAATGTTAAATTATTTAATCATTTAGATTTTTCTCAATTATCTCATTACACGTAACAATAATATTGATACTTTCTATAATTTTCGTCGTCGTGTTGCTTTTTTGGTAGGTTTTTTAAATACGTCATCTTCTTGTTTTTGTGGCTCGTCATCTGGAATAGACATATATTTATTTACATTTAAATAAGAATTATTAATTATATACAAAAGTAACAAACCTGAATTATTTTTACCGCAACGATTTATTATTATACCATTGCTGGGAAAGGGCCATCCCTCTATGACAATGATACTCTTTAAAAGTTCAATAAATAAAACCTGGCTACTAAAAATTAATTACCCTAAAAGTTACGAAATATTGGCATCTAAAATAGTTAGTTGTGGTTGTAGTGCCATCTCTCATATACAGTGTTAATAGTAAAGAGCATAACAACTGGAGAGATACTTCACACGAGTAAATTGGATACTTGAAAACTATTATTATTTTATACTATTTCATACAAACTAATCAGAGACATAATCTATTTAGATTTAAAAATATTTTTTGAAGTGGTTAAAGTAAAAATATTTGTTTCAGGTTTTACTTTACTTTTTTATTATACTCATCATTATTTTCATTTATTACTTATTAGGTTCATTTTATTAATTGGCTTTTGGCTTGGTTATAAAGGATATACCTTCATAACTAAACTTATTCTTAAGGTTATGATAGATTGTTAGAATGTACTTCTTAAGCATATTTATTCTTCGTCGTATTTGAGTATGAATATCTCATTATACATCTTTTTTGTATGTATTTAACACCCAGGTGCGTGTACACATAAGATAATAATTGTGATTAACGGATTATTGATTAAATGTACCCACCTGATTCATCACTCTCATATGATACAGCCTTTTTAGTTCTTGTGGGTTTTCTGCTTGATTTTCTGACTGACTGAGGTGTTGCATCATTGTTTGGTGGTTCATTCTAGAATAATAAAATAAATAATAAATAATTTACATTATGAAATATTGTTTCAGTCATTATTAACCTTGATAAAAATATTCTAATTAAGTTTAAATTTAATAGCGAGTTTGTTATTATGTGAAAATAGTATAAAGAGAAGTTGCTGACCGTATACTTATTTCCAAACCACGCAACAGATTTCAATAACATTTTCTCAGATTTCAATAACATATGTTTTTATCACAACTTTGCATCCTAGCGAAGTCGTTGTTGATAATTTTGTATATTAATAATAGAGGTGGTAATATTTTTAATAAAAAAAAACGGGTCAATTGTGTTGACTATTATTTGAACCATTAGGCAGAAATAATAGCATGATATATAGAATGATAGCAACATAACGTTTCTATTTGTTTTATTTTTATTGTGATTTCTATTAAGTATTTTTGGTCTATAAAGCGGAGGTATTGGATGCTTTTTAATTTGATTGTCTTGAAATATAAAAGTACCTCGTCTGGGCTGCTGGAAGATCTGCGACGAGCGCGGCGCGGCGCGGGGCGGCGGCGCGGGGTGGCGCGGGGGGCGCCCGGCCCCACCCCCGCCCCCGAGTCCATCTCTCCTTCTTCCCCATCGCGAACAGCGAAGCACTCCTCGATTTTATCACTCAGTTCCGTTACCAATGTCTGCAAACACCAAATTGTATTTGGCAAACGAACCGACGTATCAAATAAAAGTACGACAAAGTTTAGGGTAAGATAGCGCGTCGAGCCGGTGAGTTCAAGTTACGACTACATGTCACAGAGACTACATGTGACAGATCGTAAAGATATAAATAACAGAAAAAATTGAAAAGTAAACAACTCATTTTATTTAACATTAAACTGACATTACATTGTACTTTGGATTATTAATTTATTACCCATATATTTATGGACCATATTATTTATACCTTATAGACCAACATATATATAAAATAAAATAATATAAATGGTCTCTGTGGGTCTGCACGACACTGACAACGGTAATCTAAGCACAGCAGGGCCGATACTACACCTCCTTCAGCCAGTAGGCCTCCTTCATAAAAATTTATGGTTATAATAAGAATAATGTATACCTTTATGTCATTTCGTGCCATTTTAGACGTATTATTCATGAGTGTTGTAAAACATTCCATGACTCCATTACAGTGTAGTTTGTCTTTATAACAATCCAAGTTCTCTATGAGTTTGCGGAGCGATCGCTCGTTGTAGTTGAACAAGGAGAGGCAATAAGCCAGATCTCGCCATTGTCGTTCTTCAGTAGACAATTTGAAACGCTGACATAATTTTTCCACTAAAGCCTCCATTTGGCGATCTTTCTGAATTAGAGACGTTATGTACCTGAATTTAAAAAGACAAAGTTTAATAAAGCAAATAATATTATATATTATTTACACACACAGCTAAGCGACTGCACGAAATTTATATGGAAGTTATATGAGAGCTTTGGATGTTTCCATGCCATTTCCATAAAAAATCTTATTAAAATATCTAAATGATAGTTTTGAACAGCAAATTAATATTTGTATGCAGTGTATGTATTATGTAAACTGAATGTCCATCTGTGTAATGGATTACATCACCTTTATATGCATATATGTTTAAGACAATTTTTGTGATGTATTGTCAACAAGTATACTCACTTCATAATCACCCGGTATTGTTCCTCGGGTACATTCAATTCTGGATCGCTCAACCTTGATATGATGTCAGGCATCACGTTGTATAAAGCGTTACCCTTTTGGGAGAGTTGTTTGAAAAATAAACGTGTCATGTTTGCAACACGCGGGTCTTTGTCGGCGCAACACAGTGCCATATCTGCGATTTGACCTTTTACACGTACCATCTCATGAAGCACGAGGAATGACAGCATTTTAACGGCACACTGCCTCACTTCTAGCTCTTCGTCACTTAAACTGGTAATAAATATATATTTATTTATTTATTTCAGGCCTATATTAAAAATATCTTATAGATTAACATATAAATGAGTTAACATTATAATAGTGGGCAGCATGTATATTATATGTGCTGTTATATAATAACTAGCAAAACAATTGATAACAGTAAAAATTATGAAAGGTGTAAAAAAGTCGTTAATGGTTACGTATTTACTTACATATGATAAATATGATGTGTCCAAGGTTGTGTCAGATTGGGAAACCTTAAAGTAAGATCTGCAAATGCTATGGTCAGGTTGGTCCTGAGAGACGCGTTCTTTGATCTCTTCAATACAGTAACCATCAGCTGCAATCCTTCTTCACACACTGAATTCGAGACTAACATGAACCTATGGAGCGGAAAATATTATAATAATGAATAAACGAAGAATAAGTAGTAATTATTATACACACATTGCACAGACAATATTGCTCTTTTTATTTTTATTTCAATAATTATTTTCACCTACTCTCAAATGGGTTGAAGCTGAAAATAAGTGTCTTCTTCCCTGTACAATGTTCCACGCTGAGCTTCGACCTTTTTGTATAGCTACAGATCACACATAATAACAATTTTATAAATCTTAAGTCGTATTATGTATGTCTATTCTTATGAACATGTTGTGTGTGATTAGGAACAAACAAATAAATGATATATCTATCTAGTGTGTTTTCATACTTTTTAAAATCTAATAAATGGCAAAACAAGCTGAGACCTAGAAAAAAACTAATGTCTACATGATAATTAACACAACGCTGTCTAGTCCTAAGGTAAACACAACTTGTGTTATGGGTACTAAAGAACTGATACAAAAACATAGATATATATTTTTTGTAAATACATACATAATATATCTACAAAACATCCAGATTGATACCATCAATCATACAAATGTTAGTACTGTGCGAGAAATCAAACCCGCGACCATCAGAAGTAAAACGTCTACAGCGTACGAAACTGCTAAATTTGGGGTCGGCGTAAAATGATTTTTGTCTCCCGGCCCTTATAAACCCTCCACCTTCATATGTAATATTTTCTTTAAAATATTATCTTCATTCCTACGTATTACATGCCCATACCATGACAGACGATTACTTTCAACACCGGCGGCACTTTGATACTTTAATGTATTTATTCTTTATCATGTTTATCACCACACACCACCATAGCCATCTCAACATATATATACACAGTAATGTGACAAAGATATATATAAACATAGATATGTGAAAAAAATCTCCAATTACCATAGTTTGTGGTTTTTGTGAAATTTATGCTATGTAATTTTCTTTATATACTTCCATCCTACCTAGTGAATGTTAGCGCGGCTGCAGCTTGAAGCGCCGGTGTACAGCGTGCGGGGTTAGCAAGCAGCCAACGAAGCAGCGGTAAGTAGCGAGACAGTGTTGTACCAGTACCCACAATGTCTCGCTCGCACACGTTGCGAACATATTCTGCGTCTGCGTCATCAGCTACTGCCCCTTCTAACCCCGTATCCTCTTCAGTCATAGTAGTGTTAGTCTGATAGATTAAAAAAAATTTTTTACAATATCTGTCAAATATTTTTTTCATCCTTACTATCCTTACTAATATTATAAATGTAAAAGTAACTGTCTGTCTGTCGTGCTTTCAGGTCAAAACTACTGAACCGATTTAAGTGAAATTTCTAGACCCTGAGAAAGAGACATCCTTTCTCTGGCTACTTTTTAATGCGAAAAAGGGTTGAATCTTTCACCACACTTTTCAACTCCTTAGTGTTGAAAGGAGAGATGAAAGTTTGTGTGGAGGTATCGTAATTTTTAAAGCTACGAGATTGAAACTTACGGTTAGGCTGTTGATTAAATATATATAAATTTTATGACATGAGCGATTTTTTTTATTTTATACATTTTCTTTAACTTTTTATAAATAAAATAGGAGATTAAACTTTTTTAGTTGGATTTGAAGATTATGAATTCTTTTTTGGACAAGGTAACTATTTCATGCAAACGAAGTCGCGGTCACAGCTAGTATATCATATATCTAGAATGTCTTCTCAATGCCATCTCAAACGCGTAGACATGCCACTGTTAAGCTACTAATAGAGATACATAGGATATACAATTAATGGTAATAATTTTTGTACACAAAAATTACTTAAACTCTGCCCAAGTTCCTTGTCACTTTTCCTCGAACAAATTTCCGAACACTAGATTTGACTAGCAATTTTAAGAATTTAAGTAAAATATGTTTACTTTAAAAAGTATCGTTTATTTATTCAAATTTTTCAGGACACTAACAGGCTGGAACAATGTGTATCATAACATAAAAAAAAAAAACAAGATAATAAAGAAGATTGTCGCTTACGGAGGGTCCCTTGTTGGAGGCGACACTGGCAGCCCGCTGCCCTCGCGACGAAGCGCTGGCACCGCTGACGTTCATCAACGTCTGACGTCGCAGGTCATCGACCCGCCCGCGCCTGGCTGGGGTTGCAAATGTACCCGCCTTCTTTTTCTTCTTTTCTTCTATTTTTCGTTCCTCTCGCACCTGAATTAAAAATATATTGTATAATTATTACATCTGAATTTGGAATAGGCTTAAAACTTAAATTGTAGACAAACCAAGTATTACACATAGTGAGTGAACACATAGAGTGTGAGCGTTATGTAACAACTTTCATTTATTTGCATTTGTTATTGTGTTAACAATGTAATTTACAAAAACGATTATAGAATTATACAAATAACAATAATGTACTTTAAATAAACAAATGCTTTTTAGTACAATTTTACCTGATTTCGTCTTCTGAGTTCGCTGTACACGCTTATGTCAAGATATATCAACTGCTGTAGTGCCACTTGACCCAAAACAAACACGAACCGTATCAGTAACTCTGTGGGTAAACTGGCCTCTTCTTCATTATCCATATCTTTGACCATTGTTTCTTCTATTTTCCTGTACATTTCTGCTAATAACTTTGCACATATAACATCTGGCGTATCACAAACAGTATAAAACAAATCTATTGAATTAGCTGCAAATGACATGAACTTATTCATTCTTGAGTACGTTTCGAGCAGGCTGTCGTATACGGAAGTAAATATAGAATGATCTGCGGGATAACGCTGATTCTTCTTTGCCAGGGACAAAAGTAGTTGCACACTTAAGTTTCTATAATCATACTCGGCGGTGAGGCCGTGTGATTGTATAACTTCCAGGTTTGCAAGCGCAACTGACGGTTTAGCTTTAGCAATCATCACGAGAAGCGACAGCGCCGCGTAACTTTCCATGTCAGTGGTTCCATCAATTTTTTTAAGAAACATTTCCCAGAATACCTGAAATTAAATAATAGTAATACATATAATGATATTCTAGAAAAATCTTGAACAAATAATAATGTTTACATTCTCCATCAAATAGATTATTTAAACTATTTATTTCCCTACCACATAATTCACTAATAATGAAAACAGTGACTAGATTATATACAGATAGAAGAAGGGTAACTGTGGCAAAAAACACACTTTTTACCACAATTACCCGTTAAACCTCCTTTCATAGTCTCTTGAGAAAACCTGGGCAGATTACTTATAAGAGTAGAATAAGACTGGCCTGTATAACGGCGGGTGAGATATCACCTCGCTCTAGCCACAGGTCAACAAGGTGAGCGAGAGCGAGTGCGGCGCCAGCGTCGATCCTGGTAACGAGGGCGGCCAATCGTCGCGCGGCCGCGAAGGCTCGTGCACGTTCCGCGCGCGCCTCGTCTTCCACGTACATGCTGCGGTACGCGCGCTCCACCGCCTCGCGCTTGTCCTGCGCTCAACCCATAGAAGCTCAGTTAAACCAGAAGCAGACGTAATAGCTAAGCAAACGCCTATAAAGTTTGATCAAACTTAAATTTAGCTTGACGTTCATAAGCGGCTAAAATGTCGTACAAGAATAAATTATTTTTGAAGTGATTTGATCCCATGTATGATTTGTTAAAAGCCCATTTCAAATATGTAAGTACATAGTGTAATATATTTTTGGAAAGTTGAGATCTAAATTAGTACTATGAGCACAAAGTTTGCAAAGAATTTATATATTTGTATAATAATTTATTTATTTGTATTGATATGCATGTAGAAAGGGTGCTCCAATATGTGGTTAAACCTTTAAAACAATTTTTGGTATCAGATAAAACTGAATGAGTAGTACTAGAGAAAAATTATAGTAAGTCTTCAGGTACACTGAAAGTAAGGCTACACTAAACAAAATTATAAAACAACACTAACCTGATCTGGCGACCATACAAGCATTAACATATTAACAACTCCAGTTTTAGCCGATTCTATGTTGAAATGATGAGCTGTAGTGAAGAAGTCTATCGCCTCACTGACGTCGCCGGCCTGTTTCGACATCAGTAGTGAATTTATTAGAGGTACGGCTTCAGACACCATGCGACTGAAGTGTACTGACTCCTGAAGGAATGCTACTATGTTCTCCTTCTCTTCAAATCTCTTGTATAACGCTATTTCATTCTCACACTGCTGTGTTTGAGAAATCGAATTTCTTCGATCCGGAATAATGAAGATATTTCTTAACAAAGCAACGAAGTAGTCTACCTGAAATATTTAAATATAACATGATAGTCCATCTAACTTACATATGTTATATGAAGATTAGAATATAAGAAAAGAACATTCATACCTGATCACTTTTCTCCATGTCGCATCTCAAAAGTTTTGCATCTGGATATTGTCGCTCAGTATGTTTCACAATAAGGTAGGCTTTGTAATAATCCTTATCACGCAGATGTTTCCGTATTGCTTCATATAAGTTATGCACTGACGCCTGTGAAAGCTCTGGCTCATCTTGGGTCAAAATATCCATCTTTTCTTTTATGGTCTTAACCACATCCTTTTCTATTTTGTCCCATTTCTTTACTAGTTCTGGGTCCGGCCCTGGATTGAGCTTTTTCTGGAGTGCCTCCAATATTTTCTCTTCAGTTTGTAGTTGTTCTTCTAGCATTTCCAATTTCAATTGTGCCGAAAAGGGGTTACATTCTAAGAAAACCTATAAAATAATATTAAGCTCTATTTCTGATCTATTGCAAATGCTAATAAAACTAAAAATAAATACATATTTTCAAAATATATATAATGTAGGACACCGTTATTTGACAATGTTAAATAAAATATATAGTAAGAATACATAACAGTTTGGGGTTTGTTATTCAGTCATGCAGTTAATTTGGTGACTAAATCCCCAAACTATTCCAGTGAATTCTTGTAATTCATTAGATTGTTATTTCAATTGTAACACGTTGGACCTGGATATGTTTGTGTGAAATAGTCTACAAATAGCGATAGTAAATTATAAAAGACAAACAAATAAAAGGTTACTTTGAGAAGTTGAATAGCGGCTTTTCTAACGAGCGCGGCTTTGTCCCGTAAACGGCCGATGGCGCGCTCAAGCACGGTACGTTGCCTGCTCACCGGTACGCAGTTTTCACGCTGCAGACGACACCAGAATTGTAGCACCTATCCCGAGACAATGAAAACAATAAAAATTGTATTAATTAGATCTGCTTCTATTTACTTATTATTCAAGTAAAAAACTTATCATTAATTCATCATCATTAATAATGTAGTTCTCTATAGATTATAGATAGGAAAGGATTTACAAAATGGTCAAATCTGTATTTGTTTGTAAACAATTAAATATGTATATGTAATTTAAGGTATATTTACAAGTTAATACAAGTATACCTTGTGTCTGACGTAAGCGGAGAGATCGTGCAAGTGTTCATAGAGGTCATCAAGGAAGTCGTCCCGTTGGCAGCGTTGCTCGTCAGTTAATCCCTCGCCGCTGAGCTCAACGCTTAGAACCTCGCACATCATGCCCAGCACACTGATGCGGAGAGTGTAGGACTGGTGATGAATAAAGCTTTTTAACAATAACTTAAACATAAATGATTACTCAGGAATTATATCCAAACAAGATTTTTTTTTCTTTCTACTAAATGAATTAAAAATCTCGTAATTAGTATAAAGATAAGGCATGCATAAAACGTTGGTATAATGACATTAAATTGATTATTTTTTTCTATAAATTAGAAATATATATATGATACAAATGAAATGCATGTGAAATACAGTAGATTAGTGTACTTATAAATTATAAAAAATACCACTTGGTAATTATATTATATATAATAACATTTATAAAAAAATGATAAGCATTTTACCTCATCACTTTCCAAGTATGGTTGAATAGTAGCAATTGCACCAGTCATTTCTTTGGGAAGCTCTTTTGTGAGTTCCAACAGAAATGCGCCACAGTTCTTTGCAGCACCTTGCTCCGTGCCACCACCTGCATTTTCTTCATCAGTTGATGCTAATGCTTCAGCAATTTCTCGAACCTAAAGTATATTAATATTGACAATAAATTATTCTGTCATTGTAGAAAAGTAGTTTACATCATTTATGTAATAATTTATTAATTAATACACATATACTAAATCACTTTTTATCTGTTTGTTGATTAATTTTTGAAAATACCAATATAAATATCTTATAAACGTATAGTATATAAAGTTAAATATGGGTCAATATGTAGACTAATCAATTAAAAAGGAATATTCCTCAAAATGGTTCAAAATTATATTATTTTGGCACTGTATGGTCAACTAGAATAGTAAATTAAATATATAACAATAGATGTCGTAAAAAGATTTAGAATTTCCTTTTAGTATAAGCGAATGAAGTTACTTAATACTCATTTAGGAAACTGGATATTATTCACACAAAATAATGTAAGACTAAGTTTCCTAGAAAATATTAAACAAATTTTTATACCATTTGTGGTCCAAAAGTACCGAGACCAAATTCTTTGGTCAATTGTACTACTCCTGCACATATTGGAGACACAGCATGCTCCACCATTTGAAGAATCTAAAAACAAAACAAATTATATTGTATTCTCATCATTTAATATATGACACTGATACCATTGCTTGTGATAACACTGTAATTAAATTAAAAGTATAATTAGAATTACCTGCACTAGTTTTATCAGGCAGGATGTTCCATGATTGTATTTTTTAATTAAGACACCTAGGACTTGAAACACTGTTTCTCTGATTACTTTATTTTTTATTATTTGTTCCTCTAGAGCATTGTAACAGGGGTCTGCTACCATTCTGCAAATATAGAAATATAAACAGTTTATCAGCATGAGGTCAGGTCAGCCCATCCTGAAATGTATTAAGATGGTTTCCAAGGGGAACCGCATGGAGGTCAACCTAACATTACATATATTAGCAATATACCATGTTAGGTTGACCTCAAAGGGTTGGTTGAGGCAAAGGGTTAATGATGATGGTGTGACACTTTTCAAAGCATGATAAGTATTTATCATATAATAAGTACTTATTTTATCTAGACTTATTTGTACACCCTGGATTCACTATCTCAGTGGAGCTTTATTCGCGTTAATAGGTATGTATACTTCTTCCAGTGAGTCAGTTAGTTCCTTGTCTAACTGAAAGACTTATAAATGTAAATTCTTCTAAAGGAAAACTCACTACTCTATTTTTTTATCAGTGATAATGGAATGATGCATTAGCGTGAATGGTTTTCGCTGGTGGGGCACCGATGGAAGCCGGCAAAAAGAGCATAGTCATGACATTTGTCAAAATAGGGTATTTTGACAAATATCAATTTACCACAATAGTTCCCAGGGGGAACTGCACGGAGGGCGGTACTTTGACATGGTACATTTCTAGCAATGGGATTATAACTAACAATCTCCTTCCCCATGACAATATATGTTAAACTTTAAGAACACTTACGAGACAAAGTTGTCTTCAGCGAGTGGTGGGTCCCATAAGCGAGACAATGGTTGCTGAAGTACTAAATGTAAAGCAACAAGAGCAGCCTGCTTATCTGATTCAGTCCACCCACAAAACTCATCATCATCTGTTGCCTTTTTGCCTTTCTTACCTAATGTTAATTTTGTTGAGTTCTAAAAAAAGCATTGACATACTAATACTTATACTAAAGATATAATTCTTATCTTTTAATTATTTTATAACATTCTTATATAGCATAAAAGCATCTTATAAAAGCAGTACATAAAGTAAGCAAGCACTAACACAAATAGATATTTTGTTGACTACAAATGTTTGGATTGTGTTAGGATCAAACTTCTAAGCAGACAGTAAGTTCACTGTTACAACACCAAGGTAGTCAAATAATGTTCATATATATAACAAAGATAAATTAAGTAAATTAAATTAAAAATGAAGTGAAATAAAATAGAGTAGCAATTAAAAGAGATTTGCAAATTGCTGCCTCCTTATAATCAGATAAGAATATGAGACCAATACCTGGTATATATCACTTCATTTAAAAGTTACATAAAATATTCTACAATCATACCAGTAATGTCAAAATTTAGGATAATAATAAATCATACATACATCGGCAGCTAACTTTGCGTCTTTTGTCTTCATTAATTGTGTAAAAAGATACATGGACATTTTGAGTATGTTAAGGTTCTTGACACGAACATCATTATCAATTTCTTGGTCCTGAAATATGGCTTCAAGGTGGTTGCAAAGGTTTTTTGCAGCTCGAACAACATGGTCAAAACCTAAAATTATTATTTTGTTGTTTGTTTATTGTGATTAAAATTATAATGATTTATATAAATCACTGGGTTGATTAAAAGATATATGAAACTTCTTGAGGAACTAATTAATAAATTACACATTTTAATTTTTAAAAGTAAACATTCTATATGTTATATTATTCTGATAGTAAATAAGAATAGCAGAGAGGGTGGACCCACTGTCACCTCTGTGTTATAATTTTATCTTCTTTCTAACTTCTAAATTTTATACTAAGCAGTAATATTACTTGAGACAAATAAAGATGATTAATATTATTATTATTTAAAGTAATTATTATCAACACAGTTCATTTTGTTTATAATTAGCATCATCACAGCCCCCCAAAATGTTTTGGAAAGGCATTTTAAAATATTAAAAGCTCTAGAAGCTTTATCAGATATATTACAGACATGCTTATTCCAAGATAGATTTTTTGTTAATGTTACACCAAGAAACTTGGCTTCAGCTACTACAGGCAGTATGCTACCATTATAATTAATATTAGCATGCAAAGTTCTTGTTCATTTTGTTTATAATTAGCATCATCAACTAAGAAAAGTTACCTTTATTAATGATGTTCCATTCCAGTTTATTGCCATGAACTATTATAGAAAAGTAGGTATCAAAGTGTTCCAATATGTACTCCACACCATCAGAGTTGTAAGCACGAGCAGCATCTGTAAAATTATAATATAGATTATCTATTGTCTGTATTTTATATTGCTAACTGGGTATTAAGGAGTCACTTTCCACAACCGTTCATTTTGAAGTGTACTTAAAAACAAAAATTACATAGATGAAATTAAACTAATTAAGTAGAATAATTTTTATATAATTTATATGTCTGCTAATAAATCAAATGATTTATTCGCAGACATATAAATTATATAGAACTAATTATGGAGAAATGGCAAATTATCATTATAATGCAATTCATATCTCCATAGTTAAAGATTTTTCTCATATTTATGTGAATTCATTTAAGACATAACCAGCAAAAAGGTAGACGACTGCTTAACAAAATTGTTTTCAGTCTGGAATTAAATTTAGAAGTTAATAATGTAACAATAAATAAGGTAATATCTAGTCAACAAACAAAAAAAAAATAAGGGATATTAAAACTTTTAGTTGTTTTTAATAATAACTAACTGCTTCGAAATATTAGTAACTTTATGAAGACTTACCTTGAAGTTTGGATAAGAGAAGACGTGGTTGAACCACATCTTCGACGTGATATTGTCCTGCATGGGACTCCAATAACTCATCTTTTTGCAGTGGTATAGCAAATTCAAAGTGACTCATTTTTCAGTGAGCTTTTATATACACTTTACAAAATAGTTATAAATGAAAGAATTTCTATGTCAAAAATTACAGTAATTGTAATAACAAAAAACAAACAATATTTGTTTTCATTAAGATAAATATTAACATTACAATAACGCGGGACGATAAATAACAGACAACATAATTTCAAATTTGAAAAACGAGGACAACGTAACTGTCAACGATTTGACAAAATGCCGGCTGTCATTGTGATCTAAGATCTATTTCTAATATCAAAAACATGCAGACATGGATGTATGGGTTCAGTTTCCTTTGCCTTTCGGTCAAGGGACAGAACCAAAAAACAAAAGATCTTTGGGGTGCAAGTCGAGAAGTGAACAACTTGCCCAAGAGATTAGAACATTAGAACATAATTAAACATATTATTGGACTATAATCGACACAATGAAAAAAATATATTTTATAATTGATTGTTATATTTTAATATATATTCACATAAAGTCTATTCTTTGGTAATCTGCCATTTATATACATCCCTAGATAAATTTTATTGCAATGTTGGTATTGCATTTGACACGTTGGTGGCATGTCACTTGACGTTTCGCTTTTACTCGGCCAACTTACACTTTTTTATCATACATAGCAGTAGTAAGTGTGTTACTGTTTCTCTTTCTCAGTTTATTTTCGTCCTACGTGGTATTTACTTTCTACGGTAATTTAATTAATATTAATAAAGAATGTCTGGAAAAGCAAATAAAGCATTTACAAAAGAAGAGGAATTGTTGTTACAAGATTTTAGTCGAAATGTTTCAACTAAATCTTCAGCACTGTTCTATGGGAATGCTTTCATCGTTTCTGCAATTCCTATATGTGAGTACATTTTGTAATATATAATGCTATTAATTATATAAATTGTTTAATTACGATATACACAACATAATTTCAAAATTTTAATTCATAATTGTATTATTGAATGGGTAATATTTAATTTTCTTCTTTATGTTGTTGTAGGGTTGTTCTGGAGAGTGCACGCTTTGGAAGTAACCACATCTTTAGTTTGGTTCGTCCTGGTAACGGGAGCTAGTACGTGGCTTCTGGCTTTGGCATACCGAAACACTAAATTCCAGTTGAAACACAGAGTGGCAGTACGTCGAGAAGATGCGGTGGCCCGCGAGATGGCCCGGAAACTTGCTGACGATAAAAAAATGAGCCGCAAGGAGAAGGATGAGAGGTTATAATTGATTATTTTTAATAATTAATATATATGAATGAGCTGTCAATGTTTACAAAGGCTTAGAGACGGAACTCTAAAATTGCTGAACTGTAAAATCTTAGTATTTTAGGCATCACAGTCTCATAAATCTTATTCCATTATGTCTTTAATTTTTTTCAATTTAGGTCACAATTTTTTTTATAAAATTAAAACTGATAATCTAAATAGTGAGAATAGCTGAAGGTGTTGTTTTATATATTTCAGGATTTTATGGAAGAAGAATGAGGTAGCCGATTATGAGGCCACTACCTACTCCATCTTCTACAACAATGCCCTTTACTTGACAATTGTGATCCTGAGCAGCTTCTACTTGCTTCGCTCTTTCACACCTACTGTGTATCCTTTTAAAAAACCTAATACATAAATATTTCTCATACTGGTTTTGTAGATAGTTTTAGTCTGATTATAAAAAAATATGTGGTCTTTTTTATATGGAATGAGCTGCCTGCATATACCTATGCACCAGTGCACCAGTTGGAGATGATAGGATGAGCATGAAGACTGTGATGCTTTCCAAGAAGGCAATGTGGAGGCCAACCTGACATTGTGTATTCCTAGCATCTTACATAGTAATAGTAATTTGTAACAATTTTCTATTACTATGAAAGATGTATGAATGGTGAAATTACAGGATATGCAGAGATAACAAATAATTGTCAACTGTAGGTGATAGTTTTGACTTTCATCAGGTGAAAATATTTCAAATCATTCAATTGACCATTGACAGATAATGCAGATGTAAGACAATCTTAAATTTTGTAGATTAAAAATTTTGACTATAATAATATATTTTCTTAATTAATTCAATACAGAAACTACATTTTCTCACTCACTGTTGCATCTGGACTCCTGGCGTTGCTTTCCACTGGTACCAAGTGAAAATAACATTGACATTTTAAAGAGTGTGTGTGCATCTGATGCTGAAATGTAAAGAACACTTGGGGTGTTCTTAGTGTCGTGATCTAGAACACCTAGCATATGTGTATTTATATGCTTATTGATTAAACTTTGTTAGAATACATTTTTAAGAATATATAATAATTTAATAAAAGAAACAAGTGTTAAACAGTCATTGGTTTTATTTACACTTAAGTGAGACTTACAATTAAATGTTCTTATTCTTATTAATCTTATCTATCAAGTAATCATACCGATAGCTGTTTTTCGATATTATCAGGGTGGGTTAAGTTTATTTTAAAATCACAAACAGCTTTTATCTTCACATTATCATTTTATAAAGTCTGTTTTGTTCTGAGTAACTGCAGTCATATTCACATTTACTGCTGCTGTATAAAGTATTTGGCGTGCTGTTATACTAATAGAAGATGAAATACAATAAGTGTAGTTACAATTTGTATAAGTGAAATGACTAGAAATAAAAAGAGTAGTGCAAAAATGTTGCACTCGTTTTATGTAATCTTCATAGATTCTTAGTTCTGTATACTTTACGCGGCAGCAGAAAACTTCTCGTATCGTTGCGGCTGTATGGCCTTGTATGAGGCGGTGCGCACACTTCGCACATGTGTTGTGTTCGGTGCTTGTTTATGTATAGCGAATGCGCCATTACTGCGCTGCCAAATCCCACTGTTCGCGTCGGAACGCTGGTTTGTCAGGGGCTCAGTACATCATGCCGACGTGCAACGGCTCCGTACGTTGGAAGTAAACGTTTGGGTTGCTGCTGAAGGTGGGCTCGACGCTCGTGTACACGTTGCCCTCCTCCGGTCGCACCATCACGCCTGTAGACAAACACATAAACTGTCAATAAAGTTGGTGCAATTCAAAGACTATTAAATAAAAATTGATATAATGTACGAGAACTTAAGCGGTTAACAATATATAAATTTTAAACAATTCATACTGTCGTGAAGTAAAAAAATTAAGAAAATATTTTATAACGGGTAATATAATTCATTTTATATAGACGAAATTGCATGTTGTTGCATAATAATCAGACAACGTACGGACTAAAAGACGACTAAATAAAGAATCCCGAAAAATATAAGAAAGGAACAAATATCAGAGGAAGAGAAGGAAACCTTTTCTAATTTATCTATCCATTTTAGTATCAGTTTAAATATTCTTGTGTGACCTGTGTCCAGTGGTCACAAGTTCATAATTGTTATGATAGATTATTTTTATTCATTTACAATATTGAAAATATTTACCATAGTTTCTAGGTAGATAAGATAAAGAGTACTTAAATAAAGAAAAGATAGGTTTACTTTAAAGTAATATTATCAGCATAGCATATGATTTCTCTTAGGTTTAATTTGCAAAGATTTGAAAGCGTGAGGTGCAATAATTACCTGACGGAAATAGGTAGTGATAAGGCGAATAATTGTATTGGTAGTGCATTAAAGGGTGCATAGGGTAGTGCGGTGGAGAGCACAGGGGGCGTGAGTGTAGGTGCGTTGAACTCGCGAACATCGCTCCGTATGGATCTGCGAACAGAACACGAGAAACAGCGGTCAAATTGTGCACGTAAGCGCTAGTTCTTACTGTTAGCGCACTTTAGATACTTAACTAACCGGCTGGCTGAGCTGGCGGTTCCTTGCGGTCTAACACAGGCGGCGGAGCAGGCGTGGGTGCCGCGGCCGATACCATGCCGTACTTCACTGGCTTGAAGTGAAAGAAAGATGGAGAGTAACCAGAGCCGCCGGCTCCCAGCGAGCTAAGTCCTTCTTCACGGTCCGCGTCCCATCGACCCTCGCGACCCAACGCCGCTAATCGACGGCCTTTCGGCGCAAACATTAACGCGAAAACTACTGCACAGGTTGCCAATAGACCAGCTGCTACACATGCGTCTCTATGACGTTCTGGCGCACCTAGTGCTGCTGCGACCCAGCATACCCACACGGCCGCTGTTGCTCCGGCCGCTCCTGCGATATGTGTTGCTTCACGATAATTATCTCGGATACTCCGTGATCTCAGTGCTACGCCGCACACTATTGCTATTAGAAATGCTGCGTAGGACAGCGACAATAACAGATCCGATAGAGGGGCGTCGCATCGGACGCCACTGGAAGCTACTCGGGGAGGTGAGCCACCAAGCCACTGTGCCCCAATTGCCACTTGTATCATTACCGCAAAAAATAAAAGAAGTCCTTGGTAAGCTGCCGGTAGATACACCCCACCATTTAAACTTAATAAAAATACACATTTGACGAGCAGGGATGCAAACACAATCACGTATGCGACTCCAGTACCAAAACGCACGGCTCCACAGGTAAATACTGTAGGTGTTACAGCATATAGTGCGGCTGTTGCCGCGCATGAAAACAAACCAAACAATAACGTCTGACCTAGTAATAAATGGCGTTGACTTGGAGCCTTACGGCTGGCTCCCCATACAACGAAAGCTTCGAAGCCACCCAGGGTGGCAATGGTTACACATGCTAGCGCTAATACTGGTACAGCCCAAGATTCCAGTCGTAATAAACCTAACGTAGGTGTAGGCATAGCTGTCACCAGGGTGTTGTTAGACTGTGCTGGCGGGGGTGGTGGTGTAACTACTTTTGAGGGCGTAGGTGGAGGGAGCGATGAAGAAGTTCGCTCTGGAATCACGAAGTATTCTGTGCTCATTTCTAGCCTATGTGCTTCAGTGCGCGCCGGGCGACGTAGAGACAATTCTGTCTCAGGTTGTGGTTCTACTTCCTCTTCAACAGAAAGATTCTCTTCATCGTATTCTTGGTCGTAGGTGTCTTCGTATTCCGCGTCTGTGTAGTGTTGTGCCGATGGCGCATTCCGTGGTGCATAAGCAGCGGGAACACGCGGGGCGAGGCGGTCGCCGAAGCGTGCCGCATTTGCAGATGCCAGCGCAGCTAGCGCCGCCATAACCATCAGCGCGCGTACCCGTACTATAGCCATTAGGGCGCGCAGGCCCTCAGCCGCCTGAACTTCGCTGTAGACACATCCGCGCTCGGCTCGTTATCTCTGGAACATAATAAACGTAAGCATTAGACATTCAGTTTTCAGTTAAAAATTGGAAGCGACTTGTTTTAGTGGCACGAAATGAATGCTTGCAATAAGTATAATTAAAATCCCTTCAGAATTGGCGAAGAAATTATTATACATACCATGCACATAAACAGAACACTTTTATGAAGAGATACTGGAATTTCTATATAATATATTTGCGATGTAGATCTAATACAGCAAATAATGATATAAGTACGTGTACCAAAATCTTTTAGATAAAGGTCAGGTTCAGACATCAAAACAAAATAAATCACCTTGGTTGTTTATTCATCATTGCAATAGATTATCCAACTGGCACTGCTTTAAGTGGATGTTGCATAAATAAATTTGCATTACAACCTTAAAAGTGGGTACCTAATTCATCCGAGAGATTATGCAGACTGGTTCACAAAAGAAGATCGTGACTTTAAACATATTATCCGAAACAGTACACAGTATCTACAGAACTAAGTACACAACTGTATACTATACAACAATAGGTGTAGGCAGATTTGGTGTTAAAGTAACGGTGTGAACCACGGAGTACTTGGAGCGAACCAACAATCGCGCGAGTATATATAAACGATCTCGAAAACGGTACCCGGTACCATGATATTGATGCTATCTGTGATCGTTACCAAATTACGGTATGAGATGAAATAACTATTTGTTATCTGCGTTACGTCTTGTTACAGTAAGTTTAATTCGACATAATATCTTTATATATCAAGCCTTGTCTACTTCACTAATTTACATTACACATAACATCTTTTTTTTTTTTCAATAAAATGGTGCACCAATCGTCAGTTCATCCAGGATGGTTTACAGCGACGATCGCGTGTAAGATAATGGTAAGTTGCTAAAAATGGGGTCACTATTCAGGAATACTAACAATCTCTCTCCTTCCTAACAACAGACGTTAAAGATATCAAATTTCGAGTAATCCATTTATTACATGGACATTCATTATCAAAAGTTGTTTCTAGAAATTTTCACCTCAATAGGAGATACCTACCAGGTTTGTGAATCAAAACTATTTGTTAATTTTGCTCCTCACGAATATCGGCAGATTTTTTACTATACTGTAAAGCATAAAAGTTATATAGACATGATCATAGTATCTACATACTTAACATGGATGGCTATATATCTACATATATCTTTTTAAAATAACAACTGTGGTAACAACAGTATATATATAATTTCAAAATGTACCTAACGAAATGTGGGCATTTCAACTGTGGTGTTCAACACAACATCGTTAGTTGAAAATTCCTCTGGGATAACAGTCTTGACGGTATGTTTCTTTGTTGTATGTATATGTTTGTTGACGGTTTCTTTTTTAAAGCAATATCTATCTATCTACTATAGTCTTATAAAATATGGTACGTAATGTTATAAAAACAAAAATATTAGTAAGAAGAACAGACAATAAAAAATATATGTCGCATACAACAGATTATTTAAATACTTTTTATGGGTATTCCATATTAGTAATTTTGTATTTAAAAATCTTTGATAGTATTTTTTTTTAATTTTAGTAATAATTTCTTTATATGTTCAAAACAATACAAAGATGACAATTTAGATGTGTTTTGCCATGGCATTGACATGCAGAAACATAACAGTAATTAAATTACACACAAAATCCACGAAGTAATATTACAAGTAAAAATAGAATCTTTGCAGTCGATAGTTATTATGGTATTATATATTTTTATTGCATGTACTCTATTGGTTATCTAGCATCATAGAATGGAAAGTCAAAGTTTCCTCTCCTCGTGTAGTAGCTATAGGTGTCGCAGACAATGAGACTTAGGGAAACAGAGCGTTGTTCGTGCGCGGCCGCGCGCGTAAAAGTAACAGCACGAATACTCGGAGTGAAACTCGGTTGAAATGATTGCACTCAGACTCAACTGCTGTTTGCTGCTGCCACGTCACATTCCTGTGGTATTGTTTCACTTGCATCGTCACGTCATTATGTGATGCAAATATTTTACGCATCCCCGTGTAGCTTAGTGTTAGATGTTATTTCTGGTATGTAAAAGTAGGTGAGCAGAGATGGGAAAATGTCATCGTTGTCTATAGCTATTAACAACACTACACAAATAACAATGAATCATCTAAACAACGCCATCTTACCTCAACGTAATTATTTTAAATACATAATGCAAATAACCAGCCAGTACAACGTACACGAATACAAATGTATATACTTCACGGGGATCGAACCAGTGACCACCGGAAATAAAGCATTATAAAAAACACCAAAATTGACACATAAGTACGGTACGGTACATATATGCTGTGCGGTGAATACTCTTTTAATAGCTAAGACGTCGAACTTCATGCTATCGAGATGTGTGTGTACAACGAATAAAAGACATCAACGAATGCAGCAAAAACACTGCTACTTGCTGTTTCACTACAAAATATTTTCATTCATGTAGGTCTATTACAAACATTTCTGATAAGTGAAATCTATCGTCAGTTCAGAAAATAGTTTCAGATTACATTGGTATTTTACAAAACAAGCAAGCGTGCCTTGCGTGTACCTTGCATGTACCTACTTATTGCAAACGATATAAAAGAAAACTTGTTTCACAAGAGAAAGATAATAAAAGTTGTATAAAAGTTATAGATTGATAAACAATCATCCAATTATCTCTTAATTAGTTAAGATAGCGCAAACCTGCATTTATACCTACAGATATAAAAGGCGAGTTAGTTAAAACTTGTTCAGGACTCTTACAGTTTTTTTATGATTAGGTCGACATATCTATCTGTACACTTGAGAAAATAAAATTGTTACTACTAATTACACTGTAAATATTGAGTTTTTATCCGACTGTCCTATATATTGTGTGACTGTTGTAAACTATGCGATACTTTGTCATCAGCATCAAATCTGAATGGACTCGATTCTTTTATACAAGTATGCTATCAATACAGATTGATTATATATTATTGGTTATTTCTTACTTTTAAATACATTAGTGAAGAACCTATGGAATACTAATACTATGCAATATCTTATTTTATTTCAGTTAATACTAATACATTTGTAAAAAATCAATTGATACATGTCGACTAGGACAAAGAATTGACAATTTAATAATAAAATAGGACAAATAATTAGTCAACTTAATAATAAAATTTCGATTAATGTCCTTCCATTGTTAGAAATGTATTTCTCATTCTATAAGAAATTGAGAATTTTCTTCCCGTTGCACATTCGAGTGGCGTCCTTTGCAATGATTAATATTGTACTTATATATTTTGACTGGTAAAATAAAATAGATAACTAGTATATTTCTATAATATTATTGGTCCTAAATTCCTGGTTTTCACGTAGTGCCATTCAGTATAATTATAGGCGATAATATAGTCTCTGCCTATATATATATATGCACTATGTAGGCCGTCAGCTTGTTTTGCCATCCAGTTAAGTACATAAAAAATATTATTTTGTAAGAATATTCTCATGTAATACTGTAACAATTAGACAATTCATTCACCTACTACCTATTATTAGAATAGATTTAACAATAAAAGTGGTTTATGTCTATTCTTATGTCGAACAGTCATTATTACATAATCTAAAATTAGACCATTGTAACAGTTACGTGTGCGTACGCATAGTGAACTGTACGAAACTTGAAAAACCTGTCAATTACGAAATCGATGCAATCGGAAGTTGATAATTAGAAGAGTTGATAAAAATATTCACGACTGTAACGCCAGATGGGGTACTTAGAGACAGCTGCTGCCGTTTTATTATAGGTGATGTCCATCACCATACCGTTAGACTAGAAATAAATTTCTTATATTTTCTTGACAATTACAAATTTCAATAGAACAAAATACCGTTAGTATCATCTTTTTAACTTTCTTTGAACACATTTGAAGGCAGTGTTTTCATTTCATTTTCCATTTTTCCATTCCATACATCTTGTATTTTTTTGCTGCTATTCAATAGGCATGTCTAAGTGGTCGGCAACATGTACAAAACTATGTCAACATTACATATTGCTCTGATACATTGTTTCTGAGCTATCTAAAGTTATCTACTTATTTTAGTAGCCCCTGAATATCTATAATCAAATGAAATACATAAGAAAGTAATATGCGAAGATTATTTAATAGTGTTTCCTGCACAAGTTACGTTTAAAGACATCAGTCTATTTTGTTGATTAACTATGTTTAAGTTGTTTTATAAAGTGTAGATATACATATTAAAATTCTGTAACTATTCTACTATTTTTATAATCGTGATTATAACATATAATGCCTTATATGTTTATATTCCTTTATTATATACTTATACAATACATATCTAAGGTGAAATACGTAGAGAAGAGATACACATACATAGATTAATAAACTGCAATTACAAAAGCTACTGTAGGTACATCTCTAATGTAATATGTTTTCTAAAACAATCTAATATGGACACGTAATGATAGATACGTATCCCACTAAAAACATAATGTGCTACACGTTATATTTCGTTTTAGGTCTATAATTAATTTTAGAATACCAGTGTTACTGCAAATTTTAACTCACTATCAAGTGTTTTTAGTGGTAGGTATAAAAAAACTCAATAGTTCTTAATGCTGCTCTCTACCTAATGCGCACCTACACCATGTAGTATGCCGTTGTATATATTACAAAATACAAACCTAGCCAATATCCACGTGCACTCGTACATATTATACATATTTATTACTATACTATAGAAGTTTGTATGAGTTGTTTGTTTTTAGTTAAATTGTCAAAATTGTCTTCCCTTTTATGTTCCTTAAAATTTTGCGACAAATACCACTTACTGTTTTTGTCTAAATCAATCAAATATAATAATTAAAAGGAAACCTAGTAATAATGTAGGTAGATATGTTAATAATAAGTTTAGGGTAAGCAACAATTCATGTAACGGCTAGTTGTATAATAAACGAGCTCAAACACTCCCGTGTTATTATTTAACAGTGGCGACAAGGATAAAAAAATGGAAAATTATGATGTTGATAGGAAAATTAAGTGAATTCAATTTAGACGACGGGAATTGGAGATCATATTGTGAACGTTTGGATATGTATTTTGTCGTGAACAATATAAAACCGGAGTTACAATTACCAACGTTAATATCAGTGATTGGTGACGCGGCATACGACTTAATGGTAGAAGATGAGATGTATGTATATACAAAAGATGTTCGTTGTTTAGTAAAGATTTAATCAAGGCCACTTGCCAAATTCATTACAATTAAATTTCAATTCGAACCATGATTTAGCCGTGAAAATGTTATAAAAATAATCACGAATCATTATTAGACACATGATATAATTTGGTGCTCATGTTTGCACAGTCGTGCAAAAACATAATCAATCTGAATGTAATCGCACATGCCATTGATTTGTAAATGACACGAGAAAAGCAAGAATTGATAATAATTGCACATTTGAAGCGACTTTTTGTTGCAAAATGTTACGTTATTAAGAATATGGTGAATTAGTTCGTGACAATATCAATTGCTTTGTTGTATTGAAATTAAACGATTACTAACACGACTGCTCAGTAACCATGTTTATTAAAATATTATGAAATTTGATAGAAAGAAATATGCTACTAAATCGCTGGGGATAACTTTATACCTTTATTGTTTATTAGTTGAAAATATACACAGGCATGTGTATAACAGTTAAATGACTCTATTTTAGATTTTGTTTAAGTATTGCCATATGCGGTTACTTGCAATAAATCTATAAACTATTTCCTGTATTATGTATCTAAATAAAAAATGTTATATTATAACAATTGTTTAAAAGAGCAACACGCAAGGTTCTTGCTCGTTCTTCATATGATAAACAACCAAATGAGCTATAGATTAAAAAAATAAGTATGACTATTCAAAAGTGCATAAATTTAAGTCTACTTGAATAAAGAATTTTATATTCTATAAATATATAACATATGTACTGATTTTAATAAGAGGCTACTTTAGCTAAATTAAATAGCATTCTTTCTAAATTGTTCATGTCATTACATAGATACATCCTCTTACTACATATATATGTACATACATGTTACCTTATATTATTATTTATGTTAATTTAAATAAAAATAAGAAAATCATGCTGATCTAAACTCCCATTTTCTCGGATGCATTTTAAGTTTATGTTAATTTGACGACTACATAACAAAGTTACGCAACCGCTCGTTTTACAGTAGGCTGTGGCTCTACAAAGCATAAACCATAGATTATAGATGCTGTATGTAACATGGTCCTCGGTCCATTTTGCTGTATATTATAGATAGTGCAAGAGCGTGATTTAAATTAGAATGATTTACTATAGGAAGGCCATTATTATGCTTTATTATGGAGTAGTATGGGGCGGTCGGTTCAAGCGAGCGCCATGTTGGGTTGTAAAGTCGAGTTAGTCGTAAAGATTTTGATATATTGAAGTGAAGCCATTTTGTGACTGCACCGCCATTTGACGTTTTATTGTCGGATTCAACGGCATTCAACGAACTATGGAACTTAAACGAATTGACCGTAAGTTAGCCAGTTTCGTGACTCTACCAAGTATTAGTAGGTGTACTAGGACTATTTGTAAATATAATAATAATATTAATAAATAATATAAACTATCTACTGATTCCACAGTCTCGACACTGATTGGTCGGTATTCGACCATAGTAATTAAAATTTAAAGTTTCAACAATATTAAGATTCTATTGTAAAATATTAAATATTTTTGTCTCAAACGCATAGTAGTGTGTGTATTTTTACTATTAATGTAATATATTTTTCATGTATCAATATTTACATGATATAATAATTATATTAGGTAATATTAATCGCACGTAATTATAAGCCAAAATAATAAGTGTAGTATAAGAATTTTAATTATCTAATATTAAGAGAAGCCAAGCCATATAGGTTGTTTCTAAAATGTAGTTCTGTGGTTAAAAGTGCATCCAGATTAAAATAGTACAACAATATGTATTTTAGAAAAGGACTTGGAGCAAACAAATCGTGAATATTTATATTTTTTAAAAATTATCAATAGGTGAAAAGAAATTATGGTGAAATTACATTAACAAGTCCAAATCTTTTCCCATCAGTTTATTGTGTCACTCTGTTTTTGGTAGTGTATTTGTTTAGAACATTAAATGATTATTTTAAGTTTAGTTATAAAAATATAACTACTAATAGTCTCATCTAATCCAACCAATCTAAGTTGGATTAGACTTAGATGAGATTATTAGTAGTTATATTTTTATATAATTACCAGCTGTTCCCGCGACTTCATCCGCGTGGAATTTCACTTTATTTTTCTAAAATAAAAGTAACTTAGGTAACTTAGACTCTTTATTACATCAGCTACCTGCGAATAAAAGTCCCGTCAAAATCGGTCATTTGAGAGATTAGCCGGAACAAACAGACAGACAAAAATTGTAAAAAATGTTATTTTGATGTAAGTACCGTATTTATATTCATATGCATGTAGTAAAAAACTGTTATTTCAATATTACAAACAGACACTCCAATTTTATTTATATGTACCTAGGTTACCTAGTACCTAGATTTGTTGCTTTGATGAATTTAATTTCTCATTATATTTATTAATAGATTCTTATACTAGTTTGAGTTGTCAATACTGTCAAGACAAAGTGCTACAATGTTTGCATATTTGTGCACGCGACTGCACTAGGCCTATATACCTACCCATGCGCGGATTACACAAAACTTGACCTCAATAACAATATTTCTTATGGAGTAGCTGCATATTGTTATATATGACCAGGGCACGCTAGTACCTACAAACATGAGTATATTAGATTGTAAACAAATTTTGTTTTTCGTTGGAATTTTTGGAACTTTCAATAAAAAAATATTTGTAGTTATATTAGAGTCACTGGTCAAAAGTTAATAGAACCTTCATAATTTATGGGAACAATATTTTATATTTCTTGCCAGGTCGGAATATGATCTCATAATGGAGTTGTTTTATAATTAATATTACTTATTAGTACAATAGCGTTAAGAGATAAATTTATATATTTTTTGCGACAGTTCAGCTGTGGATTATTTCGTTATTATACCGTTATCTAATAGAGTGTGTTCTCTCTTCATCACAAGTCCATTGTTAAATTAAAGGATACAGTCGAATAAAAACTCGTCTATTTAAAAATGGAAATAAAGTAAAAGTCTAAATTACAGTGCAGATCGTCAAGAAAACATTGTCTCATCGGTAAATTATTTATTTTTATTATTATAATAATATGTAGCGTATCGAGGAGCTGCTTTATGGATCGTGACTAACGTGCGTTGACGTAAAAGAGTAACGAGTCTCATTAAACGCTATTTACATATAGTCATTATTTATTATATTGATATCAAGTGTTTTAAATAATATTGCATGGTAAATATAAAAATTAATATTAACCGAAAGGAGTTTTCGGCGTTCTTATCCCTACGGCCTTATTCCAAAACGTTGGCAGAGACAGCTTGACACTTGTTTCTATCAATATTTTTTTATTTTATGCAATACAGTAATTTATCTTACGTTACATTGTTTTCGCATATACATAAGTATATATAGTATGGTGGTAGGTAAGAGTACATATTTTATTAATCTCTATTCTTTTATCTTACTAATATTGCAAGTGCAAACTATACAAGAGATTTGTATGCTTTTTTAATCCTTGTTGGCTCTATCACGCTTAAACGGCTGTAAGATGATGAATAAAAATTTTTAGACACAGAGATATTCTAATTTATTGGAACATGCATATATAACTGTGAAATCTTATATACAGCATATGCAATCATTATAGTTAGGTACGAATGATTAATATTTAATAAAATCTATTGTTTCATAAAATATTAAATTTATTTAACGAAAAATTTGACTGCCACTGGCTCCAATGCTATAAAACTGATTAAAATATGAGTTCTATTTAAGAATTTCAATTCAGTAGCGCTCGTTCATGCTATCTCGTAAGGGAACTGGCGTGAAATTAGATAGACACATTTCAGGTCTTACTCTGATTGTTATATTTTTATGTAAAAATGTATATGCATCAAGTAAAATCATTGAACAGTTAATAGTTTTTCTTATTGGTTTAATCTAAGTAGAGAATCTTGTCTAATTATAGCATAACTGAATTGAAAAAGTTCACAATATTGACTTAGTGTTCGTTTTACCAAGAGCCACAAGAAAAACCTGCAGATCATCCTAACAAAAGTTCGTCGATCTTAACAAACAAGGTGAACAACAGGTTCGCTTCAGATAGGCTCGGGTTATTCTTATTTAGCCTGAAGCTGGATCCGATGCGACTCGGTCAAAGCCCTAACATATATACTTACGAATTAATTACTCCAGTGGCGCTTATATATTTGCTGATGTCGTTCACACAGTCGAATGTCCCGATGCATGTATACCACCAATATAATTTTTCATAGTCACGAATCCGCGGGAAATATAGAATACGTCTGAGCGTGCGTATCACACGGGGTCCACATTGAAACTAAGCGACTATCCAGTTTTAGTGTCCGTGATGCGTGACGGGTGCACGTGCGTGATGTGCAGACGCATCTTGACTAGACAACTTTGGGTGGTGTTCAACGCTTGATCGAGAATCACGGATTACGACTGATGCCGCGACTTGGACTTGTTTTGATGATAAGCTTCTCAGTTATGTCACGAGTCGTGAGGCAATAGATCACTGTAATATTATTTTTATTCAATGATATTTAAATAGGTAGGTATCTCGAGAAGATAATTTATAGCAATAATTTGTTAATGTCGTTAACATGCATATACACTTAGACTCAGATTTTAGTAAGTAATATTTTATACTAATAACCCGTGGCTGTACGCGTGTATATTTGTAGATAGCTATTTATTAATGGTAATCAAACGACAATTATTATTAAACCTACAATGATGCCATTCATTATTTGATTAATAAAATTCTAAGTGACTTATTGCTAATTTTCACAACATTAATTATTACCTCACTTAGGAGAGTATTTTTTACTTAACTCTTAGCCTACATCTTAAACCATATTTAACAACATAAAGCAAATTTAATATTAACCGTAAATTTTAAGTAATTATTACGTGAATCTCTAAAAAAATAGACACACAGACAGTTATTGCCTCGACAGTATTTTATAATTTTGTTATTTGTAAAGAACTTATGTTCTATACACATAACAAAAATATAAAGAAGTTCAGTATTCTTTGATATAATTTATTTGTGTATTGAATATATATATTTGCTGACTACAATAACTAAAAAGGTTTTACAATATTGTACATACTTATATCTACTTTTTATTAATTTGTCTTCGTAAAATGATCCCAAATAGTATGTACTACTGTTTGATAAAAGCGATGCATTTCCATTGTTTGTTTTTAATTTTTAATTAAAAATAACTTTTGCTTATAGATAGGTAAATGTTGTTATTCGAATCAATCACTGATATAATAAAGTGCATGATACTGAACATATTCAGTTATATTAGCAAGTAGTATAAGTGTGGCTACTTTCCGTTCCATGCCGATGAGTCCATTGACGAGTATTTTCTTTGATGCGATAGTGTGGACGCGCCCGATTACTCTCATATGTAACCTCATTTACTCAAGCGTGCTATCGATTTACGCTGGAAAATATACATTTTCTATTTGTGATCAGTTTCATTTGATAGACATCGATTACTTGATTGGATTATAAAATTTATCTATTGAAGTACATAATGATAATTGTAAGTGTTTAACTACTCCATTAAGATACAGCATTATACTAGAGTTGCCAACCTTCCTGTTTTCCCAGGACATGTCCTAGTTTTTGTAGTTCCTGGTAGTAGACTGGTTATAAGTCAGAAAAATAATCAAGCAGCGTCTTAGATTTTAAAATTCGGGCGCCTTTAATTTCTGGTTTTCAACTCGTATAATTTTATTCACATAGTTTTTATTAAAAATAAGATTATTGGAAACTATTTTATATACCTTTTTATTGTCTATATTTTTTATAATATTATATTGTTTTTATATGACATAAGACAATTCAATACAAAAATATTCTTCAACTACAACGGTGCCGTTTTATTTTTGCTCGTCATCTTGGTCTCCTGAAGGAACATTTTGGTCTTCAAGCCGACCTTCATATTTTGGTCTTCGAGCCGACCTTTATATTTTGGTTCTCTATCGCCGTAGTATTTACGAGGACAACCATGCAAATGAGATTGAAGACACAGAAATATACGCAAGCAAGGGATACTAGCGAGGTATGTTCGGAGTCTGATATGCTCGTCGCGGGTGGGTTCGGTCGGTCACTAGAAATTGACCACGTTTTAGCCGAACCCACGTTGATGCCCGCGGCAGGCCACCCTGAACTTATTACGCCTATTCAGAGTCCCACGTTAAGCACTGAACGTAAGAAAATTGGCTCCAGTTCTAAATTGCGTTTGTCGGGGTCGCTACAGTCATCGTCCACAGTTAGGGCACGTAGGTTGGCTGCAGAGGCACAGTTAGCTCGATAATGCATGGAACGGGAACGTGAGCAGTTCGAACGTGAGCAAGATTTCGCCATGCAGCTCGCTCACCGAAGATTTGAGTACCAACGTAAGCTCATTCATCAAACAAGACCGGTAGAAGAGCTTGACATGAAAGCAAGCTTAGAGACACTGAAACCAGAACGGCGATTTAGTCGCTTGGTTAGTCCACCCCAATCTCGGACTGCGTCCTGTATAAATGACGCACTAAATAAATGTAGTTATCCGACTGTTGACAATAGTGAGCCTTTAACACCGAACCTCACACAAAAATATAGTGGTCATGATTTACCAATAGGTTCAATTGCGAAACCGGTGTATGTAGAATCCAACTACGAAGCTAATCCACGAACATGTCATCGTACAATGGAACATATTGACCGTGATTTTCACACTATAAAACCATCTGAAAGAGCATCGCATCATAGCCATATTGTGTTACATGCTAAAAATCAACGTTTTGATAACAAACCGTTTTTGACAAATCAAATTCCATCAAAACCGATTTATAACAGTTTACTTCGTTCAACGTCAAACAATGTTCCATTGTCTAGGCAACCAGCATTGAATGAAAATAAAGAGTTGTCAAATGTATTGCCTAAGAAGTCGGAAATTAAAATTAACGTTTCAAAGACAGTGTCACACAGAAAGTCACATAAATATATAAAGTCACATATTGGTTTATCCACGTACATGAAGACCCACGCAGCTTCTCTGAACATCGTAAATTCTTCAGCTGATTTAACAATTAACAGTTTACGATGCTTTGTAGTCCGCAGAAGCACACCAAAATTGAGACAGTTTATCAGTGAACACCGCAAGTTAGCCGTGTTCCACTACCAGGTCGTCCGAGACTTTGCTGATGATATGTACTACGACTGGAAATTTATACCACCCGATTTATCGCTAGAAATCGAGTAGCTGATGTGGCCTCCAAAGGGGGCACGCTGAGGAAACCCGTGCTGGACAAAAAGGCCCTACTCCATGAGAACATAATTGTGTAGCAAAATGCTACACGGGTGGTGGTACTATGTTGGAAACTATTTTATATACCTTTTTATTGTCTATATTTTTTATAATATTATATTGTTTTTATATGACATAAGTCAATTCAATACAAAAATATTCTTCAACTACAACGGTGCCGTTTTACTTTTGCTCGTCATCTTGGTCTCCATCCTTCACAATTATTTTAATTACTTGAATTTCACTTTGCCTATACTGCGTCATGTGTTTAAATTGAATCGTCTTGAATTTTTGACTTTCAATTCTGGTTTTTTAAATTTGGGCTTGGTTACCTTATATTATGTGGTACCTACATAAATACCAATTAAGTACTAAAAGTAATAATAACTCTAGACATTTTATACAGCGCTATCTAGTGCCTAGCTTGGCACTAGAGAGCTTGTGTTGTGGTTACTAGACAATTGTTGATAGATATACTTTGAAGCATTTTTTTATTAATCTATATATCTATACATATAAATAAATTGGAGTGTCTGTTTGTGATATTGAAATAACTCGTTTTTACTATATGCATGAATGTAAATACGGCAGATACACCAAAATAACATTTTTTACTATTTTTGCCTGTATGTTCCGGCTAATCTCTGAAATGGCTGGACTTCTATTGGCAGGTAGCTGATGTAATAAGGAGTAACTTAGGCTACTTTTATTTTAGAAAAAATCTTCTATTTTAGAAAAATAAACTCAAGTTCCACGCGGACGAAGTCGCGGGAACAGCTAGTACATAATATAGAAACCATTCTGACCAATATAATCGTACTTATAAATACAAATGTCTGTATCATGCGAGGAATTGACCGGCGACCGTCGCAAGTAAGACGGTGCGCTAATCCGCTAGATCACCGATGCCGTTAAGTGGAATCAGAATTAAGTATATTTTTATTTAAGCACAATTCACAAGTAGGAGAAGAAAATTCATGATTCGTGATCAGGCTAAGAGTAAAACAAAACGCACCTAAATGAATTTTTATTAACCACATCTTTACTTAATTGTGAGAACCAAAAAATAAAATAAATAGTACCTACATATATATTATTTAGGCATATTTAATTTAACACAACCTATGTAAAATAAAAAATATAATTTTTGTAGCGGACATTTTAAAGAATTTTTCGATAATATTTAATGTTCTTAGATACAATTACAAAACGACTAGAGTAGACAATAACAAGGTGTCTGAGATATTCATAAGATGAAAGTGATATAACTAAAATGTCCTAAAACATAAGAACACAGCGTCTATTTGCAAATGGAAATGTGTCGGATCTAAAAACAATATTTTTTTAGTTTGAGACAATGATACATTTAGTATTAGTTACAAAATTGAAACATCTTTGTTACGACGACCAGAGATTACAAGAATTGCAAATAAAATGAAATTTGTAATAAGCGAATCGCATAACAAATTCAACTATTATTGGTTATTTACATTATTTATAAATATAGTATAGAAAAATGTATTGTACAAATCTTTTCAGCCTTACTTTCCGATTCCCCGCTAACATTTAGTCGTAACGAAAGCATCGTTACGAAATCAGATACTTGGGTATTTATATCAATCGATTGATAATTAAAATACCTGTCCAATAATCGGACCCATTTCTAAATACAAACCCAGTCTTATCCCAAATCTTGTGACAGACATTTTCTCTAATCATAAGGCTCTTTGGCTTCTAGGGCTCTACATCTGGCCTAAGAGGGTAATTTCAATACCTATGTTTGCCTAATTATATCCAAGTATAGCAAAAACCTCTGGTCAAAAGTAGAATAATACGATATCCTTACCTCTAGATACCACTAGATGGCATCCAGTATCAACTTCTTTGATAAACTGACTAAATTATAATCTGATAGTAATGAAATGCCTACTTAAAGCATTTGATGGCATTGGTCGAAGAGTCATCCTAGAGAAGTTTTTGCGTTGTGTAACTAAAGTTTAATTTTAAAAGTATAGCAGTACTAGTTATGTCTAAGAAATATATCCAACCATTCCAAGAAAAATAATTAGCTAGGTCCCCCTATATTCATGATTGAAATTGGTCGCACAAATGGACACTAACACAGTGGATAAAAACCATTCGCCGAATTGGACTAAAAGAATCTGTATCTACTATAAAAATACCGTAGTGAATCAAACGCGAAAGTTGAAACTAAAATTGTTATTTGATGTTATTGTTGAAAATAAATTTTAGATGTAAAGCAGCCATATTTAAGGGAAGAAGTTTGGATAACTAAAAACAACATAAATAACATAATAAATAAGTTATGAGGTAAGGTATATCTGATGATAAAAAATTACATTTTCAATTTTCGAATTTGACAATTTCAAATGAGTGTCCAATAGATGTCGAAATATAAATATAAATATGTATTATCACTTTTAATGTATATGATAGAATGGGATTGACTTTATTTTTATTTCATTTCGAATTATTTTACAAAAAATCACAACATGATTCAATATATCTAGAAAATTTCTAACTAAAACCATTCCTTTAATTTTTGTGTATTTGTAGGTACATATCACTACCGTTCTATTATATCAGATTTTTTATCAATATTATTATTAATATTATTAGTTTCTAGTAAGTACCTACGGTGAAGAAGTGAGAATCCGTACTTTTACTTTAAAAATCCTCTTATTTTATTATTTTGTAACACGGTTCCAAATATTCAACGAACTCGCTTCATAAATTATCCATAGGCATTAATATGAATAGCAGCGTAATTTATGCCTACTTATAACAGGCTGGTAAGATAACATCGCATAGAATTAACAGCTTCATTATCTATTAGACTTTGTCTAATTTCGATAAGACCAAATGCGTATAAGAATGTTGGTTATATTTTGTTACTTCGATGTTGGGGTCGATCGTCATCATCACTGTGCTCTTCCTGTAACAGTAAGCTGTCTGGCGGACCTCGTGGTGGTGCTCGTACATTGCTGGACTTCCGTAAACCCCCTCGTGAAAACATACGTGACAACTGTGCGAATTTCTTGCGTGACACTGAAATGTTTGATGTTGTAGGTCATAATCTAGTACATAATGCAAACAATTCGAGTTTCATTATATTTAGTTATGCCTATGTCATTCATTACATTATTCCGTGTTTATGATAGATATAGTATTATTATGTAACTCGACTCATGCGAGATATTTTCTCTCGTAAACAGTTATATAGCTACTTAGAGTCAGTCACATATACATTTTTCACAAACTCGTGATTCATACAAAACTCTACCACTATTGATAATACCTAAGGACGGGTAAAAATATTTTTATGTCACTGGAATAGCTCATCTGATGGATACCCGGCGCCAATACATAAATACCACTGACATTGTGACAAAAAAACACACTGTGTCGCACGTATGCATTCCCATTCCTGAAATGCCTTGACTCCGTACCCTGAAATTTTAATGCCATCTATTTGCTATTCTATTCTATTCATTTTATAATCTGGATCAAAAATAGGTAAGACTGAAGTGTGTACTCGCGCAAATTATTGAGGAAATTTCTACAAAATCTATCTTTAGTAAATATATCTGCTAATATTTCTTACTTTTTCCCATATTTTTTAGTCTTTCCTTGAAAATAGCTTCATCATCGTGGCCCTTTGTCTTTTGTCCCTGTTCACTGTCTAACGCTGCCATAAACTCTTGATTCCACCTAAGTTCGGCCATAAATTCTTCGTTTTGTAAGAATGTGGCTATACGGTCGTCATCCATCTCCAGACTGAGATCTATTCTTGCGTCCGTGCATGGAGGAATTCGGAGAAACATGGGAGGTAGTGGGCCTAGCATATACGGCACCCATTTTTTTCGTATCGCAAGAGGAATCGAGTCATCCTCAACGTCTCTGTAAACAAATCATCTTATTTCATTAATATTTATTACAAATGTTAAATAGTATTTTTTCGTTCTAGTTACACAATGAATTGCAATGACTTTGCCTAGTAAGTAAGTAGAGCATTAGATTATTTAATTACAACTTAAGTGGAGTAAATTTGTTAAACTTTATTACCTACTCACTGAGATACATTCATATGTAAACAGTTAGATTCCTAGCTTCTGTGTAGAAATTAATTAGTGTATGATTATCTACAATACAAATGATCAATGAATACGTGTACCTACGATAAATATGTTGATTTCTCAAATTCCGCAGTTTAACGTTTTGATATTAATTACCACTGTCTTTGCTTTTATCCGTCATAAAAGTTTTATTTATCAAAAAAAAAAACAATTGGACTAGTACCTATATATTTTGTTTTGGGTGGAAAAGGGCACTTTACTATATTGTCTATATCATGATGTACTATGTTACCGTTAATTAGATGGTTTTATAAGTATCCTATATTCGTTTATTGTATGTTGATCATAGTGCGATGAGTGCGAATGCGGCACCTAGTCAGCATTTCATTGAACATAGGAACATAGGGGTAACACTCCTGTTACTGTATCTCTATGCATTTGATCCCCCCTGGCCTGTTACCACTGAAGCTTTGTATTATATTTGTAAGTGTGCTCAAAGATTATCAAAGTACGTTATTTTTTCATTGTAAAAGTACATAATTAGAAAACTGTTAGTTCCGTCCCGGCTACATCTAAGGTCTTTGATGATTCCAGATATTTTTTTTATGGAAGATAATGGAATGGCGCACACGCCAGGGCTTAAGGTTTACGCTGGCGGAGCACCAGTGGAAGATGATAAGATGAGCATGAGGTCAGGTCAATTAGCCCATTGTGACAAATTCACTAAGAATTTTATCACGATGGTTTCCAGGAGGAACCGCGTGGAGTTCAACCTGATATGGTATATTGATATTGAGGAGCAATAAGATGATCAATCCACATTGCTAACAATCCCCTTACTCTCGGTTCCAGGTATTAGACCTTATAAGAGAGCTTACGAATTTCTGTATGTTAGGTACTTTCATTAATTATAATTGGGGAGTTCGGGTTCGAGGGGGTGGGGAAAAGAATTGCTGGCCCCAACCTGATTAAATCTTGCATTTAATCAGGTTGGGGCCAGCAATTCTTTTTTTCACTACCCATCGCTGAAATTGAATCGAAATTGGAACAATAAAGAAAAAAAATATATGAAAATGTATATTTTTTAACTATTTACAAATTACGCTAATGCAATATGAAACCTCAGTGTCATTCAGCAAGTATCGAGACCTAATCAAGTAACTACATATTATAAGTAAATACATGAACCTAAACCTATTTAAAAGTTAAAGATTTGCTAATATGTATTGTGTTTGTTGTTATCTATTACTTATTTGCTCAGTTAACCTGTTGCTTCTTTCAATCTGGCCTTTTTTGTTTTTAGTTAAAAGAACGCCGGTATGCGTAGGTGACTGTTGTCATATCTACTAAATTACTTATGTCATTTGTAGGTTATGTACAAACTTACACAAGCGCCGTAGTATCACTGTCTTCGCCACTTTCGGCCTTAGAGTTCGTCCGTCGGTCTTTGCGACGTGTAGGTGTACAACTCTCTATTTTCTCCATTTCAAGACGTAAACGCTCATTTTGATTGTCTGTGCTCATAGCGAGCAGCTGATCGATGGTAGCGTCCACCGCGCCTTGATTTGCGCGAAGTACCGCCTCGATCACATCGTCATCCATATCCGGGAACATTGTTTTGAAGTCGGTCATCGCCTGTGTGAACTCGAGCTGCATTGTAGACGCCATCGTACCACCAGAACTGTAATCTGCGGCGTCACGATCGCGCTACTGAAGCCGGCGACACAGATGATATGTGACGCAAAATTACTGCAATGTCGAATAGCGTCGATATGCAGACATCGGCCATTCTGCGACGCACTAAACGCCGCCGGCCACAAAGTGTCCTAGCCACTAATTAGCGTAGTACTTCCTCTAATAGTACTAACTGAAACGTTGTAGACAGCGAAACCATGATGTACACTTTTCACTGTTGGTATTGTCAGATGTGCATAGCGCATGTGCGGGGCTGCGGGCAAGGGGAATGTCGTCGATATAAATAGAGAATGCAGGAACCAGTGCGCGTGTCGACCCCCGAACTTCGTCGACATTGTGAGACACATTGCGTAGGTACTGCAGAATTCAGAATCGCAATGCGCATGTTCTAGAATTTATTTCTAAACTGCTTCATAACTATGACCTTTCTTTTCTGCGTAGAAATATCTACGCAGAATTGGGTACCTACAAAATATATATAACATACCGAATGCAATAATTACTAAACCAATATCTATAGGTAGGTAAACAATACACTGAAATATTTAATAAGTAGTATCGTAACGTATCGTTTTAACGGCTTGATCAATCTCTATGAAATTGAGAAAGTAACAACACCTTCATCGCATGAGGTATCACGGAGGTCATAATGTGTATTTTGTGATGTCCATGTTGCTGTTCATTTTTGTAGGAGACAAATCTTTTCTTACGTGGTAGGGAAGTATCGTTTCCTTTCCAGTTACATAAAAAAAAATACTGAAAAGCGAAAATATGTTCTGGTGCACCTGAAGAAAATTGCACCATCACCGTTAAATATGCCGCGCTATACGTATATATAACAGTGTTTTAAATTGTTGCTAGAGTAAATATGGCTTGACCCAAAATATAAAAAAAAAATGAAACGGGAATGCACCTATCGTATTTTTTGTTAATACTTAAATAATATTAAAATATAAGTTATCGTTTTATTAACAAAAGCAATTTTTGTAAGAACTGATTAACAAATGAAACAGCCTCCCGCCAAATAAATAAAATATTGGTTGGTTTATATTATATATCACTCGAATACATGAACGCTATTTTTGTATATTACTGTCATATTTGCACATGATAAACTTTTTTTTTCACATGTACCTAGTGAAAAAAAAAGTGAATTTATAATAATAATATCAGAACAATTCAACATAATATTAAAATATACAAATACATTTTTCTTTCGTAAATACATAGAAAACACACAGACCGATACAAAACAAATACTCATGAATACAAATGTTTGTGCCGTGCGATGAATCGAACCCGCGACCATCGGAAGTAAGGCGGTGTGCTAAACCGTTAGACCACCGAGGCAAATGTGGCGCTATACACAACGAGGAACCTCTTACAGTATTTTAAATGAAAAAATAAGTCACCTAAAATATGTATATATTGTAATTTTAGTTTCATTAAGTAATACTTTTTCTACAATTTTTTTTTTATTATTTATTTTTAATACTAAATTTTTTGAACGGCAAAACAAGACATTCCATATACTTATTTTCGTTTGTGTCATTATGAAGCGTGTAGCACCGTTTTAATTATGTTATATAATAAATAAAAGTATGAGATAATATGTAGTATGATTTATTTTGGACATCATAACTAATTAATAATTTAAACATATATTTACTTATACACACCGATTTATCAATTTCATGATAGTATTACGTAAGCTACGATTTTAATTACTAGGTATAATAGCTATCATAAGTTATTCGGGAAATCCACGTGTTTTATATAATTTCAATAGTATTAGTTATTCGTCATTTAGTAGTTTGCTCTTTTACAATATATTTAATTTTAACACAACAATAGATGTAAATATAGATAGAATGTTTTTTTCAAACTTTACATTAAGAAGCGCAATCAGCACAAATCAGTAAAACCATAAAGTTCGTTAAAGACAAGAAGTCTTTAACGAACTTTATGGTTGTACACACAAATAGATATATATAAAAAACGTCCAAGGAACAGACAATTTCTATTAAAACTTTCTTTTTTATCTAATGAAAGCAAGAAAATTTTAATCACCTTAATCATTTCATAAACTTATGTCGAGCGCACAATAATTTACATATAGACATGTAAAATTACAATTTGTCAAGTTCCAAGAGTTGACTTTGCAACTTTACCAAATGATGTTCTCTTTGACCCAAAGGTATTTATTAATATAATTTTGTTTTTATTGTAATAATCATTTGTCATGCAAATGTGACTGTGCTTTGGTTCTTATGCAACGATGGGGGAAGGGGATTGTTAGTAATGTGGACAAATAACACCATTATTAGTAATTTGGTATGTCTGATTGATTTCGACGCGGTTCCCCCTGGAAACCATTGTGGTAAATTGCCATTTGCCAAGATGCGCTAACTGGCCTAAATTCATGGTCATTTTATGATCTTCCACTGGTGATCCGCTAGCGTAAACAGCACAGGCAGATGCATTATTCAATTATCATCCATTAAAAAATAATTTTATTCTAATTCTCAACTGTAACTGATTAAAATTTATGTGTTTTGGGATTTCCTATAAATAACCTGAGTGCAACACTCGAGCGAGATGAGCTAGATGCGAACTAAGTTTTACGGTTACTAATTGCAACTGTTAAATAAATTGTATACAAAGTTTCAAATCAAATAATTTATTCATGTGGGGACATTTTAGCCGCTTATGAACGTCAAAATTCAGATTGTAGATTTAATGCCCTTTCAAATGAGAACTGTAGTGCTTATAGACATATGAGCACTACAGTTCTCATTTGAAAGGTTCACTCTTACTCACTCTTAATTAGTAATGAGGAGTGACAACTCCTTATTACTAATTAAGACTCTGATAACAGATAGAATCTTGTTGTTTGGATAAATGACGACTGACAGCCGAGTAGTAATCAATTTAATTTGCATTTACATTAACAATAAATTTTATTTTAATTTCATGTGAGTTTCATATAGATTAGATTATTTTAAATAATCATATGGCTGCTACTGCTTTTCTGTTTCTTTATTTTTATGTGCTAAACACGCTTCAAATTATAAATATTGTACTTTTTTTTCTTTATTCCATACCTCATATTATTATGACATGACAGACATACGTACTGATATTTAGAGTTAACAGTTATAATTATTTATATTACTATTAAATCGTTAGGCCAATTTGAAACTACTTACGGGGTCTTACCGTGTTATATATGCCAACATTATCAAAGCGATGACTATAATATATATACTCTATACACTCAACTATATCTATACATATTTTACAAATTCTCAAGTAATGTATTACTATTTTAATGTAAATATATTTATCCACGTAAATAAGGTTACCAAGTAATACGCCACATGTAAGGCACCAAAACTTTGGCATTTTATTTGATATTCATAATTAAACAAATTCACTAATAAAAAAAATATTTCAGAACTTTTACTGATAATGTCTGATAGGTTTGTTAATAAAGCAGATTTTTAGGTAATTTGTAAAAAAAAACATTATTGAAAAAAGTAGTAAAATTATACTGTAACATAAATAAAAACTAACAAATCACACATATATAATATAATGACCGCAAATTTCACATATCATTAAATAATTTCATAAAGAGTAATCAGAATTTATAGATATTGTATAATTTAAAACAAAATAAAATGGACGGTGCGTATACTTACGAATTGGCATTCAAAATAATGCATCTAACATTAATTTCGAATTATATGGTAAGTATAATTACTTAAAAACCAATGGTCAGGTCAGCAAAGAGATGATTACTCTTAATGTCACTAGGATAAATAGAATTTTTATTGAAATACCACTAAATTTTGCAAGTAAAAATCACATTGTATTGTTGATTGGAATGAATAGCGTTTAATATCTTTTTTTATTCTTATTTATTTTATACTTATGTCATATTAAGAGCAAAGAAGCAAGATTTTTCTGAAGTGAATATACAGTTAATGATATAAAAATAAAATATAAAAACATAACATAATGGCACTACGAATATAAATATTATGTGTCGTATTTAGAAGTAATATAGACAAAAATGTTACAACACAGCAATTGCCACTCTATTTTAATTATTATAAAACTTAAATTAGAGCCTGGACCTATGTCAAGAAACTTCGGATATTTTTAGGCAAAATTAGTATTCAGTTTAGAATATTACAGATGTCATAGTAATAGTGAGATTACTAAGGATACTTTAGAAATATTGAAAGATTAAGTAACAATAACATTGAATGAGTAGTAAATTGACGCCATATCATTAAACTACCTATATGTAAAATATCATTATTTCGTAATTAGAATAATCTATATTTATAATGAAGTTTTCAATAGCCATTAATTCCCATTGGCGAATATATCAATTTTCAAATATAACAAGTTTTTTAATATAACAAAAATTAATAATATTCTTTCACTAGCATCATATTTTGATACAAACAGAGCACTAACAAATACCCAAAATGAGAAAGAAATAAAGACAAAATATATTATGACGAAGTTACAAGACTTTATTTATTCAGTTAATTTCAAAGTAACTATTAATAACTGAAAATTACTTATAAAAATTATTATGCCTATAAAACCAATCAGCCGCCGATAAAAATATAACACGAATCAGATAGAAATTGTTACACATATTAAACATTATGAAACTATGTGGTACTATAGTGTCTGGAATGTGGTATTAGACAAACTAAAATATAAACACGAAAAATTTGGTGTTTGTGTTTTTGTTATTTTTTTGTAAAGTTAGTGCTTCCGTAAACGCTTGACTATAATCACCGTATTCTGACTATAATGTTACTGTTCTTATTCACTAACTGCACTGCTGTAAAAGAGAGAGAGAGAGAGATATTACTAACATGTTCTTTTCTAATATTGAACTCACTCAGGCAACGCAGAAGCAAGATTTACAGCGTCTTGTGAATATACTATTGTATATAGCTATGCCACCAATTTTACAATTTGGTGACAGGACACTGATGACAAAAATGCATTTAAGATATTTTGTGTAAGTTTTAAAATATTGATTGTCTGGATTGTTATATATTTATCGGCGATAATATTACAATGTAATTAAACAGATAAAATAATTCATATGGTTTTACTGGAAATATCGATCATTTTTAATAATATCAATAATATTCAATAATTATATTATTAGACACAGTTGCAGAATAATACTTGCCTTGAATGAATTTATGTTCGAAAGCAAGTTGATACATCATTTCATATTATAACACAATAATTTGGCATAAAAAAGATAACTTAAATGAATATAATAACTGTGGTCTAACATTGCTACTAAAAGTATCCCTGATCCAGCTGTAATTCAGACGCGAGCTTGGGTCCCTTGTTGGGGTAGCATCACCACTGTGTTGCTGGTTGTCAGTGCAGGCTGTGATGATTGTTGATCTGCTGGTGGGGTCTCTGGCTACAAATAATAGAATATATTTTTTTCATTACTTTTCTATCAGCAAATAGCTCTTACAGCTATAACCAGATTTTCTGGAGTTATGTGCATTAGGAGATAAGGCAGATACAGTAAGGTGTTATTAATTTAATTGTTGCAGATGCAGGCTAGGCACCTAGTCTAGATGAACAATTATTTAAATGCAGTGGCTTCAGAGCTAGCTGGTTCTTATCACCGGCCAATCTATGTTTATACCTATTCTTTGAACTAACAGGATTTGATTATTAAGCTTTTTTTTGTTAAATTTATTAAGAAATTTCATACTCGCCCATCCGCGCAATTTACGTAAAAAGGGGTACAAAGTTTTTGCTTCATGTATTATTATAATGATTCTATCATTACTTATTAATATGTCATGAATTACATGTATATGGCTACAGAATGTTATAGAAGTTTATGTGATTTAATAAGTAATAATTTATTTAAAAGTTTAACCTGGAACTTTGGAGTCCAGTAACGTTTTCGTTATTGGTGAATTGAAAATTGAATTATTGTAAAGGAGTATATAGAAACTTCAATGATTATATTATTGATTGATCAAATTAAAAACTTAGAGTGCAGGAGCGTAGTCGTGATCGCGCTCCTGCGGGAAAATTGCGGGAGTACTTAAGCGCTCCCAAAATCAGTTGTGTCTATCGTTCCGCAGAGAAGACATGATAACAATCGGACAATTTTTTAAAGAGATCTCTTCATCAAATCGTTGACATCAAAATCATCAATCGTTCTTGGCATTCTTAGCCATGCATGAATAAAAACCCCACGGCACTCCAGCGGTTAAGTAAATGATTAGTGTTGAAGGATCGGCTTACAGCGGTGAGAGCGGGGTCTGCGGAGGCCATGAGTGTGGCGGCGCGGTAGGAGGGCGGCGGGGTCTGCTTGACGGCCTCCTCGTAGTCGGGCAGCAGGCTGGAGTAGGGCGCGGGCGCGGGCGGAGCCGCGCAGTACGGCGCCGCAGACAGCGCTCCCTCGCCCGAGATCACGAACGGCGTCAGGCTCTGCAGTGCATGCGCGCGCATCGTCAGGTACTTGTAGCACCGCCACACCACGTTGATGCAGTAGCCCTGATTGCGATCACAATTTAAATTAAATGTATTTTTTATTGTATCCATAATAAAAATTTACAGAGTAATACAAAAGGCGGCTTTATCGCTTATGCAATCTCTTTCAGGTAATGTTCGGGTAGAGGAAAGGGAAAAAAGGTTTAAATGGCGATAGAATGAAATAGTAAAGAGTTTATAATAATAGACTATATTCATACATACAAATTATATATACTAGCAACATTCAATATATAAATACACAACATAAAACAATGTGAGCATCACTTAACTGTGTCACAGGCATACAAATAATACAAGTAACGCAACAGTGATGACGACAGAAAGGAGACATTACAAGGAAAGATAAGGTGATTAAATCATGATAATGTTGTTCTATGAAGAAATTTCTAAGTTACATTATTGCGATAAACGAGTTACAGATGATATCATCCAAGACAAAAGATAAGTTGACTAGAGCAATAAAAGTATATTAAATCCATCTTAAAAATTTGGAGTATGTAAAGTAATAGAAATAAATTCATCAATCGGTTAAGTCCTTAAGGCGCCAAGAGTATAAGTAACATACATTTTATGAATTACCAATGCAGTTCTACATTATATTATATTTGGGAGAGGCCTTTGTTCCGTAGTGGACGTTTTTCGGGTTGAAACGATGAATATTATACTATTACTATTATAAATAAAAACTAAATAATTGATTGATTTGCCAGTTTGCGTGGACACGCAAGCGTAAAAGAAAGACAAAATATTTAATTGAGCAAGATCATGAATGCGACAGTAAATTAAAGTGCTCACCTTTAGCAGAACGGCAAAGAGGAAGGCGGAGAGTACAACGAGCGCGAGAGCAGGCGCGGGCAGCCGCAGCAGTTGGTCGCGCCACGGAACACGCCTCGTCTCCGCGACCAGCCGGTGGATGGAGCGCAGGTAGCATAGGTAGCCAGTTGCCGTTAAACTGTAATTCAAGATTTTAAGATCATAGGGATTTAGATTTAAGGAACAATTTATTTGCCTCTAAGGAGTAAATAACAAATTACTATATATATAAACATTCCTCTAGAATCACTCTACCTATTTAAAAAAACGCTTAATGCATTGCGTAGTTTTAAAGATTTAAGCATACATAGGGACAGACAGCGACAGTGACTTTATTTTAAACTATGTAATAGAGTAAATTGATGTCACACGAATTATATGATTCGTAAATCCTTTTTGCGTCCTTGTAACAGTTAGTCTCATATGAGACCTTGTGTGACAATACATATTTTGCAATTGCTATTTTCTGTATAATGTATTAGATTTTGATTTAACTTATATGTTATATAATGGTGTCATTATTTTATAAATAGAAAAATTACAATGAACATGATATGACGCAATTATAAATACACCAATTCTGCCTGTTTAGGCATTTATATTTATAAAGTCTCACTCTGATATGTCATAATATATGGGTTTATAATGTTATTCTTAATATTAATAAGCTCGTCACCACTATATTATGGGATAGAAAAAAATTACTACATTGTTTTATAACAAACATTATTAAAATAACAATCTATATAAATGTTTGTTACTAGATTTAGTACAAAATTTAATTTTCTTGTAATAAATAAATTCACTACTTACACTGTTATAGCGAAGTCGAAAATTTGTAAACAGAAGAACGGCAGAAGGTGCGCGGGCTTCCCGCGCGCAGCCCCATATATCAGCATAAGAGTGATGGTCAGGGTGCACACTGTAACCAGTGCACCCACATCCACATCGTCTATTGTACACACAGTCATTAATTAAAATATATGGTAGACATTGTCTTCAATATTGTTGTAAAATATTAATGTAACATTGTTGTAAAATATTACTGACTGTGTGACTATAGTTATTATATTTCTATGCATAATTCTTTGCAAGGAATACAAAGGGAAACATTACTAATTATAGATACACAGTTAATAAGATTCATTAACATTAAATTATGAGTAATGTGCAGGGCCAGAATAACAAATAGGCATAATACCCTGAGCCTAGTGGGCCCCGCGCGTACACAGTAGAAATTTTTCATAGAGAGAAAATTTATTAAAAAATTAGTTCCTCAATGACCATAGTATGTCATTGCTTTTATGGACAAAAATTTATAAATATAAAAAAAATTATACAGGGAGGGGCCTATGCAATGCATTGCTTAATGGTAACTCCAACCCTGGTCATACTACACATATACATGATAACTATATTGTATTATACTCACGATATATTAAGCTATGGTCTCGTGGTTGGTAGGTATGTTGAGGGAATGAACTCGGTGGTGGTTCCACATTAGATAATGGGGTGGGCAGGGCATTGTTTGGTTTACCAACATCACTCCAATCGGCAACAGGGGACGCATCACGTTCCAGTTCATCCAATAGTCTTGGATCCCGTACTATCGCTGCCAGGAATCCCAATGCCACCAAATGCAACATCTTCAAAAATAAATAAAAAATACACTATATAAACAAATATGGAAAACAATATGGACAAATTCCAATCAACCTCCAATTAACAAAGCATTGCTTTCAATCAATTTTCATGCAATCTTTGAAAGATGACATTCCGAATTTTGTATAAAAGAAGTTAGCTCTCACTGAAAAGTGTCTGTCAAAATCTGGGATACATACTGTATCCCAGGTACACTTTGATTGGACTTTGATTTGGACAAAGCCACAGTCATTCATAATAATCAGAGTATTTGCAAATTTTATTAATAATGTATACAAGTCATTCTATTTGTATTACAATCATACTCATGAATAATAATGATAATAATAATAATCTCAGGATAATTCACACAGCGCCATCAAGATCCAAGTTAAGCTAGCTAAAGCTTGTGTTATGAGTACTAGATAACTGATACAAATACATAGATATTTTTTTTCTAAATACATACATATTATACAGAGAAAACACCCAGACTGACACAAACAATCATACTCATGAATATAAATGTTTGTGCCGTGCGAGGAATCGAACCCGCGTCCATCGGAAGTAAGGCAGTGTATTAAATCACTAGACTACCGAGGCCATAAATAATGTTTGTATAGTATAATATACCATAGTTGAAATGATATTGTAACTTTTTAGAAAATTAGAAACAAAAATGTTTGGTTACATTTAATTTATTTTTTAAATAAACTTACCAAATGCCATGAGCCCAGTAGGATGGTGCCAGTGCGAACATGGAGACAGAAGCAGCATCGCCATTCGCTATTGCGGTCAGCTCCCAGTTTAGGAAACCTCAACATTGTAAACTGATGGCAAAAGTATAATCTGTTTAATTGCATTATGGAAAATATTGATGTGGTTCACCTGACGATAAGTTATTACTGCCAACAGTGATCACTTGCCAACAGTGATCACTTGCATATACCATACCAAGGATATTACAAATGTAATGCAAACCTTTAGGAAGGAAAATGTTTCCACTAATATTTTTGAATGTAATACTAGAATCTTGACTAATAGTTGTAATCTTTCTATAGTTAAAACACATACATACTTACATAAACCTAAGCAATTTATTTAAATATATATATCATAGAAGTTTAGTAAAATGGATATTAATACTGTATAGAAAGAATTCAAAATTGTTATTTATTTAATTATAAGTAGTCCTACATTAGTGAATTACTGTTCATCCCTGGTTGACTAGTAGACAATGCACAAGAACCACCTTTTGTAGCATTTATATTATTTGGTGACTAAATATTTAAGAAACAAATACATTTAGATACATAGTTTTCTGAATAAAAAAATTTCAATAAAAGGAACACCCATTGGAAAGGAAGACCTATGAATTGTTTTAGTATTTAGTTTAGTTATAGATACATGTTATAGAAATAAACTATGATGCAATAAAATTGATCAGTAATAGGTGTCATATTATTTTTATTCCTTAATTTGTGTCTAATATGTATATAAATTATGTGTAAACTACTTGTAATTAAAAATATACACTAGGGGCTTAGCTATTCCATCAAATTAATCCAAATAAGGTTTGTTTTTGTCAATAAAAATCAATATAAAATGGTAAGTAGATTGCTAAGAATTTAAGAAATCGTAAATGCTTTGTTGACTTCTTTTTACTTAGGATTATTTGTAACATTGTAAGCAAAACAAGTTGTACGGACGATGACGATAGCTGGTAAAAGATAGCTGAACCATGTATAAATATTGCGACTTATACTACTTTTAGACACATATTTTACTTACTGCTTTAGTTGTAATAATTTAAGGTCTTGTTGACGTAACTAAATACAAGGAATCAAGTCCTATTTAAGATTTTATTCCATTGTACGATCACAGTACAAATAAACGAATGAACGCAAAAAATGCAAATGCAATGGATGTACATATATTGTCATATATATATTTTTTTACAATTGTTTCACAACTCTGGATACAAGTTGTTCTGCCTGATGAATCGACCAGTGTTGCTAGAGCACTAGATTCATTAAACCCCATGCGTAGGTTATCTACATAGTTTGTGTCATACCCCCATAAATTTTGCCACAGGACCATAAATCTGGATCTCTTAGGATGATGCCCTGAGCCTAATTTCATCAATCACTCCCTGTTGATTGACGTCGAAAATATTTTTGATAAAAATTGGCATTGTAAATTTAAAGTTCGTTTCAGTTCTTATTTAGTAATTTTGTTTAAAAACGGGATGTTTACTGCTATTAGATGGCGTTATACAAAATAATACCATACATTTTTTAGAAGAAATATACTTTACGTATACATATTTTAGAAATATTTACAAGCATTTGTGAGGGTCCTGCTCCTTAACCCACAATAGGAACCGTAACTGACGTGCCTACGAAGCCTAGTGAGGCTTCATAATCATATCTCAGAAATTTTAGACCGTGGGAAATTGATCATTCCATCCTATTGCTGGTTCACGGATCGTTTCTGTAAAGCTAAAAATTGTTATGGTAATTATAATGTCATCTGTGAATATGGAACTGATATCGGAGACTTGAATTGTATTTTTTTTCTCCTGGCCTTTGTATGACCATTCTTTAGCAGCTTCAAAAGTTCCACTCTCGACTAATATTACATCAGACGACGAATCCCTAACCTGCACTCTCCTTGGTGCGGAATATTCTGTTTACAAGGGAAATAATATACACTTGTTAAGATAAATAATTTACAATTCTTTTATTTTGTTTCTTTATAATTTTACAATACAGTTTATTTATTATTATGTGTACACGAATATGTGACATTTTTAAATCGGATAAAAGAATACGCCTTTCATTTGTACTTCACAAATCCTTTTCACTTCATCTGTAATGGAATAGAAAGAATCTTCAGTAAGTACATTTATAATAATTAATAAATTACGTACAAAATAATTACATAAAGGAATCGGAAAGCATGTACAGTACAGATCAAATTTTTGGTGCAAGATGTCTCAAACTTTGAAACAAAGATAAAGATATGTTACAAGTTACGACATATGTAAGTGAAGTGTGATCTTATTCCGTCTTATACCGCTAGGAGGTACTATAAGGATGATCAGCGTTTTCATTATTTCATTTATTTTAATTTTAAAACTAAATCTATAGGTTACCTGATATTTCTTTCAATGTTGCATTTTTTTCTTGAATTATAACATAGAATTCTCTTTCATTAGATGTCTTGCCTGTAATCCAATACTCGTCGGGTATTTTTATAATTACCTCTCCATAATTACCTAAACTGTAATGTTTAATATTATAGAAGGAATATGTATTTATGACTAACTCTCATGTCATGGAAACACCAATAACAAATCAAATTAATTCGAGAGACCGTAGGCTCGTTGGATTGAAATAAATATACGCATCGAATTTGGCGATGACTAATAACACAAATCAAATTCCAATATAGTAAATAATGAATTTAAAAGTATAAGCAATGAAAAAAAGTGGGCATATTGTATATTTTAACAGCCGACTATTATTAGAATATATTATTTCGCTTTACACTTACCTTTTTTTATCTGAGTGCATGTTAGCAATAACACTTAGTACCTCAGGTTTTAAAGTTGTTGATGGGATTAATTTACTGATGGAATTCTGAAAATAAAGGAAATAAATGGTATTTGTCACTTTTTGGGCATATATTTCAGAACTTCTAAGCATAGAAGAAAAAATATTATTAATTTATATATTTATTCGATGGTATATATTGTTATATTATATTAAAAAGTTTATTTAGGTTTATTTTATTTTGTAAATTGAGCTATATTTATGTAAAGTAATAAAGTGTGCCACTTGTAACAGGTAAAGATAAATAATTTAACCTGCCCCTTGATATATATCTTATTATGTGGGTGACCACATTCAGTTAGATAATAGTGATATTATCTGACTGAATGTGGTCCCAGAACTACCTACTCTATTCCGAACAATTTGATACAGATATTGAGTATGACATGCAAATGCAATGCAGCAGGTGTTTCAGCATCCTTTATAGGTCTACTCTGGAATCTATTCTAAATATACATATTTATTTTAATTCAATTCATTTTTTTTTTTGCATTTTTGCAATGACGGTTTGAAATGTAATCAGCGGTAAACTGAATAAATCTAAAACAATATCAGTCAATTCTTTAATTGAGTATGAAACATGGAATTAATACTTTGCTCGTATACAGTTTAACAGTACAAAAAGGGCGCGTGATTACGTATTCCACTATCATGGAATTGTAATTAAATTCCAGAGTAGACCCGCAGGTCTCAACACAGCTAATTTTAAAGTTAATGCTATGTTAGCTTATACTTACTGAACTTTTGAATTCTAAATTAAGTCTGTTGAAGTAAACAAATTTGTTGTCACTTGCTATTTGAGGGTTTTGCAATGCGTATGTTGTACACTGCTCACTAATAGCAGAAGCTATAGTTGATAGTTGCGGGCCGATAAATGCATCTAATGATCTGAATGTTTCTATTTTTAGGTTCACATTTACTGAAAAAATAAAATGTTCCATTTTAAAAAAATAGAATGTCATTATGGATAAGTACTTAAGTACCTTAGTTACATACTAACCATCAATAGTAAAACATACAGTTGCACTTAAAGTTCTATACACAATCAGGTAATACTGTTTTGTTTCATTGTCATCCTCGTGCATAAGGTATACTTTTACCAATTTCTGTAGATCTTCTTTACTCCGTATACCGTCAGGCGGACTTATGAATCGACCATGTCTTTGAGCAGCGACCACTGGATCACCTTGTATCTCTTTTGCTACTTGTGTGGGTAGTAATTTTTGTACTAAGTATTGGTATAGGGTGAGCATATCATTTTTTGCCAATCCATTCCTGTGACAATAATATTTTTCAGAATAGAATATTACTTAGGCTTATAGGTTACTGATATTTAAGTAATTAAAAAAATGTACATAGTATAAGCCATATGGCGGATATTAGTCGACCCAAACAAAAGTGGTTATATACTGATGGATGTACATACCGTAAAATTATAACTTGTAAATTGAAAAAATATATAGCTAAAAATTTGTACAGACAGTAAAGTTACAGACTAACAATAGATACAGAGAGATAATTAAAATTTGGGCCCTATTCACGCAACACGCACCTGGAGTGTGTTTCTTCCAGTAATATTTTATATTTATTATATATATAACTAGCTGCTACATACAACCAGGGTTTCATCTAACCTTTTTTCTGTTAGGATCCTAAATGTTGCAGCCATATATTAAATAGCTTGTAACTTTCTTCACACATACATAGAACTATAATATATAAAATGTTTTTTTAATCCAACTGGTACTGTCAGAGATTAGCACATAATCTCTGACTTACAATGCTGAGGCATTGTAAGTAATGTATAAAAAAAAGGACAGAAGTCTATACCACTTGGTTATCTCTGTGTATACTGCGTAAAGTATTTGATATAAAGATAGATTTATTTGTTTTTGTAATATACAAATACTACAGTTGATTATATATTGGACTCTGCACTAGGCAAACCTATATTGCGGGAGTCTACAAAAGATATGTAGATAGAATATGTATAAACTTATATTATATTTAGATGACTTACCAAATTAGTTGATCATTGTAGACAAAAGAAATACACTTGAATTCGGGATATTTAATTTCCAGCAGGTCTATGAAAGAAATTACCTTGAAAAATGAATTCTTGTCCAGTGGCAAGTAATGTATACCTTGTATTATATCTGATATATCGTTTGTAATGTTTTTTGATAATATGTACTGCAAAGTAAAACATTTATTAAAAAATATACATAATGAAAAGTACACGGTATTTAATGAGTTTTTGAAAAATAGCTTTTCTGAGCAGATGACAAATAAGATAAAATATTTTCATTTTTTTATAATTAATAAAGCCAAGAGTCTGATTTAGATTTTTTTGAGAGATTTACTAATGATGAACTAAAAAAAATATCATTAATAGAATAGCCCAAAGCTTGAAATAAAGAATTCATTAAGGTTTTCTATAATTTGGTTGTAATATGACGATGAAGTCACAACGCCAGGTTGGCTGGAAGAGATCTCTTTCAGAGGTAAGCCCACCATAGAATTTAAATAAATATCATAGGAGCGAGAAAATACGAGCTGTTTCGCGTCAACATGATAATGTAGGCTGGATGGATCATTCGCTATCACATAATGTTCTACTACCCATGCTATTGGGTTGCTAATATCAATATCAATAACATTTCAATAAAAAATCGCCATTCTGTATACAATGTGTTAGACAAAGAATAATTCATTATGATGAGTACTTACAGGAGTAAAGAATTCTTCACATGTAGTATATATTTTGTCAATTGGTATATCCTGGAATTGACCCATAAACATTCTGAACATTTTATAAGCTGACACAAGCAAATCACACATTACAGTTGGCTCTATCTGAAAAATAGTGGAATAGGTATATTAGAAGACATATATTACCTGAAATAAATATGTTTATGATTAATTTGGAATATAGTTTGTTATTAAGTCTTTTTAAAATTTAAGCAATGGTATTATTTATTTTTTATTGTAATAGTTTATGAATAAAGAACGATTGATTAATAGCTCCACTGAGTCATTAACCATATTTGGATATTTATTATTACATTTTACTAGTTAATTGTACATTTATTTATTCTTGTTGAGAGGTGGTGTCTTAAAACATAGTATTAGATTTATTTTATAAACAGTAATAATATATACATATAATATAATAAGTATAAACTTCAAAGTAAGAAACTTATTTACGAATTCCTATGGCAACAAAATGCACTTAAATATCAACTCAATAAAATATATCTTCTAGTGTGTAAACCTTTAATAGATCATATTTTTACAACATACCATTTGTATTTATGTATTAATTTGCTGTTCATATTAAAAATAACTATAAAAAAAAATCAAACTCACCACTTCTCCTCTACTTTCGCCTATAGCTGCTAATGCCTTTGTTGTATATGGTATTCTGACAACCTGAACAACGAGTAATTAGTTAGGTATTTTATAGAAGTATTAAATACTTCTATAAAATAACTAGCTACACATTTATGGACACAGGTGAAATGCCACATAATCTAATATGAAGGGATATCCAGAGGAACAAATTAAACAATTAAAATTTTTGCTGTACCAAAGCACAGATGAAGTAGTAAAATCTATTAATATAATCATATACAATGAGAAATTAAACACAACAGTGAAGAGAGAAATAAATATAATCTATATATATATATTTATGAAGGGATATACAACAACAACATTTGTGAGGGTCTAGGAGTGCCAAAAGATAATAGAAGTAGCCCCTACTGATTTTGACATTCAGAAGGTCTAATAATTGACGATTTTTACATCAGAAATGGTGATTAATTCCAGTTCCAGACTGTATTCAGAATGACAGAAGATTGAATACTAACTGGAGAGATATGACTAAAACAACCTAATTTTGTATAATTCAGTAAGACTTAAACTAGACATAACACAGTGTATTTAGTTTTTTTTGCATGTTGCATTTCCATTTGAAGTAACAAATTATATCTACATAGTTGAACAATTTGCTTTATCAAACTGGTTAGTCTGTTAAAAAATAAAATTTTATATTTTATTTTAGTACAATATGACAAACATAAATAATAAATAGGAATAAGGAAGAGTTTTCCGGTACTGCAATTCACATTTCATTAAATAATATTTTACGATTATTCAATAAACATGCCACATACTTATATAGGAAACAGAATTTATATTACCAACACCATCCAGAAATTCTTCTCAGGCTGATAGAATATGTACCTCTTTGTTTGAGTCTGGAGAGCTTCACAGGGTTCTGATGAGAATGTACTGGAAAAAGGAACAATAAAGGAATGTTTACTTACTTGGCATTATACATATATAAGGTACTTGTGTCACATATAGTTTTCATAAGTACCTAAATATGGAATTTCTTTTGCAGTACTTTTGAGATGATTTTGTAAGTAGTTGCATATTAAGATATATTGTAAAATTAACATATAAGTGAGTAAAATTATATTTTTTTCTTAAGTGGTTATTTTATTTATTACCTCATAAACTTAACAACAGCTTCACATAATCCAACTTGCATTTTACGGGCATCAGCAGTGATTTGGCTTGGATGGTAAAACAAAATTCTTTTCAATTCCTGCAAAATATTATTTAGCTAATTTGATTTTCTTCTGTATTATTTAGAATAAAGGATAATCGTTGTTGTAACTTACCTCGCCTTCTTTTGGACCTAAATTAGAGTTAAATATAAAGAAAGAGCTAATTTTTGTTTTAATGTCAATCATATTGTATTAATATTGTACAGTTTTAGTTGTATTGAATCCAAATAAATGGGCTGAAAAATAAAAAGCTGTGTTGTCAAAGTAAGCAGCAAAATTGTATTTTAATTGTTTATAATTTGGTATGTGTTAGTAATAAATATTTTTTTATTAAATTTGTTGAAAATTATTCAGTTTCAGTCAAGCAAACAATAGAAATATTGGAATATCAACAACAACAACTTCAATATTTTCAATATTACACATTTTTGATTATTTGACTGATTCGACACTGATGACTGACCGTTGCAACTGTCAATCTTTTTTTTTTTTACCTATTGTTCCTTTTTTTTTCCTACTTCTGGCTTCCGACGATTTGTTCTTTTATTTTTCGTTCTACTAATTGGACTATTTCCTCTTCATTCGTTCATTTTAAAGTGCTGCGTTGCCAAGCCAATAAAAAGAAAAAAAATGCTCTTTTTCTTCTTAATCTTTCATTCGCTTTTTGCCTTTAGGACATTTCCTGCTCCGGTCTTGGCGCTTCAATTTTTATAACGAAGTAAGTGGACTCTGTCTCTGTACTATAAGAGAAACTGTTGAGTTTTTAGACGGTAGTACCTGGAACCGCTGAGGCGAGCGGGTCTCTTTAATGAATGTTCCTAATGTAAAAAAAGAATATAGGGACATAATATCATAATCCTCCGGAAAGGTAAAGGTACAAGCGTTACATGACATGATGTCCGTGGTGCTGTTCTTTTATATAGGACGGTAACTATTATTTCTCATCAGGTATTCTGTCCGATTGTTTGGCATTCTAACTACATAAAAAAATCATATCACTTACTAGCATCGTGTGGAGCATGCTAGTAATATGATAAATCTAGGTAAGCTCCAACTACACAAAAATCTGTAGTTGGAGCTTACTTGGATTTATTGTTAAACTGGATCCTATAATTACATTTCTTAAGTCAGAAAATAACGGTTAAATAGCTTCTTCAGAGGGGCGGGTAGGTTAAGGAATTCGTACCACTGTCCCCATTTAGGTCGTCCCCATTAACTTGTTAAATATACTTTCTAGTTATACAAGTCTTATTAGGCAATCAAAGGATATTATGCTTATTTAATTATTACAGTGTATATCGTATTGTGTATAACTAGTCTACTATTGGTATGTTTAAAAAATAATAACTAAGTGTAGACTACTTTTTAGGCTTTCCGTTGTTATGACAACATACATTTCGTTTATATCGAGCGCTGATTATATAGGAACTTTAAATGCATTGATTTATAAAATATTTATTACGAATCTATACTGTTGAATTATTTTGTAAACTGTAGGTATATATATGCATTGTTGATAATTATGTCGATTCGAAACCCACGATTACCTCTATTACCCGGATATGGGTCTAATCCATTGGTGAGTAGCTTCACATTAAGGTTTGAAATTATGTATTAATGTAAAGAAGTATAGATAAGAAATATTTAATAACTGGAAGAGAAGGGCTAAGGATCGTACCCAGTGGCGTGTCTTAGGACAGGCCTATGTCTAGGGGATTGCAGTGGGCTGATAATAATGATGACGATTTATGGTAGGTAAGCCATAGGTTCAATGACTTGAATCATAAGAATAAAGTAGATGGCTTTTGTTCTTTATGTACCATTTACCATAACATTTGAGAGGAGGACAATGCTTTTAAAATAATAATTACTTTATACTTGTTTGGAGTACTTAGAAGCATGTCAGATTTAATAATGGTAAAAATATATTTCTGTGCTATATTTGACAGATAGGGAAGAAAAATTTTGGGGTGCGTCCCCTATTTACATGTATCGACAAAGTGAACATGTTGGTAGATAAACAAGATAATTTGAACAGAGTACCATCTTTATATTGCCGCAAGCAAGCACCAGATCTCCCGACGTGGATAATGTATGATAAACACGTGAGTAACTTTTTAAAATATTCAATATTTTATCAAAGTGGTAGTCAGTTACCATCATATAGACCGTCAGCTACTTCTCCATCCTAGTTACATTAAAAATAAATTTATCTGTTTATTTTATTTTATAGATATTACGCTTTAAAGCATTTTTTCAACAAAGTCTTCATGAAATGCGATCTGCCGCTCACATATTACGCAAGGTGGATATTTATTTCTTTCTTGAAGATGGTACAATAAAAGTAATGGAACCAAGAACTGAAAATAGTGGCTTATCTCAAGGTGAGTGCTATGTTAAATCTTGTAAATAGTTATTGTGAGTGATCTATTAAAATTATATTATTCCAATGTTGTTAGGGATACTCATAAGTCGCCAAAGAATACGTCTACCATTCAGTTACGACTTGTATTACGATGTGCTCGATATAAATATTGGACGTGAAGTTACGTTTTTTGGTAAAGTATTCAAGGTGAGTTTCAATATTTAAAAAAGTGCCAATGATTGCAAAACTCTATATGCGTTTCTAAAAAAATTCTCTATAGTAGAATTTTTTTACTAACTCTAAACCATTTCGGCTTGACGTTGAGTTCTGGGACACTCTGTATAATGCACCTATAATGTAGAGAAGATTAATTATAACTGTTTCTATTTACGTTGTTTGATAAAATTAATCGCTTTATACATGGTTTTGAATATTTAATGAATAGATCGTGAACTGTGACAACTTCACCAGGGTATTCTTAAATCGCCTTGGGATTAACGTGCCTGATCCGATTCCCTGGCCGGATGCTATAGAGGTGAGCATTATTCATGATCAGATAATATATCTAGTAAGATAAGTGCCTGGGCAAGCGAGCTTTGATCGATGGATAATTTTATTTTATTTTGTCATCTTATATGTACATATTTCGAATCAAAATGTTATCAAAGCACAAATATTTGTTTAATTTTTTAGGTATTATATAATAATGGGCAACTGATTGTAAATATAACACCACATTTTATAAAATAATTGTAGGAGGTGTGGTAGATTTGCTACTTAGTTGCTTACCTACATGTACAATATTTAATACTTATGTCACTTACTTTTTTTTAAAGATGTACTAATAGTATCTACTTAATTTTACTTTTAGAGGATACATGACTCTGGTCGTCCGCCAAAGCATAGACCCTTTAGACAGTTTTTGGATTTTGACAGACAAGTCCTGAGGTATTTACAGATGAATATAATGATAATTTATCCTAATTATCAAAGATACTTTAATAAATTATTTGAGTCGATTCTTTTTTAGATTTTATGGATATTGGGACGATAGAGAATCGGAGTTTGGGGTAATGCACAATCTTGAGATTCACTACTTTTTAGCAGATGACACAATAGAAATAAAAGAAGTGTTTCCACCAAATTCTGGTACAGAAGCTGGTCCAATGTTTCTCAAAAGAATGCGACTACCCAGAGTGAGAATTTTCGTATTTTTCATACCTCTTAGTTATCGTTCTATTACTTATCTATATTATATTTTCATAAAAAGCATTTTTACGCATTGTAGAAAATTCCCGCACATGTTCAAATGACGGGTGGTCCAAAATCACCTTCGTATACACCTGGAGATTTAAGTATTGGAGCAGTGCTGAATGTCTTTGGCCGCAACGTCGTTCTAACGGACTGTGATCCTTATACTAAGGAATATTATCGGATTACGTATGGTTTTGGTATGTAGTAATTATTTATTAAATTAAAAGATTAAAATTGTTATGAACTGTGTAATAATGACTTTGAATGTGTCCAAAAGGCTGTCGTATAAAATAAAAGCTCGACATGTTCTGTTTTACGAAAATATTTTATTTTTCTTTATAGATGCATTTACACCTTTGCCTGCACCAAGTAATGTGGGTACTGAATGTATTGGTGCTAATATGGCCGAGCGCCAATTACCACCATGGAATGGGTATGGGTCATATGATGATTCGGCAGAAAATTGTCGCACTGTAGAGCCGAAGGCTCCTCATAAGGATTTTATGAAGTTTCTTCACAAAGACAGGTAAGAGTACAGAAGTGTTCAGTAGTTATAAGTTAGAAATCAATATTAGTAGTCTCAGTATCACTATAAGTTAGAAATAATTATGCCACGGCGGCGCGGCGTTATCATTATGTAAAGAGTTCACAGTTAAGTACGTCTTGTATGTAAATAAATTCTACAAATATTATTATTTGATGATTTCAATGATGTACAATATAGGTATCTATTGTAATATTAGGAACTATCAACAAACAAATTACAACTGTCTTTTACAAAATTGATTTATAGTTTGATATTTGTATTGCATTGAATATCTAGTAACACAACTATATGTAGATAATGTATTTTAACTTGACTCAGACATGACAGAGAGAATCGTTGTATATTTTAGATATATGCTTTAACTGACTGCGATAGATATTTTTCCAGGATTTCTTGGTTATTATTTTACTCTCCTACTAGCCCTTAATGCCATTAGGTAAAATATGCCTTTTGTGATATATGACTTCGTGCAAGTTATGCTTAGAAAGAAATCTAACGTAATATTGCAATAATTATTCGTTTTTTTTTTAAAAAAAAAAAAATAATAATTATTCGTTTACACTTTTTCAGGGTGGGATTTGATTCTCATACGCTAAGATTTGCGGCTCGCCTTATCAATGATAACCCTGAAGATGCACGAAGATATTTTATTATTAAATATTTTCTTTGTGACGACACTATTGGAGTTTTTGAACTTTGTGAACGTAATTCTGGGTTTAAGGTATGAAATGTTGCCTCTATTTTCTTATTAGTATTATTAAATAAAAAATACATATTTATTACATGTTTTATCTCTATGTGATACTAGATGATAAAAGAAACATAGAAACTTTATACCTGCTTAGTCGTTATGTTAAGTTTTAACTTATAGTAGTCAAATAAATATAACAGGGAGGCAAATTTTTCCGTCGTGATAAAATGTATTTGCCCGACGTGGAATTTTTCGTACCTAAAGAGCCGCCTGCTTACACCGATCATGATATGTGGGTTGGCAATGAGTTGGTCATCAATAAACATCGATTTCGTCTGATTGCTGCGGATGAGTATGCACTTCGATACATGGAGGTCAATGAGGTAAGTTTATATTTTATATATATAATTCTTCTCATAGATTATCAATAGAATTTCATTGACTCTCGAAAATATGCATATAACAATTATTAAATAGAAAAAAAAAATCGTGTATTTGTCACCTAACTCCTAAACGATTGGATCGATTTTGATGAAATTTTGTGTGTATGTTTCAATTGTATCTGGTCCGAAAATACAATTGGTCCCGGTGTTACTGTTTCCGTCAGAACGAAGTCTGCCGGGTACGTTAGTAGGTATGTATATATTTTAATTAATTAAATATAACGCAATAATGTAATATATTTATTATTAATGTAGTATCCAATGGCAAATGTACCGCTGATTATGGATAAGATTCGTAGGACGTTGGCATCACAAGAGAATGGTTACAAAAATTTTGTTGCGAAGTATATGGAAGCAGTGCTAGCAGGTCAAAAGGAACTTATGCCTGTGAGATGTTTCAAGTAAGTTTGTAAAAATACTTATAACAATGATATACTAAATTAAAAGAAATATGTGTGTTCACGAAAAATTCAAATTATGATAAATTAAATAATTTATTTTTTTCTTTAATGATATTTTATTGTTTCCTAATTGTGTGTATATTCCATTTACCAGGCAAGCTCTGAACGAAATTATGTGTGAAAAGATGACGGAACATGAATTCCTAACGATAATGCGGTATTTTCGCGGTGATCTTGGAAAAGAGCAGAGTCATCGACGGGAAATGGTCAGGTAGATCCAGTTGATGTGACGTGATTTTGTGTACTCATAGCAATATTTAAACTATTATCGATCTGTTAATTGGGCTTAAGGTGTTGTATGTTATATAAAAATACATTTATGTACTTTTATCAGTCATTTAGTATTCACCTATTAAAAGTCCTGCATAGCTTGGGCCTGAATGGCGCTGTGTCAATTGTCCTGGATATCCTTTAAGTTAAAAACCATGAAACATATGAACTTCTGTTAATTATGTGATTGTTTTTCTGTAGTATGTTCTGATGATTCTATAGATCTTTGGTGTTTACGGATATAACACGTGGATTGTGGGACGATCGCGAGCGCCTGCGTGAGGGTCTGAAGCACGCCGATGAAGCAGGCACTGGTGTGTTGCCAGTGCACCGCTTGAGGCAACTGTTACGTGCTCATCGCCTCCCGTTGCATCTCGATCTAATGAACTGCATGCTTCAAGTGTTAGTAATTATTGTAATAATAGCTTTTAGGCAAAATTTATATGTCGCCTATTGGTGTAGATATACCAATATATACTATTATACACCAATAGGGTACCTTTAGTAGGACACTATTGTCCAAAATGATTACAATCAGGAGCATATTATTTTTTTGAACTGACTTTGTAAGGGAGAAAGCTTAAATCTATTTCCTGTACGTTATATTTACTTTTTAGTTCAACCTTTCTCCCTTACAATGTCAGTTAAAAAAAGAATATATATATATATATATATATATATATATATTAATTTCTCCAGTTTGCTTTTTCGTAGATCAAAATTTCATTTCATAAAAAAAAAAATATTATATCGCTGACATTCTGTTGTTGCAGTCTACAAAAGGATGAGAATTGCAATATCTTATGCGATGATTTGATGTCATTTCTCGATTTTCAAACTCGCCCTATATTTAACTTGACTGAAGATGATTATCAGAAAGTAGTTAGACATGCTCCACCGGTTAAGGATACGGAGGTTTGTTAAAGTACCTAATGTACGTTCATCATCACTCACTCTATTTTTAAGGTCACGAATATAGTCTGATCTATAGATAATTTATAAAAATACAAAAGGATTCCACACATATTCTCCTTTTCAATAGTTCAAATATTAAAATGCAGTCGCGACATCGGCTACCAGTTCAAACTATGATTTTAATCCATCCTGGGTGGATTAAACATAAAATCTTAAACATAAAAAAAATATTAAATTCAGCTCAGCTCTTTATGAGGACGAACTAATAACGACATAAACACTAATAGGTAATTTTATATATCTAAACAAACATTTGTCTGAACTCCAATTACAAGCCACGTTTTTATTGCAGTGCAAGTTGTGGGCGGAAGCGGAGACCTTTATTCATGAGGGTTACGTCAACTGGAACGCATTCCTTTGTCAATTGAACCTTGAGCATCTTGTAAAGGATCAATCCTAGCTGATCTAGAATCTCATTCACTTAATTGTGTGATACAGAAATGTCTTAATTAATAATGCCAAAAATATAATCAATGTGTTCACTTTTGATGATATTAATATTTGATAATGATTCTGAAACTTTTACATGTGGAATAATATACAAAGAATTCAATTTATACTCGTATATTTTATAGCAATCACAATAAATACAATTGGAAATATCCGTCAATAGTCTCACTTTTATAATAAGCTAAATAAAATGTCAGAGGTACAATACACGTTCACTGTTGCAAACACATCTTCGCAACATTGAAAATGACCTGTGTTGTTATATTTTATTTACTTTCACTTAGGGGTACACAACGTATTGCGTGGTTGCAATTTGTGTAGTATGAATAATATTATTATCTGACAATAGGTTCGTTGTTATAAGTATATATGTTATTCTATTTTGTCACACGCGTTATCTGTTATTGCATACTCTAAGCAGGCGTACCCGCATTTTGTGTACTCCAGTTTTAAAGTGACATAGATCACAATACTACAGTTACGACATTTCAATAATATCACATTTCACTCGTACATGCAACAAGAGCATCGAAATATTACAAAATAAATAACTTAAAACTATTCCATACATTCTAAATGACTTCGTTCTAGTAGTTAATCTGTAGGTATTCGACAGTATCATAACTAAACAATATTTATACATTATTCTGTCACAACTTTTAAATTTGGAACTAGGCATTGAGCATTTTACGGTGTTCACATATATAACTAACCATAACAGCATAACCAGCAGGCAAATATACTGTTGGCGTTTCGTCAATCCATCGTTCCATGTAATCAATGGCGGAGCTGATATTAAAAAAAACTAAATTAAACACAAATGTCTTCTGAAAAAATTAACAAATCCATTAAGAAGGAGCGTATAAGATGCTTGATGATGCTTGATGTACTAATGGAAAAAAACTTTATTTTAGTCATAAAATAATATTTTCTTCATTAGTTACTAGTGTGTAGAAATGGCTAGCGTGTACTCATATGCGTTGCGATTCCTTAACAATACACATATAGTTTTTTTGTTCTGAATATATGTATATCACATGGCACAAAGTATTCACTTATGTGTCGATGTACGCTAGTGTCACCAATGATTTTATATATATATATTGGTTGCAATTTAATATTATTACAGACGAGGTACATAAAGTGATTCATATTATTTTCTAGAAATTATGATTTATGACACTGGATGCATTCGTATGAATATAACTTAGAAATTAACTACAAATTTACATATTTACAATTTGTTTAATTACATAGGTATTAAGTTATGAGAAACCAAAATAGTTGCTGCACTCTTTTTACTTGCATTTGGTTCTCGAGTCAATTCAATATCGAAACATTATGAAGAAATTTAGATAGTTCATCATGGAGATCAGTAATTTTATTGTTCTTTAACACCTGTCACTACTTCTGTCAATTGATTAAGTATAGACTAATATTAAATATCACTATCTCGTCACCACATATCTTTTACTCTCTCTGTAGCTGGTATTTGAGGACGGAATCTGCAATAGAAATTTTAAATGTCAGTAATTATAATGAAGCTTGTTAGTATAAGAAAATGCATTTACCCAAATACTACGCATATGAAATATTTTAATTGGTTGAGTTATTAAAGAGGTAAGAAACTAATGAGAAATTTAACATAAATTTTTCATCGTCACTACCTATTATGTTGTAGTAAATACAGAAAAACAAGATAAAATATACAGTAAAGTTAGTAACAGTTGCTTTATGTAGCTGGTAAAATTATTTTAAAACAACAACATGCAATTTAACAAATTTAAAATAGATATTTATCCAATTGGTTTTGGTTGTTTAAACCAAAACCAATTGGATAAAGAGAATGGCGAAACGACATTATAAGTGAAAGATTTTTTTAACACGATTCCATATTTTTGAGAGTCCAAGAGTATAGAATATTCTTTTATAACTTTAGGAATATAATATACTTCTATAATGCAGCGTGTAAAATAAAATTACTACAACTAACCTGTGGGGCGGAATATTGGCTGTTGACCCTGTAGGGCTGACTCCTAGTGGCGACATTTTAATGCCAGAGTTGTTTCCATTTATGCTCGAACCCAAGCTTGATGCAGAATCCACTCTGTAAATTAAGATAGTTGTCGTAAATTAGTATATGTTTACTTATCCTTCCAATTTTGTTAAACATTAAGATTTAACAGCAATTAAGTTTTTGTTGAATATATAGCAAATAGATTGTCATATTCTTTCAAGCTGTATTTTGGCTTTTAAGTAATTCCTTCCATTGGCATTTTGTGACACGTTTGCATACATTATCTTTGTATGTACCTACATACATAATTGTGGTGTATTGGTTCCATATTATGTAGTGCAATATGAAAATAAAAATATTGAAAATTTCTCAAATCAAACCATTATTAGTTTCAATTTGTAGATTCCGCGTAGTTAAAATGAGTAATCTTGATTAATTTATTGGCATTGTGTAAACTAAAAACTAGAATTTATATTTACTATTTTGTAGAATTATATATCATGCTATATAGGTTCACAATATTGTGAAGGATATGGTTACAATGCAAATCCTAACATAGTGGCAACGTGACACCTAAATGCTCAGAACGGTCAAAGTCGAGCTGACCACAATCTAATTATTGATTATTCAATATTTTAACTGACTGAATTGAAATACATTTTTTCGTATAAATAATTATGAAAAATTTATTATTTACTACCTGTTTCTACTAAATTTTCACACTATATATTTATAAAATTTAAAGAAGTAAGTAAAAGTTATTATTTATATATGTATATTGTATATATTCATATAGTTGCTTACCTATCTATTTGTCGCCTAAAAAGTGGATACCTCCAAGGTGAGTTTGGTTTCCGCTGTTCATGCTGAAAGGCGGGGTTATCTCGGCCACGTGGTTCGCTCGTTGCCGATGGAGATGCTGCCTCTGGATCTCGAGTTTTTGAAGACAACCTCCTGTAGATTATAGCGAAAGCAAAATATATTCTATCTAAAACAATCTACAAAAAAATATTACAATTACAATTATTTAGACAGAAATATTTGTAACGGTGTCGTGGATTAGTGGTTTACTACCGCAACTTACACCTACAGGTAGTTAGTTGGTGGTGGTTATATTTCCCTCTTGTCTGTAACATCACCGCAATTCGTATTGTTTTAAACATTGAAATCTCAAGAAATTTCCCTTATGCTTAAAAGGCAAAATGTGACATGCCATACACGCCATACAAGTAGATTGTAAAAAGTCTTTTGCGTGGGTACCGCACTCTTATCTACTGTATATCCGTCGACATGCAGCTTGCTTTGTAACTGTTTTTCGGTTGCAGAGTCAGTTTAGGCAGTCCAATTGTTCACGGATTTAATAATATCATAATTCACGAATGTCACAAGATAACGTTTTTTCATATATATAGGCAGCGGTTACCACATACCATAAGGTGAGGCCTGTTTGCCATTTCAAAAACATAAAAGAAATATACATACCTGTTACATGTACCTACATCTACATTGTAGAGAAAATGATTTTAATAAATATATATCTCACCTTAGTATTCTAGACGGAAGTGAATTTTGTGTTTGTGGTCGCGCCCTTTGTCGGCTGTCGACGATTAGAACATGTCTGTCATACGGGGTGTCATAATCCACCTCGAGGACCGTCGAAAATCGATGCGGCCACATTAAATCGAGCGCAGCGATTAACAGGCCTACTACTACGCAAATGCATCCTGAAAATATTTAAGTAGATAAAAATACTACATGTAATTTTACCATATAAAATATTTGGAGGAATACCATCTTTCACGATATAGTCTCTAATTTAGTTAAATACAGTGAACTTAGTAGTAAAAGTCCGGTTTCGGCATATGAGTTCAGGATGTGATCTTGAGTAGGGGATGTATTAGTAACTTTTATAACATCGAATCAAGCGTAAGAATGGGGAAAAGTATACATCAGTATATTATATAAATATTAGTACCTGCTATAAGTACTAGCCAGAAGCACCAGCCGAGGGAGAAGAATAGCATTGCCCCATCGAGTCTGACTATCAATGGAGCATTCGGAAGGGAGGCCCAATAACCGCCCGCGGCGGCACACAGCATGACACCGAGTGTCGCCATGGCATAGGCACCATAACGAGGCACCACCACCAGGAGAAGATTCATTAGAAGCCATAGCGCCAATGCTGCCCTGTAAGGTTAACATTTTTAGTAAAGTCTTATAATATACGATTTTATATATGGTTATATTCTGTATAGAACCCTTCATATTTTTTGTATATTTGATCGATTTGGATTTCTCCTTCCACTCTTTAACTAGTAATTCGAAATTGTTTTCGAATTACTAGTTAATAGTTAATAATCCCCATCTCGCACTTGTTATCTACATCAACGTAATTCCACTTAGATCTCGACGCGCATATTTCCTCTTTATTAAATTAACAATTCGCGACCACTTCATACTTCGACGATAAGCCTGAATAGGTACTTATGTATTATTTAAAAAGATAAAAAATATAGTGGAGATTTTGAAGCTGGTTATCATAATATATAGGTAAATATAACCCTACCTATATTCTATAGGATATTATGATTATCGTCATGGATAAATCGTTATGATACTACAACATGCATATCTACAATTATTTACAATAATAATTACTAAGACCTCTTTTGAGTTTTAGAAATAAGTATGTGCCCGTTACTAACCACACCCAAATAGGTTAAATGTTGCTAATATAAGCGTGCACAAACGCATAAATAAAACTCTAACAATCATTGTTCTAGGTTCTAGGTTGAAAAAGTCCCCCAATAATAATTTTTCTAATATTTACGCCATTTGAGTTGATAAGATGACAGTAATTTTAAAAATGTCTCAGTACACACATATAACACATTTCATATTACTTAAAGATGTTAAAACTATAATAGTTTAAAAAATAATCGGTACCTACCATAATAACGTGGATGTGGTGTAACCCGCGGCACGGTATTTTGCCCCCCACTCGAATCCCTCGTGCTGTACCGCAAAGTGTTCGGCAACAGACAGCACCGGATAAGGTAATCCTCGCACTAGGCCTGCTCTGTACCATTCTTGTATTGCTCCAGCCTCCTCCCAACGAAACTGTTCGTTGTAGTCCACGCCTGGGTCACCAACAGTTGTATTGCCCCACGACAGCGCTGGAAGGTAAATAATGCCCATATATATATCCTAATTTGTTATGACATTCATCTTAAAACATTATACTGGTGACAATAATAAATGAACGCTAACCAAATAATTACACGATTATATTTATGCAATTGTCTAGATAAAATTTCGTATTCGCTGAAAAATTAACAACCGCAAAAAGATTTAATATTTATTGTAACTAAGAATTAAACAAAGAATGAAAATACTTTTATGTTATAAATATACATTCAGTTGAGTTAGAAAAAAATATCAGAACTTATAAAGGTTTAATTAATTTATTGTGAATTAAGATTTATTGCAAATTAAATCCTCAGATACAAATTAATATCATACCCACTATTTCCTTTCATGTAACCGTTTTATATTAGTTCGGCACATCAACATTCACTATACTTTTGGACAAAATTATAAACAAAACTTTCGGAAGCGTGTTCTATACAAGGAATTGCCGGATTCATGATGAACACAAACTTATTGACGATAAAAAATACATTAGAATAAAAATAAGTTACTAACCAGTAAGGGTTACGTTGACATGCCCCAATCCCACATGTACGGCGAGCCAGCAATCGAGCCTTTCAGCTGAAAAGGCACGGTAAGCGGCCCGAGATACTCGCGAGCCAGTCACGTGCCACGACGACCCGTGCTTGCACACTGCACCATAAAAATAAAAACAACTACAAAATATATCACCGTTCTTCTAAGAAATCGTGAAAGCTTTACCATATCTTGATCTTTGACTGTTATACAGTAAGAGTGAGTAGAGATTCTTGGAAATATTACTATGTCAGCATGTAGGTTCAAATCTTGAAAGTTTAAAATAAATTAATGAGAAGAAACACAAAAGGTAATGTGATTTTTTTTAAATCGCGCAAATTACTATAAGTAATAAGGAAAAAATGTATTGTTTCGCAGTAATAATGTGACATTAAGAAGTCATTGAGCTGCAGACAATTGACAAAATTGTATGCTGTTTTTTGTAGTAAAACGAATACCTAAATCCGACAGACATCCATTAAACAGGGGTATTGACATTAAGAATTCATATGATAAATTCTTCTTATAAAATAGATTGTGATAGAATCTCCTTTGGTTTTCATATTAATATTGACGATATGCAGAACTAGATTGTATTTGAGACCATTTGACACACGAAATATCGCGGTCAATGGCAAAACGCAAGCTATTGGTTTCTCCGCTTGGGCGGTCACCCGAAGACAATGGCTAATTCTCATTACGAAAAAGTTTTTACAAATTCTTAATGGTCGTCTAATTATTACCTATTTTTTCATTGTGAACAAAAAATATAGTCTAACATTTATAATATATTTTGTTAATTAAGTGTATTTGCTACTTAATTCATTTTCGTTAGTTGGGCAGTTCAAGGAAATGTGATTACCATTATCATGTACTAGTATAAAAACATGTTCTTAGGAAAAAACTATATACAGATACGTATTCGTACAAGTTTTTCTAGTAATACATATTCTATAGGGCAGATATTATTTAATATGTAATGAAATAATTAAAATAAATAATAAAATGTTACAAATATCACTTACTGTAAATAATTACTTGTAGACGGTGGCCACAAAATATTCATTTGATGATTCATGATAAATACAATTAATATAATCGTAGTACAAGTATACAGCTATATATTATTAATAAATGATGTTAGCAATAAAATCCCACGAAACAAAATAAAAAAATATAAGATTGATTTGCTAGACGCATGTAAGACGTAATTATTTAAGAAGCTTCGAAATGTAGTACATGTTAACTTAATACAAAAAACATTAGACTTATCTAATTAACGAATTAATGAATTATTAAATTTTTTTAACCTTAATTCAACGTGAGACCATAATTAATGTATGTTAATATATTATATGAATAATAGATTATATAATTATGTATCTATTATGTAATAGTAATAATGTTGTTAATATAATATGTTACCTACGCTGTCAAAAAACTATTGTATCGATTAAAAAAAGGTAGATAATATCTTTATAACAATCGCACAAAAATTATGTAAATTAAAGTTTTAATGGTAATTAGTTCTGATGTGTGTTGAATGACGGAGTAGTGGTTGGAAGTCATGTTTTTGTGCTGTTGCCCCATTATAGTGTTTATACAAATGTGCAAATTAGTCAGGATAGGTTAAACTAGTTGTCAGCCAAATCGTGTTGCCGTGTAGGCGCGTTAAAATGATTCGTTTTTAATAAGATATAATTTATTAATATCCTTCCTCTTCCTTACAACATACCTATATAGTTTTTTTTTACTCAAGATTTTGTCAACTAAACTACTGTTTATAACTAAAGACTGTCAACTTATTGGCGATGAAAAAATATATCAGTATATCTACTATGGGATACAAAGAAATAAAGGTATAGGTGTATGAATGAAATAAATTAATACTTACCCAATATAACTGTGCCCACGAAGAGACTAAGTGTGACTATTGTGAATGTTGTAAACCTCTGTAACAAAATTATCTATATAATGACCTGAGCGGAAGTTTAACTTTATTTTTTAATATTTTGGGTATACAGTTACTCATTAATGAAATGTACTGTATAAGTATTTTATTATCAACGTATTTTAAACAGTATCTACTAAGATACGAAAGGCAATTTCAGCGTACAAGCAATTTCTTCAAAAAGTATTACTATTAAATGATATAAGTAGTAGGGGGCTACACAAAATTAAATAGCAATAGATACAATACTTTTAGGAAACCTGACTTAGAACGATGTATTTTTTTTAATCCTGAGGAGTGTGCCCAGTTGCCAAGTATTATAGGAATCAATCGGTACAATCTTGCTTCACTCGTTTTAAAATTTTGTCTCATACATACTTCCATAAACTACTGTTTTCTTACATTTCAGAGTAATTAGGTGTATGGTTTATTTGATATTTGACAATTAATTCTATTTTATAATTTTGCTAAATTCGTAAGCGCATTCTGAAATATTAACCCTGACATACATAATAAAAATTTCATACATTAAGTACCCACGTTTATGAGTTTTTTCATAATCTTCTTCGTATGTGTGTAGGTGGTATTAGAGCAAAGTTATGCAAATTGTCTGCTCAATAGAGACTCATGGGTCACTGGAGCGATTTACGCTTACGATAACATTCAATATGCTGGCTATAATACATTCCATAGAATTCTATTGTTGTGTGTCACATATAAACTAATAGACAAATTTGAGAATAGATAAGATCATATTAAAAAATTAATTAATTATTTATTCTTTTGGACATTAAATATCAGGTTGTCTGTAATAGATTGCTTTGAGCGATAAGGCCTCCTTTTGTTACCATTTTTTTATATTAAGTTCTTTGTTGTAATTTGTTTCATGCATAATAAAGAGTATTATTATTATATTATGGCGTAGTTATTGCCTGTAGCTTTTACAACGTTAAGATAAAGAGAAAAAAGAACCTCTGACATAAACTTAAATTCACTAAATACATAATCAAATGGTTATTTACGAATAGAATGTTGATTTATACCGATTTTGTAAATATAATCCCACCTTAAAAGAGCTATAATATTAACAATATTCAATAATTAATATTCCCAGTAATTCAAATTAAATCGTTTTTCACCAGGACCCATATGCAAAACTACACAATTATATACATATACTGTATACTGCACCAAGTATAAAATTATACAATATGAACGATAGATATATCCCGCAACACGAGATATATAAGCAGGCGTAGTCGGCCTTTTGCAAACATTGTTTTTCAAGTAGTAATTTATTTTAAATACGCTTCATACCTCTTTCCTGATGCCGGGGAAGATGGCAAGGAAGGCGAGGTATAGCGTGAGTGCTGCGAGCAGTAGTGCGAGTGCGGGCACGTCCGCCGCGACAGCTGTTCGGTTGTGGTAAGCGTATAGGGTCGGCCCGCCTTCCTCGCGGAACGCGTCGAACCACCCCTTCATCGCTCACCCAGCCTGAAATAAATTTAATATTTTAATAAAGTGGTTACATAATTTTGCCACAAACAATAACTAGCTATATAAATAACATCATTTGCTTCTTCCTTATCTTAAGTCAGTTAAAAATAAAAAATAAAATGTTTTTAATTTAATATTGACTTGCATAAATCAAGTTTGTATATTTACATATTAATTATTTATTTATTGGTACCCATACATATTTTTTGAAGAAAATAGACGATGAATATAAATTACTATATGTAAGAGTAATGTATGACGTATGTAATAAAATCTATAAATAATCAAAAATAAAATAAAATTTATAATGCATTGACTGATTGAACATTGATGTCATTTGCCTTGATTCAATCTAGTTGTAATGACAAAATTTATGAAACTTAGTACATCTGTTTAGCATATACAAGATTCTTAGCAATGAGGCTACGTAATTAACGGAAATGACCATGACCATGGAGCAGTTTGTTCACTGACGCATTGTTTTGAAAAAGTGCATTTGGTAAATATTCTCTATATACATACATACATATTATTATGTCATACGCTGTCTTTATTGTGAATACTATAATGGAACACAGTGAGTAAATTTGTTTTGCTATAGTTACTATATTTGCTTCTGAAAAATAAGTATTGACATATAATCGCCATGAATTAGACATAAGTGTAGACCATATGAAAAATACGCTAATTACTGATTTATTTAAATGTACACACCAACAAGTCGTGCGTTAGATTAAGTTGGTAGATAGTGCAGATTCTCAGCGGTGGGAAAACGAGAAATCATAATTTTATTTAAATTTGCATATTAATTCATAATTTGAAACATAAAGAAAGTTATAATCAATAAAGTTTTAAGATATTCTCAGTATAAACTCACATGTTACCGAATAATTGTTACCTCTATATTATAATTATGTTGTTTTTTCTTTTTATATTTGATGTATATATTAATTTCTGTAATTATTCTTTCTGTGAGAGGAACAATAAAGTGTTTTTAATTTCATTTTCATTTCAATAATTCTCATTTTACATGATTTCATACCTACGAACACATACTCGTAGTAAAACAATATTTAAATAAAAACTTTAGGTTAATTATAATTATGAGTATTTAATATGAATATTGTATTTATATTATTGAAATAAATAGATCAAGTTCATTTAATTTTAAATTCTACATAAAGTTCAAGGAATTGTATAATCGAAAATATCTGGAAACTTTATAACACGAATAAATACGACGCGCTCTTATTTAATTAACTAAATTTTATTAAACATTTTATAAATTCTCAAATTTGGTGACAAGTGAATTCATAATTAGGCATTTATGAAGAATTGTAATTCTTTGGATTAATAAATGATTAATATTTTAATGAACGGGCAAAGGTAAAGGGTAAGGATTACTTTTTTATTTTTATTTTTTAAACGTGTGAACATTGGCTTACTTCAGACAGAAGTAAGATAGGGATATCCTCAGTTTGTCGCTATGGCTATAATATACACTTAATTTTATAATTTTTCGTAAAATCACTTGTATTGAAGTCAACCAGCCAGTTTTTAGTGAAAACAGACAAAACGTTCAAACGGACAAAAAAATATTAACAGAATTGTGACAGAAATTTGTCAACAACATAAATTGACAATTTCAATCGTCTTAAAAGAACAATTGCTTTTGCTATTGTTCTTAGATAATCTAAACTTATTTAATTGGTTTCTTTAGACTAATCAATGAGTAGAGAGTTGAAATGATTGAATGCGGTGGATGGAAGTGATAGACCGATACCTATATGTATACGAGTACCATTAATTATTTTGCAATTTACATCTATTTTAAAATTAAACCTCGTCTATTCAGATGTCAATGTGAATAGAGACATCAGTTACCTAATGTTATTATTACAACCGACGTTAATGTCATTTTCTAAATTCGCCTGTATTTTTGTACCTAATATTACACGCAAATATAAAATAAAGTATTACTATTGTGATCAGTTCCATCTTTGAATTATTTAGGAACCACTTAGGTACTATCAACCAGATCATACCCTTGATTTCATTGTTATTTAATAAACATAATGATTGTAGAAATTTTTATTAGTGTTTGTATTCAATTATCCTGAAAAAACAATATCGGTCACATGAATAGGAATTATCTATGGCCTTATATCCATTTGCAAAATGTATTAAAAGTTTTAGTAAATGCCATAATAGTAGTAGGAATAAGAATCTATGGCAACCCTGCCCCGATGGCAAGCAAGTCGTGCTACGAAGTATGTATATGTGCAAATTACACAGAATGCATCGTTAACTGTTCTAAAATGCTAATTATACCATCTTGTACTTGACACGAATTGCGATACTTGCTGTAATGGATTTATGATGCTGTAATAATACTAAGTAATGATATTCCTCTAAGGACTTCCAGTTTTGCTTTAATAGTCTAAATTTAGAAGAATAATGTTTACTTAACATTTACAATAAAATTAATTAATTTATATCTACTTGTAATTCTAGTATCAACCATTATCACAATAATAAAGCTTTTTAAATTAATGGAATAGTAAGTATTCAATACATGTAGCAGACATAAAAATATAATCTGATCTACAGTAATGGTTGGTAAAATAATTTTCTTGTAAAGGGACACTTGCACACTAAGTGTGTAGTAGGATTGAGTGTACTCGTTGATTAATAGTAAGTAATACATAAGAACTCCATAACATCATAATAGAGGTATATAAAAATATGTAAATCTAATGTTTAACTGTAGTTATACATTATATGTAGTACATAAGTAGTTAATTATTTATTGAGATTTAGATCTACATTAGGTACTGTGTGGAAACCAAAAACATGTTTTGTTGGTATTGCAAAAAGATCACTGGTTATCTTTGGTTGATTCTGAAGCATTATTTAAATATATCTTTAAATGTTATATTTTTATTTAATATTATATTATTACAGAATATTTTAACAATCATCATTAATTAAATTTATAGTAGTTTTTTATAATATTTTTATTCGAATATTCTTTTATGTCCGAGCTTGGGAACGGATGACCAGACACCTAAATATTGGGAAATAAATAGATAGATAGTATTTAGGTGAAATTAAAATGTAATATTATATTTTGGGATCTAACTTAAATCGATTAGGAATTTGGTTCTTGCTACGCAATAGAACAAGATATTTGAAATTTTAGATTTAGAACGTGCTGTTTTAGATCGACTCCAGTGTGTCATGATTTGGTGACGTGGCCGGAATGCAGCGCAGTCGTGTTGCGACACCATGCAGCTGCGCGCGTCGCCACCTTCGGGAAACGGATGTAGAATTGCGCTCAACAGTGCACTCCAACCGGCCGGTAATTAAATTATAAATGCTTGTGATGCTGAAGAGATTGTAATGTTGCTCAACGATGTTCATTCGTTGGAAAGTTAAATATAGTTACATTGTTCATGAGGCATCACATTTAGTACATAAGTATTTATTTCCTTCGATTAAATTAAATGTAGGGGCCAGCCGGCGATAGGGTGTTTTAAATTTATTTATACATGAAGATTTTATATTATTAGATGCTACTTAATTATTTGTTTTTAGACAATTATGAAGCTTTACATAGGATGCAAATTTGTCTATCTTAAAAGAAAACAGAAGCATTTATTTATTTTAGCAAACTTGTTTATTTTCACTAAATCCCAAAACTTCCTTTTCAACTAACTACTTCAGTTTAGAAGAACTGGCAAAAAACTCAACTGTTATTTTTTTTAAAGCTATTTATATTAGTCTATTTCAATCTTTAAATACTTATCAATATTTATTTATTTTTACTTTATTATAATGTAGAAAGTTTTAAGAAAAATCTCAGTAAAATGAATGTATATACATTCATTCAAAGTCTAATACTTTAATTATTTATTTAAAAAATCTAAGCATTGAACATACATATTCGGCATAGCCTAGGAACAAAAACCCGTTTGGAGTTTATCTTACCCAGTTTCGAATATTATTAGGATATAGTCGTTGATTTAGTAAATGTGTGTATTTTACACGATAATCCCATTTAGTAAATTATTTATATATATTTTTATTTTTATTTTTTTATGTATTCCTGTAGTTGTTACTAAAGTTGTTTGTCTCAGCAGTTGAGTTTCTGAATCGTTTTGTCGAAAATTCCAATCATTTGGCAGGTCTGTAGTATTACGGGCCATACAGACAGAGGGATATTTATCACATAGTACCTGCCTGTACACATAATTAGATGACCGCGTCCAATTTTATATATAAGCTTTTTATACTGGTAATATACTATATTTTACTGTTCAGAAATATTTACAAAGAAAACAATTAGGGCTACGTATGATTTATAATCACTTATAATTTTATTTCTAAGTTAATTCTATGGTTCAGTATATGTAACTATAATAGTTAAGTACAGTACTAGCGTTTTATATGGAAATTGTCGTTTTGTAACTGATATGCTTATTTTCAAACCTGTATCCGTAGAAATGAGCACAGAAATTTTCTTACAAATCGATCCAGCTATTTAAGAGTACTTCGGTGGCAAACACACATTCAGAACAACTATATATATTAAAATATACGCAAAACTCAAATTGAATACTATAACCTTTTTCACTTTGCACTATAACTTAAAGTCACTTCAATAATATAAAATAATTTATAAGTTAGTATTTACAAACATTAAATACAGTTTTAGTGCTTCAATTAAACACGACTCAATGTTTTATCGGATAAATAGCAACTGAATGTCCGGTGTCTGTAATTTATTAAATGAAATACATGATTATTGACCTTTGGTTGTAGTACAAGTAAATGGTCTTGACATAAAAACGCGGTTCGATATGTCGGAAGTATTGGCAGTGCAGTTATGCTCATTGTGGGGGTATGATGAATGGGTGGGTAGCCGGAAGAACAATTCGTTACCAGCGAGGCTGTATCTTTAATCTTGTACCTGTGTACATAGAAAGCTAACCTTT